CAGAACCACTGAGCTGCACATGCGACATGCAATAGCGTCATACACGTGGGAGGGGTTCATTGTCAAATTTGACACTTCAAGGAAGGGTTGATGAAAACTGGCGCGTGCTGGTTTTTCCTATCCATGGTTGCTTTCCTATCAGTTCTTGCATAAGATTTACTGTTTAGCGTATCTTTGCTTTAGTGTGTTAGGATTAATTTGATCGGGAGACGTGTTCGTCGACGTCGACGTCAATATTGACCGACAACACTGCAAGAATTGGCCATGGCACTGAAAGAGGAGTGGGTCAGATTGCCCCAAATCGTGATTGGACGGTTGATTAGGAGCATGCCACGACAAATTGCTGAATATCTGAGGATTGGTGGAGCAATTACTCATTATTAAGACAAAAATCAAAAATGTCCATTTTCACTTTTGACAGTGTATCTCTTTGCGAGTGAAATGGGACCGTCAGATAAGCCGCCCATATGAACTGTTTATGTTCATGTGTAAGCAATTGGCCTGTTATTAACATACACTGGTTACCTCTAATAAAAACAGCAGTGCATTTCCGCAGTTTTGTATTGTTTCTGAATATCCTCTACTTTTTTTGAAGAGTATATTTTAGAATTTAGATAAAATACATCAGCAAATTAGTTTGTATGCAAAGGTGTGCCACCATTATGCTAAAATAATTGAAAGTGCAAGATGTTTGACTATTTGAATCTATGTGACAGGTTATCTGTTGTATTTGTGTGTAAATGTCCAGGTAAACTTCAGCTTTTTTGGTGCCTTCCATATAATAATAGAATTTAATTACTTCCTTTAATTTCCACAATTGCTTAAAGCAGGATGTTTAGCTTCCTCCGTAAAAGAAGGGAGACACAATGTCGCTTTCATTCCGTCACCCCTTACGTACGCCCGGATGGATGTCCATTGAAATTTTGTTTGTGGACACTCTACAGGTCACAATTTTTATCCAATTTGGACAAAACTTGAAATATAGGTTATCACAAAGATCTCTGTTCCTTTCTATCTTGGTATGTATCGGACCGTAACTTCATGAATTATGTTTTTAGCTTGTGGACACTCTAGAGGTCAAATTTTTTATCCGATTTTGATGAAACTTAAAACATATGAAAAATCACTTATTTTTTTCAGCTTGTTCTCTGTCCATCTTTTGTAAAATGTGGGTGTATCTTGCATGGCAACCGCTTGTTCTAGTAAAAACTACACTTTCTCTCTTAACATGTAATGTGTATTAATCTATATGTAATATTCAATATAAAGTGATCTATAACCAGTCATAAATTATTGAAAATTCTTTTTTTATTAGCAATATATAATCGAACAAACCCTATTAAATAGAGATATTGATACTGTTGATAAACACATGTATCATGTAATAGACATTGATTTCTACTGGTCCATAATACCTCTATAACCCTTTACCGCTTTAACCTCGGCTATATTGTTGAAGTACACTTCAAGTTTATTATTCGATATCTATGTGTGAAGAATGAAAGAATTACAATAGCTGGCCAACATTTACCCAGTGAACTCTGTCTGCATCATAACTAGAAATTTCTGGTGCATTGATATATTTATTGAATTTTTACTACGTATTTGGATTGAAAAATGAATTGAATTAAAACATCACTCATGCTCCATAAAGATGCCTAGGGTCTTCGTTTAGATTGTTTGTTTTCTTGTTTGAAAAAGAAGTTCCATGAAATGATAAAATGGTGTCTAGTGCATATAAATCTCGGTACCAACAGCTCAGTGGAATGATTTATGAATACACTGCTAATTGCCTTTGCTTCCTTTCATTACACACATCATTAATATCTGATTTACCAGAGAGACCTGTTAGTTTTGTTTATTTACAGTTCAGACAGTAGAAAATATATTCCTATGAAGCTTCTGTTAAATATAGTAGAGTCATATATTCATTTTCATTTGGTGTGTTTCTTGTTTCTATAATTTTTCTTCTTCTTCCTGTAATTTTAGTCTCCATTATTACGTCAGACTTGTATCCCGTGTAGTGGTATGAGGGAATTTTTGAATAGACATTGGTGCTATGGCCTACTGTTATTTCGAGTTCCAACTGTCGGGGGAACTTTAACTTGCTGTCAATAGTGTACACTGGGACTCAATTTTTTTTATTATATCCATGCCATACTTTTCATCCTGCCACACGTATAAGGGGAAACCAGGCTGGAAATCTCCAGGAAATTTCTCAGCCATCACAGGGATGAAACCAGGAACCTCCTGGTAAGTGATCCAGAGTCCTACTATCAGTGCTACAGCTTACTCTTATTCCAAGTTCATACTGTCAGGGGAACTTTAACATGCTGTCAATGGTATACAGTCACAGGACTTCGATTTTTGTCCTATCCCATTGATTATACTGTTAGACACCATTCTTTGCCATACCTTCCTGAGGTACTTTTTCGGCCAACAAGTGGGGACTTCTCATGTATAGTGATCCAGAATCATACTCACCGAGTCAAAGTGGCGCTATAACTAAGATTGGTTAACTACACATACAGATTTTATTGTCCCCCACCTTTCGAAGAAAGCAGGGGACTATTAAAATGGGTTTGTCCGTCTGTCTGTCCGTCCGTCTGCCTGTCACACTTTTTGGGACACAATAACTCTCCTTCTAATTGAGCTAAAATCTTCAAACTTGGTATAGATGTTTATTAGATCAATGCCTTGATGGAGTTCGAAGATGAGCATTTTCTGCTTAGGGGAAGCAGAGAGAAGCAATTTGATTGTTTGATGCTTTGGGACATGATAACTTTAGCTCTAAATAAGTGAGAGTGATGAAATTTGGTGTATAGTTTCATTACATCAATACCTTGACTAAGTTCAATAATGAGCATTTTCTGCTCAGGGTAAGCAGAGCGATAAGCAATTTGATTGGTCGAGACTTTGCAACACAATAACTCTCATTCTTATTGAGCTAGAATGTTCACACTTGGTGTAGATGCTTATTAAGTAAATGCCATGATGGAGTGCGAAGATGAGAATTATCTGCTTAGGGTAAGCATAGATAAGCAATTTGACTGGTTGATGTTTTGGAAAAGGGTACCTTTAGTTCTAATTAAGTGAGAGTGACGAAACTTGGTGTATAGTTTTATCACATCAATACCATGACTAAGTTCGATAATGAGCATTTTCTGCTCAGGGTAAACAGAGCATTAAGCAATTTGATTGTTCGGGACTTTGGAACACAATAACTCTCCTTCTAAATTAGGTAGAATGTTCAAACTTGGTCTAGGCTTGCATTAAGTGAATGCCATGATGGAGTTCGGTGATAAACATTGTCTGCTTACGCTAAGCAGAGATAAGCAATTTGATTGATGCTTTGGAGCACGATAGCTTTGGTTATAATTAAGTGAGAGTGATGAAACTCTGAGTATAGATTCATCATATCATTCATTACCTTGACTAAGTTCGATGATTAGAATTTTCTGCTAAGGCTAAGGAGCGATGAGCAATTTGATTGGTCAAGACTTTGGAACCTACCAACTCTGCTTTTAATTGAGGTAGAATGTTTAAACTTGATGTAGATGTTCATTAGGTGAATGTCTTGACTGAGTTTAATGATTAACATTTCAAGCTAAAGCTAAACAGAGCTGATCAATTTCATTGGTGGATACTTTGGGACAAAGATAACTTTGATTCTATCTGATAGAAAGTTATGAAACTTAGTGAGGTTGAAAATCAGTTTGATTGCTTGATACTTTTAAAAAAATAAATGTCTGATTATTTAATATGTGTCATCTATTTATTTTGGGATTTTGGCGGTGGATATCAGCCTCACTGTTGGCTTGTTGTTAAACTTTGGACCTCTGAGCCCCGAGGTAATAATGTAAGAATGTTGTATGGGGGACTTGACTAGAAATGAAATGAAATGGGGTTTAACATCCTACTGTTCTGCTCCAAACTGGGGTAATGAAGATGGGCATACGCCATACAGTGTGCCTGGACAGGAAACTACGGCCTACTCTTATATCCTATTCCAACTGTCAATGGATCTTTTACGTGCATGCCTATGTGTTCACAGGACCTCGATTTTTCGTCCCATCCGAACAACTAGACAGCTGTGCTTGTCACTGACAAGGGGGAACCACGCCGGAAAATCTGGATGGGACTGGACTAGTCTGATACCTGCATTAAAAGGACACAATGAACACTAAAATCAGGTTTTAAATTATTAATGATCTAAATCGGTTCAGTGAAAGCTGCATTTTGTATGTGACACCTATTTTATGTCATAGCTTTGAAGCTAATTGGTCACTGTTACAAAAATGTGCCAAGTTCTTAAGGTTCCACCCTTCTTTGTTAATTTCTCCTTTTGTCAGGCACATAGCTATTATTCCTGATGGTTGGGATGTTGAGACTGTGTAATGGTGACAATATGGCCATGTTAATAAAAAAAGAAATACACATTACAATTTAAAGAAGGAAACTTGTAACAGAAGGTACCCAAGTAAATGTGGATTGCTTTAGATATTACTTTACAGCTACATGTTCCAATTAGATTGTATGCAAAATTTGATGCAGATTTGACAGATATGTTGGTGTTTGACCACAAAAAAGAAAACACAAGAAGAAATGCCACTATGATGAATAGCCTGACATAAAACCTTCAGAGTTTAAGAAAATGAATTTCATAGACATATTCAATTTCTGGTCTGTTACAGCAAAGTAAATTCTAAAGGAAGCTGCAGCATAATGACAACTTTTCATCCATCATGTAGTCTTTAATTTGGATTTTTTTTATATGGTGACAGGCAATTTGTATCCCCTGCCACATTAGGACTATGGATAAATCAACAGTGGTTTATCAAGCGATATATCTCAGCACGATCAACAAGTTTTGGTAATATATTTGTTGATTGTAAATTTTTAAATGGTACTAAATCTTTTTGATATTGGATTTGATTCATAAATTTTTGAATGATTTGAAATATTTAATATAAACATGGTATATATTTTTTCTATTTCAGAGATGGAAACCATTGTTTGATCAGGTACGTCCATTATAAGAATTTCATTGCGGATTGGAATATTGTCCTCAAAATTTTACAGTCACCACTTTCATGAACCCTAGAATAAGTTTCATGCCAATCTTAGATATGGAAGATTTTCTTTGCTAGTTAGAATTAATTGTTTATAAATTACAGAATATGAAGGCTGCTTTTTTTTCAAAATTTGAAATATTATAGCATTAGCATTATGGTATAAGTACTTGATTTTTGGTAACAGAGATGACACTTGTACCATTTGATGAGGGGTTGCTTTATAGTGCAAAATGTCAATAGCCAATGTCAATATATGTATGTGTAAACAATGGTCAGTTGGATTAAATGGACACCGGTGAGTCGCCAGTGACCAACCAACCATTGATAACTCTAATTTCATCTTATTGTTCATGTTCACCTGCTACCATGGTCTCTTCACCAACATCCCTCCTCATACAACAAAGAACAGTTTTGCTCATTTCCAGTTTTATAATGTGATGTGACTTGTACATTTTGTGGAGCTCTTTCAATATTACTCTGTATTTTGAGTTAATTTTGTTATTATACAATAAATATTGGAACAATCAGAGGTATATAGAAGGTAGATCTAATTAATTGTTTCTAAATTAAGATTATGTATTTGATTCAGGCTGTCCTAAGGCTTTCTGGCATATACAATTCTGTTGATCTGTACATAAATCTTATAACCTATATCATGGTCAATAATGAATGACAGTCAGTGCCATATTCTGTCTATGATATTGTACATTTCATAATTCTATTTTCACAGTTAAAAGTGGGTATTTTTATAAATAAATATGAGATTATATTAGCTATTGAAATGTCATTTTCTCACTTCCAAATTTTGTGGGTTATCAGGTGTTGTTTATGCACAACACAGAGAATTGCGAAATTATTAAGATACTACCAGAAAATTCATGGATTTCAGTTTGAATTACCTTAAAGATACATTCTCTAATATATACTGATATTTTTTAATGGAGAAATGTATTTTATTTTTTCAGTATGATTACAAAGGAAGAGGTGAAATAAATGTAGAAGATTTTCAGCGTCTGTTGTGTCATCCAAGACTCCGTGCAGACATGGATCGTCATACGTTAGATATACTGGAGGTTAAAATCGGAGAGTCGACCAAGCCAACTGTTACTTATCAAGAATTCATCAACATTGTAGGTTAATTGGAAAATCTCCTGAAGGGCATATAATATAATATAATTAGAATTCAATTGTTTATTATACTTAATCTGGTTTAACATCCAATTAATACAAGAAAGTCAATTTGGGACCTAGATTATATTTGTTCATTTATTCCCTTGCATACTGGCCCAGCTCATTGCCGGGGTGTTGTGTGGCCATGAGATAGCTTAAAAGACCTGTCTTCAGATTCAATAACCTGCTTTCCTCAATCTCATGAGATTTCTCTGGGTACTCTGGTTTCTTAAGACTTGTAAAGACACTTGTGCCTAAGTACATTTTTGAAATAAAACATATATAACATGGCTTTTAAGCCCATCAAAATATCAAAATTAATTGATTTGAAGGATATGAATTTTTGTATCTAATACCCATCTGCTTTCAATGAAGAGTGTGCCAGCAGATGGACAAGTTTAAAAGATGATTATCAAGAAATTTCCTCCATACATCATCTTACTTTATCGGGTTTTTTTTTTACTAAAGTTTCCTTTAAGAGTATCCATATTAATATATCATTAAGTTATTCAAAATCATTGAGGAAGTTAAATTGTGAATACCACATGCTTCTGTAAAGACATTTAGGGTTCGCATCACATCACATCACTTCTAAAAGAACAAAAACTGAACAAACTGGAAATTATTAAAAGCGTACGCATGACTGATTTTTTTAATACTCATCTCTTATTTTGAAACAGACAAAAGAACTTAATAGCTATTCATGTTAGCATGAAAGACATAAAACATATATCATTAAAGATTATATGACGATTATTTGGAAATATTGGTCTTAAGAAATAGATAAGATATAGATATTTACAAACAATATCTCATGAAAATTATTGAAGGGAAAAATTAGATAAGAATAGCCAGCTTCACATCTGTTTTTAATGTGTAAGATGGATAATAATCTCCATTGTGTGGACCCACAGCCGTATTGGCACACCATTTGTATAATGCAGCTAAGGGTACAAGAATTTTACTTAATGTTTAGAGACACAATTAAAGTTATAATGACTTGTTAGCTTTCTGTCATTTCAATGGCAAACACTATTTTCTAAAGAAACCCATTGTGTTTATGGTTTATAATTTTAACAATGAATAATAAAAATATGTGAAAAAAAACTTTTCTCAATAAATTGTTCTTATCATAATAGTAACCAGCTTGGAAGTCCAATAACTGATAAACCATATTACATTCTGTATATAATGTTCTACAAGGCATTGTATGATGTTTAAATAGAAAATATAAATAATAGATACAGTTCTTTTGGTTAGCTTAATTCCATCTCATCCTCGAAATCACCAGTATAAAGATGTGAAATAAAATTTTAATGAGTGCTCTGGCAAATGACAAGTTAAAAGCTATGACAATAAAACAAGTGTCATATGTGGAAATTTCAACGGCCATTCAACATGTGCGAAACATAATTCAATTAAAATATTGCAACAAATAATCATAGAATAATCTATAAATATTTAATAATATTTATAAATGGGAGATAAATTAGTTGATCAACTGTTTACTTTGCTTAAAAGACGTTTTCGATTGTATAGGCATTTTTTCCTTCCGAAATCTAACATCTGATTGGTTGCCTTTGAATTAGTTCACCAGCAAAAAAAATTATTTGCTCAACTAGTATAAATATTTTGCGAAAGTTTTAATTTTCTCATTTGGCTAATCAGTGTGGAAGATAAAACAATGATATCAACAGGTTATTTTCAAATGGATTTATTATATCCCAGTGATCCTGGATATTTTCTATGAAAATTGGTAGGTTGTGCAATCCTGAAAAACTTATTGTAAATTTAGAATTAAGAGAAAATAACTGTATGTGTAATTAAGTAAAAAATTTTTGAAGAAAAAAAAATATTAAATGGGTTTTTTTTACGTCACAAACAAAATTATTACAAATTCATCAGTATTTATTTTTTTTAAATTTTTGTGGAAAATTTGAATGTTAATAATGTTTCTTGTGTAAATAAGATTCCTTTTTATTTTTTTTAAATGAAATGTTTCATTTTGCATTATATTTTAAAATTTGGCAAGACATTTGCCCCGACTTTGTTTTATGTGTGATAATCTGTTTATTTAATGTTTGTTGTTTCTGGTGTTGGCTTGTAAATGGCGACCCAAGTCATCATGTTCAAATAAACCATGTTGTCTCGCTATTGAAACAGTTTGATCTGTACTTGCCTTGTTTGTATTTATTTTTCCAAAATCAACAAATTTTTCTTTTCAGATGAGCAACCGACGAAATCCAAGCTTTCGTTTGGCAGTCGAGAGTCGTGACAGGGAAGGTTGGTCCAGTAATTTGTGTATTCAAAGTAGAACTTATCCCACGACTTGTTTTGGTAAAATGGTGCGGAAAGTAGCTAAAGATTTTTTGACGGATGAACTTGATCGTCAATATTATGCTGATCGTTATAGTTGCTGTCCACCTCCATTATTTATACCTATTATTAGTATGATAGAGGTGAGTTCTCTCATTGTCGTCTTTAGCTTTCTCAAAAGAATATGATGAGGAAAACAATTGGTGTTAACTTTTCATTGCAGGGGCCTTATCCACAAAATCTTAAACTAAAATATTTTAAGAATACTGACTTTTCATTGGTTAAAAGCTAATATTTGTACTAGGATTTTAATTCTCAGTAAATGAATATGCTGGATTCTTACAATATGAGAAATCAGATGTAAAAATGTATTTTATCAGAGATTTTTAGTTTTAAAAAAAGGTAATTAATTGATGTCCTCAACCTTTCTTAAAGGGATCCAGTAATAATGACTTGTTATTTTTGACACTATAGATTTGGTCCTGGAAAACAGATATTAATAGGTTATTATGATTAGACAAGGCCAAAAAGTCAGTCAGTTAAACAACCATCCCCAAAATATATACTTACCGGTAAACAAAAATAAATTTTTTGTTATTTGTAGGTTGGTTGTTTTATTTATTATTGTATGGAAGCAGGAACAGTTAGTCCTAATGGGCCTTTACCTTTAAACAGTATTTTTATTTACCGTCCAGACAGAAGACTGGAATTATGGAGATTTTTTTTCTATACTTTTATACATGCTGGGTAAGTCTTGAATATATGTGGCATAGATTAACAATACTACAGAAAGAGGATGCTTTTTTTTTACTATTGGCCTTACATTACACTATTAATGCTAGAAAGAGAGAAGGAAACTTTATTTGTTTCTGTGATGTCATTCTGTAAGATAATTCAACATTTATAAACAAATAATAAAAATAACCCCAACAATTGTCATAAAATGAAACTGCTGCAGTCCTAAATGTAGCATCAATGTTCATCTGTCTCTGAATTTGCCCATATTTCATATGGCCATGTATTGTCTGTCTGTCCGTCAACCTTTCTTGTAAATGCTATAGATTCTTGCGGGGGTTACTAACTTTGCTGAAGCATAAATGTATATAAAAATTCAAAACTGTTCGATGGCAAATTCCTGAGTTATATCCCCATTTTAGTTTGCACTAAATGACATTTGGTACAGGACAGCATTCTTGATTGATTTTAAAACTCAGTCGGATTGTTCATGTATAAGCAAACACCCTATTGAATTTAACTCTTGGAGAAATCCTATTGAAATTAAAATGTTTATATCTTAAATTATGGAGGGGTTGGGTTTCTGAATGGTTTAACGTGTGCAGCATGTTAGATAATTGGGTTGATCATTGGGTCAAGTGGCACGGTTTTGATTCCCTGCTTGCACATTACAAGGAGTAGGGTTGCCGGTCAAACCTCCTGGATTTTCCCTGGGTCCTTGAGTTTCCTCCCGTAGTTGTCATGGTTTTATTAGTAAGAGACAAAGTTAGAGTAACCATGTTGGTTATCTCATGGTGCCCCAATTTCCTCACACCTGTAAAAAGACCAGCATGCAAATGAATGATTGGATTAAAGAGTTTAATACCATTCCATATTGTAATGTTAGTCCTGAAATGACCTAGTTTGTGTCGAGTGAATTTAAAACAACAGGATAAATGAATAATTGTTTTTTATTCCTGACGATGTCGAAGAAATAGAACTATTTTATATCACGATATTTATGTGGATCAAAATAAGGACCACAATTTGAGAGTGTTTGTGTACCTATGGATAATGTGTAACGTGGATAATCAGTTTACTAACTGAAGCGACAAAAGAAACATTAAAAAAAGAATTGTGATACATCGATCAGCTTCTCACGAATTTAATACGCGAAGTGTGAGACGGTGAATCGTGATACATCGATTCAACGATATAACATGCAAGCACTTAATATAAGACAAGAGTTCTTACATGATGATCAGTGGCTTAACAACAAAAATATAACGTTTTGTGTCAGATAGTGTAAGATATAATATATTTCATGACTATAAAGACTTGTATGAAATTTAATATTCAAGTAAAACAATGTTATCCCTTGTGACATGTTCTATAACTATGATACTCTGTCCCTGCTGAATTCAATATTTGCCTCATTAGTTAACATTAGTTACCCTAATGAAATTAAACAAAGACATTTATAAATGTTTAACAACAAAGGATCTTTTGAAGACAACCATAAATGTTGATTCAATAGAAAAGTCTTCCTTTTTCAATCTTTAATTTCTGTTTCAATTGTTGGGGTTTTTGTTTTGCATGAAAAAAGTCATGTAATAAGAATATTATTAAAAGAACACTAGTAATTCATTGCAAACCAAATTTTTATGTGAACATAATACGTTCCCAAACATTTTGCAGTTTTGAAACAATTTGCTTAAAAGATACATTAGTTAAGAGTTTAATAAAGAGTTGGTCATTCTTGCTATAATAATTCAAAATTAGATGATAAAAAAAGAAAATATTGAAAATTTCATTCAAATTACTTCATTCTCAGCCAAGTTATCATTGTTTGTAGTTTTAAATGGCGAACCGTTTTAATCTAGTTAAAATCTCGAGTAACCGATGCTATCGAGAGTCGATTATGGCCTTGTTTTGTTAATAAATGTCTAATTAATAGTTTATATAACATTACAGGCCTAAAGAAAGATCTGCAATAGGCAGATTTAGCTCTTGCATAATGTATGTTTAAATATTAAATTGAATTTAGAAACTTTAGATCTTTCACTACAGGGAGCCACAGTGGTTCACTGATATGAGTATGGAATTAACTCACTAACCATAAGGACCAAGGTTTGATCCCAGTGGTGGCTGAGTAAGTTTCTCTGAATTTACCAGCCCCGTTTCCCCTTGCAGGATGGAGGGTCTGGCATGTAAAATCATGGGATAGGACGTTGGCATGAACGTAATAGAGTGGGCAGTAATGCTGCTGTCTGGGATAAATTTCCTTCATAGCACACTGCATGTCGTATGACCATTTTCATTAACCTGGTTGATGCCAAAGAGTAGGAAATTAAACCTTCTTTTATTTCATACACTGGAATATTTTGATATTTTTTATCTGAAACTCTGACTAAGAAATTTCTAATAAGCAGGCAACATACAATAATGTTTCTATCTAATTTTATGTATGTAGTGTATATATATAGCTATCTAATAATTTCATCATACTTTACTTTACTTCAATCTGATTATAACACAGATCCTATTTCGATTCGTTTTTTATAGTTCAAAATTTCGTTTTACTTGTCTGTACTACACTAGGATCTGGAAGAATTGTTATATAACCCCCAATCTATTTGATGTGAGGGATTAGCTAATGAAACGGTCCGTTACGGCAAGTTCTTGGCGTGCGGTGCACAGAACTGTGGGTATCCCACTAGAAACATTGACGCTAATTTATAATGTCATAGGGTCAAAAGCTGCTCATATGACCCCTGACGTGACCTTCCACAACAATTGGTCAGATCTTCATGTATAGTGTTGGCCATCAAAAGTTTTAAAAAAAACAAAACGAAATATTGATCTGTGTTTTAATCAGATTGACAGTACTTCTTTCACATGTTTGTGGTTGTATTTTTATGGAAGGGGAGTCAATAGGCTTCTGCCTGTTCTCCAATCAAGTTTCTGTGAATAAAAAAAATTAAACTTATTAAGAAACCGTTACCTATTATACTTTATTTAATACCTCTCCTTCTTTTTATACAACCAGTTTCTATTGATCTGTCATCCGTGCACAATTTATTTTGGACTTGCGACAGGTCATTATCACCTGTAAGTTTCAAATAAGTTTTTGGGAGTCATGTTTCTATTCTTAGATTTCTCTATAGATTTTTCAAAACTTAAATTAATTTTTAAAACCTCACCAGTAGGATGTGTTGACATTTATATTAGAGCTAGCACTGATGACTTTGCTGCTGGTAAACTTTTTAGGAGGCCTGACATGTCCTGTCTTTGTTTTATGTATACATTATTTTTTTCAGTTATATCCACTTAATGTTTAATATGATAGTACAGATAGTAGTTGGTATACCGTTAGAAATGGTACATGGTTCCTTTCGTATTGGTTTAGTCTATATGGCAGGTGTATTAGCAGGTTAGCAAATTGTCTATTATCAAAGTATTTTAAAATTTGTCAACACTAAGAATGTAAAAGTAGCAGAGCTACATTTAACTGTTATGGGGGCTGTGGCGGTGGGATGGGGGTGGGGCCTTCACAGCCAGCAGCTACATCTGGGTAACTACTATCATCATCTTCAATGGGGTTGTTCCATGGCAGATCATTGCATTAATTTTATTTAATGGTTTAATTTGCTATATAATTTATATTAAGGATGAAAAAAAAACGAAATTAATATATACAAAATCCTACACTCATCCAATTTAATAGCAACTAAAATCATAATTCCTGAATCTACCTGGGATATTACTAGTACACTACCTTTATTCATCCCACAACTTCCCTATTGAATTAGTAAGTGCACATAAAACAAAACTGACAAGACAACCCTGCGGATAAGACAAACTACATAGACATTGCAAGAAATAACCAACAAATATCAAATCAAGTGATTGGAACCAGGAGCCATAATAACAGACTCACCACTACAGTAGACCTTATAATTATAAGCTTAAGCTTCATTAGTTCATAGTAATTCATCTTTGGTAAGAACAACGGTTAAATTGCTAATTATTGTCTTCATGTATTTAAACAGGCTCGCTGGGTACATCAGTATTTGATATTGATGCTTTTTTAGTGGGAGCATCAGGTGGTGTTTATGCATTATTAGCAGCACATCTAGCTAATATACTTCTAGTAAGTTAGATTATTTTTTTTATACGCCCACATTTTCATGTGGACGTATATTGTCGTCGCCCCTGTCCATCCGTCCGGATGTCCACAATTGTTTGTGAACAGTCTACCGGTCACAATTTTTATCCTATTTCAATGAAACTTGAAATATAGGTTTATCACCCTAAGATCTCGGTTCCTTTCGATATTGGCATCTATCGGACCGTAACTTCATGGATTATGGCCCCTGATTGTACGAAAAATCACGTTTTTGGCTTGAGAACACTGTAGAGGTCACAATTTTTATCCGATTTTGTTGAAACTTGAAATTTAAGTTTATAACCCAAAGATCTCAGTTCCTTTCGATGTTCGCGCATATCGGACCGTAACTTCCTGAATTATGGCCCCTGATTGTACAGAAAATCATGTTTTCAGCTTGTGGAACCTATAGAGGTCATAATTATTATCCGATTTAAAAAATCATATTATTATATCTTCGTTACATCCTAAAGACGACTGAGTTCGAATTTCGTGAAAATCGGCCAAAAACTGACAGATAAAATATGGTATATCAAGGTTGTGGACCCTATAGAGGTTACAATTTTTATCCGATTTTGTTGAAACTTGAAATGTAAGTTTATAACCCAAAGATCTTGGTTCCTTTCGATATTCGCGCATATCAGACCGTAACTTCATGAATTATGGCCCCTGATTGTACGCAAAAACGCGTTTTTTGGCTTGTGGACCCTATAGAGGTCATAATTTTTATCCGATTTAAAAAAAACGTGTTAATATATCACCGTTACACCATAAGGACGGCTGAGTTCGAATTTCGTGAAAATGGGCCCAAAACTGACAGACAAAATGGCCGCCCTTCGTTCTCAGCGTTAGCGTAAAAATATGGTATATCATAGTTGTGGACCCTATAGAGGTCACAATTTTTATCCGATTATGTTGAAACTTGAAATGTAAGTTTATAACACAAAGATCTTGGTTCCTGTTGATATTCGCGCATATCGGACCATAACTTCATGAATTATGGCCCCTTATTGTATGACAAATCACGTTTTTAGCTTGTGGACCCTATAGAGGTCATAATTTTTATCCGATTTAAAAAAACGTTTTATTATATAACCGTTAAACCCTAAGGACGGTTGATTTTGAATTTCGTGGAAATCGGCCCAAAACTGACAGACAAAATGGCCGCCGTTCGTTCTCAAATAGCGTAAAAATATGGTATATCAAGATGGTGGACCCTATAGAGGTCACAATTTTTATCCGATTTTGTTGAAACTTGAAATGTAAGTTTATAACCCAACGATCTCTGTCCCTTTCGATGTTCGCGCATATCGGACCGTAACTTCCTGAATTATGGCCCCTGATTGTACGGAAAATCACGTTTTTAGCTTGTGGAACCTATAGAGGTCATAATTATTATCCGATTTAAGAAATCATATTATTATATCACCGTTACACCCTAAAGACGACTGAGTTCGAATTTCGTGAAAATCGGCCAAAAACTGACAGATAAAATGGCTGCCCTTCGTTCTCAAATAGCGTAAAAATATGGTATATCAAGGTTGTGGACCCTATAGAGGTTACAATTTTTATCCGATTTTGTTGAAACTTGAAATGTAAGTTTATAACCCAAAGATCTTGGTTCCTGTCGATATTCGCGCATATCGGACCGTAACTTACTGAATTATGGCCCCTGATTGTACGAAAAATTGCGTTTTTAGCTTGTGGACCCTATAGAGGTCATAATTTTTATCCGATTTAAAAAAAACGTGTTAATATATCACCGTTACACCATAAGGACGGCTGAGTTCGAATTTCGTGAAAATCGGCCCAAAACTGACAGACAAAATGGCCGCCCTTCGTTCTCAGCGTTAGCGTAAAAATATGGTATATCATAGTTGTGGACCCTATAGAGGTCACAATTTTTATCCGATTATGTTGAAACTTGAAATGTAAGTTTATAACACAAAGATCTTGGTTCCTGTCGATATTCGCGCATATCGGACCGTAACTTCATGAATTATGGCCCCTTATTGTATGACAAATCACGTTTTTAGCTTGTGGACCCTATAGAGGTCATAATTTTTATCCGATTTAAAAAAACGTTTTATTATATAACCGTTAAACCCTAAGGACGGTTGATTTTGAATTTCGTGGAAATCGGCCCAAAACTGACAGACAAAATGGCCGCCGTTCGTTCTCAAATAGCGTAAAAATATGGTATATCAAGATGGTGGACCCTATAGAGGTCACAATTTTTATCCGATTTTGTTGAAACTTGAAATGTAAGTTTATAACCCAACGATCTCTGTCCCTTTCGATGTACGCGCATATCGGACCGTAACTTCCTGAATTATGGCCCCTGATTATGGTCACAATTTTTATCCGATTTTGTTGAAACTTGAAATGTAAGTTTATAACTCAAAGATCTTGGTTCCTTTCGATATTTGCGCATATCGAATTGTAATTTCCTGAATTATGGCCCTTGATTGTAGGAAAAATCACTTTCGTTTTAGCTTGTTTTCTATCCATCTCTCGAAAATGTGGGCGTATCCTGCCTGGCAACCGCTGGTTAACAATGACAACATAAAAGAATGAAATGTGTTTTTGTCTTCAGTCTGTTAAAAACGTTGAGTGCAATTAGACCTGTTTCATTCTGATGGGGTCTGCACACACCAAAGAATATTCATCAACAAGTAATTATTGGTCTGCCGTATATTATACAGTCTGGCAGATTATCCCCTGACTTTTCATAAAAATACATGTGCACAATAGCAGAGACAATGCATTACCGACAAACCGTTTGGATTGACAAGTCTCTTTCCAATTACACACTTTTATGATAAAGATTGTTTATTTAAAGTTTTTGATAGAGACCACTATGTTTAATTTGGAATAAACTAAGCATAACTATGGTGAATACTAAATACACATTGCTATTAAGGTGGTGGGAAATTAGTGTGCATGACATACAGTCTCTGATGAAATGTGGGTGTTGAAAAACTGGTATGGTGTACAGTGTACACTGAGTGTCTTAACTTACAGATTGTCAATGACAAGAAATAGGGCCGTCATCGAAAAATAATCCTTAGTGTCAAACTGGGTACCAGGTCAAACCATGTACCGAGAAAAACACTCATCAACTACATGCATATGTGTCACGGTTTGTCTCAGTACAAGGTTCAGTTTATGGTTACAGGAATAACAATACCGCAGTTCGTTTCTACATTTTTATGTCAAGCACTGGATACATAGGTTACAAGCATAGATACAAATTCTCTACTCTCTCAACCCCACCATTTCGTAGAATGAGTTTACTAATGGTGACTCTCCTACGACTTAGTATAGCATTTTAAATCAAATGGTGTCTCTTGAACCTTAACAGTCTCTCCCAACGAACCTACATACTATTTGCTCTCTCAAAGTCTACATGATATCTGAATTGTCGCCCAGAGCTCTGATGGTTTTCTACTCTTGGGTTTTGGCTTTCAATTATCTAATTGGTCAAATATTATGTAATTAATTATGATGTTTTGTTACTAAGCCCAATGATGTAATGGTAATTTTTCTATCACATGTTTTTAGACCATAGAATTTATCCTTGGCCTTGGACCCCTTTTGATGTTATTCTCACAATATTTCATAAACAATTTAATTTGCGTTTTTCAAATAAACTCATACCAAAGTTAATATTTTGACAGTGGAGAAGACGGATAAAACATATGTATTATATTATCACAGATTTCCGTTGTTTCACATGCTATGAATCTGTAAACAATAATTAGTAAAGGCCATAATATTATTATACATATGTGTTCTTTTGCACAAATCTCGCCATCAATATTACTACAAATAGTGATATTAAGCTGCCATGCATAATAGATTTGAATCCGATCTACTGTTCAACAAGCGTTGATGATTAAACGCAAAAATGGATAATTATCGTGACAGCGGTAACAATCTAGGCTACAGTGATTTTAAAATAAGGTTTTCTCGGCTTAGAGTGAAGCAATTTTCAGTAACAGAACACAGTTTTTATGGGATACAATCACTAGTTTTATTCTAAAAGCACGACGTTTCGACAAGAATCCTCTTATCGTTATCAAGCACAATGACATTTAGTAAACTTGAGGTCAATATATAGAAAATTCATAGTGAAACCATAAACATGGATTAAAATAACAGTAACAAAAATAACATAAGAGGTAAAGGATATTTAACAAAAACAACAAGCACAACAAGGTAATTAGCTGGCTGAATAGACTCTAATACACGATTAGGGGGTTATTAACTAGTGCCTGATAACGATAAGAGGATACTTGTCGAAACATCATGCTTTTAGAATAAAACTAGTGATGTATCCCATAAAAACTGTGTTCTGGTAATGTGTTTCCGATCGCTAAATGCCACTTAAAGATTATGCAATTTTTAGCTTATTTCATTTATATTATCTAGTTTTTATCTATTATAGTGAGAACTGCCAGTTCTTTACCTAATCTTCCATAATGTATCTTTAATGAAAATGGACTGTCAAGAGTTAATTATGTAAGCAAAAAACAGAATACTCGACCATACATATTTGTTTAGAAAAACTCCTCCTTCAATCATTTGAAAAGAAAAGGTGCATGATCTGGCATTAAACAGTGTGCAAAGTATTGCTCAATCTGCAGCTAATGTGATCAGAATAATGTGACCAGAAATAGCTCTGTTGAATTATAGGCAATATATATGATGTGCTTAAAGAAAAGATGCAATGTATAAAAAGGGATGTAGAAAACAATCTATTGATATTTTTAGAATGATATTAAGAGTTGATAAATCACTGTTATTGGCATTGAAATAATGTGTTTGTTTTATAGAATTATTCCCACATGGAACTAGGACTGTTAAAACTGGCAGCTATATTTATTATTGGTGAGTTAATATTATTTCTCGTTTTGAATACAGCAAATCTTTTTTTTTATAAACGTCAGTCTTACAACTTTTGTTGTACTTTAGTATTCATAGAACTTATTTATTCTGGTTGTCATTGTCTCAATATATCAACCTACAAATTAGCATTGACTTTTGATTGTGTTATGATATAACTGGTAATCAATTAGTGATAACTGTTAATCAATTAGTGATAACTGGTAATCACTTAGCAATAAATGGTAATCACTTAGCAATAAATGGTAATCACTTAGCACTAGGTGGTAAACAAGTAGCGATGAATTGTAATCAGTTTTCTATAACTGGTAATTAATAAATGATAATCAATTGTCTATAAATGGTTATCAATTGTCTATAAATGGTTATCAATTAGCTACAAATTGTAATTGTGATAAATGCTAATCATTTAGCTATAAATGGTAAATGGTAATCATTTAGCTATTTTTTGTCCAATATACTTTCGGTTCCTTTTGATAATCGCACATATCGGAACGTAACTTCCTGGATTATGGCCCTGAAACTATGTGAACCTACTGGTCCAGAATTTTAAGCCGGCTGACCTTGAAATCAGTAGACCAAAAGGAACTGAAATTCATGGTAGTGGAAAAGCTGAATCATATCTTGTATTGTCCCACTGTTGCAGATACTTTGACTAGGTTAAGCCTCGGGTGCAAAAAGTGGAACAAAACCAGTACTGCATCCATCTTATCATTTGCTTGCCTAATTCTGAAATAATTCAAAAATAGCATTTTCCAACAGCCTGATATTGGGCTCAGTAATTAGGCTTTTTATAATCCACATTTGCCAATTATTCAATGGTTAAAGATCTTGTGACTAATACTGTTATAAAATATTTCTATTTTTCAGCAAGTGCTGATGTAGGTTTTGCTATATGGGATAGATATACACATAAAGAATCTAGTCCACCTGTTGGTTATACAGCACATTTGATGGGAGCGATAGCAGGGTTAACTATAGGACTTGTTGTACTGAAAAACTTTGAACAAAAATTACATGAACAGTATTTATGGTGGATAGCTTTAGCTGTGTATCTAGGATGTGCTGTGTTTGCTGTATTTTGGAATATTTTCTACTATTAGTGGATTTTGAGCGTTTTCTGTTACAATTTTATTTTTAGTGCTTTTGGAGATTTGGATTATGCATTAAAGCTTTAAAATTGGAATAAGACATTGAACTCCATTTCATTTCATTTTAAATTTAATTGAGTTATGCTTTATGCCTCAAGTGAAATCATAGTGAAGAAAATAACATTAAGTATGGACTTTTCAGGCCATAAATAGGAATAAATCATTTCTTTATATTATTACCATTCGAATGACTAAAACTGTAAAATGCCATGTTTACTGTGATAGACTTGATCAAGATTCCGCAAGTACCATGTTAAGACATTCCAGAATAAAAACAAGTAAAAGATTCACAAGTCTGAGTAAAAGATTTTTTAAGCTTTACAACTGCAAGTTAAAGATTTACAAGTCCAAGTAAAAGATTAGTTAAGATTTACAAGTCCAAGTAAAAGATTTGTTAAGATTTACAAGTTCAAGTAAAAGATTTGTTAAATTTACAATATTACATGTTATTGGTAATGATGTGCATGAACTGAAAATGTTACTGTCAAGTAATAAAACTATGCATGCATGAGAATGTGGGCAGTAGCTGTGAACTTAAAAAGAGATACTGCCCTAGTCAAAATGGTATAATCTTTAAGTGGCTATTGGGAAACACATTAACAGAACACAATTTATATGGGAAAATTATATTTCCCATAAAAATTGTGTTCTGTTTATATCAAAATGGTGTCTGTAAAATTACAGTATATTATACTTCACTGACAAAACCTTGTTTTTTTTTCAGGTTTTGCAAATATTCTTTTTTATTTGTTAAGACATTGCTTCTATTTTTGGCTATGAATATTATCGTGATTTTACCATAAGGTTAGGGCCAATCATAATAATTCATGCCATACTTATGTTACCATAAGACCAATAGAAATAATTCCATTCCACATTGAAGCCACCATAAATAACAATCAAAATAATTTCATATCACATTAAAGTTATCATAAAGACTAATTGTAATAATTTCATACCACATTGATGTTACCATAAGACTAATTGTAATAATTTCATGCCACATTTATGTTACAATAAGTCCAATCGAAATAATTTCATACCACATTTATGTTATCATAAGAAGACTAATTGTAATAATTTCATGTCTCATTGATGTTACCATAATACCAATTGTAATATTTTCATTCTGCATTGTTGTTACCATAAGACTAATTGTAATAATTTCAATCTGCACAGATTTTACCATAAGTCTAATTGTAATAATTCCATTCTGCATTGATGTTACCATAAGATCAATTGTAATAATTCCATTCTGCATTGATGTTACCATAAGATCAATTGTAATAATTGTCCCCCGCCTTTCGAAGAAAGCAGGGGACTATTAAAATGGGTTCGTCCGTCTGTCTGTCCGTCTGTCTGTCCGTCTGTCTGTCTGTCCGTCTGTCTGTCCGTCACACTTTTTGGGACACAATAACTCTCTTCCTAATTGAGCTAGAATGTTCAAACTTGGTGTATGTGTTTATTAGGTCAATGCCTTGATGGAGTTCGAAGATGAGCATTTTCCGCTTAGGGTAAGCAGAGATAAGCAATTTGATTGGTTGATGCTTTGGGACACGATAACTCTCTTCCTAATTGGGCTAGAATGTTCAAACTTGGTGTATGTGTTGATTAGGTCAATGCCTTGATGGAGTTCGAAGATGAGCATTTTCCGCTTAGGGTAAGCAGAGATAAGCAATTTGATTGGTTGATGCTTTGGGACACGATAACTTTTAATTGAGCTAGAATGTTCAAACTTGGTGTATGTGTTTATTAGGTCAATGCCTTGATGGAGTTCGAAGATGAGCATTTTCCGCTTAGGGTAAGCAGAGATAAGCAATTTGATTGGTTGATACTTTGGGGCACGATAACTCTCTTCCTAATTGAGCTAGAATGTTCAAACTTGGTGTATGTGTTGATTAGGTCAATGCCTTGATGGAGTTCGAAGATGAGCATTTTCCGCTTAGGGTAAGCAGAGATAAGCAATTTGATTGGTTGATGCTTTGGGACACGATAACTTTAGTTCTAATTAAGTGAGATTGATGAAACTTGGTGTATAGTTTCATTACAGTAATACCTTGACTAAGTTTGATAATGAGCATTTTCTGCTCAGGGTAAGCAGAGCGATACGCAATTTGATTGGTCGAGACTTTGGAAGTAAAGATATACTGTTTGATTGTTCAATACTTTGTAAAAGATAATTTGTGATAAATTTATATGTGTCCTCTAATTATTTTCCTATTTCGGCGGGGGACATCAGCCTCACTGTTGGCTTGTTTCATTTTGCATTGTTGATACCATAAGACCAATTGTAATTATTTCATGGCACATTGATGTTACCATAAGGACAATTATAATAATTTAATTCTCTATTTTTGTTACCATAAGACCAATCGTAAAAATTTTTTGCTGAATTAATGTTACCATCAGACCAATCGTAATAATTTTATATCGCAATGTTTTGTGGCTTTACAATATCATTTTAACATATGGCACCATTTTGTTGGTATTATGAACTTTTATTCACATTTTTAGAAACTTATGATTCGCTTTAAATTGCTCAATGTAGTGCCATTGTGTTTATTTTACTTATTTTCAGGGAGAAATCAAGGATTTGTGCAATATTTAATTCTGTGTTTATACAGATACAGTATTTTAAAACTTTTTGTATATTAAAAATTTTGTATATTATTATGTGATATGTATTTGTAGGATATTTGTAATTTCCATTGATTGGTAATTTAGTTTGAGTCAAATAATCTGATTGTAAATCATGTTTAAAAAGATTCACACTTAAAATGGAATGTTTTATTTATACAAAATAAACCGGCCATATATGTTAATTGCGAAAAAAAAAAAATGTCATTTTTTAAAAATTGTTATTATTTTAGATTTAATTGACTCTGTACAGTCAATATCTATATATGTAAACTTATATTAGCCCCAGTGAGGTAAACATGAAAATAGTATTATAGATGTTCCAACAGTCTTGGCAGGTTGGGTGTAGAAACAATTGAAAGTATTACAGTTTGGATTCTTAGATCTCTCACAAATTTAGCTGTAGTTATATGGGCTCAATTGTAAGAGACAAAGTTAGGGGCAGTACCAGATCTAGACAGGGGCAAAATGGGACAGCCCCCCTCGACTAGTTCCAAGCCCCACACAATCCGGCCCTGAGTTAGGATAACTTTTCTAACCTTGTCGGCTAACCCTATTGGTTTTCTCATGGTGCTCCAGTTTCCTCACACCCATAAAAAGATCTGCATGCAAGTAAATGATTGGATTAAGGAGTTTAATGCCATATATTCATTGTAATTTTAATCTTGAAATGACCTAGTTGTACTGAATGGATGTTAAACTCTGTTTCCTCCCAGCTGGTGGTACTAAACTACTAGTAACAAAATGTTCAGAAACCTGTTTAGGTCTTTGTATTATTGTCCCCCCGCCTTTTGAAGAAAGCAGGAGACTATTAAAATTGGTCTGTCTGTCCGTCCGTCTGTCTGTATAGTTCCATTACCTCAATATTTTGACTTAGATTAATAATGAGCATTTTCTGCTCAGGGTAAGCAGAGCGATAAGCAATTTGATTGGTCGAGACTTTGGAGCTCGACAACTTTGATTCTAATAGAGTGATAGTGGTGAAACTTCGTGTATAGTTTCTTTACATCAATACATTAACAAAGTTATATGCTGAGCAATTTCTGCTAGGCAAAGTAGAGACTTCAATCTGATTGATCGAGACTTTGGAAGACAATAACTCTCATTGTAATTGAGGTAGAATATTCAAAATTGGTGTAGGTGACTATTAGGTGAATGCCTTGAGAGAGTATGATCATGCACATTTTTCCACTAAGGCTAAGCTGAGATAAGCAGTTTGATTGGTTGAGACTTTGAAACAAGATAACTTTGGTTCTAATTGGTTGAGAGCGATGAGTATAGATTCATCATATCAATACATTGACTAAGTTCAATGATGAGAATTTGGAACATAAATTGAGGTATAGATATTCATTAGGCAAATGTCTTGACTGAATTCAATGATTAATATTTCCTGCTAAAGCTAAGCAGAGCTAAGCAATTTCATTGGTCAATGCTTTGGGACAAGATAACTTTTGATTCTAACTAACTGATGGAGAGTGATGAAACTAAGTGTATATCACCACCAAGTACTTCAAAACCTGGCTGAGCTTGATTTGAAAAAGATAAATGTACAATTAATTAATATGTCTCATCTATTTATTTTGGGATTCCGGCAGGGTACATCAGCCTCACTGTTTGCTTGTTTAGAAACTGATTGTGTGTAGTTTAAATAACATACAATGTATATCAAGAGTTTGGTGGAGCAAAAAATATATTTTGTATACAATATGTATGTAAATAGTCAATCTTCCTTCAATAAAAATATGTTTTTGTTACTGTCCGGTTTTATTCTTTCCACAGCGATAAAGTGTTGATTGTTGCTGGAATCGAATCTAGTGGTTTTTTTAACGTATTTATTTTTCAGATTTTTATTTTTATGATTATGTGTGTGCAATGGAAGGTAGGAGAACTTTACCCAAACTGCATTGTTTTCGTCTTTTTGGATTACCATTTGCCAAGGGTTCTTTTGTATTATAAGGTCTGTCATTGAGTAGTCAACTGGCGTGGTTTCGAAATCCTGGTTGTACGTGACAAGGATTAGGGTCGCTTGCCCAACCTCATGAGTTTTCTCTGGGTCCTCTGGTTTCCACCAACTGTTAAAGACCCCTACGCGCACGTGAATTATTGAAATAAAATTGAAACATATGTTAGTTCCAAAATGACCTAGTTTGTGTCGAGTGGACGTTAAACTCCATCTCTCTCTCTATAACAGCCAAACGATAAGACACACCCTTCTTTCCAGAGAAGTAAAGACTGGGCTTGAAAAATCCTGGCCACATGCCATAATTGGAACCTAGTAGATACTTGTAGTCTAGTGTTGTGCCTTCTCAACTACCACAACCCCCTGGTTGTTGCTTATTGTGAATGATTTAGAAGTATAAGGAACAGAGAAAAAATATATTTCATGTAATGTTTTTGGTCTGTAAACAAATACTGTTTTGATGGTACATTTTGCTTTTCAACATAAGTATATTTACTATTAAATGGACGATATTGTCCCCTATTTCACATGAAATATAACGATAAATAACTATTCTCCTAATCGCATCATCCTGTTTATTATGCTTGGATTAAGACTGTCTACATTTATGGTGCAGAAATTTGCCATGTATCTGTTATCACTTGTCACTTAAATTCAGTCAGCTATATAGAAGGATAACTAGTAATTTCCTTTCATCACTTCCGTTTTTTTAAATCTTCATTATGCATCTATCGTAGCAATGATCTCTGTGTTAAAATTATATTTGGAGCGTGTTGAACAAGTTCTATCATGTGATAATGACTGACACCAATATTATCCTTTAATTTAAAGGTAAAATATGGGAAGACTCAAGGGAGCCAATTAGCACAGTTTCTTTATTTTTAATCAACCCCCCCCCCCAAAAAAAAAAAAAACAAAGCCTATTGTATTTTAAAAGATTTTTAATTCAGTATAAGCCATTGTATATAGAAAAAGCAACTTTCATTGATGAATGACCTAATGCTGAATAACCTAATGACAAGTCATGGTAAAACGGTTCTGAAGACTAAAGGGAGATAATTCTCATAGAATCAACCAAGAGATAATCCATTTAAAATTATAACTGTAAACACGTACGTTATTTACACATCGTTGTGATTTATTGTACATTTTACAGCATAAGGAACTTTAAGACCGAAATTAAACTATACAACCAATATTTTGAAAACTAAAATAAGAGTACGCAATCGGTCTCAAATAGATAAATAAAAGTCCTAGACCTCTTTGATGTGGGGGAAAACTAAAACTACCGATTTCATTTGTTTGTTTTCGTTGGGACTCTTACGTCATAAAATTATGTCTGTTGAATTACGTATTTACGGAATAATCTGGGCTGGAAAATTATGAATGTTTTGGGGACTACCTACTCTGAATGACAAATGACAACCGAATGACGAATAACAAGAAATTTATAAACAATTAAATCATTTCATGGAATGGGAATAATGAATATGGAATTATTAATGGCGACCTTGAGGTCTTCGCCCCTCACCCAATGGAACTTAAATTGAGGATCAGTTGATCTAGAAACTGACACAATAAACCGACTTTGTCTTAATAACTGTTGTTCCAATACCATCGCCCGCGCTAGGAACCTCCAGGCCCTGGGACAAGCAACTGGGCGAGGTGGGAGTGGGGTCGGTGGGGTTCTTTACACCCGGATTCGAAACTATTTGAAAGATACATGGTCTCTAGCGTCATTTTGGCATATATCTATCTAGGGTAACTGGAGGTCTCTTTGCTATAACAGAGAATAAAAGACATCAAATGTACTACGTTTTAGTTTCATTGTAGCGTTCTACAGGCCCGGAATAGGCCCTCATTACATGTCGGTGCCCGGATACCCGGCCGGTGACCAGAGTTTTAAACGGAACGAGGACGGACCGTGGACCCACAGCGCGAAGAATCAGGCAGGTGGCTTATAGTTTTTTCCTGACAGAATCCGATTCTAATCCTACCCACCTACTATAGGTACCCACATTCAAAAAAGTCACCGGTTTTTTTCTACTTCACGATCAAGTATCAGTGTATTTTTTTATTAATTTATACGAACAATTTTTTTTTTTAAAAATTACTCGGCATACCACCGGACCTCTCTAGGCTCCGGGCACCTGGACAATAATGTCCCAGCTCTCCCCCGTCTCACGAGACCTGTGTAATACGAATGACATGTGTTCACTGGGCGAATGACAGATTCGCCATGGGAATAATCGGTTCCCCAGACGAATGACAAAGGGGATGGCAGGTTCACCAGATCAATTACAGAGGTTCACGAGGCGAGCATAGGCGTACGGGCCCGATGGATGTTGGGGGGGGGGGGGGAAACCCGAAACGTCCGAAAAAATTTCCGTTTACAGAGGGCGTCGTGGAGCTTACCGTGTAGGGGCCTCCCCAAGAAAGTTTGGAAATTTGACGGCCGCAAACGCGTTTTCCTGCCATTCCAGTCTGTGATTACAGCAATTTCAATGTGTTCCATTATAGCTCAATTTGGGTGGCTGACCTGAATTCTAAACAATCAATCGTTTTGTCCACGCGGTGTATGGGGCTCTCGCCCTCCCCGAGAATAGTTTGAAAATCAAAGTTGTCCAATGGTTTTGCAACCGAAGTCCTACTCTATGTCGACCTGAATTCTAACCATCCAATCAGACTGTTAGAGCTGCATTCACAAATATCAATGCTCTAAAAAATGTCGCACCAAGTAGTATGGCTCAAGACAAATGTTTTAATCCATTGTCAGTTTAGTACAAATTCGCGGTACTCAAATAAAAGAAAAGTAGAATTAGTGTTTTATTAGAATTCTGGCACTATTTTGCCAACTCGATTATATTTTACCAAACAGTGTGGCCTCTGACAATGTTTTAATCCATAGTCAATTCAGCACAAATTCGCGGTATTCAATAAAAAAGACTTTGGGCACTTTATTTTGCTAACTAGATTATATAATAATTTTTTGTCCACTTTACGCGTTTACCCGAAAAGTCAGATTGCCCAAAGTTAGGGGGCAGCTGCATCACCCCCGCATGCTCCTCACCCCCACCCCGGCCTGCCTCGTATGACCAAACAGAATGACAGGGGTTCACCAGGCGAATGATACAGGTTCATCAGGCGAATGAAGGGAATGACAGAGTTCACCAGACGACACAGTTCCATCAGACAAATGACTAAGATGAGTGGTTCATAAGACGAATGAGAAAAAAAGAATGACATAGGTTCACTAGACGAATGATAAAGCAAATACCATTATACGTGTCATTCCTTTTATGATTCTCTGTCATTCACATGATTAACCTTGTCAACTTCTGTATTATTCATCTAATGAACCGCTGTCATTCCCCTGTCACTCATCTACTGGGGCTTTGGCATTCATCCAATTCACTTTGTCATTCGAATGGTGAACATGTCATTCCGTTCGTCATTCGTCCAGTGGGTCCCTGTCATCTAGTGAACCTCTTGTAATTCCCTTGTAACTCATCTACTGGGGCTTTATGTCATTTATCTAAACGTCTGGCATTCCCTAATTTGGTGAACCTGCCATTCTTCGAGTGAGCCCCTTCATTCTCTACGTCATTCGGTTGGAGAACCTGCCATTCATTCTTTCACTTGTGAACCCCTGTCATTATCCTTGTCATTCGTCTGGTGAACCTATCATTCCAGTGAGCCTCTGTCATTCTCTTTGTCATTCATCCAGTGAACCTGTTTTAATCTTGAGCCTTTGTCATTTCTATATATCTATATATTCTCTCGTAATGCTAGCAAGGAGCCGCGGTGGCTCAGTGAGTAAGACTTAGACTCGCTAACCTGTGGGTCTTGTGTTTCATCGCGATTTTCTGGCGCCCCCCTCCCCCCGTTGTCAGTGGTGTGGGACGGGGAGCCGGACACGTGTATACGTATAGTCTTTCGGATGGGACCCAAAACCGGGGGTTCCGTCTACACATGGCGTATGCCCGTCTTCATATAGCCCAATCGGTGCAGAAAAGAAGGAAGTTGAACCCCATTTCATTACACTAGTTCCATAAAATAATTAAATAGCGTTGGCCTACAGGGAGAAACTATTGTTTCGAAATTTCTTGTCATTCGGTTATCATTCGTCATTCAGATTAGGGAGTCCCCTGTTTTGCTTTAAACTTCAAAAATTAGTATCACAGGCAAATTGATTCACAGTGAATATTCGCTTGGCCGCTACAATCACTGAAAGGGATGGCACCGGGGCGAGTTAATTAGCTCTCGATATTTACTTTTTTTTCTTCTTCAAACTAAATTCTAAAACTATTTTCTAAACTATTATGATAAAAAAAATAAATGTATTGGAAGTATATCTGGATAAAAAATATTTCCTATTTTTGTGTATTTTAAGAATAAGATATTTTTTATGGTTCTGCCTATAGTCTGCCTATTTCCTATTTTTGTGTATTTTAAGAATAAGATATTTTTTATGGTTCTGCCTATTGTCTGCAATGAGGGAGAGCTAGTGACATTTCTGGCATTCCTTCTTCGAATTTCAACTGCCGAAGGATCTTGTATGTGTATAGTTCCTTCAGGAACGGTCCCTGATCAGACCCTGTCCGCTGACCGTTCCAATCCGTCCCTATATATAACTGCAATATGAAAATACCGCGCTACCCCATCCTCGCCGACTATTTTTAACAGTGAATCTTCTTTGTTCACCAAAAGGAATCATTTTTCGCTACATCTGACACAAATTTATAATAATTCAACACAATTTTTGAGTAGAATTTTGCGATTGTTAAAATACAGAAGAAAATACGTTTGAACAGATCAGCTATTACGAGACTCGAACATGCGCAGACCGAATGTTTTTTTAATCGCAAAATTATACTTGAAAATTGTGTTGAATTATTATAATTTTGTGTCAGATATGGCGAGACATGATTCATTTTGGCGTAAAATAAAGAATCACGGTGAAAAATAAAAGGTAAGGATTCCAAAATAGCCTTAGAACAGAGGTGGCGAAGAGCGGTATTTTCATATTGCAGCTATAATTAAATAGGGAGGGAGAGGAATGACCATCCTCATGCGCACCACCCGATACACTCGGTTGGGAACCGGGAGTAAAAAAATCCGACTGATATCGCTCCACGCTAGATTTCGGACTTAACCGCACAACCACCGCTGCTCCCTTCAGAGGTCGAGAATAGAGTCAGAACAATTCGGTCTACAGTTATTTAAAAAATATTGTGTACTTCCAGAGCCAAGAAATTAAGTAAAACAAGCACGTTCTTCTGTTTCGTGATAAACAGAAATGTGATTCCTAAGGGATTAAAGTACTTGTAACGATTCAATCCCCATATTAATTATTCTCGTTTGAAAACTAACGAAATGAACAGTAAACGTTTTAAATAATTATGTTCAGTACCAATGAATAGAAATCACAGTCAATTTCCGGAACTTAGGAAATCATTGAAATCGTTGTTTTATAGAACCATCAGAGTTAAGACAAATTTTGCTTGATGTTACTTGAATCATGGGGGATTAGAGGTTAATGCGTACGGCTTCGGATCATACGGTCTGTTATTGAGTATATATAACTGAAGCAATGTATCGGTGAATATATTATTGAATGAATGCAAGGAAAAATTAAATACAAAAATTCATCACTATTATATATTCCATAAGGCTGTGCCCGGGCGAAACTGGTAGCGGTACGGACTAACCCAAAGACGATAACAATTGGTCACCTATGACCCACACTCACTCAAACAGTCAAACTATTTAATTTACATTGTAGTATAGATCATATACATTAAAATGGCTTGGATCTCGGTGTAAAAACTGATCCGTTGGCTGGCACACTAATCCCACGCATCTTTTTTACGCTGCATTCTAGCAGTAATTGTGCCAATTTATTGGAAGAGAGTAAAACATGGCCCTGGTCAACTTAAACTTAAAGAAAGTAAAGGTTTTTTTTTTTTAACAAAATCTGAAATTTCCTCAGAAAATCAATGGATGTCTGGTTGCTGTATACTCTTGGATATGGGCAGAAATTTTTGTTATTTATTGCTATCTGGGTACAGTGTCTGAATGAATAAAATATACTAATTGGTTGTTCTGAGATACGTATGACATTATCGACACAGGACCACAATAAAATTGGCGTTGTTTGGTTGTCTGCTATTGTTTTGATAACCACTTATAGTTTATTAATTTCCATTGAGATTTCATCGATATGGCAGAAGTATTTAATTATTTACACCACTTTTAATACCATTATCCATTTTATCTAGGCACAAGCCCATACTTGACCTTTACTGTATGATGAAACACGACGAAGATTGACAACTTTATATGTAGATTGACAGGAAAATATTAAATGACAAAACTAATAGATCTGTTTGTACAAGCGGGTGTAGTTTAATCATTTTTGATTATTTAATTCTTTTATGTGCAATTCAAGCAAAAAACAAAAATACTATAAAATCAAAGAAATAATGCATAAGAATTGGAATGATGACAAACTGAGTACATAACACGTTCACATAAACAAGGACTACTCAACATTGAATTTTAAAAAGGGTTTTGTGGGAATTTCATAATTACAAGATAGGAAATAAATTTGATTTGAACGTGTCGATCTGCTATGAACACATTAATTTAATGATTTAAATATGAGTATACTAATAAAATATCTAAAATACAAGAAGATTGCACTAAACAAAATATTTGAAAACTGCATAAAATAACGAAATGAAATGAAATGGAGTTTAACGTCCTACTGTTCTGCTCCGACTGGGCTAATGAAGACGGGCATAGGCCATACAGTGTGCTATTGGTGAAATTTTGCCCGAACAGCGGCGCTACGGTCTGCTCTTATATCGAATTCCAACTGCCTAGGGATCTTTAATGTGCACGTCAATGTGTACAAGGGACCTCGGTTTTACGTCCCATCCGATCGACTAGACAGCTGTCCTTGTCCTGCATCACTGACAAGGGGACACCACGCCGGAAAATCCCGATGAACTTTCTCGGCCAACACCGGGAGCGAACCCGCGACCTCCAGTCTAGCGAGCCAGCGTCTTACCCACTTAGCCACGCACAAGATAACCAAATAACAGAGAAATGTCAACATTAAATTCGAAGAAGTTGGCTATCCATGCCAAAACTTCCTTCATATTCACAGTACGTCAGAAGGCTAAGAACCATTTTCTTTATTTAAATCTAACAAAAATAAGTACTGCAAAGTGTTCTTCAGTAATTTAGATAACATTTTTACCTCGATGTTCATGGATACAACTGAGTTATCTTTCAGTCGATTATAAGGCAGTAAAATAGAACTGTCATGATATCAATATAGAAATTAGTGTTAACTTCAGATTCCATAACGTTTGGATTGATCGATTTTAATTATTTTTGGACTGCTTTTTTACTGCGCATGGTATAAAGGTCTTCTTGTGCCCTTTAGTCTATAAATTTTCACATGGTAAAAGATTTTTCATATATTTCATTTCACGTTTTCAACGAATGAAAATGTTTTTCACCCGGGCGGAAATAGTTCACCAACATTGAAGGGGGTCAGGTGGTGGTAACTGCCACTCGACACATACATCTTCTTGAATGTTCCAGCCTGGTCCCCCATTGTCAGTGCTGCAGGGTGGAGGATCTAACAAGAAACCATGCCTTACAGTAAAAGAACCCTTGGCATTTGGAATTCAGACGTTAAACCCCGTTTCATTTCATCAAATAATATGGCCACCAATCATGTCTTTGTGGTATACTTTCATACGTATTGTATTGATTGCATTTGCACTTTGTTTTACTTGTTTCTTCAAGCATTTTTTCGCTGTCCCCATTCCGTGCGAGTTCCCGTATAAGTGAAATTGCTTCATAAGATAATATTCCATAAGAACACTATTTTTAACATTTAACCTTTGTTAGCTAAATTATAACAGTAAATCACGAACCACAGTCTTGTTAATCTAATTCCAACTGGGAGTAACGGTGGCATGCTAGACTTGAGGTCTCTGGATCGTTCCCGGTGTTGGCCCAGACAGTTCCTCGTGATTTTCCGGAATGGTTTCCTCTTGTCAGTGCGGTGCAGAGCCTGACAAAGACGACTGTCTAGTCGTTTGGAAGGAACGAAAAACCGTGGTCTCGTGTACACATAGGCGTGTACGTAAAAGACCTCTTGACAGCTCGAAATTGATATAAGAGTAGGCCGTAGCGCCGCTGCACTTGCAAAATTTCCCTCATACCATACTGTCTTGTCGAAGTGAAGTTTAAATCTCAACCCCGTCAACTACCAAAAATGTTTTTATCAAAGGTGTGTCTTTTGGGAGTTAGGAACAGTTTGTTTGAATAATCTAGAGGGATTCAGGTTATAATGAAATATATGTTATGTGGTTTTTATTTTCTGAAAATATATAAAAGATGCCATTCCTTGAAACAGTAAGACAGTGCCTATAATATACAACTGGTATATAGAATATTAAACCAAGTGGGACTTACAATATGTACATTCACCACTGACTAAAGGCAATACATATAGTTCTTATGAAATATTAATACAACTTTTTTATGAATATGCAACAAAAGACTCGTGGCACCGTCGACATTTTATAATTATTGATTGGATCTGAACACATTGACAGCCAAGTTGAAGTGCTGTAAGGTACTACAAGAGATGCAATGACAAGATAGTTTACACTGACAAGTTTCTATACAGGGAAATGTTTTGACCAATCATTAGGAACCGTGGGATGCTTCGTTTCGGTATATAAAATGCAAGAATATGAAACTTCAAGTGCCTAAGAAATACAACAAACACTTCAAAGGTTACCGCCATCATGAAGTTGTATTTTTTGACGTTGGCGATTTTTGTAAGTTCCATTTCGACAGCCAAGTCTTTCCGTACTGGTAATGACACCGATCCTTATTTACGGCCGACATTACGTGCCCTGCGAGCGGCACTTCAGTTTTTAAGAAGGGAACATCGATATATAAATTTGGATGCGGTTATAGGAACTCGAATTGTCGAAGGTAAGTGTTTTCATTATTCTGAGGTTTTTTTTGTTGTTGTTGATAATATTTTAGAAAATAAATGGAGAGTTTCAGATAGCATAATTGCTTTGAAATTCTAAAATATTTATTACATTATTTGAAAAGTTACATGACTTATTATGTGTTGATTTGTTTTGAGAAGTGGGTGTCTGTCTATACGGAATACGTCCACCGTTCAGATAATACAGATTTCGTATTATTCAACAGTCCATATATGTTAAAAACAAGAAAAATAAATAACTTGACCTCCGCTTAATCAGCCGAAACTAAAATTTAATCAGATAACTTATTACAAAAAAAAATATCAGATCAGCCCAATTTAACATTTTATTTTAAACAAATCAAAGAGATCTGCATATATTTCAATTAACAGTAATGTTGTACCATTTAATTTGAATTGTCGGTTATCCCTACAATGTTTTGGTAAATGGTCGGTGGGGAGGGCGGATGAAGCTGAAGTTCGGCGAATTATTCCACGTCCCCATATTTATTTACCCCCCCCCCCCAGAACTTCCTCCCACGAGGTCGTTGGAACTTCTAATACTGCGGGGTTCCAGATATAAATGAACAAACCATATCAGTAATATCTAGTTTTGATCTTTGTGTCGAAATAGTCCACTGTAAAATTAAAATCAAAGTTGCAGATGAAAATATTTCCCAAAATGTTTTGCGCTTCTTTTATATTGACTTTTGTTCATTTTCAATTTCGACATTAGCTCCCTGGGTCACACAATCGTCTCACTAGTCTATAGTTCTTCCGAGACAAACTGTAATGCGAATGACCAACAAGTATGAAAAATCGAGTGACTCGGGGCAGAGTAAGGACCAACGGTAATTTCACAGAATATCCCGAAGTTGATGTTTTTAAAATAATATAGAATTATTTTTGTCCCTTGATATATATTGGATGTGTGGGGACTAACAGATAAGGTTACAGAGCATCCCGATCTTTGCCCGAAGTTGATGATTTTTTTTTTTTGTTTAAGAATTTTTAGATATTTTTGTCCATTTAATGCACATTGGGTGGGAGTTATAACCTACAACTGGCTGTAAGATTGTATAAAAATGGGTTTCCTGCTTGAGTTAGAAATACATACGTTATAGTTTAGGGGTGAATAGACAGCCAGTGGTGTTTTCCTTCTGTAGTGCACTTTGTACACATGATTGCAATATTTAAGTCCACTGCTGACAGCCGTAACGGATACGCAAGGGTAAAGCCAAATTTGTTTTGATCAATTGGCGTTTTTGATATACTTTGATTCCCATGGACGTATCCGTATTATTAAATCAAATAATTTGATCCGCGCTCCGGGGCCACTTTGGCCGATTGGATATTCTTCTTATCTATAGAGCACGGAAGTACTCAAATATATATACATTTTATAAATTCATTTAAAATAGAGATGTGACGTCATCCTTTGGTGTCGGCGTACCATTATTTTCAATAATGTACAGGGCAACTTGCCAATCGTACATTATCTATACTAGATGAAATATTGGACTCGCGTGACGTATTTCATTGAAAAGCACGTGCGGGATAGTGTCTGTATTTTAAGTTGTTTAATGGTCTCGAGCTAAAGACATTGCGTAATATATTGAAACAACACTCGGCTAACGCCTCGTGCAGTATCAATATATTATTTAATGTCTCGCTCTCGACCATTAAACCATACATAAACTGTTTGATTTGTGACTCTACCGGTATTCTCAAATTCGTGAGCAAATATCAAAATGTTAAAAAGAAAATGGCTAGCTGTTGTTTCCTAAAGTGAGAGTGGTATGGTGTATTTTTTATTCGTCAACATTTTCATGTGGACTTATATTGTCGTCACCCCTGTCAGTGCGTCCGCCTGTCCGTTCACATTTTGTTTGTGGACACTCTATCTACAGGTCACAATTTTTATCTGATTTTGACGAAACTTGAAATATAGGTTTATCCCCCAAAGATCTCGGTAACTTCTTGGATTATGACATGATTGTACGAAAAATCACGTTTTTAGCTTGTGGCCGCTCTAGAGGTCCCAATTTTGATCCGATTTTGATGAAACTTGAAATGTATGTTTATAACCCAAAGATCTCGATTTCTTTCGATATTCACGTATATCGGACAGTAACTTCCTGGACTATGTCTTTGGCCCCTGATGGTACGAAAAATCGCCTTTTTAGCGTGTGGTCCCTCTAGAGGTCTTAATTTTTATCCAATTTAAACAATCGTTCGAATTTCGATAAAATCGGACCGAAACTGCCGGACAAAATGGCCGCTCCCTGTACGCAAATAGTGTTAAAATATGTAATACTAGAAGAATGCCCGGCTTCGCTCGGGGGTCATAACCCCGAAACCGAAAGTGGTAGACTAACGCCACCTGGCCTATGTTACTCCCCGGTCCGAGCTACCTCCATACCCCAAATTTCAGACTCGGGGCAGACCTAGTGTAGCCGCCAACAACCCCGAACAGACAGACAAACGACAGTCACAAATATTAGTATAGATAGATAGATCAAGGTTGTGGACCCTCTCAAGGTCATAATTTTTATCCGATTTTTATGAAACTAAAAACATATGTTCATATCCCAAAGATATCGGTTCTTTTCGATATTTCCGCATATCGGACCGTAACTTCCTGGATGATGGCCCCTGATTGCATAAAAAAAAAATGGCGATTTTAGCTTGTGGACCCTCTAGAGGTCACAATTTTTATCCGATTTTAAAAATCGTTTAAATATATCATCGTTACACCCTGCTCATAGGGACAGGAAGACAGAGAACAAAAGCCAGGTGACGTATCGAATCTAAATCAAACCCATAGATAGAATTCTAAAACGCAACCAGTCCAAACACGTTTCCAAAATGTCAACTGAAAACAGAGTTACAGTGCATGTTCTAAATGCTTCGTTCACGGTTGTCAAGTATTGCCGATACAAGGCTGTGCAATTTGCCATGGGTGAAAGATTATTCATTGGCCATGGAAAATAGCAGACAAATAATCCTTTGTATGCAATTGACTTGACTTGGTCGATGACTACTATATATAGAAATGAAATGGAGTTTAACGTCCTACTGTTCTGCTAACTACTATATATAGAAAGTAACGGTATACATTTAACGCATGAAATAATACCCGACATTGCTAATGATTCGTTGCTATTACTAAGATTGACATTTTAAATTATTTGACTAATTGTATTACTCTTTTAAAATAAAACATTGGTAGATTAAAATAAAACTTTTATTATTTTTTTTTAAAAAAAAAAGAAAGAAAAAAAGATGCCATAGGTCAAAGTAGAAAACAGATATTATTTTCCATTTCCTGTTATAACATCAACTTGTGCTACAGGCTATTCAAATATATATTTTTTTTTTACCTGGCAGCTTATCGTTTAGAAGACTGATTAAATCTCTCAAAGCCCTTTATATACTTCCTCCCTGAAATCCATTATAATTATTATTTTATATTAAAGTAGCTAAGTCTCTAACTCAATATCATCCAAAATCTTCAACATTGAAAACACGATTTATTTGTCAAATTAAATCAACATTCATGTTGTGATCTTACCGGAAAAAGATGGGCTTTTGATATCCAATGTTTAAGACAAAATAAACATTTTACCATTGGTATACGAATCGTGTACCATAATGCGCTTCAGCTCCAGTTGTACCAAGAGACTCGAGGGACGAGGCTAGACACATTGCACCAAATCAAACGGCGTATGTAGACTGGAATAACCAGACGCTAGAAATTTGCACTCGCTTGAGACTGCTGGCTTATTTCGCCGAACAGAACTGATTTGAAATTGGAGTAAAAACGGAAACCATTGAATGTAAATCAGTTTATATACATTCATATTACAGTATTATATGCGTTGCGACCCACTTTTATCAATTTCTAGGTCCCAAATGTTAGCGATTTAGCTCCTTTAATTACTAATCTAAACGACGAAATCTTTGCTGGGGGTTATTAGTCAGATTTTGAGCATCGTTTCGTAACATTTGCCTGCAATAGAAGAAACAGCCCATTCTAGTGTGGTCCCACCTTGTCAGTGGTGCAGGACGTAGGGCCTGGCTAGGTCAGTTTCTATTCGTTCGAATGGGACGAAAAAAAAACCCCACCGTGTACACGATGGTGTGCACATAAAAAAAAAACAACTTTACATTTGGAATTCGATATAAGAGTAGGTAGTAGCACCACTGTCCGGGCAAAACTTCCCTTAAAGCAAACTGTATGTCGTACGGTCGTCTTCATTAGCCCAGTCGGTGCAGAAGTAGTAGATTGGGTGGAGCCTAACCGTGCAATAACTAGACATGTTTAATGTTATTGCACACTTTTGCTGGTTTACGCTAGTTTTAGTAGAAATCATATAGAGAAGTGGGGTGAGTTTTCTATGCAATAACAACAAACATGTTGAGCAGGTGTCAATGTTACAAGTCATTTATAGCACGCTTCATTCGTTAACAGGTTTAACACCGCGGCCTAAATCTTACTTGAGCAACACCGATGATGATGACGGGTGTTTAAAACTGTAGAGCGTATAAGAAATGCTCACGACTCACGAGAGTGTCCAGTATATTATACACTTTGACTTGAGGCTCCCTAGATCTCAAGGCCTCACTGGGTTTTCAAAACGGATGACTCTAATGACAGTATATAATTCTGTTTCGTGGATTTTGTCAATGGAAATGAAATGAAATGAAATGAAATGGAGTTTAACGTCCTACTTTTCTGCTCCTAACCTGGGCTAATGAAGACGGGCATACGCCATACAGTGTGCTATGAGGGAAATTTTGCCCGGACAGCGGCACTACGGCCTACTCTTATATCGAATTCCAACTGCCAAGGGATCTTTTACGTGCACGCCAATGTGTACACGGGACCTCGGTTTTTCGTCCCATCCGAACGACTAGACAGCTTTCCTTGTCAGCCCCTCCGTCCTGCATCACTGTTTTGTCAATGGGGAACGTGTCAAAATAACTGATGTTCCTATGACAAAGTATAGTATATCATTTGAATAAAACAAGTAAACCCTGCCGTGCGCACAACACCCATTACATACACTGCGAGACCATCTCTCTACCGATTCGCAGTAAAAATCTTAAGCTTTACTTTATTTTATTTTTAACAATATAATATTCCAGACATCCTAACAAAATCATCAATGTATATGATTTGTAATAAGAACAATGACAACAATTCACTGCTTCCACACCCAATAACATAATGGTTAAATAAATTTATTAAATATTAATGATTTCCATTTAATGAAATCATAAACTCGTGCAATGGAAGAGAATTCTATGGCATTATCTATTATCTATACATGTCTATATAGACAAAGAGTATTTGAAGTCAAATTGAATGGAAGCAGGCTTTAGAATAGACTTGAGAAAACATTGTTTCAAATTCAGAAATATCAGTTGACATCTAATTAGAAGTTTGTTTCATTTATCCCTTTAAAGGAGCTAAGTCTCTATCTCAACATTTTCCATAATATTCAAAATTAAAAACACGAATTAAAATTCAATATTAGTCAGTTTCAATAAATATTGATGTTGTTATCTTGTCGTGAAGGATCCTAACATCTAATATTTAAGACACAATTAACATTTTATAATCATTACGTACACGAGTCGTGCATTCTATGGTTTCGAATGACATTTTGTAATGAACTAATAAAAACATCCTACAAGACATGTGGAAGTAATTAGTAATGACTGATTCACAAACGATAAAATAGAAATAAAAAAACGTATAGAATGGACTGAGCAAGCGTGAACGACTGCCGTTCAATTTGAACTGTTCACGTATTTCACCGAATATAATTGATAAGAAATTTCAATATTTGCTTCAAAAATAGAATTTAAATCACTTTACATACATTCATAATACATTGATAGAACCATTTTAGTTTATTTCAAGGTTAAAAAGAGCCACACACTCTTTAACGTTGTCATGTGTGTGTAATACTTTATTTTACGTATATGATTCATCCTGGGCGAAAGTGTCTTAGGATTTTCCAGTCCTTTTTTATTCTCAATGGTGGCAAGCACCAAAAAAAAAACAAAAAAACTTTGACTGTTCAAAATTTTCCTCATATAGCACACTCCATAATATTATGGCGCATGCCCCTCTTCATTATCCCAGTTGATGCAGAAAAGTAGGACATTAAACCCCATTTCGTCTATTCATTAATTCATCTAAACACTGAAAAAGGTTAAGAATAAGACATTTAATTTGAATGTAGAATACTTGTACATTTTTTTTCTCTTAGAAAGATGTGCAAGTCTACATAAATACACCAACCATAAAACACATTCATTTTCTGATTTCCCTCAAGTCGTTTTTTTTTTTTTTTTTTTTTTGGTTTTGTTAGATTGGCAAATAAAAGATGGAAAACGTATCATAGCAGGAAAAAAAATATCATTTCGGTTCTAGAGGTAATAAAGCAATAAAATTGATGTCTTGCATAAGACCGTAGAGAGCTCTTTACACGTTTCCAATTTGATCGTCCCGAATCATCTGATGAGCAACAAGTTTATGACCATATTAAAATAGTAGTGTTTTCATCTCCAAAGATTGATGCCGGTTGTCTCCCGAAGTTCTAAAATATTAAGTGGATTAAAACAAAAAAAAAAGACCTTATGAGGTTGTAGATTAAATCATGATATTGTTTGGGCATCGACTATCCCCAATTAGAACTGCAAAGCGGTGATTTAAGATCAACAGGCTTAGAAGAGAGAGAGAGAGAGAGAGAGAGAGGGGGGGGCTTGACATCCACTCGACACAAACACACACGTAAAGCTTTGTTGTAATAAATTATAATGTAAGGAAATAAACTTTAGTAAATAATATAAATACTATAGATTAATCACACAACTGGAATGCGCTCAATACAGAGCATATATTCACAGTAACTTTCTTTGTAGCCAAATATTTATTTGTTTCAAATAAACTAATTTATCATTCATATTGCATAACATAACATTATCACTTGTTGTTTTAGCTTTGGTGTTACATACAAGATTAATAGTTCGGAAGCTCAGTGACATTTCATCAAAATATTGAATCCAAAAACTTTAAATTCTAAAACACATTTTACCCATAGATATAGTTTTTATTAATTATTGCCTTGGGTGCTTAAATCAATAAAGAATTCAATTTAAAGGCCTTTCATTTTAAATTATTATCTGAAATATTCTAGATATAATTTCAACATAATACTATACCCGATGGTAGAAAACCAAGATGCCGCGTTCAAACTGAAATGGATTGGCGTAAAAATCCTTCATGCAGTGGTAGGCAAACTACGGCCCACGGGCCAAATCCGGCCCGCGAAGCCTTGTCATCCGACCCGCCAGACCCTTCCACTACATCTGAAAATTTATGAGTAATTTTATCTCTAAATGAAATAGAAAATCGAACTTGCTTATTGTTGGGCCCAAATCAACAATCTTTGTAGGTCTATTTGTAGCTTCCAGCGCCACTCAATGACGTAGTTCAAAGCCGTATGTAGCTGTCTAATAAGACGTCACTTGACTTGGGCCTACTTTCATTTTACGTTATTGTTTGATTTGTTGACATGCTTTGATTTTTCTCTGAATATAACTATGGGGTCGAATAAGAAGCGCAGAAAAGGTGCTTTGTTCCGTATTACTCTATGCAATAAAATGACATTTCATAATTCTTGTTTGGACCTCGCTTATTTGTTTCAAAACTGTGTTTGGCCCTTCACTTAAAAAGTTTGCCCACCTCTCTACTGCCCATCGCTTCCTACATGCTGCAGATCAAAGATTTGTATAAGATTCAAAGCTTTTTCTGTATGCCAGCGCTATCTCAGAGTTAGATGTTTTGATCCTTGTTTTAAAACATATTGCAGTAGGTAAAGTCTTTCATTCGCCTCACACCTTTTACTACCAATCGTTGTGGGCAATTCAATTCCAAACAGTCTGCAGTGACTAATTCAAACTGTACATTATACTTTAACAGAAAACCAGATTTACGAGAATCTTCAATTCAATTTACATAAATTCCATCCATGAGCCCAAGATCAAGAAGTATCGGGCAATCAGTAATCAAATTGTCACTTTACCAAACCATATTGAAATTCTATCTCTATATGTTGACACATCAAATAGTTTACAAAGTTAAAGACGTAATCAACCATGGATACTGTCGAGACATTTTATCCCATTCTCTTTGAATAAAATGGTCTATAAAACCAAGAAAAAAATTGCAAAAGTTTAACGTCTTACTTTTCTGCACAAAACCAAACAAAGTGGATTGAATCATATCAAGTTTATCATATATAGTTTATGATCTCTGAAGTAACGGGCAAATTTTTAGCTCCTTGTTATGAAGCCTTCCAGGCGGGTGGGGGTGGGCGAGGCCCCCCCCCCCCCCTGCTCATCTACATAAATTTTTTGGGTAAATCAAAACTTTTTATGAGAAAAGTTTCCCGACCGTGTGCTATATCCTTTATCGTCAGATGTATAGGAAAGGATGGGTACTCAAAGCACGAGATAATGATATAGACATTATGTGATATCACAATTAATTGAATCACAATGTCATTGTATTAATTCATAATAAAAATTGACGTCAAACGAGATGTTGAATTTCTCTGTTTAAAAAGCTCAATGTGTATGTATAATATATACGCCAAAATGATGATAGAGGCAATGCGGGAGGGGGGGGGATACATTGTCTCCGGAACCTGGCAAACCCCCTCCTGCAAAAATTCCTGGATCCGCCCCTGCCTTCTGTATATAACCACTTTCATAATACACATTTTGTTTAGGAATCGCGTAAAATCAATTTTCAAAATCTTATTCTTATAGGACAGATGAAAGTATTACTTGATCGATTAAGAAAGAAATCGCCAAAACTTCAGTTACCTGTTGATGTCTTAAATGGCATGGAAGAAATCCGACTGCTGTCCAGATATGTCAGTGAAGCTGCAATACCTTTTATTGCTCTTAGAGATACAAAATACTTTGCAAGTAAGTTAATCGAGTAAAATCTTTGTAAGTATTATTATATCATGTCCCGCGCACCCTCATTATTCCGTATATATACCGAAATTCGTTAATAAAAGGAGCACAAAGAAAATTGTAGATATCAATACAAATATTTCTAACAGACATATTAGCCTATAATCGTGTAAGAAAAATAAAATAAAATATTTCAGGCAAGGACTTCTTTAAATTTGAAATATCTTTAAATATATATTTTTTTGTATTTCCTAGGAATAGGTGACATATTATCAAGAGGATTTTGGGAGTTGAAATATGAAAGTAGAGATGTTGATAGTGATAGTGAAACGTGGCCATACACAACGGATGAAGCTATAACAGAGAAAATGTCAGATGACTGCTTAACAGAATATTTTGGAACAGGGTAAATATCAGAGCTTGGTCAGATTCAAAGAAAAGTTTTCCAGATGATAGAAAGTTTATTTAAAAAATTGATATTAACTCTATAATAATTTAAAGGGTACACCTTCCTGATATATCACAACACTCTTAACATGGTTCATCAATGAAGCAAAATTCAAAATTATTTAATAGATATCTTAATAATTATGTAACAACATTCGACTATTATTTTATTTTTGCTAAAACGACAATCATCAAACTAATGTGACAACGTAAAAGCAGCTGTGTTATGCCTTTCTGAGTTTATCTTTCCAAAGTTTACACATGCCAAAATTTAGCATCATCATACTAATTCGCGGTTTTATTCTCATATTCTCCCCAAGGTGACACAAAAAATGATTTATTGTTCAGTATAAGTATCTTGCCCTTCATAGTGTGCTCCAAAATTTGATTAAAATTTAAGAAGAAAACAAACATTCCATGTTTAATATCCTTCCTTCATATTTACATCCTGTCACGAATTCTACTAATAATTAAATTATCCTCTAGAAATTATCCTATTCCTATTTCGGGTTGGTAAAGTAATGAAAATATGTTTTCATAATAACGTGAACAAAGGTCGGGCGATTAACTAATTGGTGTTGAAGGCGGTTTCCATAATACAAATAAAAAGTGCGAGAACACGAGCGGTTAATGTGGCTTAAGAGAACAGCAGCGACGCGAATCTTCACGCAATGATAATTAAATAAATTAAAGAAGCCTGACGGCCTTAATGAGATTGAAAATTGTATTAAGGCGGCGACATATTTGTTGGAAGTAATGGACATTTTCAAGCCAAACCAGCAGGAAGGGATTAGGGGATTTGTTTAACCCAAATTAATTTTCCTACAAAGACAATGGACAAGAAAGAAAGGGTAATTGATGTCGTTGGAAAACATCGAGGGAATGTTAACTAGATAAGAAATCAGCCATTCCGCGGGACAAATTTAACTCTTTTCTCCAGTAGGACTTAACGCCGACCTTTCCAATTAATGTCTCGACTAATTACGAAAGACGACATGTTCTTATTTTTCCTCCATTTGATTGTATTTTTTTCTTCCAGGAAGATATGAAATATAATAAAATTGAGGATGGATTCTTATATCTTCTGTACATTATGAAATAATACAACATGAACCACTGTTAAGCCATCGATTATGCACTGATCTTAGGCATTATCTGAAGCTTTATATATGGAATGTTAACAAAATCCATTCCAATACTAAAGCTATTCACATTTAATGGGGTCATATATTGTCCTGTGTGTCCGTGATTTCCCATCATTGATTGACTTTGTGGTGATCCAATGAAGTTCAATCGGCACCAAACGAAAGATCAGTTGACTCAAGCCAATGGGAATTGCGCTGTCGATTGTACTGCTATTGAAATTACGGAGCCTAGCAAACACCATCTTTATCATGCCCTTAAATGTTTAGTTAGATTTTTCAGGGAAGTAAGGTACAGTATTTGTACATCACTATATTAATATGTATGTACTTTTTCAGGGGTAATCGAGACACATGTTCTATATCTGATAAATGCTGGCAAAGGATGACTAAACGAGGATATGCTGGTTACTCCTTGTCACATGAAGTCTTCTATCTACAAATTGGACAACAGGTATAAGAAACTCCACAACAGTTTCTGCATTTCACACTTTCATTCCTATTCAAGTCTTAAAAGGATAACGTTTAGTCGTACATGTGAGGCGCCGTGCAACGACATCTAGAATTCCAAATTGGATCGCAGGCCTATAATCGGGGTCAGACCTATAGTCTGTAAGCTTGTCTGTTCTAAAGTACTCTATATAGTCCGAAGGTCCGTTGGTCTGAAAATAGTTGGTTCGAAACTCTATTTTAATGATTCTAATGACATTGTACTAATCTTGGGCGGTTCCCTGTATAAGCCAGCATATATTAACACTATGTTAACAATGTCTTAAATTGGACAAGAATGGTTATGATTATGATGTAGATAGATATAAGGTAAATACCAGACAAAGTCAATGGTCAAACTTCACGATACAACAGCAAGTAATATATTATTGAATATTTCGGCCAATCCAATTAACATAGGTTAATATATTGACAGCTTGGAATGAGTCATGTTGATACTGGTCGACTTGGGACAAAACGACCGTTAAACAAAATTTTGAGGATCCTAGCTATACCAAGTATTGCACCCCTATAACACAGATTGACGTTTTCTTTTCGAACTAATTTCTTACTTTCAGTTTGGTTGTGTGAGTGAAATGGAAGCAAAGGTAGTCGCGTATAATCAACAAAGCATTGACAGCCTACAGTCAACCTTCTGTAAGGTTATTCTAGCCGAAAGCAATAAATATGCTAATGAAAACTTCCCTCATATAAAACAAGACTTATTCATGGAAGAAGGTAATTATAATCTCTGACCTTATCACACATAGTATCTCCAATCATATCTGGTTCACAGAACATGGCGTCTTGTTTCTAATCTTCCAGCAAGTCATATATTTAAAACGTCTTGCTTATACCAGCGAGTCATGTATACAAGACGTCGATATATAACCAGCAACTCTTTTCGATTGTACCTATAAAGTATTCTTTGATATTTTATCCTAAAGCATAACGATTTTCATGTTTTCTTAACAGCTGCTCTGTGTGGAATGCTTGGATTTCGTCAATTTTTCAACACCCAGTGGCTTCTCAAAATTTTGAGCTGGCAGGATCGCATAAGCGGATGTTACAAAGCCTCCGATGACGAAATACTAATCATGAAAGGTACCCTTATTGTTTATTTTATCTGTTTTATATTGTTGATTTAATGACCTTTAATCGTAAATATGAGAACGATGTGCTAACAATACTTGGTGGGAGTTGTCAGTAAAGGTAATCATAGAATTTGGGAATTGTCTATGAAGTCATCTTTCTGGGTAACCCCACATGTCTACTGGTGTAAAATCACTTCTAGGTCCTTTACATGCTAAACTTAGGGTGTCTGTTTACAGTTAGTTCCGCTTGAGAATAGACATTTTAAGTCCTAAATCGCCCATTTTAATCGAAAAAACTAAGTATATTTCGAGAATTTATTTAGTCTGTGTGTGTATGACAGATGTAAAACGGAGTAGAACTGCATTGTATATAGCGGCCATTTAATGCAGAACTCGAAGTATGAAGTTGCTGGATCTCTGTGTGAAGAATGGGTCCATTAGTACATGATGATCGAATCCTTAGCCCTAACCCAGGAATTTCATTAGACCACGGTCTAGTAGACGATAGAGGGCAGTGGCGAACATGCTCGCTTTTTACATTAATCCCCACTAAATTTCTTTTTCTACATAGTCCCCTCCGAGGTGTACACACTTTTGCCAACGATTTTGCAAGGGCTGGAAGCGGGTCAGGAAGAAAATTTCTCCAGCCACCCTAAAAATGGATAGTTCCTTTTTATACGTCCATCCGTCCGTCCGAACACAATTGTTTGTGGACACTCTACAGGTCACAATTCTTATCCGATTTTGACGAAACTTGAAGTATAGGTTTATCTCCAAAAGATCTCGATTGCTTTCGATATTGGCATGTATCGGATCGAAACTTCATGGGATATGGCCCCTGATTGTACGAAAAATCACGTTTTTAGCTTGTGGACCCTATAGAGGTCCAATTTTAAACCGATTTTGATGAAACTTGAAATGCATGTTTATAACCCAAAGATCGTAACTTCCTAGATTATGGCCCCTGATTGTACGAAAAATCGCCTTTTTTTAGCTTGTTGTCCCTCTGGAGTTCACAATTATTATCCGATTTTAAAACCCGTTTGATTATATCACCATTACACCGTAATGAAGGTTGACTACGAATTTCGTGAAAATCGGACCAAAACTGCCGGCCAAATGGCCGCCGCTTGTACGCGAATAGTGTAAAAATATGGTATACTAGCAGAATGCCCGGCTTCGCTCGGGGGTCAATTTTAATCCGATTTGGATGAAACTTAAAATATATGTTTTTATCATAAAGATCTTGGTTCCTTTTGATAATCCCACATGTACGCGAATAGTGTAAAAATATGGTATATCAAGGTTGTGGACCCTGTAGAGGTCACAATTTTAATCCGATTTGGATGAAACTTTAAATATATGTTTTTATCATAAGGATCTTGGTTCCTTTTGATAATCCCACATATCCGAACGTAACTTTATGGATTATGGTCCCTGATTGGTCGAAAAATCGCACCTGTAGAGGTCACAATTTTTTTATCCGATTTTAAAAACCGTTTAGATACATCACCATTCCACCATAATGAAGTTTGAATTGGAATTTCGGGAAAATCGAAATCAAACTGCCCGACAACATGTCCTCTCTTTGTACGCAAATTGTGTATAAGTAGGTAATACAAAGGTTATGAATGCTCTAGAGGTCACAATTTCTACCCAATTTTGATGAAACTTAAAGCATATCTTTATATTCCAAAAATCTCAGTTCCTTTTGATATTTGCGCATTTCTGACCATAACTTACTGGATTATGACCCCTGGTTGTACAAAAAAATCGTTTTTGTTTTTGGCTTGTTCTCTATCCATCTCTTGCAAAATGTGGGCATATCCTGCCTGACAGCCGCTGGTTCATTTTCGGAAACAGGTCTCATCCATGGTTACAAATCTAACCAAAAAATTATCAGGATCTGCTTCAAAACGGTGCAGATTGTCGCGGGACGACAGGAATCCGACACGTTTCTGATCAGCAGTCAAGAGTTTTGGCACCCATCTTGCAGAAACAATTGTCATTCCTAATTAGTTGGCGATTATGTGCTCAATCCACAACACAGGCAATATTTTCAGTAATCAATCGTCGATCAGCCATCACCATGCCATGCACTCGGGTAAATGTTTTCTTGAATGGGTGCTGTTCATGGCCTTCCAGGACGCGGCTCATCGTCAAGACTCTCTCCGCCACGTTTAAATCTTTACTGTGAAAAAAGAAGGGACATCATCCCCTAAAGTGGAGACCATGTAGGGATGTATCTGTGTTAAGGTTAGTCCCTTCAGTTGCAGGTACTTGATGATTGCCCTATAGCCTGTTTCTGGTAGGTTCACAAGATGGTCTAGTACGAAAATAATAATAACACTAGTTGCACGTCTTATGTCTATGGTTCATTCAATGGTTGTATTTGTTGGTGGTAAATGTGTGTTTCAACCCAATTGATCTATCCTTTTCGATCTATCCTTTTCAGCCAGCCATCGTATACGAACAGATGTGAGAAGAAAGACATTTTAAATATATTCAAATTAAGTAGGGTCGCTTGTACAAGAAAACACTGAAATTTAATTTTCACCTTTTGATTTTAACATGTGTCTTAAACAGCAGGTACCCATATAGTGTCAATAGTGCAAGGGGCCTTGGGTAACCCAGCATCGTTTGTTAATACCTTGACGTCAGACAGGGAGAAGTCTTTTTGACATTTAGTGATAGAATTGTCTGTAGATTAGTTGCCTTGGGGGAATTGTCTTTAGAAGAAGTCTCTTCTAGAGAGTTGTCAATGAACTGTATTTACTGTAAATTGTCCCTTAATTAAAATTTAAATGATTCCCTCTGTGAATATGTCACAAAATGGTGTCGTCATGGTGATAATTTTCAGAAGTATGATTTTGTATGTGCTATGATTGACTAACAAGTGAAGTATATCCATATACATGTAGAATATATCGTTGGGTTAGAATGTCAGTAGTATGATTGCCTTGACAACGTAGTTTGGGAGCGCTGTAAAGTCCTTTTTTATTAATTGTCACAAGCTAAATTAGTGCATAAGCTAGAAATGTTAGGATATACCCCTGAAAGCTCCATTTACAGCCAGTTTTTAAACTGACAAATGCTGTCGAATGTCAGCTCCTCCGCCACACCCGCACCCCATACTGAAAACCTTGTTAACGCTATAGAGGATGGATGCAGTTTTAACTGATTTATACCTTATGAAATTTGATCAGCATTCAAGTTTACCTTTCGGATAAGCTGACGTTTTTTTCTCAAGACATCGTATATACTTTATACCAGGGCTAGCTAAAAGTTCTTAGCCTACAAAGGATAGATCAATTTGGTTGAAACGAACTTCTGCCACCAACAAATACAATCATTGAATCAATCATAGACATAAAAACTGCAACTGTAGTTGTATTTTCTTCGTACTAGACCATCTTGTGAACCTACCAGAAACAGGCTATAGGACAGTCATCAAGTACCAGCAACTGATTCGGACTAACCCCAATACAGATACATGCCGACATGGTCTCCACTTTAGGGTATGGTACCCTTTCCTTTTCCACAGTAAAGAAGTGGGCTGCGGAATTTAAGCGTGGCAGAGATTCTTCACGGTGACCCGCGTCGAAGGCCATCAATAGCAACCATTCAAGGAAACATTATACGGGCGCATGGCATGGTGATGGCTGATCGACTATTGATCATTGAGCACATTATCGCCAACGAGTTAGGAATGACAAACGTTTCTGCAAGATGGGTGCCAAAGCTCTTGACTGCAGATCAGAAACGTGTCGGATTCCTGACGTCCCGTGACAATCTGCGTCGTTTGGAAGCAGATCCTGATAATTTTTGGTCAGATTTGTAAACATGGATGAGATCTGTTTCTAAAAATGAAAAAGGAACTAGTCGGTCGGCATTTTCCTAGTAATAGTGACTATTTTAAGGTGGATGAAGAACATTTTTTGCAACATCGTTAGCAAAAGTGTGTACACCTCGAAGGGCACTATATAGAAAAATAATCGACCTTGTACAGGTCTTTCACAGATAGGCTTAGAACTTTTCAGCCAGCCCTTCTATGGGCGCTTTGTCACTCATTGCGTAGTGTGTGCGTGTGTTACTTTGTTTTCTGACATTTACGTGTTGAATATGTTTAAAACATTTGACTTATCAGCATATACGGACAATGTTATTAGCTTTGTTTTTAATTATTCTGGACATGAATAAACACGTTTAGAAAAGTGCCTTTGGCTGTGTCAAGCCATGAATATTTTATTCGCAGGATCGTTTCCCACGAGAGTCTTTGGCGGAAATAATTCATCTGCCATGGGATATGCATCGAATAAAATACAAAGAGCAATATATTATTTTATTACGACATGGAAACCCAGTATATCATGAAACTTTCAATATGAATTTACACATAATTTAAGCCTTTATTCAAGACAATCTATACAGACTTAATATATATTTAAAGGGCGTGTGGCTCTAATCTGTGGAACCTTAAAATAGACGAAAATGGGTCTGAAAGCACATATTAATGTAATATGAATGGTTTATATTCAATTTTTATTTTTTTTTATTGTAATTTCTAATCAATTAGGCCTATGTTCTGTGAAATACGTGAACAATCCAAATTGAACGACAGTCGTTTACGCATGCTTAGTCCATTCTACACGTTCTTTAAAATTATTATTTTGTCTTTTGTGAATCAGCCATTACTATTTACTTCTGCATTGTCTTGTAGTGTGTTTGTTTGTTCATTACAAATGGCGGCCGAAACCATAGAAATTACATGTCTCGTATATACTGATTTTGAAATCTTCATTATGTCTTAAATATTGAATATTAGGATTCCATATTTTAACGGCAAGGTAACAACATCACTTGATTGAAAAAGACCAATATTTAATTTTAATTCATGTTTTTAATTTCGAATTTTGTGGTAAATATTGAGTATGGGGTTTAGCTCCTTTAAGAAAAGATATGTATGATTGGTCATAACATGCTGCTCTCTCCAAATGAGGAACTGTTAAGGACATTAAACCAATTTGTTTTCATGTCTTGTCTCTACAAAGATCGTACGGAGGATGTCAAAAATAAACAGCTTAGAATATGTAGCTTAATAGAATTGAAATACATAATTAATGTATGCCTCGTGTTTACTTACAGCTAAAGATATGATGGTATTAAATGGACAACGTGTTAAAAGGGAAGAACGAGAGCTTCCTGACAAATGTTTGTGTCACAGAACCACGGTTGCTGCTGCTGCTCTAGGACAATATGTCCGCTATATCATAGAGGCATGGGAAGAAGACCAAAAGCGTGTTCATTAATTAGTTGAAAATCCACCAAATTGTATTATGGTATAAACATATCAATGAAAAAAATAACTAAAACTGTCCGATTTAAAAGGAGCTCATATGTTTAAGATTATGAAAAAAAGATTCGATAGGCCTATCTACTATAACAATCCTATTCCAACTACTGAAAGAGTTTGAACAATCTCAAAAGATTCTTCTTGACCCGGTATCGCGGTTGACTTGGTATGTCTATGTGCCGGGTGTGATTTGGTTCAGTATCCATTAGTCCCTTTACGAACGGTCTCTGAGACCGTTCCTAAAGGAACTAAATGTACATGGGACCACGGCCGGATTAACTATTAAGCCTGGCGCACACTACGCTACATCTTTGGCGACAAATACGAGATGAGAGAACCAATAAGGCCAGGATAGCGATTGACTGTCACCCTGTTTTCTCGCTACGGGTATACGGGAAAAAATAACGCCAATTCTAATTAGGAGATAAACACTTCCTGTTTCGCATTTATAGGGGTGTTGTTGTCCAATAGACATGTCCTGAGATCATTAGGACCCAAGACGCGTTAGCAGCATACAATTGCAAAAATGACATTAATAGAATACAACAAATATACATGTAACAAATAAAGGGATTGTCTCTAAGAAACACCCTTATAATGTCTATTAATTGTATTTCTGATTTTAATACATGTATTTCTGTTTTACTTATTTTTATCGGTTATACTTAGGTTTGTTGAATTATGTATTGCATATTATATATGTCTGTCATTTTACCTGCAAGAACGTCATGGATTGGGTCAGTTTATTGGTATACTAGTGTCAAACCCCGACAACAGGCCTTATTGTTTAGAATCCAGTGACTACAATACCACAGCCTTCAATTTCATTTGGGCGTTAACGTCGAGTTGAACAAGCTCCCCTTGCATGAATAATTTATTGAATCCTTTTAGTTTTACAAGAAATCCATCAATAGAATAAACACTGGCGTTTTATACTAAAGTTAAAGGTGTTAACTATTATGTCTTAATGTTCTTTTTATTGTATTGTCAAGTTGCTACACGGCCAATATTGTTGACATAATCTCAGATTTTATTTTAAAATAAAGCAAATCAAATTGTTGTAAGTTTGTTTTATTTATCTCCCAAAAGGTCACTATATATTGCTGATTCTATCAAACACATTCATAAACCGTATAGCTTCATTCTTCGTATAAGAAAATGGTGGTTTTATTAGCAATCGGTATCACTCCATGATTTAATATTTAAATTGCTTTAACAATATAAAAAAAGTAGTCCGTTATTTGTCGATTATTTTCATACACGTCCTTATTGGATATACAAAAATCCCGCCAAAAGTAAGGCGACATTTCAAGTATGCCACGCATCCACAAAATTGTCTAGGAATTGATAGCAAGTCTGAAATTTTGTGGCGATTAACGGTCGGTCCGCAAACTGGTGTAACACTTTGAATTGACTCTCAGTGTGTTTGCTCCGGGGCACATGAATTCCATTTTACTCAACACCCATTTCTTGAACATGAATAACCCCATCCCATACAAAGAAAATTGCACAAGGGACAATTATTTTGTATTAAATTTACGCATTGTGAAGGGAATATTATATATACTGGATATAAGGATCGTCAATTTGTATTTCTACGTTTTATCGAAAAAAAACCCCAATAGAAATATGACACCCTCTCCTGATAGTAAAAATGTAGATAATAGTGCAGAACCCGATTTGACCGTCTACAACGGTGTGAGCTGACTCCTACAACCATAGGCGTACGGGGAAATTTTTGACTGGGGGGGGGGGGCGGTGGTGGTTGGTGCCAAAAAAATGTAGTTAGGTTCTTAGTATGTTACGTAATAATAATAAATTCGCTGTTAAATTGGACACATTCAAGAACGCAATATTATTTTATACAACTTTTACAAAGTACAATTGTGTGCCCAAATTTTCCCAGCATTTGGGGCCCAAAATGGGGGGGCCCCCCAGCTCGTACGCCTATGCCTACAACACCAGGGACCATCTCACACTCATCCCAAACTTAGGCTGCCTGTCTACGTACAATTAGCTGAGTTAGCTCCGCCTGAGAACATGAATTCTCGAGGTATGAAGTAGATGGATCGCTGTGTGCAATATGTCTCACACTGTCACACCGGGTCTGGGTCATTTTGTTGGTTTGAAGCTAATCGTGATATCTCCGTTAAAAAATCTCGATTTATCGGATACGTAACTATAAATGCACCAATTCTTGCAAAGCAGCAAGACTATATTATATCAGAAAGGTAAAGGCAATATAACCCATGCTGAAAATGGAGATGTTATTTGCAAATGTGTGTTCAAGCCCATGGAAGCCCATTTCAGCCCCTGTACATGTTAAAACCTTTACAAAGTGTCAGAGGCAAGGTAATATTCCATGCTGATTAAACCAAGCATGCATTGAAAATATTAATTGATCTTTTACTTTCGAACCTGTCACAAGTCTTGTGACAATTTCTATTGAAGTTTCCCCAACTAGGGAGAGAAGTCCGTACAACAACTGTTTGCAAAGTTAGCAAATTAGTTAAATAGACCACTGACTGGAATATTTCTTCACATTTGAATCTGGGACTTTCCTTTAATCGTCAGTGGTTACATAAGTATTTTGGTTTTAATAGTTCTCCTTCTCGAGACCCCAAAAAGTAATTTGGATTATATTTATATCTTCTAACAGCCTATTATTTTTTTTTTAGAAGGAACAATTATTCATTGCATAAAGGCACCTGTTTATAAAAACAGAATATAACAACATTAAGAAATATTTATTTCTAATATTTACATAGACAATAACCAAATAATTAAATACAGTTTGTATAGACATGTTCTGATTCAATTTAGAGTAAAATGTATAATAATATCCCATTACATGAATTTATTACTTGCTATATTTACATAATGATTAAACTAAGAAGAAAACCTGAATACATTATGCTTTAATTAAAGCCATCATTATTTTACATATGGACAAAGAATCAACAATATATTGAGTTTGAATGCACAATATATGCTATATATTACAATAAAATAAACTATATCTTATAATAAAAGCATCTTGAAGCAGATAAAACAAATAGAATAGAATTTAAATGAAAAGATTGAGAATTTGACAGCTAAATATATATACTCAGCCAAATTAAAAACTTGACACTGATGAATTTCAACAAATTTTTTTTTCTGGTAAGTCAAATAAATTTTAAAGTGTTTCTAATGATAGTTAGTAGTAAGAAGCCTTTAATTTCATAAAATTGTAAAGTCACGTGGATCACGTGACTTTTGAGCATATAAAGATGAAAAACCTGAAAAACACGTGCAATCACAAACTCGTGAGGTCAATCGATGCAAGTTTGCTTAAACTGAACTCGCACGCGTAACTTGAACTGGAAAAACAAATTAAAATTGTTATTTTCATCCTTGTTAGAAAATGCCACGCCTTTCAAATGTAGAACGTCTACGTGCTAAGGTAGGCTCTATGCTGGTCAGTCTGTGGTCACTGTTGCAAGAGTCTTTAATTGTTCACGCCAGACAAAAATTAATCTTAGAATGAGAGTGCTTCAAACTGGAAGATCAAGCAATAGGATTACGTCATCTTAGAAACAGATTTGTCACTGCAACCACCACAAGTAGAGAGATGTTTGGTGGAAGGGTAACTGCACAAACTGTTCGAAATCGCTTGCAGATTGCTGGTCTTTGAGCTCGGAGGCCCTATAGACCAATATTGACACCTCTTCATCGCCGTAACAGACTTGTGTGGGCCACAAGACACATAAGATTTACTCAAAGACAGTGGAATTCGGTTGTCTTTAGTGACGAATCTCGATTCACTTTGAGATTTGCCGATGGCAGGGTCGAGTATACCGCAGACGAACTGGGTCGACGTGTTCGTCAGCAAGTGAATCCACCACTGACGTTGCAGGACCTTCAACATGCTCTTGCTGAGCAGTGGCGACGTCTTCCTCAGGTAGTGTTTACTAATGTTCTGAGATCCATGAGAAGACGTTGTGTGGCAGTACGAGACGCTAGAGGAGGCCACAACCGTTACTAAACACTTTATTCCGATTGTTCTCCAAGTCTGTGAATTTCATTTTGGGGGTACTGTGACATCACGAACCTTATCAATGTCAAGGACTTTCGGCGAGACGTATTCTTGCTTTCTGTTGATGTCAAGATCGTCTGTGCACAACATAACACTAAAATAGTTCCCTTTAAACCAAATATTAAAAATCTAGTCCCAAAAATCGCGAGTGTCAAGTTTTTAATTTGGCTGAGTATGTAAATAGTTATATAGTTTTATATATTTATTTGCTACATCATGATTGTCCATAATGGAGAAATTTCTACTGCTCATTTCAATAAATATTGATTTTACTTTTTGAATATGAGTTTCCACATACGCTTCTTTTTTATTTGCACGCCAATGCGTACATGAGATCTTGGTTTTTCATACCATTCAAATGACTAGAGGCTGTTCCTTGCAGGCCCTCTGTCCTGCACAACTGGCAAGGGGAATAAAGGCTGGAAAATTCTGAGGAACTTTCTTGATGAACAACTGGATAGCACCCGATACCTCTTGGTTAGTTAGTGCCTTACGCATTATTAAATATTAAATAGGGCTCACTGGAGACAAATATAAATGATTAAATAACTGAAAAGCACAAAAAATGTGAACCGAACCAATTAGTAACACTGTGTAAAATAATTTTGATAGAAATGTGAAAGATGAATGAAATATTCATTGTTTATGGATTTTGATTAACATTTGCAGTCATATTCTATGTGTTTGAAATTTAAGCTCCAAAGGTACCATAGATAGATGTAGGTATAAATTTAGGTATATAAATATGATTTGTTTTTCAAATAACTAGGAAATATGGATATCAACATACCAATCTGATTAAAATACAGATATATATTTCGTTTCGTATTTTTATACTTTCGATGGCCTCTACTACATTAAGATCTAACCAGTTGTAGTGGAAGGTTGCGTCAGGGGTCATACAAGCAGATTTCGACCCTACGACGTCAGACATTTGATTAACCATTCAGACTTCATTTTTAGGATACCCACAGTTCCATGCATCGCACACCAAGAAGTCACTGAACAGACCGTTTCATTGGCTAATCCCCCACATTAACCGAAATGCAGTTTATATAACTATAACGACTCTTCCATTTCCTATTGTGTAGTAAAGACAAGTAAAACGAAATTTTTAACTATAAGAAACGAAACGAAATAGAATCTGTGTTTTAATCAGATTGTCAACTACAGAAACAACTAACAGACAATGAAAACAGTGTATCAAAATACAGACAATAGAAACCAAAAAACATACAGTGCATAAACTTTTAACATTGAATTTAAATGTCAGAACAAATCTGTTATGTGTTATGTGTTCTCAATATATGCATACACTGTCATGTGTATCACCTCTTACACCATACAGTTGAAATTAGGAATAGACAGAGATTTTAAGGAAACCAGCTCCAGAAAAAGTATATTAACAACATTTTTCAAATATACAAATATCAATTAAGATTTTGCCTTGTCCTTCCTCCACTGTTCTATTTTATTTTTAAGATCAGTTTGTGGTACAACCATGTCCATTGTCAATGGTGCTCTATTGAAAGGATCAGTCTGATCACTGAAAAAAACCCAACAAAACTTTAATAATATTTGAAATAACTCATAACATTTTGTTTTTGTTATTCAGTACATATATATATAATTTCCTAAACATTATATTCTCACCAAAAAGACATTATTATTAATTTACAAACCAACTCCCACCTCAATCAACAAAACAATAGACGAAGCTCATTGATTATTTGCACATTTTCTCATCTTCGTTATCCCAGTTGGAGCAGAACAGTAGGACGTTATAAAACCCATTTCATTTCATTGCAATTGTACATTTATCTTTTTTATAAAGTACAGAGCAATTAAATTGCTCATCACTCTGCCTAATCTAAGCAAAAAATGTTAATTCTGAAAGTTAGTCCAGGTACTGATGTAATGAAACTATACACCAAGGTTCATCATTCTCAATCAAATTTAATGTGTCCCAAGGCCTTGACAAACCAAATTGCATATGCTTTGCTGAAGCAGAAAATGTTCATCATTGAACTCAATCCAATAAAGTTTTTGCATTCTACCCTAATTAAAAGCAGAGTTATTGGCTTCCAAAACTGTTTGACGAACAGACCCATTTTAATAGTCCCTTGCCTTTTCCAAAAGTGGGTGACAGTGAGAAAATAAGGTACTTGATTTTATATCATAGAAAATTCAAAATTATCTTTTTTATCAAAAATCCTATGGAGCCGAATCGTTTTCACATTAAGAAAAATATTTATCATGTTTAAAATTGCAAAATGGTAAAAATGGCCATTTTCGAGATTTTTCACTTGTAAATATCACATAACACTTAAAACATTTTATGGATATTTAATATCATGAAATTCACTATATTAGTATCAAAACAAACATATCTCGACAAAAATTAACAATGTTAAAATGTAGTTATGTTTTTCCCTCTCTACTCTTTGCCTTTGCAAATTCACTGTAAATTTCTCATCTTTGCATTTTCAACTATCAGATTTTCTCCATTGCATTTTCGACTATCCCAATTTCAGTCATTGTTTTTTAAGGCGAGCCATCGCTCTCAAGCGCCTGCCGTTCACCTGAATGTCCACCGAGGGAGGTTTTTACAAAGTCATGGGGGGGGGGGGGGGGTATATTATCATTTATGAAACCAGGAATGACCCTTTAACATGCAGTTATTGATCTTCAGAACCATTTCCCATACACACAACTAATCACTCTCCTTAATATCAGATCACTCTCCTTAATTTCTAAATCACTCTTCTTATTGACACTGGGAGAGCTTCTTTAGGGGAGTGATTTTTTCAATATGTTGATTAAGAGGAGCTTTTTTCGGCTCTCCTCTAAAATACAAACAACACTGACTGCACTGCAATTACTCCAATCCAACTGACCATATAACGAAAGGGGTGTGTTTCAAGTTCGACCGAAGTTGACGTCATAACTCATCTGTTTTTTATCGTCTGGACTAAAATTAATGCTCCTTGGTTAGCCGAGTGAATAGTAAGAGCAGAAGGATCGCAACACACATAAACAATTACACAAGACAAACCTGTGGACATGACACACAATTGGGCTACCTACACATGTTTCAAACAATAAACAACAAACGTATACCGGTATATCAAATCAAGTGAATGGATCCAGGGGCCAGTCGTAAGCATAAATACTGACGTCTTATGATGTCAATGTCTGGAGAAATTTTGGTGATAGAATTTTAACCATGACAATGCTTCAGCTCCATAAAATACAAGCACAACATAGATTGAGACATTTTGCATAAGCATCTGCTCAACTCCTTGAAAACTACAATATGCAATATCTAGTATTGAATCCTAAAACATGTCTTGGCCATGGATTAAAAGATTCATCTCAGATTTTACATTTAATCTAATTCTAAATATCTCTATTGTCGTGTAGGAAAATCTCACCAAATCAAACAAGGACGTCCAGATGTATACAGGTTATGACATAATATTTAGTGCCTCAGTTATATGAATTAAGCCTATTTGATATAACATACCTTAATATATGTCTAGATATAACTGATCGATCTATTATGGTTCCTGATGTTGGTAGTAGAACTGGATCTCTCATTAAATTACCTAGAATAGGATCTAAAAATTCTTCTGGTGCATCTTCCACTAAATCATCTTCAGCTTGAGTTTTCTCATTTAAACCCTGAAATTTAATTTACCAAAACAATATAATTTTATTTAAATTATAAATAATTTCAGGTCAGTCAATTGCAATTCTCTCCAAACCAAGCACTATTACGCCAACCTTGCATTCCATAGATATCTGTAATCCTAGACTTCTGACATTTTCAATAAAAGTAAATTTATAATTTTGTCAAGAATTACCTCCCATTACAGAACATCATTACCGTGGCCATACAAAAAATAATATTCGGTTCTCAGACAATCCTTCATAAAAATCTGATGTGGAAGAGAAGTTTTTTATTTTTTTTTTGGTCATAGTATTACTACTGGGTTAAATGACTGCTCATAAACATCGCGTTCAAGACATGCATTTATCTCATGACAATGTTGACTGTATGATTATCCTGTATCTTTTATAATTGTCAGTAACATTTATCAGGGTTGTGTAGTTGATAACTCAGCTTACTGTACATTTTCGATTCATTAGAATTTTGTTTTTATAGTTACTTGTTTTAACCTAGAGAAAACATTTGTGTGCGGTAATTAATGAAACAATTTTTTTTTTAAAGAAAAAAAAACCCCAGGTCATGCGGCTCTTTTTAAGTGACACATACAGGAGTTGGCCTATAACATGTGTCTGAACCATACTTTTGATTGGAACCTCATGCCAACAGTACAATTGTAATGGTACAGCCAATGTGATTATCCAGGTGTCTGATGACATTTTGTTGCTTTAGGCCATGGTTAGCATAAGAATTAAGGGGCAATGATAAATATGTAAACTTACCCGTATTTTATCATCTAAACCAAGAAAATCACTAATCATTATAGGATCACTTCCGATCTTCTGTAAAACTTGAACTGTTTTAGGAAATAGATCTGTGGAATAAGATCTACCATCATTACATACAGCTTGACAAAACTCGTCACTATCACCCAGATTTAAATATATTTTAGTTATATCTGATACAATCTGTTGTGGTTTAAACTCATAATCATTTTTATCTTTTACGTTAAAATTTTTCTGTTTTGGACCGACCTGTTAAAAAAACAAAACAACATTATAGAAAAATCATTGAACTCTTGGTGTTTTTATTACCTAGATAGAAACATCATAAAGAGCTTCTTTGGACGTACATTCAACATTGTAAAAAAAGGCATTGTCGGCCATATCACTTCGGTGAAAAAAGACATTAAATTGAGCTATTTCTCACAATATAGCCATATGTTAGTTTGATATTCTGGCCATGCATTCTTACTGACCAATCAAACAGTTTGTATTGGTATACATAGGAAATTATGATGGGTTCTGAGTAAGGGTATGATTGGTTGATTCACAGAACTGGCACTGATGGAACACGGTTGTGATAGAAAGGGGTTTAGATTTCATTGTAGTGTAACAAGCGGTTGCCATGCAAGATAGGCCCACATTTTGTAAGAGATGGACAGAGACCAAGCTAAATAACGCGATTTTTCATTCAAACAGGTGCCATAATCCAGGATGTTATGGTCCAACATGTGTCAATATCAAAAGGAACCAAGATCTTTGGGATATAAACATATATTTAAAGTCTAATCAAAATCAGATAAAAATTATGACCTCTTTAAGGTCCACAACCTTGTTGTTACATGCTTATTATACTATTTGCGTAATGGAGGTTGACCATTTTACCACACAGTCCCGATCCAATTTTCAAACTCAGCTGTAATTGTGGTGCAAGGAACCACATATAAACATATGTTTTAAGTTTTATCAAAATCAGACAAATACTGTGATCTGTAGAGTGTCCACAAAGAAAATGTGAACAGACACACGGACAGGGGTAACGACAATATACTTCTAAATGAAAATGTGGGGGTATAAAACTTCAGAAATGGTTGTCAGTTGTTTGTGTGGCATCCTAAAGAACTGACATTTATAATAGTTTAAAAATAGATAATGAAAAATGAATATATTGAAATGTCAGACAAATAACTTCATTCTGGGCAAATTTATGGCTTTTTGGAGAATATCTGAGTGTCAATTGTCATTGCTACCATTGTTATGATAGTAAACAAAGTCTTGATTATTCATTTTTTAATTAGATTATTAACTGTCGATCTTGTTTATGATCTTGTCATGTTAATAAATGTCTAATTAATATAATCAATATAACATTTGAAGCCAAAAAAAAAGACATGCAATAGGCAGATTTGGCTCTTACATAATGCATCCTTAAGAGAGAAGAGGGTTTTAACAGTTTTAACATTCCCTGAACACAAACAAGTACATTTCCGCACTAACAATTGGTACAAATTCATTTCAATAATTTGCTTGTGCTTGCACATATTGGTCTTTAGCAGTTGGAGGAAACCGAAGATCCCAGAAAAACCCACAAGTTAGGGATCCAAAACCATGTCACTTGACTCAATGACACACACACACCATCACACACACACCATTAATGTTAAGTATTTTGTCACTTGCAGATAATCTTTATGTATTTTTTAATTATTTTTTTTGCATCCTGTAATAAAATGTGTAATATCCACAGAAAAAAATAAACTTACCAAATGAAGAAGAAAGTAGTTCAACATGGCAGCTATTCTATCTACCATAGTAGAATTACAGAATATAGTTTTAATTTCTCTCGTCAATAGTTCTAGGGAATGTATGGTATAATTAGCCATAACATTATGATAACGAGCTATGTTTCCCATGAATCGGAAGTTAGCTTCTGTTTGTTGTCTTTGTCTCTGATCTTGTGAATCCCATTCTCCCCGTTCTTTTTCTTGTTGTTTTTCCTTGATTTGCATCATATACTACAACAAATTAATAAAACTTACAGAAGTTAAATATTTCTCATTTCTTACTATTTCTCATTTGTTCATACATTTGTCTATCTTAACACCCACTTCCACCCAGGGGGAAATTATATACAATCTATATTTCTCTGGAACAATGTATCAATGTTCTTTTTGTTTACTGCCCTGCTTTCTGCATTGTCTATTAATTGATTTTTATTAATCACATTGCAGGGAGCAATTAATGTTTCTTCTATTATGACTCTATATATTAACTGATTTTTCAACTAAAAATTAGAATTACAGTACTTACAGAAAGTGCTTCATCCAGTAGAAAGATTGCATCATTTATTAATAAGTTTATAAATCGTAAAAATAGCGGAGCTTCTGGGGCATCAATATTTCTTTCAGCAAAATCTGATAAGTTCTAAAACATAAAGTACAATCAATAAACTTCTTGTTTGGCATTTATATATGACAGTTATGATGTGATCATTTCATTTTCTACAGGAACAGTTTGCAAAATACTTCAGAATCAGAATGTGATATTGACGAAGGTCAGGAGACAGGCAATGGGGGTCTTCGGCAGAAGGGATTGATGGGGACAAATCCCTGAAAGTGAAAACTGTTGTTTTTTGGGGGTGATTTTTATACGCCCCCACATTTTCATGTGGACGTATATTGTCGTTGCCCCTGTCCGTCCGTCCGCCCGGACGTCCGTCCACAATTGTTTGTGAACAGTCTACAGGTCACAATTTTTATCCGATTTCAATGAAACTTAAAATATAGGTTTATCACCCTAAGATCTCAGTTCCTTTCGATATTGGCATCTATCGGACCGTAACTTCATGGATTGACCCCTGATTGTACGAAAAATCACGTTTTTGGCTTGTGAACACTGTAGAGGTCACAATTTTTATCAGATTTTGTTGAAACTCGAAATGTAAGTTTATAACCCAAAGATCTCGGTTCCTTTCGATATTCGCGCATATCGGACTGTAACTTCCTGAATTATGGCCCCTGATTGTACGTAAAAAACGCGTTTTTTGGCTTGTGGACCCTATAGAGGTCATAATTTTTATCCAATTTAAAAAAACGTATTATTATGTCACCGTTAAACACTAAGGACGGTTGAGTTAGAATTTCGTGAAAATCGGCCGCCGCTCGTTCTCAAATAGCGTAAAAATATGGTATATCAAGGTTGTGGACCCTATAGAGGTCACAATTTTTATCAGATTTTGTTGAAACTTGAAATGTAAGTTTATAACCCAAAGATCTTGGTTCCTTTCGATATTCGCGCATATCTGACCGTAACTTCCTGAATTATGGCCCCTGATTGTACTTAAAACGCGTTTTTTGGCTTGTGGACCCTATAGAGGTCATAATTTTTATCCGATTTAAAAAAACGTATTATTTTATCACCGTTAAACCCTAAGGACGACTGAGTTCGAATTTCGTGAAAATCGGCCAAAAACTGACAGATAAAATGGCCGCCCTTCGTTCTGAAATAGCGTAAAAATATGGTATATCAAGGTTGTGGACCCTATAGAGGTTACAATTTTTATCCGATTTTGTTGAAACTTGAAATGTGGGTTTATAACCCAAAGATCTTGGTTCTTTTCGATATTCGCGCATATCGGACCGTAACTTGTACGAAAAATCGCGTTTTTAGCTTGTGGACCCTATAGAGGTCATAATTTTTATCCGATTTAAAAAAACGTATTATTATATCACTGTTACACCCTCAGGATGACTGAGTTCGAATTTCTTGAAAATCGACCCAAAACTGACAGACAAAATGGCCGCCCCTCGTTCTCAAATTGCGTAAAAATATGGTATATCAAGGTTGTGGACCCTCTAGAGGTCACAATTTTTATCCGATTCTGTTGAAACTTAAAATGTAAGTTTATAACTCAAAGATCTTGGTTCCTTTCGATATTTGCGCATATCAAATTCTAATTTCCTGAATTATGGCCCTTGATTGTAGGAAAAATCACTTTCGTTTTAGCTTGTTTTCTATCCATCTCTCGAAAATGTGGGCATATCCTGCCTGGCAGCCGCTGGTACTACAAGAGGTTGCAAATTATTTTGGGTTGCGTTTTGAGGAAGACCACACCCCACACAATATTATATTTACAGATCTGTCCAAAGCTTATCGCTTTTTGAAACAATTAATCTATTATGCTGAAAATGTTATCTTCACCTTGATTGCTTGTTTATGTACATCTATTTCCCAAATATACTCTAACACAATATACATAGGTCGACGATAATTAAACTTCTGTTCAAATTCTACACTTTGTCCTGTCATCTCTATACTAACAAATACATGGAGTAATTTCTCTGCTAGATGATCAATCAGTTCATGTTCACTAAATAATTTCTCACGATGAAACCTGGAGACAAAAGATAAAAACATATATTATCAATATACAAGAGTCACAGGACCAAGAGACAAAACATTTTTTTAATCATTTTTAGTACATGTGCACAATATGGGCAATTTGATCAATGTCTTTTTTTTCTTCAAACTTACAAAAAAAACTATAGTACGACATAGTGCAGTACAAAGTTCACATTATATTCACAGTGTGCAACATCTTAGAAACTCATGAAAATTTCAAAACAATAATCATACAAAACAGAAATTGATCATTTTTTTCTTACATGTTCTTAATTTCATACACTATAAACCTCAGAATGCCTCGTTCGGCATTTTTGTCCAAACAAGGCAAAAACGTATTAAAATTTTTGCCATAATTTTGCCAAGTTGTAACGTGGTAAAAACAAAATGCCACGTTTGTCTGGAGTTCCAAAATGTATTTTTTTTTAAATTGCTATGTTTTTGGAACGAGGTATTTTGACCAGAATGAGGCTGTTCACAAGGTCAGATACATGATTTTTCAAAAGGGTTGGGGGTGGGGTTCAGCCAAACCAAAGTTTCGCCGAGCGTATCGAGGACAGCATAACATTATTAGGTGACACTTTCAACCGATTATGTAGAGAAAAAAACACAAGGCAAAGTCGACTAGAAATGACATTCGTTGCATAAAAGAGTTTGTTACATTCTTTGTTGCAGTTTCATATGTTCACACATTATTTCCAACAAAGAGATGTGAGAAATGAAAAACAGCCAATTTCGTTGTTGCAGTTTCATATGTTCACACAATATTTCCAACAAAGAGATGTGAGAAATGAAAAACAGCCAAGTTCAAACTTGGCATTTTGTTTTTATCAAAAATTTTATTAGCACATTATTGCCACGTTTGGACAAAAAATGCCGAACGAGGCATTCTGAGGTTTATAGTGATACCTTACAAAAATTTGTTTGTTTTTCATTTTGCCGAAGTAAAACTTTAACCATACTCTTATAATGTTTGAAATATTACTATCATTTGCTTGATTAAGACTAGAAAATCCTTGTTGATACACCACTCAATTTTGCTTACAGATCTTGGTATGTGATTTACTTATTTTGCAAAACTTTAAATCTCAATGTCAATTGGTAATATTTATAATTACAATCTTACTTTGCTAAAAGTCCTCCACCACCTTTTTGATTAGGATCAGGAGGCATCAATGATGAAAGTGTTTCAGCTAATTCTGCTCGTAGATGAGGATTATTCATTCTCTCTGGATTACCCATAAATACTAATATCAGTGTCATAAAATACTTCACTTTATCTCCAGCAAACTAAAAACAAACAATAACGTAAATATCTCCTCAATCCCTTCCCTCGTTATTTTTCACGAAAGATCAACAAATTGGACGTTGTTGGATTTCTAACATTATGCTAATGGTTGTTCTTTTCGAAGTCTTCAATTTGTATAAAACAATAGATACCAAAACATTAGATTATTATTTTGGTCAGAAAGACTATTAGATGGATGAGCCGTAGAACCTTTTCCAGATCATTACCCTAAAATCACAATTTTGTCTTCTCATAATGGCTAATCTTTGGGGAATAGCTTTGAAGTTGATTTGTTTTGTAAAATAGACATTGGACCTATTTGATGAACCTTAAAATTTTATCCCAAGCTTAAGCCTTGGACATTACATTCATTTTGGAATAATGATTAGTAGTTACTTGAATCTGCATTTTCATAAATGTTAAAGTCTAATGACACCTGAAATTTATACACACCTCAAATAGTTCATCTTGATAACGATGTAAAAATGAAATAAAATCATTGAGATTTCCCATAACAAATTCTGGTATAAGACTAAGACTAGTTGGTGCTGTTTCTGGTAGAGGTAAAGCTATAGGCTTAAATTCTGTAACTGTATCAGAAGCTGCCATCTGTGATAACCAGGTTGCTGTAGATGTATGTAAATTTAAACTCATCTCTAGTAGTTGAGGTACTGTCAAAGCTGCCTTCATACTGAGGAAAAGGGTCATTCCTGAATTTTAAAAAAGGAGACAAGTCAGAGAGGCAAAATCTGTTTCATATTAAGAAATAATAATAATTTAACTCATTTGATAGTGCACCTAACTTTTACTTATTGATTTGTTTGTGAGATGACAACCTTTCTTCATTTAAACTTGACATATTTTGTATATACTATCCAATTAATATTTGGATGAAATGGGGAAAATGATCGATATATTCTACTATATTATCCCAGCATCTTACCCTTTTCCATTTGTGCTTTTATACTTCTAACAGGTTCAACTTCTTCACTAGCAGACTGCTGTCTTACATCTTGATATAGCCTTTGAACTCTGTGCAGATCCTGATTTAATTTAGTGAATTTATTATGAAGTGTGTGAAAACCTAGGTTGATACATTGCTGAGTTAAAAAGAAACACTCTGTTATAAAATTATATGTTTCTGTGGTGTTCGGGGTATTTTCATCTCCAGCAGGTATAAGACAAGTTTCTTCTCTTAAACCTTAAAAAAGATGTAAGATGAGGTTAGTTTAATTCAAATTTAGAGATGAATTTTTGGCATTGTCTACTTTCATACAGATTGGAACTCAAAACCAGATTAATATTTAGCAAATCAGAAAAAATGATTAACTTTTATAAGTGTGAAAAAAGGGAAATAATCAATTCCATTAAAGAAAGTCTGGAACGTTCCGAATTAACAGAATTGCAATCGAGTGACACAGAATTCAGTCCTGCCATAGTTCTGAGGTAGTGTGAGTAGTTATGGTATAATTATACACATCAAACATGTTTCAGCTGTCGTAGTTGGTTGAATTATTTCCTTCTTCAGTCGGCACAGGTGTTGTAGGTTGAAATTCCCCCTTTTCACTCACTATTCATGGGATTGAGATAATTAAATTCTGGTATGTTAAATCGAGTATCCAAAGTAAAAAATGCTGCAAATTATTGCAAATAAGCCATTTTTTGTTTTTGTATCACAATCGCATCATCTGTGTTGTAGTAGATCTCTACTCACCTCCAGCATGTATACATCGTGTTTTTATATCCTCCTCATCTTTACCTACAGCTTGAGTATAACTACACTGTATTTTAAGAAGTTTAGCAGACATTGGTTCACAAAATGGCTGACATAATTTTAACATAAGATAATTGAGATTTAAACAGAAACCTTCTGAGGAGTATAATTGATTAAACAACTGTGGCATTTGATTGGACCAGATTTTGGTTCGACCTGAAAAATATCAATAATACCATGGCATCTTTAAAAATCTATCAAACAAGCTTCTAATCCCTATTAATGATATACTGTATTTTCCTGAGTTTATCAGAGGTGTTCTTGGGAAAAATGATCTCATGTGTTTTTGTGCATGAGACATGTGCATATATAAGATGATGGATGAGTTTGTTAAAGGTGTTCTAAAAAATAATATACACCATACGTGGATAGGACTCATGTGTGTGTGGTATAAGATGCAGACTGAATTTGCCAAGGGTGGTTCTAGGGAAACATGAAGATCTCGAGTTTAACATGATTAAAAAAAACTCTAGCATTGAATCCTAATAAATATAGAACAGTATTAAAATAATTCCTGCTAATATAACCAAATTGATAGTATAGTAATTAGAAAAATACAATATGATACAAAAAAAATATAATTATATTTATAATGTTAAAGATCACATTCTTTATTATGAAAATATGAAGAAAATACCTTGATTTGCTGCAAGACATTTCCCCAGCCATTTTAATACAAGATGTCTAATGTGTGGTGATACTTTAATTAGAGAATATGTCATTAAATATATTTTCTCATTTAACGTTACCAGTTCCTGTAAACATACATTAATCAGATATTAAAATTCAAATGAGATAAGTAAATTACTACACTTAAAATTGAGTAAACTTTCATCGAAATATTATCTCCTACATTTTTGTTTACAATGGCAGCAGCAATCTATATTAAAATTACTTTCAAACTGCCAATGCGATCAACACTAAATTATTCTAAAAGTTTTTCAATGAATCATTTGCTAAGCTTTATCACTAGCATATAAAGCAGATGGAGATTAAATTTAGGCACCATATGTTTTGGTTTGCATAATTATTCCATGTGGAAAATAATAGCCTCACTAGCCTAGTATGATACATACTGAGTAAGCTAAACCAAACAGTAATAAGCTAAACCAAACAGTAATAAGCTAAACCAAACAGCTACACCAAACAGTAATAAACTAAACCAAGCAGTAATAAGTTAGATCACTGATATGCTTGTATAGAAAACTTTATAAACATTTATTTTGAATAGAAAATAAACAGATTCAACTTACAGCCCAGATATTAGATTCAGTACTATCATGGACATGTTTTCTATAAGATGATGGATCATTAAAGAAATCATAAGGTCCAGCTTCATTTTTAGGTATACAACTTAAAGATAACATAGACCCTATCAATGTTGATTCAAATTCTTTCCCACTTTTGATATCTTTGGGAGTATTATATTTCATGAAGGCCTGGAAAATATAATGCATCGAATAAAATAAATAAATTAAAAATGGATTACAACTTCATTTTGTTTATTAACTATGACAATACTATATACTGTACAATGTGACCTAGAACTCTACTACTACTAATATAGGGATTTACATCTGCTTCCTCCTAGGATGATATTGCTAAACCCATTAAAATTACTGTTAATATTATCATAATTCCCCACAAAATGAAACTCTCTAATGCACCAATAAAGATTGATCAGTCAATAAAATCATGTGATTTGTCAAGGTGGTACAACAATAAATAAATAAAAAAATAAATAAAAGGCAACTAACATCTGATTAAATATTGTATCAATTATACAATTTGATTCCAGCCAATTTTTCTACCAGAATGAATTTAGTTGGGATTTGGTTATTTTTCTTTTGATTTAACAAATCTAACAGTAACAAAATTCTAGTATCAGATTTAGAAGCAAATATCCAAACAAAACGGTTTTAAGTATGCTAGATCAGTATACTGTGTAAGTCCTAAATCTTGGCTTTTCTATAAAGGTCAAAGATTAATAAGGCCACAAAATGGATTTTTGCATGGTAATACATAAAAAATAATAGTAAAATATACTAACCTCTGCCATAGCCGCTGTTTTAGAGAAAAATTTACATAGATGAATATACTGTGATTTTTCAGCACTTATTAAAGACATATTAGTAAATTTTGCTTTAACAAGATCTAATATAGGTATCATAACATCTTCAACATTACCATCTTCATCTTTATCTATCGAGTCCATCACTTGTACAAAAAAATCAATTATTTGTCCTGAATCATCACCTAGAATTTAAAAATAGAAACAAATTAGCCAAATACTGATAAATACTTAAAGCAAACTTTTCCATATATTATGTACAGGCATATTAATAGTCTTTATTATATTCAAATCTTAGGAATTATACATTAAATGAGAAGATAATCCAGTAAACCTACCAAAGACAGCACCTGATTCTTGTAAATATACGTCTATAAATTGTTGATATAACGATTGAGAAGGAAACAATTCTGTTTGAAGTAAACATGTTTTTGCATTTAAAATGATCACACTTTTACATTCTTTTATACAAGAAGAAAATGGTTCACTCTAAATAAAAAGAAAAAAACAACATTGAAATTATGCATTTAAAATTCAGTATAAAAATACTATATCAAAAATATGCTTTATAATAATGATAAACCTCTTATTTTGATTATTTTAAATTTCATACATTGCTTAAAGGGACCATCCCGATTTTAACAGAGCCTCAGAAATAAAGGTAAGTGTATGTATGCAATTTAAGCGTCAAATATAGAGGAATAGTGTATTTACCGTGTCTCAAAATTTCAGCTCAAAATATTGAGTTGTTTGGACGTGAACATCAAAACCGCTTATCCAGACATGTAACCCTTTTAAGATTTCTGGTCAAATTTTTCGTTGGGTGAACTGACAATCTATTGAGGTATATACAGTGCATGACCCACATGCTGTACTTGATAACGAAAGGTAAATTTCACCTACACATTATTTTTATAAAATAAAAGTCTGGTTTTATCCAGACACCGTATAATACAGCTCGGGACACTGGTCTCCATTTCCAGAGGAAGACTGACAGGTTTAAGTTGTTTAAAAAAGTATCATGTGTATTGAGGTAGTTGCTCGGTCCTAAGATAGACGATTTTAAGGGCTTTTAACACAAAATTAAGCAGTTTCATTCTCCAAAATATAATCGAGATTGGCCCTATAAAGAAGCCTAAGTAAAAAATAATTTAAACAGCCAATGAATATGAACAGATCATCCATTACCTTCTGCTGTTGTCTATATTCAATAACTCTGTTATATGACTGAGATAAATAAGGTAGGACAAGTGGTTCTCCTGCTAAACTCTTTGATACAGGTTTTTTAATAAATTCTTGAGGTGAATCTAGCATTAATCTTTCAAAAACTGCCTAGAATTATAAATCAAAATGAAGAATGGTATTAATTAATGGAATAAGGTTTAACTATTTGTCAGCTCTTCAACCAAGGGTTACATTACATCTAAATGCATGGTTATTCATTTTTACTATAGCTACATGTAAGTGAATGTTAAAGGGCAAAATTTGCTCTATTGTGGCAATCAGATTTAATTTCCTTCACATTTCAGCTGTATAGGAATCTTTATGAGTAGTGTCAATGAGTAGATGGAGCCTCTGTGATTTGTATACCATTCTATTGACCTGGTATTTTTTCCATTTAATCTCTGCCTGTGGAAAGTGAACTTGCTTATGTGACAGCTAATCTCAACCCAAGCCATGGAACCAGGAATTATAAAGCACATGTAAACCATTTACCTCATGAATACAGATAAAAAATAGTTGTAATTAAAATGGTTATACAAATGATATTTTATGAAACATACTTGTGATAGAGTGTCTGTATCCATCCATGTTTGACCATCCATTCTTTCTGCTAAATCTTCTAAATAAACATAACTTTCTGTTCTTGCATCACAATCTAAATAATAAAAAAGTAATTGGAAAATATCATTCTAATATTAATACATCAGTCACTCATCATGAATTTATTTGAGTATATTTATCTAAAGCAATGTTTTAAATGTATTATAGCTGAGGTACCTATATAAAATTTATAAGCCAGCATACCCTTTTCTAAGGTTAGAAGAAATATATCTTCAATCAATTTGCTCACAGCTAACTTGGCTTCAACATTTACAGAGATTTTTTCCTCAGGTAACTCTGAAATAAATTTAAGACTTGACATATAATTCTCAAAAAAAACCCAAAACAACCAGGATATTTAATCATTTAACAAATATACAGGACACAATTCTACTGAATACAATTACTGTTAATTAACTAGATTGATTAAGACCAGAGAATACTTGTCAAAACTTCGTTCACTAATAAACAGAAATTATATTTTATAGAATTCTGTTCTGTGTATTTCCATTTCAATTAATAATTATCATTGAAAAAATTTAACAACAATTAACACTTCTTATATCTAAACAACACAACTATTAATTAATAATAAAGACCCAAGAAGCTGATTTGTCAAAACATATGCACTAATTTCAGATAAGAACTACTCGATCTCCCTCATGTTCCTGAAGCAACGATCGCGAGTTTTACAAACATCTAACTTGATAAGATGTACGTAGTTAAGGCGAGATCAGGCCTTCTATTGAAGATGCATCTCCCTCAAACTATAGCAAAACCCATCAATGCTTTTATCTTTAAGGCCTTTACACATAGGGTTTAAATACAATAAAACTGCGCACTTTTCATTGGATGTAATAAAAAAACAATACAACATTCTCCAATATTCCATACAACATTTCATTGTTTCTATACTTATGCACATATATTTATATTTATTACCTTTTTGATGCAGCTTAATTATGGTTTTGTTAGTAAATTTTTATTATTTATATTATTATTATTATTGAAAATATTATATAGTGCATAATTTCTACTGTTAGGTGCCCATATGCACTGTACACAGTACACAATTAAAAGATACATCAATAAAAAGGACATTAAAAAGGTTACAGTAAAAGAATTAGACAAACAGGCAGAAATGCAAAATAACGACTAGCAAAAAATGAAAAATATAGCACACAGAATAGAAATAAAATTAAAACAATAATTATATGTATCGTACATTTTAATCTATGTTCCCAGAAAAGTATTTATCGGGTGGTTATTTCCAATAAAAGTATGGCAATTTTGGTATATGGAAAGTAGAAATACCCAATCTTACTAGAAAAATACTGGATTTCCTGAACAACACTCATGGAGCACATACAGGACAAAAATTTACGGGTTTCCCTAATCGACAGCCCGACGATTAGGAGTGTCTGCACGTGTGAGGTCGAAGGTTGCACGCAGAGATTGAGCGCCAGATGTACATGTTGATACGGTACTTTATGAAGAGTTAGACGTACAACACTTTCTGAGATAAAAATCACAGAAAAAGACGCGGGCAGTGGATAATCCGAGAATTTAATTAGGCTTCGATATTTGTAATAAACAGTCAGCGATAAAGGCAACATCGTCTTGTGTATGCAATGAATTCTTCTCCGACCTCGCCCCCACTGTGTCACATGACACAAACATGACCTCTTTTGATCGATTTTTTATAGCCGGCTACTTCATGACAGTTGCAATGTTTTGAGAAGGATTTGAAGCAAAATTATGATAAATTAATTAGTTTGAATATGTTTTTATTCCAAATATATCATCAAATCACCCAGTTTGTACCCAGGAATGTATCTTTAAGTAAAACACAGGTTACAAAACATATATAAAAGTAACATTTAAAACGTTTATATAAAAGCTTCTTTAAAAAGATGTGTTTTGTTTTAGATGTTATTTAAAAGTAGGCAATGACAAACATATTCTAATATCTAGTGGTAATATGTTCCATAGTAGAGGGGCTTGTACATAAAATGAACGGTCACCAAATGAACTTAAATTTGCATAGTGTGTAACAAGAAGACATTGATCCAAGGAAGAGGAGAGGTTGCATTTAAGAAGTTCCGATAAATATGCAAGACAGAGGTTATTGAGACATTTCTATGTAAGAAACAGAATTTTAAACTTAAAGTGTACTATATTGGAGTAACATGAGAGGACTGCTTTGTTTGTGTTGTTAGTCTGGCTGCACAATTTTGAACTTTTGGAGTTTATAAATTACTAAAAGAGGAAATCCAGATAATAATAGAGATAACATATGAATCAATTAGAGTTTTTATTGCATCATTATTGATGTCCTTTTTATTTGACAAATGTTTCTTAAACATGCATTATGCAAGAGCAAAATCTGCTTATTACAAGTCTTTCTTTAGGCCTGAAATGTTATCTAAATTATCAATTAGACATCAATTAACTTATCCAGACCATAATAAACTCTCGATGTCAAGGCTAGCCTTCGATGTTGGCTGGATTAGATTCCTATATGATCGGCCGTTGATAATTAAATCGAAGAGTGGATAATCGAGACTATGCTGTTTATATTAATGATTTTAGTAATGATGACCGAGACTATGCAAAAATTTCACCCGCTTCTTTCTCGGCTCATAGTGGATCAATTTGACTGAAATTTTCAGCAAATTACCTTTACACTATCTAGTTTTTAACTATTATAGCGAGAACTGCCATCTCTTTATCTTATCTCCCATAATGTATCTTTAAATAATAATAACACACATTACAAATATAATTTACTTCCATGTTCATATTTTGGTCGAATATAACTCCTATGTTTCTAGCTGCTGCGGAACACATGATTTGACTATCCCTTACATAAATATCTTTAGTGTCTGAAATCTTGTTTAACTGCTATTTAGATCCAATACATGAATACTCAGTTTTGTCAGAATTAAGTTTTAAAAAGTTTGATGCCATCCATGATTTAATTTTTAATATACAATTTTCTACGCTGCCTTTAGTAGGAACAAAGTTATTATCTTGAGGTTTAAAAGAACAGTACAATTGTGTATCATCCCCATACAAGTGAAATTGAAGACCATATTTACTAACAATAGAACCAAGTGGTTTTGTATACAGACTAAAAAGTATTGGCCCTAAGAGAATCCTGTTGTACCTGTTGGATTATTCCAGCCTTGTCTATGACTACATATTGACTAAGATTTGTTAGATATGATTTCAGTAACTTCAAGGCAGAATCCACTATGCCAAATTCCGTAGAGAGTCATTTAATAAAATTGTGTGATCAATTGTATCAAACGCTGCTGAAAGATCCAAAAGAACTAAAAGGACACACTCGCGTTTATACAATCAAAGCAGTACGTCATTTTGAACTTGTATAAGTGCTGTTTCAGTACTATGACACTTTCGATACGCTCGTTGGTATTTTCCCATCAGACAGTGTTGCTCAACATTGGCTGTTGATTGGCAAGCAATACTTTTTTATAAAATCTTGGAGATGAAACTAAGGTTTGATACCAGTCTGTAATTTTTTTAATTGATCAGGACCGAGATTTGTCTTCTTAATAAGAGGATGCTAGCAATTTCATATATTATTTGTCATTTTGTTACTGATTGTTATTTATGTACATATTGTATGTTATGTAGAATGGATGTTTCGGTACACAAAATCTTACTCTGCTGTTTTTCAGAACTAAATTGTTGAGCTTGACTGATGCTTGGAAACAATGCTGCAAATGGATTATCTTCTATGTTTTTCTCTGTATCATCCATGATGGCAAAATCTTATTGTCTGAAACATAGATTTAATTCATAGCATGTAGACCTATATATGTGATAAAAAAATCAGCAATAATTAATAAAAAGGAAATCAAACTATAGGAAATAAAAAGCCAAAGGGTTTGGAAAACAAATTTCTTTTAGTTTTACTCAATTTGAATTAGATTTTGATTAAGGGGGGTTGGATGGATGGCTGAATGGTTAGCACGTGCGCGCTGTATCGTAAGGTCTGTCATACTCATTGTCAAATTGAGTCAACTGGCGTGGTTTCGATTCCCTGGTACGTGGCAAGGTGAAGTAGGGTCGCCTGTCCAACCTCGTTGGTTTTCTCTGGGTCCTCCGGTTTCCTCCCACTGCTAAATACCCCTTTGCGGATGCGAATTGTTGAAATAAAATTGAACCATGTGTTAGTCCCGTAGCCGTAATGACCTTGTTTGTGTCGAGTGGACGTTAAACCCCATTTCGGCATTTCTCTCTGAGTCTCTCCCGCAGTCCCTGAGACTCTCTTTAGATTTTGATTATCAAATGTGTAGTCCATAGTTGTAATGAGCATTTTTTTAATAAACAACTAAAACAACCATCAAGATCGCAGCAAAAAATAATAATTTGACAAATTTACCTGACCAAATATGTAATTTTTATCAATTAATATGATGACGACGACCGAATTTCTTTCGCCATCTTGAACAATCTTCTTTCTGTAGAAACTATCATTAGTGTACATCACGTGATAGTCACGTGACTTAAAATAGCAGACGAAGTCTGAATTTTGACAGCTTCGCTTGCTCGGCTTTCGTGTTCTTGCTTTGCCATTGATTATCATAGTTTGCCAACACAATTTCTTTCCCTCAATCTTATTTCTTGTATTTAAAACCTATTTTAAAACATAATGTCCATGGACGCTGAAGATCAAGTTGTAGAACCGGCACTGGGAATTGATGAAGATGATGATGTTAGTAGATTCGAGTCTTACTACTAATACTATTTTATTACAGTACTACTAGTACTACGCCTACCGAGCCACGTTGGTTAAGACGCTGGCTCGCTAGCCTGGAGGTCGGGTGTTTGATCCCTGCATTGGCCGAGAAAGTTCATCTGGATTTTCCGACGTGGTTTCCCCTTGTCAGTGGTGCAGAACAGAGGGCCTGACAAGGACAGCTGTCTAGTCCTTCGGATGAGACGAAAAACCGAGGTCCCATGTATACATTTGAATGCACGTAAAAGATCCCTTGGCAGTTGGAATTCGATATAAGAGTAGGCGATAGTGCCGCTGCCCAGACAAAATTTCCCTCATAGCACACTGTATGGCGTATGCCCGTCTTCATTTTCATTAGCCCAGTATAGAGGAGTAGGACTTTAAACCCCATTTCATTTCATTTACAGTACTACTAAGAAGTACTGTAACAACAGTGTAGTTGGTAGGCCCTCCTAGTATTATCATTATGACTTTATGTTCTGTTCTGAGTCTCACTCTCCTCAGTAATGTTGTTGTCTTAGACTAAGAGACTTAAAGTAGTCTCTAACTCAGTATCATCCAAAATCTTCGACATAGAAAACGCGAATTATTTGTCAATTTAAATCAACATTGGTGTTGTTATCTAGGCTATCTTGAAAAGATGGGCTTCTGATATCCAATATTTAAGACAAAATAAACATTTTACCATTGGTACACGAATCGTGTACCATAATGCGTTTCAGCACAATTTGTAATAAGGGACTCGAAGAACGAGGCTAGACATATTACACAAGTCATGTCAAACGGTGAAGCCATATTCTCTTATCTGGAGAGCATGCGCAATAAATACTATCGGCATAGACTGGAATAACCAGACGCTAGTGATAGCAATTCGATTGACACTTCTGGCATATTTCGCCGAACATAACTGATTTGAAATTAGAGTAAAAACGGAAACGATTGAATATAAAACAGTTTATATACATGCATATGACATTATTATATGCGTTGCAACCCATTTACAGTCAATTTCGAGGTCCCAATATTAGCGATTTAGCTCCTTTAACAAAGCCCAAGAAATTAGCGTTAATTAAATTTGTAGAAAAATGAGAAGTCTAATTAATAATTATAGGCCTGAGTGAAAGTGAAATACTCAAACTGTATTTAAATTTAATCATGCAATGTGGTGAGACAGCCACAGGCTATATTACTATTAGTATTATGTTTAATAATTGTAGACTGTCTAGAATTTTCTGTAGCCTCGGCTAGTCCTAAAGTTTCAAATCATATAATTTCCTCTCTTTTCAGATTTCAATTTTTCAAGATATCGATCAGCTGCAAAACCATGGCATCGTAAGTTGAACCATACCAGCAGGTGAATATGGAAAGTATTTTGACAGATGTGTATGACTATGAGATTTTGCTAAAGTATACTGATGTGTCAGCACTTTCATTATTGACAATGTGTTTGTTTCAATAGTTTCATTGGATTTGCTGTTATTTGTCAGGTTGTGTTTTTTAGATTTCTTCTTAAATATTGTTTCAGTTAAAAATAAATTCTACCAGAAATGAAATCCCATCCGACGGTCCGAATTTTTTTATTTTACGGATAACTTTAGTTACAAATCAACGAGGATAACTTATCTTTGTTAGTTCATTCATCAGATACTAACCTATAAACATATGTACAGCGTGTCAATGCTATACCTTAAAGAAAAGTGGAATTATACCTATTTTTCTGATATCACTCAGGATGGCCTATCGGGCCTACTGGTGTGGGTCAGATGGACTACCTCATGAGACCAATGGACTGTTCAATGGTTACAATACAAACATTTAAGAGCTTTCACTTAATTTAATTAAAGAATAGATAAAAAAATATAATTTTGGCACATTTTTGTTAAAGTAAGATAATAACCGACCTATTCAATATCATAGTCATCAATGGAAACATCAAAGCGAATAATTCCTTGGGGTCTTTTTGTGGTATTTATTTTTATTGGTTCGAAGGGAGCATGGCTACCAGTACTATATTTGAGCGTGTTACAGTGTCAGTATCTTCAGTCTATTGTCTTGATGAATGCACAGATGTTGTGCTTTTTGGCTCTTATGAAAATTTTACTTCAAAGCCACCATTTTTATCACGATAATACCAACGTAGTCAGGGGTGGGGGGCTAAGGGGGAGAGGTGTGCAAAGGGTAAAACATGTGCGTTAGATCCATAAGATCTGTCATTGAGTCAAGTACATGACAAGTAGGGTCGCCTGTCCAACCTTGTGGGTACTATGTAGGGATTTGTTCATAAAAACTACACAGCCTATCGCATTGTTTCGGCATCAAACATTCCCCTGTCTGTTGTTCTCGTTCTATTTCTTGGCATTATAAAAGTCTAGATTATAAATTAGAAACCTATCATATGACTAGGACCTATGGACCATGCCTTTGGGGACCCATGGGCCATGCTCATAGGAATCAACCTGCAGGTGATCAATCAGTCCCCACAGCATTTAAATATATATTTAGTAGAGACAGTTACTGTTGCATTTGATTTTAAGTGCACAGCCTAGATAACTACAAAGCATATGTGTTAGTGTAAAGCACCACTTGATGACACTTAATTACTTTGGGATATGAAAAATATTGCAAAATATGAAAAAAATACTTTTACTATGGTTAAATGTACTTATGAGGCTGTAAGGCAATGTGTTGATAGCACTCTAGAGTCTAGGTAAATCAGCAATGTATTCCAGGCTAGGTCAGGGTTACATAATGAAGGCCGATAGAATTTGATTTTGGCATTCACATGTCTGATACAAGGGGTGGCCCATCGGTCCCATATGCCCATTGATCCCCACTCTCCCCTATTGTTTTTACCCACATGGTATTGTTATACCCGTAACATGTTCTTTAAAAAAAAAGAAAATACCATTGGTTAGTTGATTGATGAATGTAACATTTTTTCTCTAGAATATAGCTGATATAAAGAAGCTGAAACAAGCTGGTATTAATACAATAAAGGTAAAAACAAATAGCCTACTTCATAGATTACTTTCATTGGTGCCTTATAAATGAATTGGAAACAGCCTGTTAAAGTACCTGTACTTTGCTTTTTTCTTAATTCCATCTTCTCACCAGTAATTCAAATATTTACTCAGTAGACAGTAATCCATCTGTTTAATGAATAATTATGTTAATTTTTCTTATTTTATAGGGAATTCAGATGACAACAAGAAAGAAACTGTGTAACATTAAAGGAATATCAGAAGCTAAGATGGAAAAAATCAAGGAGGCCTCGGCTAAATTAGCTGTAATTAGTTATAATTATTTTCTGGGGTTTTCTTTGGCTGGTAAACAAAGGGTTTTTAAGAAGGAAAGTTTGTGTTTGCTTTGAACTGCTTAGTGGTGGACAATATACATGATCATATATCTTGTCTTTTTCCTAAATTAAAGAGGGAAGCTAACTTGCAGTCAATTAAACATACATTATGCAAGAGCAAAATCTGACTATTGCAAGTCTTAATTTAGGCTTCAGATGTTATAGAAATTATAAATTAGATCTTTATTTAAACAACAAGCCCAAAATCAACTCTGTAGACCCACGGATGGCTCGGCTACAGCTCGGATTTAAATAGGATTTCACTTATTAATTAATTCAAATATGGCGCACCCTGATGAGAATACGTCAGTTAGATCGAGGCTAAATGATAGAGTGTACTTAGCGAGGCCGCTGTAGAGCGTTTCCGCATGCCATTGAAAACTTTACTTGATAATCGAGATATGTAGGTGGAGTTAACGCCTGTCAATCAAACGATCAGCCAAGGTGAAGGCACATTTCACTACCATTTCTAGTCAAATATTACAACGATGATAACTATGTTCAGAATAAAGTAATTTGACTGAAATTTTCAATATATTCTACTTTCATCATCTACTTTTGAACTGTTATAGCAAGAATGGCCAACTCTGTATAAAAATCTCCCATAATGTATCTTTAATATTGGTTAACTAAAATAATTTATTTAATCTGCTTGTTCTCTTTTATGCAAAATATATGATGTAGTAGAAAAAGACCACTAGTTAGTATCTACGACTTCAGTTATATTCAAAGGATAAAGATTGACCATGATCTTTGCTTCAGTCAAAACAGAAATGAAATGAAATGGGGTTCCGTTTAATGTCCCACTGTCTGCACCCACTGGGCCAATGTAAAAGGGCATATGCCATACAGTGTGCTATGAGGGAAATTTTGCCTGGACAGTGGTACTACAGCCTATGAATTCCAACTGTAATGGGTTCTTTTACATATAGGCCAATGTGTACATGGGACCTTGGTTTTACATCCCATCCGAAAAATTATACATTGTCCCTTCCTAGGCTCTGCGTCATGCACTACTGACAAGGGGGAACCACACTGTAAAATCCTGATAAATTTTTTCTGCCAACCGAAATGTACATCGTTTTCTTTCATTTCAAAATTCATAAAGGAATTAAATGCCAATTTGGTTTTCATTATTTCAGGTAACAGGATTTTCTACTGCACTAGAATATGCTGAAAAAAGAAGACAGGTTTTTAAAGTATCTACAGGCAGTCAAGAATTAGAGTAATTAGTAGTTGATTAAAAAATATTATCTCCCTTGACACATCAAGGGGAGACAATCTGGTTCTTCTACAATCTGATTGAAATTATACAGATCTATATTTCGTTTAGTTTCGATGGCTTACACTACCTGCAGATCTGACAAGTTGTACTTGAAGGTCATGTCAGGGGTCGTACTAGCGGCTTTTGATCCTATGAAGTCAGATATTGAATAATCAATCAGTGTTAATGTTTCTAGTTGTTTACCCACGGTTCCATGCATGGCACGCCAAGAAGTCACCATAACAGACTGTTTCATTGGCTTATCCCTCACTTCAACCAAAACACCTGTACTATAACAACTCTTCCAGATCCTAGTGTAGTAAAAACAAGTAAAACAAAATTTTGAACTATAAAAAATGAAACGAAATAGGATCTGTGTTTTAATCAGATTGGTTCTTCCAAATTATTTCAACTCCAGTTTTATTATGTCAATTTTAAATACGCATTAATTATATGTTTGATCAAATACAATTTAAAAGCAATTGTAATCTAAATTTATACATTGTATATTGTCAGTAAACTACTAGGAGGTGGAATGGAAAGTATGGCAATTACGGAAGCATTTGGTGAATTCAGAACAGGAAAAACACAAATATCTCATACATTATGTGGTAGGTCGTAAGTTTAGCTTTTAGAAATATATCATACAATACATTGACCGGTTATCAAAGTTTACTTAGCAAGAAAGAAAAATATGTGTATACATAAATACAAAACCTAATGGTTTCAGATGCTGCAAATATAAAATTTTTGTAGGGATTTGAATGCTGTTTCTTCAAAGTTATGGTATTGGTGGAACTTCCATATTTCTGAAAACTGAGAACTGTAATGGTTCTATGTGATATAAGTTTATAATTTTTAATGTATTGTGAAATTTAATTTTTCAGTGACTGCACAAATACCCGGCAATAATGGCTACTCTGGAGGAAAAGTTGTATTTATTGACACAGAGAATACATTGTATCCTTTCATAATTCTTTATAAAATCTTGTTTCACCTTACAACTCATATTAAAAAACATTATATTTATATGTGAAAACTTTCTTATCAATATTAGTCGTCCAGATAGATTAAAAGATATAGCAGATAGATTTAACTTAGATCAAAGTGCAGTACTGGATAATGTTTTATATGCAAGAGCTTATACAAGTATGATTTTATTGTTACATATTTATTTTAGATATCAAAAATATTGCCAATTGATGAGAAGAGATTACATTTATACAACCATCACAAATAATTTAGCTAAAATTTCACAATCTTCATTTATAGTAGGATAGTTGACCTTGACCACAAGCCTATCCTCTTTCAAGACACCTCCATTGACTAGCCTCATCCTATGACCAAAACTAAGTTATGTATTTGAAGCAGCTAACTCAATATCGTCCAAAGTCTTCGACATCTGCCAATTTAAATCAGCATTGATGTTGTGATCTTACCGGCAAAATATGGGCTTCAGATATCGAATATTTAAAACAAAATGCACATTGTAGGATTGGTACACGAACCGTGTATCATAATGCGTTTCAGCGCCATTTGTAACAAGGGACTCGAAGAACGAGGCTAGACATATTTCACGAGTCATGTCAAACGATGATGCTGTATTCTTAAATGGAGGGCATGCGCAATTAAATTATTAATACTATCGGTGTCGACTGAAATAACCAGACACTAGAGATTGCAATTCGATTGAGACTTATGGCATATTTTGCCGAACATAACTGATTTGAAATTAGAGTAAAAACGGAAAAGATTGAATGTAAATCTGTTTATATACATTCATATTACATTATTATATGCATTGCGACACATTTGTCTCAATTTCTAGGTCCCTAATATTAGCGATTTAGCTCCTTCAAATTGTGATAATATTTTTTTTTAGGTGAACATCAATATGAATTACTTGATTTTGTTGCTGCCAAATTTTATGAAGAACCTGGAGTTTTTAAATTATTGGTGAGATTTTTCCAAGATTATTGAAAGGCATTCAGTTCTTTGTGGTGCTAATCTTTTCATCCAAATAAGTTTTTTAATAAAATAATTTAGGATACCGCACATAAATGACTGGTAAATTGTTTTACATAATTTTACAGATTGTAGACTCTATTATGGCATTATTCAGAGTGGATTTTAGTGGAAGAGGTGAACTGGCTGATAGACAACAAAAACTTGCACAGCTTTTATCCAGATTACAAAAAATTGCTGAAGGTAACTGAAAAATCTTTTCTCAAAATAAAATCAAGATCACTATCCACTATCATCTCTATACTTTTATAAAGCTAATAAATAACTGGAAAAACTGGTGTTAAATTTATTTATGTTACAATTCTTATCCGATTTTGACGAAACTTAAAATATAGGTTTATCTCCAAAAGATCTCGGTTCCTTTCGATATGGCCCCTGATTGTACGAAAAATCACGTTTTTAGCTTGTGGACACTCTAGAGGTCACAATTTTCATCTGATTTTGATGAAACTTGAAATGCATGTTTATAACCCAAGATCTTTGTTCCTTTCGATATTCACGCATATCGGATCATAACTTGCTGAATTATGGCCCTTGATTGTACGAAAAGTCACGTTTTTAGCTTGTGGTCCCTCTATAGGTCACAATTTTTATCAGATTAAAAAATGTTTGAATATATCACCGTTACACCCTAATGATGGTTGAGTTCGAATTTCGTGCAAATCGCACCAAAACTGCCGGACAAAATGACCGCCTCTCGCACGTAAATAGTGTAAATATATGGTATCTCAAGGGTGTGGACCCTCTAGAGGCCACAATTTTGATCCGATTTTGATGATACTTGAAATACATATTATAACCCAAAGATCTTGGTTCCTTTCGATATATATCGGATCGTAACTTCCTAAATTAAGGTCCCAGATTGTACGAAAATTCACGTTTTTAGTTTGTTGTCCCTCTAAGAGGTCACAATTTTTATCCGATTTAAAAAAACGTTTCAATATCACCATTACACTCTAATGATAGTTGAGTCCGAATTTTGTACAAATCGGACTAAAACTGCCGGACAAAATATATTGTAAATATATGGTATATAAAGGTTTTGGACCCTCTAGAGGACACAATTTTGATCCAATTTTGATGAAACTTGAAATACATGTTCACAAAGATCTTGGTTCCTTTAAATATTCATGCATAGCGAATCGTGACTTCCTGAATGATGGCCCCTGATTGTACGAAAAATCGCTTCTTTTTTGAGCTTGCAAAATGTGGGCGTATCTTGCATGGCAACCGCTTGTTTTTCTTGTTTTGACTTTATATTCCCTGACAATCATTTGAATAAGTATTCATCCAATTATTATTGTCATTATAGAATACAATGTTTCTGTTTTTGTCACAAATCAGATGACTTCAGATCCAGGAGCAGGAATGTCGTAAGTAGTAGTGAATTTATAATTGCCAAAAGTTGATTAATAGATTTTATACACACGTTCATGTTGTATATTATTTTAGACGCCGGACGAACGGGGGCGACAACAATATACGACCACATTTCAATGTGGGCGTATAAAAATTGTGCAAGTAATTATTTAGTGTCATCTATTCATTTTGCGATAAGGTGGGGGACATCAGCTTCACTTTTGGCTTGTTTAATTTATTAACACTTTTATATTCAATTGTTTCATTATTCATAGATTCCAAGCTGATCCCAAGAAACCTATTGGTGGTCACATCTTAGCACATGCTTCAACAGTACGGGTTAGTTTAAGAAAAGGGAGAGGAGAAAATAGAATTGCTAAAATATATGATAGGTAAATTACATTATTCAGGTTTTCTAATATCTTCCAGTCACAAGTTTTAATTTTTTATATTATATGCTTAAATGTGTACTACAAATTAAGTCATTTTATTCGTGCCCACCACATCACAGATAAAGGACTCCCAGTATGGTTATGGCTCACTCAAGGTTTTGGTATTTTACTGCAACAGCTCAACTTCTCAAACCATCCTGTGGGCCTACTATCTATATTTTAAATTACTGACAATATATTTTGTGAGCATAAGTATTGACAGTTTTATTTGATTTCTTTCAGCCCTGATCTACCAGAGAATGAAGCAACATTTGCTATAAGTACTGGAGGAATTATTGATGCCAAAGAATAAAGATGTGGTTAATTCATCAGTTATCATTGCATCCTTGAAGAAATCCCATTAATTTTATGCATATATTTTTACTTTATTTATAAAATATGATTGGTAAAACAATCATGTGATATTGTTGATTTTACAAATGAATAAAATTGAGTTGAAAATATTTTGAGTTGATAAATGCTTTTACCATGAAGGAGAAATTTGAGATATATTTCAATGAATAACAGTCTGCTACTATTTTAAGGTCAGTCATATGTTTTCAAAGTGGAGTTAGGAACAAGGAATCACCTTGTACTTTATATAGCAGTAACCTGCAAATTCTATATCTTGGCAATATTTACAAATGGAGTTTAGTAGTTCTCTCAATAAAAGATGTTTTGACAATTATTACAAAATGGCTCAGAGACCCTGTGAAAACTTAGACTTCTTTAAAAAAAAAAAAAAAATAGAAGTAAATCTGATCTTTAATTTTCTTTATTAGTCATGGGATTTACAATTAGAAAATCAAAACACAATGAAAGAGTGATACTTCCTGTACTGGTGGTACTGAATCTAATTTAATTTAAAGAATAAAATTAATTCTGTCATAACACAGTATCAAAGTGAATTTGTGACAATTATTTTGATTTGTTTCAACTCTATTATAAAGATTATACACCCCAAGAAAACCTCTGTTAAATTTTAACAACTAAACAAATACAAATACATGTACACTTATAAACTTATCTCATGGCAAGAATGTTAGTTCATCCAGATGATTTTTAATACTTCAATCATTTAATAAATGCAAAAGGTATCGAACTAACACAGGATTATATGTAATATAACATACCTGTATAATTGATTATATTTATATATAGACTTAGATTATTGAAGTTACACCGTTCACATAAATAATATCAACTATTTAAAAATTCAATATAATTAAAATTAGATTACAATTTTGCAATCTGATTAAAACACAGATCCTATTTTGTTTCGTTTTTTTCTAGTTCAAAATTTCATTTTACTTGTCTTTACTACACTAGAATCTGGAAGAGTTGTGTTTTGGATCTGTATTTTTTAATCCAACTGACAATTTTGTTTCATATATATTACGTTTACATTGCAATCTAATCTATCTGGTTCTACTAATTTCGATCAAAACTGTGTTCTGTCAGTAAAAGTTCCCTTTCTACCAGCCCAATCATACACTAACCCTAAAACCAGCAGAATCACTTTTTGTCTTATATACACTTAAGTTTCAAATCTGAAATTCGGCTACATATCAAAATTTAAAAAAACCCCAAAAAACAACATAAATGACATCTGATTTTAATCAGAAGGCCTAAATATCTATCTACAGTTTGTTAAAAACACTAATAAATAATAAAATGTTAAAATAACTGTTTTGTACATGTGAAACAGAACATTGATATAATCCTTTATATACAATAAATAAAATATTATAGCTAAGTAGTAATAACATAAAAGTTTCCATGAAGACTATAAAATGTTTGATATTGAACACATTTGGAAGGAATAGAGACACAATCATTTTGTAATAAATACATGTTTTTAGGTGGGAATCATAGAATAAAATATTGAATAAATACAAAAAATAAATGAGTATATATACAAGAGAAAAAAAAAAGGAGAATATTATAAGTATGAGAAATAATGAAAATAACAAATTGCTGATTTCTGCTTCTATTTATTGCTGAGTTATCTGCTGTTATTGTGCGAATTAGCAATAGCATTGAGACCAACAATCGATTTAAAATATAATTGACCAAACAATAATTCAATACAAATCCACAACAAACTGTTATTTGTAGTGCTATTTAGATGTGTAATATGAAGGTAAGGTTATATGTTCCTGAAAGATATCATATTTGAATTATTATTTATTTAATAATATCCATCAATATTAATATCTATAACATTAAATACTTTGTACTGTGTTTCATCAATTCTCACAATATTTTTTTTAAATTTTTTAAATATGGGACTCATCAATCTAATTACAAAATCATGAACAAATCTGAGTACTTGAAATTGAATTATGAGAGAACTAAAACTGATTGAAAGTGAAGGGGTATACTACCAACATGCTTTTCAATGAAGTTAAAGAGTTTTCAAAATACTTTGTCAAGGATCATATGACAAAACTTATTCTGAATGTTAAAAATATTTGGAGGTATAATAAAAATGAAGTCCTGAATTCATACCAGTATTTACATGGAATTATGAAGAACTAAAACAAAAATAAAATATAAGTATGTAAAAGTTAAAAAACAAAGCTATATAAAATATTCATTGGTTATTAATAATCATTAACTAGGTTAGACACGTCTACATGTAATTAAATAATAGATAATAAACAAATAAATCTCTAACTAACTCAACAAATAAACTGAGACATTAACTAACATAGTCAAATTTAAACTACCGGTATTTTTATATTCAATGAGAAATAAGAGTATGGTGATTATAATGAGATTCAGGGTGTTCACTTATTAGATATACAGTAGCTTTTCTTGTGTCTGGACATGTTTAATACATAAAAATCAAATAACTGAGAGTTGTAACAAGTCGCACACTCAACCCACATTGGCTCTTTCAAAAATTATAAAACTCACAGCAATATACAAGAAAATTTCAGAAGTTGCATACTTTTGAAAATCAAAGTCTATCATGTAGTAGATGTGATTATGATTATAGTTTTTCAGTCATCACACATTGTCTATTCACTGCATTATTTTCTGTGCAAACAATTTTTATGAAATTCAAATAATACCCGGTACACAACACAAAAGCACAAACTTAGATGGACACAGGATTACCATGAACTCTAAATCTGTAGATACATGTAAACTCTAAATGTCCATAATTATCCAATATTCTCAATTCTACTAATCTATATACACTTGGGTTTGGCCGCTGAAAAGAGAACATAAAACAATCAATTATTCATTAAAACTCTTTAACTTAATGACAGTGTGATTGTGAAAGGATTAAAATAGATCAAACATATGCATTTAAAGGTTTAAATATATGCAAATCATTAGTTGACATGTCTTAGACCGACCATCTTTTCAGATCTAGGCATGGGCTTTAATATGACATGGGCTTTGTTTCTGAAATATATTCTGATATTCAGAAATAAATTACTTGTGCAAAGAAATTGGCTAACCTAGTCGCCATAAAACCAATGTTAGTGTTACCTTCTGGGATTCAAAAACAAACAAGAGAATAATAAAAGATCTTAAGATCTAACTTACTTTTACTGGGAAGAACTGTACCGATGGTCCATTATCATTGTAGGTATAGTTTCCTAATAATATAGCAGCATCGCTACTTTCATTTTCTAATCCCTGTAACATAGTCATACAGACATCAGTAAAGAAGTCAAACTCAGTTTCATTTATTACTGATACCCCACTTTCATGTTCCAAAAAACTCCCAGATATTATTATCTTTGTAAATTTAATTAATTCTCTTGCAAAGATAATTTATAACAAAAATAAATATTATACTGTAAAACATGAAATTATTGTGAGCATGAAATCATCGCGAAAATTGCGAGCGAGGCCCTCTCGCAATAATTTCATGTTCGCAATAATTTCGTGAAAATTCCTTAAAATGTCGGCCATATTGAATTACTCCCCCTTGATTACTCTTCACAAGAAAGAGTCCTAATAAGTACTATTCAGCAACATCTCCTTGTAAGCGGTCACGATAAATTCCCCCCCCCGTAAAAATTCTGTTGTTTCATCTCTTTATTCAACGGTCACTATTTTACAAATAAATTCAACAAAACATCGCCCATTCAACGGCCATTGTTGAATGTTACCATCTTGTCGTTCTTTGTAACACCCCGCTAATCCCGTGAGTAGTAGCATGGACCTTATAATATTATGTATTATAAGGTCCATGGTAGTACATGTAGTTAATTAACTGGACCCCCACTGATCAGGTAAAAAGAAATGTAACCCGGGATTATCTATTAATTAATCTTTTGTTTTATTAAACAACTAACCTGGTAATTGTTTTCACGCGTAACCACACATTATTTGATACTGATTGAATAAAATAAAAATACTGAGTTTTGTCACGATCATCTAGTATCTCTTTTCCATCGTCACTTTATTGTTAAACAGACGTTTTAGTGCCTCCTATAATATTACATACAGAGTTACACCCCCTGTAAATAGGAGATAAAATTAGCGGTGTTTTTTTTTGTTCATGTGCTTTTTTGATAAAATAAAATTAATTCATCGATTTTCTTCACAAAAATGGATAAATATTATCGAATGCATCACAATGGTAGACAGTAGTATCGAAGGTTGGTACAAAATGACAAGTTTACACTATTTGCTGTTACTAATGATCACCAATCAACCGATGTTTTAAAGAGCCGACTGTCACCTCAAAGCTATAATCCTCAATAGTTGTTTTTTTACTGTTACTAATGATCACCAATCAACCGATGTTTTGAAGAGCCGACTGTCACCTCAAAATTAAAAATCTACCACATATTATAGACAAATTTACTAAAATAAATTATTTAAATTTGCAATAATTTCATGTCGCAATAATTTTTTCCCCACTATAGAAATTCGCAATAATTTCATGTCGCAATTATGTTTCACCACCCCAACTCGCAATAATTTCATGTCGCAATAATTTCATGTTTTACAGTAATTCATTTATTTAAGTTTGGCTTTCATAAATTATAATCCTTAAATACCCAATAAGCAATATATTTTTAAAGCTTTCAATAATAACCAGTATAATGCATTATATCGGTTTACTTACATAAACAGCAAAATCCTTTGGAGCACTTTTAATATCTCCTGTATTTGAGAGTAATTTAGGTATGTGTTCTAGTGTAAAGCCAGTAGGGGTTATAGGACGAACTAACTGTATGACTATATATCCTTTATTTCCTTTAAATGGCCAACATTCACCAGGATTTACATCAGGCTAAAATCAAATAATGAAATTTGAATTCCAGTAAATGGAACATATATTCAAACGTTTACCATAATTGGATGTTAGAAATAGCGGAACATGTATATTCCAACATTTACCGGTTTGTAAAAAATTAAATTTTTATAAAATATCAAAAGGCAATTGTTAATAAATTGCATGCAATAACTCTATTAATTATAAGACATTGAAATAAGGTAACAATAACAAACCTGTAGAACAGTTCTAGGTGAATTAGATGAATAGTACATTGGTATACCAAATATGCTGACCAGTGCTGTTTTAGGATAGTATGTTTCTGAACATCTAGTACTTAAAACACTGCCACCTAAGGGAATGAAATGATATGATCAGTAATGTAAAGTATATAAATATAAATAAGACTAAAGAATTGATGGAATCTCTCAATAGTATTGAATCAACACCAGGCAAGTTGACAATCATGTAAACACATGAATTGCGTGTAACAAGGCAATTGCAATAATATTACCACAAATCATTAAGACTGAAACAATTATATTAAAGGGGCATTATGGGAGATAAGATAAAGAGTTGACAGTTATTGCTATAATAGTTAAAAATAGATAACATAAATAGAATATACTGAAAATTTTAGGCTAAATATCGCAGGCTAGCAATGACATTGGAATAAGTTAATTAATGTCTAATTAATAATTTAGATAACATTTCAGGCCTAAAGAAAGACCTGCAATAGGCAGATTTAGCTCTTGCATAATGTATGTTTAACATCACATAAGGAAAAGCAGAATTGTTGATAAAACTCAATTTAATTTTGAATGTTTCAGATTATGAAAAAGCACCTGCAGTGTTGTCATTAGCTCATTTCAACAGCAAGCAGTTCTGAAAAATGTAATGCAAAGTTGTAACAGAAAATAATTTATATTAACCTCTATCTATAGAAATACTATTGATTTACCTGCAGATTCTAGTGCATAGTCAGCCATGCCTGTTTTATCAGCACTGAACTTTAACAATGACTCTTCAACTAAGCTTCTTACATACTGAAAAGCAAAAACATAGGTTGCCAGGCAACAAAACATACGCCCACAGCAGCTTCTTCGTCCCATGACCTTAAACACTGTGTATAAATCTAAAGTCAATTGGATATTAATTTTAGCCTCTAAAGCTTGTGGACGCCAAACTGCCGGACGGTAGCAGCAACATTATAAGACCACATTTCAATGTGGGCATATACAAACAAACAATTGTCCATCATATATTTAAATCAGCAAACATTGTTAAATTTGTTAAAGCTGCTGACAGTCATTTACATTTCTTACAAAATGTAATTTCTCATGGCTTAATGGTCATTAAAATTTACTCACATTTGGTTATTTAATAATATATTCAAGAAAACCAAATATCGAAAGGTTGGATTCAATAAGATTAATAAGCGGCCTATCAAATGATTTTAGCAAATAGTACAGATGGAGTTGTCTTGTTTTGACCATATTATCCTATTTATGCCAAATGTTGACACAAATTCTCAATTCATCACATCTCTGTAAATACTCAACAGAATTGATAATTTTGCAACGGATATTATAAGCCTTTTAGAGATCCAACATTGTAGTTTGCAAAGGATTCAAAATTCCTCAAAAGATGAATGTAGATGAATACTAGCTGTGTATTCACTTACCGTTTCACTAATCCCACCTATTCCACCACTTGTGTCTTGACTATTTTCAGATTGAATGATTATTTGTTGGGCTGTGTTTTGCTCAAGAAGGAGTATCTTTTCTGTAATATCATTAGCAAGAGCCTTCATCTTGACCTCAAATTCTTCTTTACTAATATAGTTACCATGTAACCAGGACATAAACATACTGCTAACATCATCTCCTCCACCACCTTGATTACCATCACTTCCACTCATAATCTGTAATAATTTCACAGAAAATTTAACTCCAAATTCAATCAATGTCGATTAATTTTCAAGAATTATAAATTGGCAAATAAATGAAATGAAATGGGGTTCAACTTCCTACTGTTCTGCTTGGGAAATAAAAACATTAGTTGATATCTTTTTTTTATTTCAGCTATACATAAACTAATGTGAAAATTGTCATACAATTTATTTTCTTTAAAAATCTAAACATAACAATTCTGTACATCTACTAATGGTTATAATGACTAGAACATTTATCACTAACACATATTGCAAGGATTTACATATATGAATTTATCCCGTCTTTAAAGTATGAAGGATTTCGGTGAAAAATTAGGACTTTTTACGTCAATTGTTGAATTTAAGTTCAGTAACTAAAATTAAAGCTACGTTCCCAGAAAAGTATTTATCAGGTGTTATTTCCAATAAAAGTATGGCGATTTTGGTATATATGGAAAGTAGAAATATCCAATCTTACTAGAAAAATACTGGATTCCCTGAAAAACATTCATGGAGCGCATACAGGACAAAATGTAAGGGTTTCCCTAATCGACAGCCCGACGATTAGGAGTGTCTGCACGCGTGACGTCAAAGGTTGCACGCGGAGATTGAGTGCTTGATGTACATTTTGATAAACTTTATGAAGAATTAGACGTACAACACTTTCTGAGATAAAAATCACGGAAAAAAGCGCGGGCAGTGGATAAACCGAAAATTTAATTAGGCTTCGATATTTGTAATAAATAGTCAGCGATTAAAGACAACATTGTCTTGTGTATGCAATGAATTCTCCTCCGACTTCGCTTGCGTTTCTAGGTACCAAGAGAGGTAAGTCACGTGACACAAACATGACCTTTTTTGATCGATTTTTTATAGTCAGGGTATTCCCCGACAATTGCAATGTTCTGAGAAGGATTTGAAGCAAATTTATGACAAATTAATTAGTTTGAATATGTTTTTAGTCCAAATATATCATCAAATCACCCAGTTTGTACCCGGGAATGTATCTTTAACACTTAACTTGTTTAACTTTTGGACAAATATTATTTCATAAGAATTCAACATCACAGCAAAGAAGAATATCAATTAAAATATTCATCGTTTAATTAATATAAAATTCAAGTGTTCACAAATAACAGGATTGTGCAGAAAGTCTTGACACTTACCCCAGCCAATATACTCTTCACCTCGTCACGGACGGCTAATGTATAGAAACTATCATTTTTACAACAATTCTGTGCAGCAACTGTCATATCTATATGTGACTGTCTTAATGTACCAATATCAATATTCATTTCTCGTAACTGATCTTCCATTCTTTGAATTCGTAGTAAGGACTGGGCATTAACTTGATCACCTTCCCTAAACAAATACATGTATAACAAGCAATTAATTAGCAAGTAGTTAATTAAAAGTCATTGATCATTATTCGATGGATTTTGAAATCTTTGCAAACTATAATAAGGTAAAGTTGATCAAAATTGTAAATCTCTCTCTATATATATCATTGGATTCAAATTAAATAAATATTTAACAAGTTGTCATTATTTATTTTAAAGGCATTATCATGATCAAATTTCAAGAAATAAAATGAAAATGAAATGGGGTTTAATGTCCTACTGTCCTACTCCGAACTGGGCTAATAAAGATGGGAATAAGCCATACAGTGTGCTACGAGGGAAATTTTGCCTGAACAACGGCACTATGGCCTACTATTAAATCAAATTCCAATTGTCAAGGGATCTTTTACAGTCGTCGTTTTTTGTAAAGTCGAAAAAAGCTCCCCTCAATGAACAAACTAAAAAAATTGCTCCCCTAAAAAAACCTCTCCCTGTTTCGACAAGAAGAGTGATTTAGGAATTAAGGAGAGTGATCTGATATTAAGCAGAGGGATTATTTGTATGTATGGGAAATGGTTCTGAATATCAATAACTGTGTGTAAAGGGTCATTCCTAGTTACATAAATGATAATAAACATCGTCTGCTAAATAATAGTACTCGTAGTTGTACGGTGAAGTCAAACTTTTGCCATCGTCTAAAACTACTTACGGTATTCTAATAGAAGTACTTGTCGACATTTCTAAATATATATAGCTTGTATAAATTTTGTTTAAAAACACGATCCCTATTCAAGATATAATCATAAACGCACGAAAAATTCCATCAAAATATTATCTATTTCTTTCGGAATTTTCTCATTGGAAATTTTCACGTGCCATCTCTCTTAATTTCTCACGTCTCGCGAGAGTTCTACTCTACATTTCAGTTAAATTAACCAATGATGGATAGCGCCATCTATTTTTAGCAATATATTCATCAGAATTTTATTACCATGTGCGATCACATTATACACTAATAGAATACACCAAATAAATGTTCACAATAACAGCGGCAATCGAAATGTGAATCTTTCACACTCTTTCAACAAAAAAAATACATATATGTCCACGATTTACAAATAAGGAGAGCTATTTTCATTTTAAAGCGAGGGAGAAAAACCTCCCCTCGGTTGACATTCAGGTGCGCGGCAGGCGCTCGCAAGCGAATGCGCGCTTCAAAAAACAATGACTGCTTTAACTTGCACGCCAATGTGTACACGGGACCTTGGTTTTTCTCATCCGATCGACTAGACAGCTGTCCTTGTCAGGCTCTCCGTCCTGCAACACTGACAAGGGGGAACCATGCCGGAAAATCTGGATGAACTTTCTTGGCCAATGCAGGGATCGAAAATCCGACTTCCAGGCTAGCGAGCCACTGTCTTACCCTCTTACTTACTCTTAGCCACCGTGACTCTCCTCCCAACACCCGCAAATTTTAAGAGCATTTTGTTTATAAACAAGCTAGAGCCATCTATATGGTAAAATATTTTGATGGGTTTCTTTTTAATCCCATTGAATCCAACCTGGGAGATTATCTACCATTGATATTTTGGTGACTATAAAATGTTAAATAATCAATTTAAGTCCATTTTAGCATGGATTTAAGCCATAAAAATTAGATATTGGCCTAAAATGTAAATGATAATATAATAAAACTTACATGTTTGCATACAGCTTCGCTTGGGACAAATCTTTTTCCAGATCCTATCCAAAACAATGACATGAAAATACAGGATTACAATTTTTGTCCCATAAAAATAATACTGAACAGGTAAAGGTAGCGCCGGTATGACTAACAGTATACCGTCTAGGGTATAGCACAGTAAATAGGGACAATTTTTATGCACAGAATATCAGATATATGGACAACAATTGTAAAATATTTTTACCTTTCTATATCATTATTGACAAATATAGATGGATATGACAGGGAACATAATTGTATTCATTTTTGTGGACAATATTAAAGGATTGTGACATAGCGTCAGATGGTCGACATTTGTTGATTCACAGGCAGTTATTTCATCCACATTAGACTTCGATGTCGACATGGGAAAGGCCTAGATTTGCATACATAACATTATGAAATAGGCACACTCCTTTAGAAATTAAAATATTTGGTAAAAAAAAAACGTGTATTACTTCAGATATATATACCAACAAAAACTTCAATATCTTTCTCATTTTAATAAAAACTTGAAATGTCAAATATTTCTTACAAAAAAACAAATTATATATGTCTTTTCAATCATTACATAGAATTATAAAGGAACAAAGGTAATGATGCTTACCGATGCTCTTACTTCAGCTGCAGACAGTAAAGTTTCTAAAGATGCCAGTTTTTGATTATACTGCTTCTTTTCAACAGACTGTAACAAAATAATAAAACACTTATACATGGGACAATAATCACCAATTAATTATAATGTCTACTAAAACAATATTTACAGCCTAAGGAATAAAAATTAAAATTTATATCACCAGTTGAAATCAAAATATTATTTAAATTTCTATGTATATAGGTATATTGTACAAAGACTGGAAAATATCTCTGAAGATAAGTTATTTTCTTTTTTGACATGTTATTTATCATTTTTTGGACCCTCTTGTGACAAAGAATTTATATTTACCTGATCTGCTTTAGCTTGATTAATCTGTCCAACAAGATCAAGTCTTAATGAATTAAGTTCTTTCTCTAATATACCTCGTATAATAACTTCTATATCTGCCTGCGAGAGAGATGGTGCTTGGTTTCCTTGTAATTGCAAAACTATTTGTTTTACTTTGTCATTCAAATTATATGTATCAAACTGTGACACCTGAAATTAACAAGAAAATCAATCAATATTTATCAAATTCCTTTTATTCCATGTGAATTTTGGATATGTGAACTTATTCCATATGAAATTTTGGATATATGAACTTATTCTCAAAAATGTCATTGTTTACCAAATTTGATCAAACTTTACCTTATTTATTACTACTTGTTCGGTGGTACCCCTTTGAACCCAGAATAAAGGAAGTATATTAGATTTTGCTAGCATCTGTTTTCCATAATATCCTAAAATAAATAATGTAAGATTAACATGTAAAGTAAACTATGTATATGTATGAAGTAATAAAGAATTCAACCAAAAATAGCTGAATATCAGAGAAACTTATCATTTGAATATATGCACAGATTGTTAATAGAGAGTTGTTATAACTACACAAGCTACAGTCAATGCAGACTGGTCGACAGTCTAAAGAAATACTAATTACCTCATGATACTGTAGCAATTTGATCAGTTTAATTCATTTTTTCATAAGACTGGATAACAATGAAGCAGATATCAGAGGAACATTTCGTAATGACTGACAACTCAAACATCGCTTATTGGAGTAATCTGCCAAATCCAGCAATGAGAAAATTTTCCGTAGCATTGACTTTGAATAACAATAGAGGCTTGCCCTCTGTGAGTAATGCAAAATGAACAATCGGCATAATTTCCACCAAATTTGGGTGGTAGTCCTGAGCATAGTCACAAATGAAAATAAAACAAAATGAACAATGTTACTCACCACCAAACAAGAGTAAAGGTAGAAGTAATAATAATAGTGGAACACAAATACAGCAAAACTGTCGTCTAAATAAAGAAAAGAAAACTTATATAAGACAATATTTTATTCAAACCCAGTTGTCTCCCCTTAGACCACAATAGAAATTTTCCCATCAAGACAATCATGCAAAGATAAGGTCAGGAAACCTTGATCTAACCATCAAATACATTTGAAAAAAGCAAATAAATCAAAAGGTTATCTTCCCTTTGACCACAATGTGACAAACCATTTATCTATTATAGCAAATTGAAGTCATTTCTATTGTGATCACAGGTTACCTCCAACTTTAAAAAAAAAAAGGGCAATTTAATACAACATACCTTCTTAAAATCCAAAAATCGAGCAATACAAAATATGCCATAAAAGTAGTAAATTTTCTCCACAACCATTCATATGATGTCCGCACTGGTGGTCCTAAAACTTTTACAATAGGACCATACAATGGTTCTGTCATGTATGTAAAATAAGCTAAAAAAAAAAAAACAAAAACAAAAGAAAACTTTTATTCAAAAGTCAGAGTTATTCAAAGTACCACTCTATACAAATCGGACAAGAAAAAATGATATTTAAATGTTTATATAGCCATTTTTTACAATCAACTGGAAATCAACATCTAATTTGAAATATATCAAGTAAACTCTAGAGTAGTAAAGAAAAATGACAAATCATTTCCAAAGTATTTCACTTCCCCAAAAATGTCTTTCTTAATTATGATGTCCTAAAACGAGATAAGAAAATTCTTTATTTTTACATGTGACAGAATATATCACAAAACTTTCAGAAGAGACATTTGGGATGAAACAATATCATGAGAAATTTGTGTATCATGGTACAGGAGATATACCCTTATCAACACAACCTTGATGTTAACTTACTATATATTGTGGTTATTGTTGTAATAACAGTTTCTGTAATAGTTTCATTAGCTGTATCGGTACTCCATGTAGAACTACCACTAGACACAGTATTACCATCATGTACATCTACAAAATACAACTTATACTAAGATCCTTATAATTATAACATACAGTAGAATCTGCATTAAGCAGCCACCCAAGGGAATTTTCACGACTGACCGCTTAACGGGAGTGGCCTCTTAATAAAATCTCGGTGTTTTTTTTGTGCTGACATCAAGTACATTTTACGCTTGGATGCATCGGGAGCAAATATCAATACTTGCATCGGTAAATTTTGCCGTCGCTGAAATTTGCTTGGAACGAAAATTCATTACTCAAATCTCAAAGATAACTGGTCATTTTGTACCAACCTTCGATACTACTTTCTATCATTGTGATGCATTCGATAATATTTATCCATTTTTGTGAAGAAAATCGATGAATTAATTTTATTTTATCAAAAAAGCACATGAACAAAAAAAAAAACATCTCTGATTTTGTCCCCGATTTACAGGGGATGTAACTCTGTATGTAATATTATAGGAGGCGCTAAAATGTCTGTTTAACAACAACGTGGCAATGGTAAAGAGATACTAGATGATTGTGACAAAACTTGCGGCTTCGTTGGTACTTTTAGTTTATTCAATCAGTATCAAATAATGTTTTGTTACGTGTGAAAACAATCATCAGGTTAATCGTTTAATAAAACAAAAGTTTAATTAACAGATAATCCCCGGTTAGTTATTTTCACATTTCTTTTTACCTGATCAGTGGGGGTCCATTTAATTAACTACTACTCACGGGATTAGCGGGGATGTTACGAAGTACGATAAGATGGTATCATTCAACAATGGCCGTTGAAACGGCGATGTTTTGTTAAATTTATTAGTAAAATAGTGACCGCTGGCTGTGTTAGAGGAGTGACCGTTGAATAAAGAGATGGAACAATAGAATTTTTATGGGGGGAATTTATCGTGACCACTTACAAGTAAGGTTGTGCAAAAATATCGATATAATCGATAATCGGTAGAAGTTATTTAGCGATACGATAATCGATATTGAAATTCAAATATCGATTATCGATATATTTACCTTCTGACGGCAAGTTACGGTCACTTTCACATGACTGAACATGCCGTAGTCTGGCATTAGCAGACGAATGAATGAATACACAACGTCAACACAACTATTTCCCCCCTCCGCTTACAAACTGGCACATTTTAAATATATATTATTGTAAAAAAACTAAACTTTATGATTAAATACATTATTTTAATATTTTCGTTGTTTTTGTTGTTATTACTAGTTGAAACTAAAATAGGTCACGCACTTTGTGAACAATGACAATCGCACGTGATATATAGTAAAATTAGAATTATCTCCCTTCTTTGTTCTTGGTTGATTTGTAGAGAAATCGTCTGCTTTCACGATAAAACTAATTGTATTATTAATGATCAACTCCGCTTTTATTACTAAATCATGTCAGATACAGCCCATACAAAACACGTTTTTGACTTCCAGGGAAAATATCTATATCTCTCGTAATTTCGTGGAAGAATTCTACTTTGGTTTTCATCTAAATTAACCAATCATAAAAATTCTACTTTGAAAGCCCGTAATTATTTTTTTATTGTCCAATCAAAAGACGCCTTCTATTTTATTTTATTCTATTAGTAGTAACACTGTGTGATCGCCAGTCACTTGCAAAGAGAAACCATGTATTGTCTTTGTATTTATCGGAGATAAAAAAAGGTTCAAATGAATCAAGAACAGAACTTAGAATAATACTCAAGTTAGTCCTACATTTAGCAACTAATTATTTTACATTAATTGATTTTTTCACGTACATCGGCACAGTATTAGACTAGGATAATAACACTACTGTAACTCGATCAACACAAATAACAGGTCGGTAAAGTTCGGATTTTCCCGGAAAAATGATAATCGATTATTATCGATAATCGCTGACAAATTCTTGCCGATAATCGATATTGAAATTTCATATCGATTCCCAGCCTTACTTACAAGGAGATGTCGCTGAACAGGAGTGGCTGCTCATACAGATTCTACGATAGCTGAGTAATACAGGTTTCCTGAATCGGAAGTGACGAACGCCAAAGGAAAACACAAGTCATACCTCTATATAACTGACTGATGTGACGAATGATAACAGATACACGGCCGAATTTCTGCTCACTAATAATTCCTTCCACGACAAAAAGTTGTTGTGTGAGACTGTGAGAGGAGATCTGAATAAAAGGACACATACACAAGCATCTCTTAGGAATGACTTGTTCAGTATGGTCCTTGTTTGTTCTAGCATAATTAGGTCATCTGTTTGACCATCAAAACTTTCATTGTTTTTTAATTATAATTCAAAGTGACATGTTATTCTTAAGAGTATCTGCGTTAATATCAAATATGATTTAAAATATACTCGACTAAAACAGCTTGCAACATGTAATACTTTAATCAATAAATATACTTTTCTCGGCAGATAAATATATTTGCCAATCAATGATTATGTATTTAAGACTGAAAACAAATATAATTACCTGACTCATCATCAGAATCCAGACCTATAACAGAGATATTAAGGAAGTTAGTATTTATATACATGTATTTTTTTTTTCTTATTAAAAGAGATTTTGGTACAAAACAGATGATAAATTTTACTAAACATTTTCCTTTATTTAGAAACAAAATATTGTTTGGGCTTGAGGATTAATTTACTCTAGCAATTTTATGAAAAAATATAAAGCTTTGCATTTAAATGGATGTAAGGATGTCAAGTAAGTATTTTCAAAAGATAAGCTTACTCAACTGACCAAACTATTTCATAAAAATACTTTCTACAGGACTTACCATACATGTGGTCAACAGAACTTTTAGTGGTTAAAGAACTGTTTGAACTATAGGAACCAACATTATTATTTCTTGGAGATCTTCTATTTTGTGATTTTTCACTCGTTTCATAGGCTGCTTTTTCTAATTCGGTATCTTCATAATCAAGTCTGCGTTTCAATGATTGTAACTGAGTGGATGAATTAACGGAGTCTGTAGATGAGGTTGTAATATATTCAGTGTTCATATTATTAGATCGATTGTAAATTTTTCTAGATGAAGAAGAAGGAATTATATCAGACTGTCTTTTTGAATGTTGATCCATAGAATCTATGGTTGCCTTGATTCCATGTAAATGACTGCCAGATCTTAGAACCATTCCATCTTCGGTTTCTATATATCCTAAAAAGACAATCATTGGATTGAGATTTATTTAAATTCTCTGATGGTGTTTCGGGAGATATTTAATCCCCTGTAATATGAAATTCAAGTCATAAAGATAGGTTGCCAGGCAACGAAACATACGCCCACAGCAGCTAAATCGTCCAGGCAGCAACAAGAGTTATCGCATATTATTACTTTTTTCGGTGATGAACCATTTATAATACACTAAAATATGATTAAGAGTAACAACTCATTATGTAATTATCAGCAAATCATTAGAATCTGTTTGGCCCATGCTAAGGTTTAGAAAAGGAACATTTAATATCATGGATTTAGCTGTTCAAGTTATCAAAATTCATTGAAAATCAATCTACTTGTTCGTCTCAATTATCGGAAATTGTTGAAAATCAAGAGGCTTCTTCGTCTTATGACCTCAAACACTGCGTATAAATTTAAAGTCAATTGAATTTTAACTTTAGCATCTAGAGCGTCCAGAAGATTTTTCAAAGTGATCAAGGGTCATAACTCTGGCAGTAATTATCCGATATCACTGAAAATCAATAGGATTCTTCGACTCATGACCTTAAACATTGTGTATAAATTTAAAGTCAATCGGATATCAACTTTAGCCTCTAGAGCGTCCACAAGATTTTTTGAAGTGATCAAGGGTATTAACTCTGGCAGTAATTATTGGAAATCGTTGAAAATCAATAGGCTTCTTCGTCTCATGACCTTAAACACTGTGTATCAATTTAAAGTCAATCGGATATTCACTTTAGCCTCTAGAGCGTCCACAAGTAATTGTGGATGCCGGACGGACGGTGTGGGGGGGGGGGGGGACGACAATATACGACCACATTTCAATGTGGGCGTATAAAAAGGAATATCAGTCAGTTTCATTCAGTATTAAGACGATATAAAGGCGGTATTGTCAAAACAAGCCAGTGGCAACTATAATATTTTGATGAGCCTCTTTTTAAATCAATTGAATCCATTTAATTAAAAGCTAAATAAACAAGTTGTGAAAAATTAGATATTGTACAAAAAATACAAACAATGATCATCTACTTTAAGACAAAAATATATTGTGTGCTTCACATAGTTCAAAAGAAAAGCAACAGTAAGCTTTCTTATACTTGAAAAATATATATTTGAAAATGCTGAAGGGTAACATTCATAGAAATGCATACATGTCATTCCCCATTTGTACGAAAAAAACCAGAGTAACTTACTTCTTCTACTACTGGACGATGCATCATCATCAACAATATCCGATTCTTCATCACTATATTCATCAATAACTTCTGTTTCATTAGAATTTAATAAATAATTATCAGTCTCATTTCTACTGTTGTTCATTCTTTCACTATAAGAATTATTAAGATTTTCACTGAGTCTATTATTGGTTTCTAAGTAACTACTACCTATATTATAACTGTTATTAGAGGTTTGTATTGTGGAATATGTAGTAGTTGTTGTTGTTGTTTCATTTTCTACTATATTAGTTGCACTATTACTATATATCCCTCTGGCTTCTGGAGAGAGTGTTACATTCCTGTGTAATCTTCTACGAGACATATTGGGACTAACGTAAGGTTTGTCAAGTGCCTCCCTGCAATAACTTCCACTGAAATAAAGAAAATAAATTTGAAAAATTGTAATATGGTTTTATACATTAACAGTGGTTGTGGTTGTAGGCTCCAGTACATTGTCATTCATTGAATCAATCTTAATAACCAACAGCAAAGTAAGTTTAATATTCTTTTTTTTTTTTTACAAAAAACAATTTTCATTTTTCTTTTCTAAAATCCAATTTCTCTATTACAGAAAAGTAGGGACATAACTTTTTTTTTCCAACACATATTATTATAGATTTACATAACAGATTATATATAAAATATTAAAGTTATGACAATTCAAAGCTAACATGGTCACTGTTGATATCATAATCACTATCTATATTTTTGTTAGACAGTAATAGTAATTGTAATTGTGCTATCCTTTTTGTACAAGCCAACCCCCTCTGATCTACTTAATAACAGCAGTCTCTACATTAAATAGTTATGTCAATGGTCTGGCTTGTGCCTTTAATTTCAATAAGAAAATTAAGTCATAATTAGTAACATATATATCAGTGAGTTTCCTGGGTGTATCAGACTAGGCAGTATAATCATTAACCAAGAATAATAATGAATCATGCTTCAAAACATAACTTCCATGCTAGTTTTAGTAAGATATACAATCCTGATATTCACAAGTAGAAGGTGAATTAACAAAAAAACCCAATAACAACGGACATCACTGAGACATTGAGTTTATTTCTAATTGTGTAAAAAAACACTGCTTCAAACAGGAAACAATTGTGAGCATTATTGTACTTTTTGATTTTTAAAATATTTGTTAATTCATAATAGCGCAATTTTGTTTCAATTTTTTAAACACTAATTAGTTCCTGTCAATCTTCTCGAATACGTATTTCAGAAAATGAATATTTATACCACTGCTGCACTAGTTTTATCTGTAAGAGTGTAAGGATAGTTTTAATTCAAATATATTTTGTAGAGATATTCATGCTTAATATGATTTTCACTGGCTATGTGATAACAAGTAAATAAATACATGTAATAAGCCATGCTAAAGACAGTATATTTTCAGGTGCATAGCATCAGGATCTTTTGAAATGTTTAAATTTTACAAACCTTTTAAAACAAAGTCAGTTCCTTATGTTTATACGAATAGTTAAACAAACAACTTATATCTTGGATAAATATAAAAGAATTTCAGCTACTTTTTCAACTTGTCCATGGATGGATAATCAAAAAATGACAGGGTGGGATTTCAAATCAAGTCTACTTTAACAAAATTTGCATAAAAAGTGTGGGTGTTTAGAGGAATGTCCTAGAATTAGCTATTTGAAAATGAAATACTTTCTTATCTGCATTCATTTATTTTAAATTCACATTAACCCTAGAGTGATATTTTCCACAAATATAATTACATAGAATTATTCATGTGCACACAACATGTAAGCTTGCCTAAAAGTTAAGTACATACATACTGGTACATATAGATTATAAATGTACCAAATACTTTAAAATCTACTGATAATAACATTTGTGTTGAGATATGGTATAAATGATAATCATTGATAATGTACATTTGGCAGTATAATTATTCAATTTCATATCTGTTGGTTCAGAATATTTCCTCTCTGGTTATAACAAGATGTAATCAATTATTACAGTCCAATTATTACTGTCCATATTAATATTTTTAAGTTTGAGTGTCAAGTCTCAGGATCTTTTAATATTTAAACCACCCATTTTAAATTCTGAAAAACAGTGAATACAGAAAGAACAAGCCAACAGTGAGGCTGATGTCCCCCACCTAAATCCCAAAATAAAAAGATGACACATATTAATTAATCGCACATTTATTGTTTTCAAAAGTATCAAGCAATCAAACCATACACTAAGTTTCACCAATCTCTATCAGATAGAATCAAGATTATCTTGTCCCAAACCATCGACAGATGAAATCGATTAGCTCTGCTTAGCGTCAGCTCGAAATGCTAATCATTGAACTCAGTCAAGACATTCACCTAATGAACATCTACATCAAGTTTAAACATTCACCTAATAGACACCTACGCCAAGTTTGAACATTCTACCTCAATTAGAAGGAGAGTTATTGTGTTCCAAATTCTCAACCAATCAAATTGCTTATCACTCTGATTACCTTCAGCAAAAAATGTTCATTATCGAACTTAGTCAAGGTATTGATGTAATAAAGCTATACACCAAGTGTCCTCACTCTCACTTAATTAGAACTAAAGTTATCATGTCCCAAAGCATCAAGCAATCAAACTGCTTATCTCTGCTTACCCTAAGCAGAAAATTGTCATCTTCGAACTCCATCAAGGCATTCACCTAATAGACACCTACGCCAAGTGTGAACATTCTAACTCAATTAGAATGAGAGTTATTGTGTTCCAAAGTCTCGACCAATCAAATTGCTTATCACTCTGCTTACCCTAGGCAGAAAATGCTCATCTTCAAACTCCATCAAGGTATAGACTTAATAAACACTTACACCAAGTTTGAACATTCTGGCTCAATTAGAAGAAGAGTTATTGTGTTCCAAAGTCTCGGCCAATCAAATTGCTTATAGCTCTGCTTACCCTGAATCCTCATTATCGAACTTAGTCAAGGTATTGCTGTAACGAAACTCTCACTTAATTAGAACTAAAGTTACCGTGTCCCAAAGCATCAACCAATCAAATTGCTTATCTCTGCTTACCCTAAACAGAAAATGCTCATCTTCGAACTCCATCAAGGCATTGACCTAATATTAATAAACACCTACACCAAGTTTGAACATTCTAGCTCAATTAGAAAGATAGTTATTGTGCCCCAAAAAGTGTGACTGACGGACGGATGGACAGACAGACGGACGAACCCATTTTAATAGTCCCCTGCTTTCTTCGAAAGGCGGGGGACAAAAAATTGTTGTTAAAGGAAATCAATTCTTTGTTTAATTCAAAAGTCAATCATCCAAACAAAGTAGAAGAAAATAGTGGTTCCTGTATTGTAATCTTGTCCAAAAAGACTATGCAAACATTTCTAATTGATTTGGTACATGAAAATGGTCCAAATCCCATATTTAAACTCAATAAATAGCATGAACAAGTGGTTGCCATGCAAGATACGCCCACATTTTGCAAGAGATGGACAGAGAACAAGTTTAAAAAATTAAGCGATTTTTCGTATAATCACTGGCAATAATTCAAGAAGTTACGTTCCGATATGCGTAAATATCTACAGGTACCACTACCAAGATATAGAAATATATTTTAAGTTATATCTAAATTAGATAAAACTCAAAGCTGTTTGCGTACAAGGAGCTGTCATTTTGTCCGGTAGTTTTGTTCAGATTTTTCTGAAATTCGAACTAAACCGACATTATGGTGTAACAGTGATATATAAACGTTTTTTTTTAAAATCGGATAGAAATTGTAAGCTAAAAACGTGATTTTTCATACAATCAACGGATACGAATTGTGACCTGTAGAGTGTCCACAAACAAATTGTGGACGAACGGGGGACAATGACAATATACGTCCACATGAAAATGTGGGCGTATAAAAAGATGTAAATACTTGACTTCTGGTAATCAATGCAGATGATATCAGTATCAAACACTAATTACGGTCATTGTGAGCATATATTTTATCAGAATATCAAAACACGTGATAATTTGATAGTCAGACGATTTGTTGAAAAAAGGAATATAGAACTGATTAAGATTTACTTTGAGAGACTGATTGAATGTATAAAGAGAAGGTGTACTGACATGTCAAAGTATTAGTTACTACAGTAAAACTACATGTACTACTATCAGTCATCTGTTAAGCACTGTGATTTTGTGTGTCGTATATTCAAAAGCTTAATATCCTAGCAACACATATCTTTAACAAAATGTGTTATATTCAATATTAAAATAAACAAATAAATGCAACCCAATTTGTATCATTCTTAGATATCAATTATTGTTAATTAGCAGAATTTAGAAAACATACATTTGTTAATAAAATGAATTAAGGAAAACTATATGATTACATACATGATATTTTCTCACTCAAAAGCTGCCAAAACAAAATATTTTATAAACTGTGATTCAAAAAAGCTTGACAATTCTTGATACGATTAAAAATATTCATAAAAGCATACAAAATTTGCAATGGGTTTAAGACTTTTCAACTGATTTTTCATACCATGCAATCATCAGTGTGTGTTCACATATGTAGTCATTACTAAGTACAATAAATCAAAATTTTTTTAAAAAATAGGCTACTGCTATACATGTATTACATTCAATATCCAATATTAAAACTATTTTAACGTTGATAAATGTACATGAAGATAAATAAAGAGAGGGGAATTCTTAAAAAAAATAAAATTACCTTCTTGCGTATGTATAATCTGTCTTGGGCATTCTGAAAATTAAAAAAAAAAATAGAAAATATTTTTTTCTTCAAAATTGCTGATCAATGTACATTAGTATGTCTGCCTATCAAATATCATCTTTGTACTACATATCAGACAGGGTCAACACAAGTTTGATTTTACGATTGATCAGAATGGTCTTTTATAATATATGTACCAGTACTTACATATCAAATATTTCATCTTGTAAACACTCATCAATACTTAAATCTAAAATACCATTTCCCAATTTTGTGAAAAAACTGCTTTCCTTAAATTGAGAACTTGTTTCTGATTGTGCCGATTTATTTCTGGAAAAACAAAAAGGGAGCATAAGATTGAGGTCAAACAAAACATATTGTATGTGTTCAAATATTGAGTAAGCTTCTGCATATATACACTATGACACTCATTTTTAAAAATGTGAACTCAGTAAGTTTATTAGATTTTGAGTACAACCAATTTAAACTAAAGTCAACTAAAATTTCATGATAACTATTTATTTATGACACTCAACTTAGATTGTTAGATTTCATGTTTCCTGGATAGTTAACACACCCACAATATAGTGAAGCTTTACTTAAATTAAGGCAACAAAATCTGTATTATTCAGAATGGTATAGGCCCTGGCCATGCAGTTAGGGTTGGGTTAGGGTTAGGCTTCAGGTCACAACTCATAAACATGTATTTATTTCACATGAAAACTTACTTCAAAAAGCCTCTAAAAACAAACTCTTTTTCCGCCATTTGTTATTGCAATTGAAAAGTGAATTGAGATGGAGAGATGAAATAAAGCAAGCTTCTACATAGTACACATGTATCTACTTCTTTATGTACACTATTATTAAGATAGCCACATACATGTACAGAAGCAATGAGTATAAAATATGTTTAGCTTGTCATTGTATACATGTACACCCTATGTATAACAGTACACAGTGCATAACATCTGGCAGTTATAAATAATGATATCTTATCACATTAAAAAGAACCAAGTGAAGTGACCAATACTACCAATTGACATACCATATAGTAAATTGGTCTATAGTTTGTTTAATAGTATACACTAAACCTCACCACTACTGTTGACCTAATAATTCTATGTAAACAGGTATGACGCCCTTTTATACAGTCCAGAGAAATAACTTTGTCTACATATACTTGTCTTATAATTTTATAACCCGTTTGCAGATTGGTAATCCACTCCATATTAAGACTTTAATCTTATCAATATATATCAAGTAGTCAAGTGATAAACCAATATCCAAATCATCAGGTTATAAACAGAAAATATTCCACAGACAAATCTACTTCAGTTTAAAGTATGTAAAAAGATTGAGATAACAAAAGGCTAGCTTCAGGTGTCAGTGTGCACAGGAGAAGAAATTCATACTCCTCTCAACTAGGTGAATTTTTATTTTTTTATTAAAACTAACACAGAATACATGATGAATATCAATCAAATTTTCTAGATGTGCCTGTCTTTGTCTTACAACGCTTACTGTCACAGTGTGTTTACATCATACAATAATTCATTTACAATTCAGAATATAAGACAATTAACAATATCCAAATCAACATTAATGGTGGAATTTTTTTTTTTACAAGGTGCCAGAATAAAAGATTTTTGTAATCATTATATAGGATAATCTTTGGTTACATAATAAAAAGGATCCTGTCCATGATAAGGATTGTAAGCTATACTAATCCTTCTGTACAAGTTAAGAGTTAGTTAAAATAACTGATAGCAGAGACAGAGTTATAAATTTATAAAGTAATGGTTTAGGTTGGACTGCAAGTCAACTGAAATATACTGTATGTATGATTTGTTAATTATGGTATCTGCACAATAAATCTTATTTTAGTTTTATTGAAAGGTAATATCATAGTTAATGTCATTCATAATCACTGCGTCTTCTTTTGCTGGTATAATATAGCGAAAAATATGGCAATAGTTTCACTCTACTTAAAGTAGCTAAGTCTCTAACTCAATATCATCCAAAATCTTCAACATTGAAAACACAAATTATTTGTCAATTTAAATCAACATTGATGCTGTGATCTTACCGGAAAAAGATGGGCTTCTGATATCCAATATTTAAGACAAAATAAACATTTTACCATTGGTACACGAATCGTGTACCATAATGCGTTCCAGCCCCAGTTCTAGCAAGAGACTCGAGGAACGAGGCTAGACATATTGCACCAAACCAAACGGCGATGCATTCGATTGAGACTGCTGGCTTATTTCGCGGAACATAACTGATTTGAAATTAGAGTAAAAACGGAAAACATTGAATGTATATCAGTTTATATACATTCATATTACAGTATTATTGGAGTTCCGACCCACTTGTGTCAATTTCTAGGTCCCAAATGTTAGCGATTTAGCTCCTATTAATTGACATACAGTATTTCAACAATAAATAATCAATCCGATATCAATTCTAGACCAAGCATCCAAGACCCAATTACAGATTTGGATATTTAATAAATATATTATAAAATGTCACTTTCAGAACATAATAATTATGTTGACAACATTTAAAAAGAAATCAACCAGTCCATTTAGGGTTACGGTAAGCAGTGTAAAGATGATAATAATCATTTTAAGTATCAAATTTATTTGCAATGTACAGTAATTAGGAAGCCATGAGAAGTGCACCTTGCTTACCAGAGTGAGTTTTTTTTCGACAAGAAATTATTTCTGGAATGGCTCATATATTCAGTAATTACTGGTGCAAATTATTATCCCAATGTACCTTCTATTTCAAATAGAACAAAAAATTATCTCAAAAAGTAATTCATGGACTGTGCAATATTGATCATTTTGCATTACAACTTGAACTTACAAGTACCGTACAAGGTTATCTGTTTCACTTTTTTACTTTTAGTGTTTAAAACACTCATTACTGACAAGAAAAGTACCGTTTCTTTTGGTTAACGCGCATCTTTGCAGCGTGTGGTTTGAATTTAAACGAAACGCAGGTTACGTCTGTCAAAATGAGATGATGTATAGCCCAAGCATCCCCGTTTTAGGCGTTTATATGAAAAAATCCAGAAAAAGACAAAAAAATTAAGCCGTACTGCTTTAATAATTTACTCACAATGTTGGGTATAATCCAGTGTATTTTGATTGTTTCTCAGGCGATAACGATGCCATCGTTTACTAGTGAATAATATTACGTATCCATGATGCAGAGACCGCAATTTGACGTTGTTTAGAGACAAGCAACGAGATATCTAAATCAACTTCGATATTTTGGGAGTTCTAAAAGCATTTCTCTTGCTTTGATCGGCAATATGGCCTTTGTTTATGATTGGTGGTTATTTTTAGTAAATGGGACACACCTGGCGTCATACCTAGGCGAGATTACTCTTGGTTAAAACTGTCGTCAATTGTGGGCGCAGACCACATTTAATATCATTTAAAATTTAAATGTATTTTAAAACAAATACAAGTTTCCATTTGACGTGAGTGTGCTGCCTTCACCCACTAGGCTTGATCTTTAGAATGACGTTTTTCAAGGGATAAAAGTCATAGGATACGGTGTCATCTAATACCAGCACTGGTCTAGAGCATTGGTTCTCAACGTTCTTTTGGCAACGGGACACCTTGGAACACATGAAAAAATAGCGGCACACCTGGTTAAATGAAAAATATTTGAATTTTCCTAATTAAAAACATGGCAAGTCATAAACGGCATACAACCGTAGACACAGACCAGTCACAGAAACACTCAATGACTCAAACTAAAAAAAGAAAAACACAGCTATGAACGTACCAGTGAATACTCAATTGGGATCAAGTGGCTTTTCGCATTTTCTTAGTGTGCCCGTTCAAAATTTCGCGGCACACTCAGGATGATCTCGCGGCACACTGGTTGAGAATCACTGGTTAATGGCTTAGATTTAGAGCTTAACCATTACAGTCCTCTTTATCTGCTTCCGAACGCTACAGTAAAATATTTGAATTACAGAGTAATTCTGGCGTCAACCGTTATATCAGTTATTAAAAGACATTTATTCACGCAAGCCCATAATAGTTAAACGAATTCGTTATTTATCATGGCAATGGAACTTGGCAATCGACAAAGTTTAGGCTATTTCTTGTCAAAACCTCAAACATTCATAACTTTGACAGAAATTTTCGACATATTCATTTTTCATTAGACTCTATCCTATCCTATTGGCCAGATATTTCTCTCAATTTTACAAATACATAATGCATCTTTAACTTTAAATTAAATATTTCACAGAACACGAGAGTCGACTACCGCTACTATGTACTAGTGCGTTACCGTACCGTATACAATACATTTTGATCATTATTTACAACTACTACTACTAGCGGTTGTCCCGGCGCTACGCCCTTAAACTCCCAAACCCGGCAACCGGAGTGGTAGGCCATCAGTATGTTACTCCCCGGTCCGAGCTACTGCAGGCTATAGTTATACATACACCAAATTTCAGCCCCGTGACAGTCACGGTCCCAGGGTAGCCGCCAACCATGAACAGACAGGCAATCACAAATATTAGTACATTTGTATAGTAATATTAATAATAGTATAGATAGATTATATAAAATTCACGTCACCCCACATATTGACGTAAACAAATCGACCCCACGAAAAACTACCACGGCACTGACACCATTTAAATTATACTAATAGCTTAATAAGTTACATTTCATTCATAACTTCATTACTACGGCTAAGCATAGAACTAGAATACTCTATAGACACAAAAGTGCCACACAAGATCTCCCCAAGTGTGCCGCGAAATTTTGAACGGCACACCACACTAAGAAATTGCGAAAAAACATGTGATCCCCATTGAGTATTCACTGGTGTCTACTGATAAGTTCATAGCTGCTGTGTTTTTCTTTATTTAGTTTGAGCCATCCTATGCGTCTATCACTAGTCTGTGTCTACGGTTCTATGCCGCAGCGTATATGATTTGCCATGTTTTTATTTTGCAAAATGCAAATATTTTTCATATATATTTAGCCAGGTGTGTCGCTATTTTTTCATGTGTTGTAAGGTGTGCCGTTGGCAAAAAAAAAAAAAAAAGGTTGAGAACCACTGGGCTAAGTCATGCAGTGTGACCTGTCTAGGCCCACAAGTAAGCCTAGGCTAGGCTAGTACTTTTAATTTTACTACTATGAATCAGTATGACTACAGGTTTTACAGTACGGTGTAGGCCTACGGTAACGGTAGGTAAGTAGGCCCTACTGCCTGGACGTTATAATAAATTTGTAGCCTACTAGGCCCTATAACAAACTGAAATGCCTACGACCCCTACCTACTAATACTAAATACTATTATTATTATGGTTAACTTTCCTGCAACGCAAGACTCTATGAGTATGACCAATTCAGAAATACAATAAGTAGGCCCCCTAATAATTACTATTATTTAGGCCATAGGGGAGGGAGAGAAATGGCGTTTAACGTCCACTCGACATAAAACAGGTCATTTCGGGACTAACACATGGTTCAATTTTATTTCAATAATTCGCTTGCGTGTAGGGGTCTATAGCAGTGGGAGGAAACCGGAGGACCTGGGGAGAAAACCCACGAGGTTGGACAGGCGACCCTACTCCTTGTCACGCAATACAACCGCCCAACCCCGGAGAATCGAAACCACGCCAGTGTACTCAATAGAAACCTTATGAAACAGCGCGCACGTGCTAACCATTCATCCATCCAACCCCCAAAGATATTAGGAGTCTTGTCTTAGTCTAGTATAAAATTGCAAAAATGTATTGTTTTGTCTTCAGAATCAATATTTAGTCAATACAAGACTGTGACCTACTTCATATTTTTGTAAATGGCGTCGTGTTGACGTAACTCTTGTCATGCGCAATATGACAATTACAGGGAACACTAGATCGGAGAAGATCCTGCACATACGACGTCATATGTGGATTGTGCGTGCCGTTAGGGTTAGGATATGGGTTAGACTTGGTCCATGGCTAGGGTTGGGGCTCTCCTACAATTACGTAATACTATACATTATGCTTTCCCCGGGACATCTCATAGACTTAGTTTTACATCATTTTATGCCCTGGGAAAATCGACATTCCTCGTATCCGACAATTTTGTATTTTACAGGGTTTTCAAGTTATTGTACAGTAGCCTACCAACGGTCTAATTCCACTGTCCATAAAACAAAAGTCGGACAGAAAAAATGACGTGGACTTTGACAGGGAAACGTGTCTTAACAGCGTCAAAAATTTAGAATCAAATTCCAATTGTGCAGCTCTTGCCAGGCCCCAAAATTCGCCCATACCAGCAAATGAACAACCACAAACAGGGGCGACATTAAGAGTCGCAGGGCCCAATTGGGATATTTATTTTTTTTTTTTTAGCACCCCAGGTTCCCAGTCTAGACTTGTTTTACTAGTTTTAGTGAAATTTAGTCAGTTTAGCGTTCTGTAGTAGCAACGATTTTGTTTGCATAGTGCGGTCCTCCTGTAGGCCTATTTACTATTAAAACCCACCCTTATGACATGATGCAAGAGCTAAATCTGTCTATTGCAGTCTTTCTTTAGGCCTGAAAATGTTATCTTAATTATTAATTTAATTTGACATATTAATTAACTCATGCAGACCATAATTAACTCTCGATGTCATTGCTAGTCTACGATATTTACTGGATTAGAATCCGTTCTGCTGCTCAACGCTCATTGATGATTAAATAACAAAAATGGATAGGCCTAACCGAGACAATGTTTTTTTATCGTACCGACTTTAGTATATGATGATCGTAGCTAGGCCTAAAATTCAATTGCTAAATTCTCGGTTCAGAGCGGATCAAATTCCCTTTACATTATCTAGTGTTTAACTATTATAGTGAGAACTCCCATAATGTCTATAACTTACCGAAACCATAATCAAATCTCGATGCCATCGCTAGCCTGTGATATTTAGCGGATTGGAATACATTTGTTGAAAAATAATTAAACGTAAAAGTGGATAACCGAGACTTTGTTTTTTGTATCGTATATCGACTTTAGTCAAATTCAAAAGCTAAAATCTTGGTTCAGAGTGGGAACAATTTGACTAAAATTTTCAGCATATTCTATTTGCGATCTATTTTTAACTATTATAGCGAGAACTGTCAACTCTTTATCTAATCTCACATAATGCCCCTTTAATTAACTAGGGTGCTGACAGGGGCTCCCAACACGTTATAGAAATTTACGATCCGAAAATTTTGAACTTCGATATATATAATTCGTCCGCTAGGCATACAGATATCGGGTTGAACGGTTGTCATGGACATCTGATGCACGATTTTGATGGGGTATTCTAGCGTCATTTTGGCACATTTTGCTAAAACACAGACACTGACCATACAGCATGTGACATACCGGATACATATACTTCGTTTTAATTTTACTGATAATCAAAAGTACACGATTTTGACAGGAAGCAACCAATTGAAACGCAAAAGCCGTGACCATCAGAGGCCAAAATATCAAAAGATTTTTTTTTTAAGCACATTCGATTCCACTTGGCAAACCTCAACAGATTCCAGTAGGCCTACCCTACATTGAATGTAATACATGGTTTGGAGACGAACAATAATTTCACCGTTTTTAATACCTTAAATCACTGTCCAAAGTTTTAGGGAAGAACCCAGATTAAACGAAGGGCTGTCATGTTGCTGTACTTGGGATAGGCCCTAGATTTGATTTAACGGGAAGAATAGACACAAGTATCAGAAGCCAATCTATTGTAGCTACGAGAACGTAACTAAAAACGCTGAGATATACTGATGTGCTTCAACTGCTTGGTTTTTTTTTTTAGCTACGATTGGATGCCTTTAGTTCCAAGTGGCAAACTCAATTTCTTTATTAATGTATGTACCATCTTAAAAATAAGTTAATTTTATACTATTAGTACCTATTACACATACGCAGTCCAATCTACTGAAACAACATTCATTTATCAGCAAATATTGACAATAAAGTAAATCAAGCGTTGTTTTTATCAAAATTGATTCTGACATTCATAATTGCGCCGTAATACCTACTGCGCAACTCTGATCAGATGGGTACTTTGATTGGCTATTGCACACGAGGCCCCGCCTTTATGTGTTACAGACGTAAATTTAAAATGTCGGAAAAAGCAATCTAAAGTCGCTTTGATTTAAAAAGGGGGAATTTGTACCCGTTTCAGGTAGGATTATATGCTTAATTGTAGTTGGGCGTGGCAGAGAGAGAGAGAGAAATGGGGTTTAACGTCCACTCGACACAAACTAGGTCATTTCGGGACTAACATATGGTTTAATTTTATTTACATAATTCGCTTGCGCGTAGGGGTCTTTAGCAGTCGGAGGAAACCGGAGGACCCGGAGAAAACCCACGAGGTTGGACAGGCGACCCTACTCCTTGCCACGTACAACCGGGGATTCGAAACCACGCCAATCGACTCAATGACAGACTTTATGATACAGCGCGCGCACGCTAACCATTCAGCCATCCAACCCCCTGGGCGTGGCAGAAATATTATAAACTAGCAGGATACCCGGCTTCGCTCGGGGGTCATAACTCCGAAACCGGAAGTGGTAGACTAACGCCACCTGGCCTATGTTACTCCCCGGTCCGAGCTACCCTAATACCCCAAATTTCAGACTCGGGGCAGACCTAGTGTAGCCACCAACCCCGAATAAACAGACTTCGCTCGGGGCAGACCTAGTGTAGCCGCCAACCCCGAAGAGGCCGGCTTCGCTCGGGGGGTCATAACTCCGAAACCGGAAGTGGTAGACTAACGCCACCTGGCCTATGTTACTCCCCGGTCCGAGCTACCCCTAAAAACCCCAAATTTCAGACTCGGGGCAGACCTAGTGTAGCCGCCAACCCCGAACAGACAGACAGACAGACAAACGACAGTCACAAATATATATATAGATAACAATAACCAATCGTTGTTTTGATTAAAAATATTGTCAATTTTGTTTACAAATGCCCGGTGCGAATCGCTCCCGCACGTGCTACATTGAAGGCAATGGCCTCATCTCTTATCTCGAAATACGGAGGGTTGAGAGATTAAGGTTTGTTATCTAAAGCCAATCCAGCCATTGCTTCAGGAATATGGAAGTGCAGGTGTCTTATTGTTTTTAATTCACCAATTTTTCCACAAAAATAAGCGAACTGACAGAATCGGATCCTAATCCTACCCACTCTACTATAGGTACCCACATTCAGAAAAGTCGCCGATTTTCTTCTACTTTACGATGAAGTAACCGTATATGTCTTTTAGATTAATTTGTATTTTGCAGGATACGCCCACATTTTCGAGAGATGGATAGAGAACAAGCTAAAAACGTGATTTTTCGTACAATCAGGGGCCATAATTCAGGAAGTTACGGTCGATATGCGCGAATATCGAAAGGAACCGAGATCTTTGGGTTATAAACTTACATTTCAAGTTTAAACTATTCGGATAAAAATTGTGACCTCTACAGTGTTCACAAGCTAAAAACGTGATTTTTAGTACAATCATAATCCATGAAGTTACAGTCCTTCATTACGGTGTAATGGTGATATAATCAAACGGTTTTTAAAATCGGATAATAATTGTGACCTCCAGAGGGGCCACAGGCTAAAAAAGCAGTGGCGGCGCCAGCCGTCGGTGATTGGACGGGCAAAGCTGGGGCAAAGTCCAAGGTTAAGGGGGCAAAGGCACGTGCTTCAACAGGTTGCCGGAAATGCAGCCTGGCAGTATTTCAGGCACAGATCGATGAGGTATTAGTGTCAAACGAACGGACTTGCGAATCACGACGAAGCCCACTCACGAGCGTCAAAGTAGGGAGTCCTTCCCCAGAAAATTTTGAAAAATAGACTACCGGAAATGCTGTCTTACAGTATTCTGTCAGACACCGATCGTCGAGATAAATAGATCTGCCCAGATACCGTTCGTCGCCTGATCACTAGTTTATCCGACTAGAGAACAAAATGTCAAACGAACGGACTTGCGAACCTCAACGAATTCCCCTTGTGAGCGCCAAAGTAGCGAGTCCATTGGGGACCTCGCCAAGAAAATTTTGAAAAATAGACTGTCGGAAATGCTCTACAACATGCAAGTTTATGACTGAGTGGGGATGTGGGATTTATTCATCGTAGAAGGTATTGATTATCGAAACGTATCACAAATACTTTTTTTTATTTTCTAAAATTATTGGGGGGGGGGGGGGGGCAAACAGAGGGCAGGACCCCCCTGGCGCCGCCACTGTAAAAAAAAGGGCGATTTTTAGTACAATCAGGGGCCATAATCCATGAAGTTACAGTCCGAACATGCCAATATCGAAAGGAACTGAGATCTTAGGGTGATAAACCTATATTTCAAGTTTCATTGAAATCGGATAAAAATTGTGACCTGTAGACTGTTCACAAACAATTGTGAACGGACGTCCGGACGGGCGGACAGGGGCGACGACAATATACGTGATAAACCTATATTTCAAGTTTCATTGAAATCGAATAAAAATTGTGACCTGTAGACTGTTCACAAACAATTGTGAACGGACGTCCGGACGGGCGGACAGGGGCGACGACAATATACGTCCACATGAAAATGTGGGCGTATAAAAATTACTCGGTATACCTCCGCCTCCGGACCAATCCCCCCCCCCCCCCGAGTCCCAGATGCCCCCCCTCCTCCCACGAGCCCCGAATCAAATAACCATACAGCTAATAAATTCGTGAAATTTGTCGTGGAATGCCAATAGCTGAACAGTATATAGCAAGATGGTGGACAGGTGACGGAGGTGACAATAATATTCGTCCAAAATTAAACGTGGATGTATGATATACATTAGACATTGTTTGACTCCCAGTTCTTCCCCATGCTGACATATAGTATACAAAACATTTAATATCATGGATTTAGCTGTTGAAGTTATCAAAATCATTGAAAATCAACACACTTGTTAATATGAAGACCTTAAACTCTGTGTGTTCGATCCCTGCATTGGCCGAGAAAGTTCATCCAGATTTTCCGGCGTGGTTCATTCGGATGAGACGAAAAACCGAGGTCCCGTGTACACATTGGCGTGCACGTAAAAGATCCCTTGATAGTTGGAATTCGATAGGCCGTAGTGCCGCTGTCCGGGCAAAATTTCCCTCATAGCACACTGTATGGAGTATGCCCGTCTTCATTAGCCCAGTTCGGAGCAAAACAGTAGGACGTTAAACCCCATTTCATTTCATTTTTAAACTCTGTGTATCAATCTAAAGTCAATCGAATGATCACTTTGGCCTGTAGAGCATCCTCAAGATTTTTCGAAGAGCATCCTCAAGATTTTTCGAAGAGCACCCGCAAGATTTTTCCATGAAGTAATCAAGGGTATTAACTATGGCATTAATTATCAGAAGTACTTGAAAATATATAGGTGTAGGTGACTTTGTCTCATTTAAAATCAATCGGATGATAACTTTGGTCTCTAGAACATCCAGAAGATTTTTCAAAATGATCAAGGGCAGTAATTATCGGAATTCGTCGAAAATCAATAGTCGTCTTCGTCTGATGACTTTAAACACTGTGTATAAACTTAATAGTTAATCGGATATTAACTTTAGCCACAGGGCGTCCATCAGATATTTCAAAGTGATTAAGGGCCAGTAATTATCGGAAATCGTTGAAAATCAATAGGCCTCTTCGTCTCACGACCTTAAACTGCACTGTGTATTGGATACAAACTTTAGCCTCTAGAACGTCCACAAGCAATTGTTGACGAAGGACCGACGGACGTACTGACGAATATTCTGTCACGTTGAGAGAGAGAGAGAGAGGGAGAAATGGGGTTTAACGTCCACTCAACACAAACTAGGTCATTTCGGGACTAACACATGGTTCATTTTTATTCCAATAATAAGCTTGCGCGTAGGGGTCTTTAGCAGTGGGAGGAAACCGGGGGACCCGGAGAAAACCCACGAGGTTGGACAGGCGACCCTATATACTGTCACGTTGAAGCTTTAACATAGGTAATTACTTAATCGTCTGTATAAAGGTAGGCGTATTGCATGAGCTTTTATTGGATCGCAAACTTCAACGATGCATTATAATAACCATTTCATCAATGGTTACCGACTGGAGCTAACGAGTCAAGCTGACCCGTATATACAGTATAGACGTTATAATGCATACTAAGTCAAATCACGATACCGCACAGTATCAAATGGATAAATTAATTGTCATGGTTTGTTATTCAATTACATTATCATGATCATATGAGAAAAGTTATATCATTTCGTTGACAATAAAATGTATGTTGCCTGTAGAATAATCCAGAAGAAGAGTTATATAGTCTTCAAACTTTTTTTGGAACATGTCTTTGTTGTGAAATTTTTCACAATATCAGATATTCAGATGCAAGGAAGACAATTCGAGTTTATAAGTACACAGATGTAATCTATATTCGACTAATAACCCACGGGCTAAAATTTAATATCAACTGAAACAAACCGCCGTGTACTCAAATTCAAAATAAACTTACCGTTAAGTTAACGTGGTTATCACCCTTCCCGCTTTATACGATTGTACGTACTGTTTGAATACAGGGCTTAACAAAGGGGCTGCAATACCGTCTCTCGATTCGTTATAGGCCTATTATAAGTAGGTTACATTTTACTACATGGACAACATTTAGGCATAAAAAAAAACAAATTTCACGCTCCACTGAACGTATAAAACTGCTGTATAAAAGGGCGTATGGCTCGATTTTTTTTAAAGGGGCAATAACACTCTTGTTGGCTTGACAGCTCCAGAAAATAAAAAATAGCCTTATTCTAAGTACTATAGATGTGTTAGTGTCCTACCTGTTGTGTAAATTATCCATTAAATCCTTTTTTACTTGTCCAAAGGGTTCAAAAATATTTTTAAATCCAAGTCACATTTGAAAAGCTTTACGTCAGGCTTTTCAAATCATTTAGTTGAATTTTTCCAATTTTTTAAATTAGGTGTGTTAAGATGAAATTTGTATCATCAATTAATTGGAATATTGTAAAATTATGGTGGCCGAAAGCGTCCATTTAGATCGGCGTGTTTCTAGATACAACGCGAGAGTCGCCGTTAAGCCAGCACGACGAAAAAGGCGCCCATCGGCGACTTTTCGTCGTGCTGGCTTAACGGCGACTCTCGCGTTGTATCTAGAAACCCGCCGATCTAAATGGACGCTTTCAGCCACCATATAAAATAGTACAATTTGTTGTCCAGAATAAAGATTGGGACATATTATTCAGTTACAACAAGACTGGTATTGCGCCTTTAAACCTTGAAATAGACCAAAAAATGGTTCTAAAAGCACATATTAAAGTAATATGAATGTACATAAATTGATTAATATTCAATTTTTGAAAAAAAAAAAAAAAATAAAAAAAATTCTAATCAGTTATGTTCGGTGAAATACGTGAACAGTTCAAATTTAACGGCAGTCGTTTACGCCTGCTTAGTGCATTCTATATATAATACACGTTATGTTCAGTTATGTTCGGTGAAATACGTGAACAGTTCAAATTTAACGGCAGTCGTTTACGCCTGCTTAGTGCATTCTTTATATAATACACGTTTTTATACGCCCACATTTTCATGTAGACGTATATTGTCGTCGGCTCTGAAATGTATGTTTGTAAACCACAGATCTCGATTCCTGTCGATATTCGCGCATATCGGACCATAACTTACTGAATTATGGCCCTGATTGTACAAAAAATCGCATTTTTAGCTTGTGGACCCTATAGAGGTCACAATTTTTAACCGATTTAAAAAAAAAAGTTTGAATATATCACCGTTATCTTGCGGATTTTCTAGAAGTCACAATTTTTCCGATTTTTAAAACCGTTTAAATACATGACCATTCCACCATAATGAAGGTTTAATTCAAATTTCGGGAAAATCGAAATGAAACTGCCCGACAAAATGGCCGTTCTTTGTACGCAAATTGTGTAATACGAAGGTTGTGGGCCATTTAGAGGTCACAATTATTATCCGATGTTGATGAAACTTAAAACATATCTTTATATCCCAAAGATCTCAGTCCTTTTTGATATTTGCACATTTCAGGCCATAACTTTCTGGATTATTGCCCCTGATTGTACAAAAAATCGCGTTTGTTTTTCAGCTTGTTCTCTATTCATCTCTTGCAAAATGTGGGCGTATCCTGCCTGGCAGCCGCTGGTTTAAATTATTATTTTGTCGTTTTTGAATCAGCCTTTATAATTACTTCGACATTGTGAGTAGGATATATTTTTATTTGTTCATTACAAAATTGTACCCGAAACCGTGTTTCGGGTACACGATTCGTGTACTGATTATAAAATGTTAATTGAGTCTTAAATATTGGATATAAGGATCCTATTTCACGACAAGATAGCAACACCAATATTCATGGAAAGATCTATGTGATATAGGTAAAGCACCTAGCATAGATAGAAATTATTTATAATTCTGTATGCCGTTGATATTTATTGAGATCTACGCGCTAGAATTGAAATGAAATGTGGTTTAGCGTCTCACTTTTTCTACACCAACCAGACTAATGAAGACGATCTATTTGAAAATGTTCTTCGCATGTATGTAATTATTGCAGATATCAACATGGTAAATTTAGTGATGTCCAGGTGGCGATTTTTATACATAACTCCACATTTTCATACTCTGGTTTTACAGAAGCTAGAAAGTCTCAAACTCAATATTTTCCATAATATTCGAAATTAATAACACAAATTAGAATTCAATATTGACCAAAGTACAACACACTAATACAGTCAAACCACACATACACAAATTAACAGGCCGACAAATATGCCTACTGTCTGTGCACTACATTGTGTAACCTGTCTTTAATGATATACATAGTTTAGTGTTTAAAAGTTGTTATATAATACAAAGCCAATGTTTAGTATGAGGGTATTCTCCACATCCACCCGTCCGTAAAAGTATAATTTACCGCACGTTCTTTTACTAAACGGTATGCGTTCAAATTAGATTTTATGCAAAATTTGGAACAAAAACAACAAATGGTTCAAATTTTGGGAGTGTTTTCAAGGAGTTGAACCTACGCTTGATCGTTCAAAATACCCATATGGGGTTTAACATTTGCTCAGATAGCGTCTATTAGTATACTACTTCCAATTTGCATATCTCAAAATTTACAATCTTTGGATACGGACATACCAGTCCTCAAGTTGTCTGTGGTTTAAGGTTAGCTCAACGAAAATTTTGAAAAGGGTTAACAGAGCAAAAAGGGAGAGAATTAACACGAGGACATAAACTGTGTGAAATGAATGGTAAAACTTTTGTGGTCTGTAGCCAGTTAATCGGAACCGGATTTGGAACGTGATTACTAACATAGATGGCGCCGCGTAGACTTACCCAATGACGTTTATCACGAACCCACGTGTTGCAATGTTATTATATTGGTTCATCAGTTCTACTCCTAGATTATATTCATATTGTTAATTGAGTATTTCTTCTGTTGTGTAGAGTCGTAAGCATATTTTACCATGGCTGTTCAAAAAGACACTCTTACATACTACGACAGAGTAATAGTAACACTCCAGGCTGGATTTCCCAGTGATGAAGAAAAGGAAATCTTCTTGAACAATGTATTAGAACAGTTCTCCCAAGAAGCCGAAAATGTTTGTAAAAATTTTTCAATTTGTATTTGTCTGGAAGAACTTTTAAAGCATTGCTCAACTAAACACCTATCTTTATTTATGTCATATTTGACAGATTCATGGTCAGGTCTTGTTCAACATAGTGTAGCTAGTCACTTGATACAGCAACTTCTCATAAGATTGCCTGATATTCTCAGTCAAGAAGACAGCGTAACAGCATGTAGTGATTCGGAAGACCAATCAGATAATGAAATGACTGTCACCACAAAAATAAGTAAACATTTTCAAAGTTTACAAAAATTCTTTATTAAGAACATGAAAACCTGTTTTGATAATACACATTCTTGTCAGGTTTTAAGAACACTTTTAGAACTGATGGGTGGTATGGATAAGTTTCACTGTGTTGAACGACGATTGCAGCATAAAAAAGGAAAAGGAAAATTCAAAAGAGAATTACCAGTGAAAGCAGTTAGTATTGAGGTTCCACTGGCAGTGAGAAATAAGTTAAAAAGAATGTACAAAGAAGTCACATGTTCTATTACCAAAAAAATTTACAAACAGTTTAAAGACATGAGTTATATATCCAATGATATCAATTTGCTCATTCAGACAGCTTTGAGAATAGAGCATGAACTAGATCCTATATTATGTAACAAACATTGTAGAAAAATTGCTATTGTTCTTGGATTAAATGAAGAAATTGAAGAAGGTGTGTTGCCATCAATGGTGGAAAATTCTGATCAACAGTTTTTATTTGAGACGATAATCCAGTGTTCTAGTGAAGATCTGTCAGCAGAAATTTACACCAAATTATTTAAAGGAAGATTAGTCAAGTATGCTTTACATAAACGTGCTAATTATAGCTTAAAAGCTATGATGAATAATATCAAAGAAGATCAGTTTTTAGACCTGTATGATGAAATAGAGTTAGACTTAGAAAACATTATTTTTGGTAACCCTGACTTTAATATAGCCGATTTACTAGCAGGGGGCTGTTTACATTATCGTTGTAATCAGTCAAGATTCATTAAGCAGTTGATGAATGTGATGCATTGTTCTATACCTGAAGAAAGAAAAATGATGCTGGTTCCACTTATAGTTAAATGGAAACAATATGAGGAATTTTTTGATATTCAGAAGGAAGAGGATGCATCAGAGAGAATATGTATAGATACAGTACCTTTGGAAAATGTATCGAGAACAGGATCATTTCTTCTACAAAAACTATTGAAATTTGGCAGTAATAAATTGATTGTAGATAGTATGATGTCTTTAGAAACGGATGATTTGTGTTTTCTAGCCACTAATAAACTAGGTGGTTTCATTATACAAGCCTTCTGTGAGAGCTCCAATATACCTCAGAAAGCCCACGATGCATTTTGTGATAAGTTTAAGGGAAGTCTGGTCAAAATAGCATGTGATCAGTGGGGTAGTAGAGCTATAGAAGATATGTATAAGTGTTCATCAAGTGTGCAAAAGACAGTTATGGCAGAAGAACTATCTTATTTTCATAGAAAATTACAGAATGATCTTTATGGTCATTTTGTATGCCGTAAATTGGCCCTGTATCATTTTCTGCATCGCCGTGACGACTGGAATGCCATTCAGAAATCAGCAGTCCAAAAGAGGAAACTATTCAAAGATATTCTAGGTGACAAAGGTCTAAAGAAAAAAAAGGAAAAGTAATGAAAACATATAAAGAGATGGAAAGAAGCTATGATTATTTACATATATATATTTAAGACTGTCATTAGTCTGTTTGGGGTTGGCGGCTACCCCAAGACTAAAATTTGGGGTATAAGGGATATGTAGGCATAGTGATGTTGCGCTACTACTTCCAGAGTTATATTACTAAATATTTGAGAACTGCTGTGGCTGAGTGAGTAAGATGCTGGCTGGCTCACTGACCTGGAGGTACCGTGTTCGATCCTAGTGTTTGTTGAGAAAGTTCATCAGGACTTTCCGGCATGGTTCCCCATTGTGTGTGGTGCTGCAGAATGAAGGGTCTGGCAAGGGACAACATACAGTTGTTTGGGGGGGACAATTCTCTTCCAATGTTGGCCAAGAAATTTCCTCTTAATTTTCCGGCCTGTGATAAGAGAATGAGGTCCTGTGTACAAATTGGAATACACTTAAAAGAAACCTTGACACTTGACAGTTGTAATCTGAAATAAAATTAGACTATAGTGCTGGTGTCTGGGCAAAATTTCCCTCATAGCACACTGTGTGTCATGACTCATATGCCTGTCTTCATTAGCCCAGTTGGTGCAGAACAGTAGGATGTTACACCCAATTTCATATACTAATACTTTTATTTATTTATAGAAAAAGGAAAAGTTAAACTTAAAAATATTAATAATACACTTACATTGTAGATAGTTGTTTGTAGAATATGTAAAATACATTTGAACAAGTCTTCTATTCTGGTTAGACATTCATTATATCTGAAGTCAAAAGTGATGAATATATTTGCTCACATGAATTTTTGTATCAAGTAGGAGTGATACATACAAACGCAGTCACTTGTGACTTAACATGTCTGTAATTTAAATCATTTAAATGGTGTGCATGGGGCTTTACTCGTAGGAGAAAACCTGAAGAAAACCCGCAATCACAGCATGTATAAACAGGGAATATATATCTCATAACTTTGCACAGATGCCATTTAATCATCTTTAAATTCAGTATTTATAAATTTATACATAGTTTTGTTTAAATAGTTTGACCCAAGTGCCTCATTTAGCCAGAGCTGACCACAATTTATATTAATATGTTCCAATTAATTGTTATTTCAATTATAATTTAATCAATACTTGCCCATTAAGAAAAACCTTCCATGTTTAATTAATTGTTATACATGTACATGTAGTAGACATAGTTTACAAATGTGTTAAAGGAATACTGTCAAATTGAATACTACATGTACCTAATACATGTAGAGCTGTATTTGTTAAACCTTGTACAATCTTATATTTTATATCTGAATGGTTATCACTGATACTAGTAATAGTAGTGCTTATTATATATTTAGATATTTGAATTCAAATAAATTTTCAAGACTATTGGTTTAAACAGTATTTATTTCGAGAATATTATACAATGTAAAAGGCATAAATAATAGGATACAAAAACAAGCCGAGTAGGCTTATATTAATTTGCTTCCTTCTGGTTTGGGTGTATAATATATGTACAATGTCGAATTATATATGATACATACAAAAACTAATTACATTATTTTAGTTATGGTACAAATAAGCAGATAAATGATTTTCAAGACTATTCTAACTGATTGCTTTTTGTTCTTTATTTGATGATCAGTGATGTTTCCTACGTAAGATTTAAATAAAGAGCTGGCCGTTTTCACTACCGGTATGGTAATAGTTTAAAAATAGATAATGAATATATTGAAAATTTCAGTCAAATTACTTACTCTAAGCAAAGTTATGGATGTTTAAAGTTTAGACAAGAATAGCATCTTGATTCAGATTGTCATTGCTACGATAATAAACAAAATCTCAATTTTCCATTTTTCTTGTTTACCGTTTAATGGTGCCACGCTGCAAATGGTCTAATCCATTTGATATCCAAGCCATTCGATGGTTTAGAGAGGTGTTTATGGGCTTGTCATGTATATTAAGGTCTGTTTAATTATTTAAATAACATTTGAAGCCAGAAAAAGGACCTTCAATAAATCGATTTAGCTCTTACAAAATACACCTTTAAAAACAAATGAATTAAAGGAAATACATTCATTTGAAAGATTTACAATTTCTATAAATGCAGCTAAAATGCTAAAAAAATTGACCATATGAATATTTAAATACTGGTATTAAAATCTTGTATGTAACCCACAAACTGATTGTTATTATATAAAAGTATTACAAGCATTGGACTTGACTCTTCATTTATGTCTTTTAAAGCAGACAAACCATTCAAACAATTAAATATTTGTACCCAAAACAAAAGACAATTTAATGGTGGGTTGACAAAAGAAATAATCTCACATGGATATCAACAAAATCTGGTGATACATGTATCTTGATTTACTACTGCAGACATATTTGTTTCGAAAGGTTGCTGTTCAACATGAAAACTTTAGTGGTTACGGTTTAACAGGTGTGAATAAGTAATGAAAAAAGAACCCTGTTGAAAGCAATTTTGAACTGAGTTACTGTCCCTGCTCTGGAAGGGGGGGGGGGTGCCAAGTGGTTTAAAACGTGTGTGCATGAAATCATACGGTCTGTCATTGAGTCAAGTGGAGTGGTTTTGAACCCCCTGCTTGTGAGTGTCAAGGAGTAGGATCACCTGGGGTTTTTTTTCTGGTTTCCTCCCACTGCTAAAGACCCTTACGCGCAAGTGAATTATAGAAATAAGATTTAACCATAATAATATGTTGGTCCTGAAATGACCTAGTTTGTGTCGGGTGGACATAAACCCCATTTCTCTCTGTCATCATGTGAATCTAAGCAGATTTCTATGGTATTGTTCAATTAGTGATCAAAGTTCAGAGTTTTGATTCAAAGTTCAGAGTTTTGATTCAAATTTACATAGTTTTTCCTGCAATTGTTTGACTTGTCATCAATTGAGTAGTTTTTGCCCTTACCTAAAATCTAACAGCCACCCTTATGTTTAAAGATAGCCACCCAAAGTGTCGAAATACGTTCACACAGCAACCACATTTTGACAGCAGCTTATCCATTAAAGACTGCAGCCTTAATCTCATAAGGTTTTTGACACTGAATATTGATACAGTTCATCGTCCCATCACCTGAATGAATTGTTTGACTTGTCATCAATTGAGTAGTTTTTGCTCTTACCTAAAATCTAACAGCCACCCTTATGTTTAAAGATAGCCACCCAAAGTGTCGAAATACGTTCACACAGCAACCACATTTTGACAGCAGCTTATCCATTAAAGACTGAAGCCTTAATCTCATAAGGTTTTTGGCACTGAATATTGATACAGTTCATCGTCCCATCACCTGAATGCCTGCCTCTATCGTGATGTATGTTTGGCTTGTTGCCAGTAAATTATTTGAAATATTGGTACGCCAACATCAAAGGGAGACATCACATCTTTAACATTTTAATATAATTAAAATAAGCATGTTAAATAAATCATACTCCTACGAATTTCTCTTACTACCTGAGCATGTGATAATTTTCATCATATGACAAAACAGATTGGAAGCTGTTGTTGGGAAATATAAATTCTACCTTATCGGTGATCATCATAAGATTCATTCTTCAATTATTCTTTCAGGTGACAATTCTCAACATTAACAGTTTACAATATTGTTTTTTATTTAGGTATACAACAAATATATAACCTGTTTTTCAAAACAGGGAATAAATAGTACACATTTACAAATGCCACGTCTTTACTTTTCTTACTCTATGAAAACTGTATATTTTTAAGCAATAAAATATTTTCAATCACATCCACAAAATTACTCAATATTTTTCAATTAAACAATCCAATTTATGGCAAAAAAACATTCAACACATTTACATGGATTTCTTCCCTTGGATTTTAATTTTCCGAGCATAATCTCAGAATCCGGTTATATCCTTTACATAAAACAATCTGGCAAATTGTTCCATACATGAGACATTTTATTCTTGCATGAGGAATAATAGTTGTTGTGCTGCCCCATTGATTTATGCTGTCATGGGCGTGGATTTAGGGGGGGAACGTCCCCCCCCCCCTTAGAATCGGAAGGGGGGGGAAGAATATGTCTCTGTCCCCCCCATGATATTGATCGTCAGGACAGATTTTCAGGCTTATATCCACATGATGGTGAGCTTGTTTCTACGTATCTGGAACTGAATCGGGACTTGGAACAAGAATTGCCATTCTTCAAGCGCCAGTTTTCGGCCAAATCTATTTCACTTGTGCACGAAGCGTTCCTCATTATGTCACCTGAAGTGAGGCAGATGTTCCCTTCTGTCGAAGCTCTTCTCATCTCACACTGCTGAACCCTGCTAGTTCCTGGTCAGCCGAGCGATCCTTCAGCACTCTGTGCCGTATCAAAACTTGACTGCGCAACTCCATGACGCAAAACCGACTGAACCACTTGATGGCGTGTGCTATGCATAATAATCCCCTTCATGTCGCCAAGATATTCAAAGAGAACAGTCCTGATCGTAGAACGAACGTCTTTGGACGATTCACTTAACTTCATGAACAATTCACTTAACTTCATGAACAATTAATATTTATGCAGCTTTGACGTAGGTAGTCAATTTTTCCATATTGTCATCATATTACCTTTAGTTACAGCCTTCATCGAAATAACACTGGTACAGTAAACTGTTCATAATTATTTATTTCGTTTGGTAATGAAATGTTCCAGGTTCCAGGGTTTGTCCGTCACCCCCAAAAGTTTTGACTAATCCACGCCCTTGTATGATGTACTAGGTAATGAGTATGCCACCATTTTTTGTTGGACAAACAAAATTGGTAGCGGCCAATTTTAAATCTGATTGAATCCAAGCCAGGAGGTTATCTAGTGTTGATATTTTGATTTTGTTTTCTTAATAAAATGATCAATCTGAGTACATCTTAGTGTGGATTAAGCTGTGAGAAATTTGATATATTAGCGAAAACTGCAAATGACGCATCAACCCATCTTTACTTTTTACATTTAATAACATATTCCATTGTTACAATATAATTGATCATGTCTTGGTCGCTTGGATCATTTCTTCAATAGATATTATTTTTTCTCTTGGTTTTCCTACAGTTTCGCCTTTTTGTGTCTCGGCTTTATCTATCTGTTTCCAGTCCATAAAATTAACTACCTTCACGCCTACAAATGAAAATTTATGAAACTTGAACAAACAGATATATTTAAGCGAATAAAACTGATTAATTCTGTGTGGACGGTTCTTAGAAGCCTATATTATAGTCTGAAGTAACAACTCTCTGTTTTCAGGTGAATTATCAGACAGTTGAAAACGTAGTTTTTACTGCAATTAAGCTCTTATGAATTATGATAATCAAGATCACAGATCAATCATAAGTTATGATTACCATTACCCCAGCCCTGATTCATAACTAGAGTTTTTATCTTAGAATTATATCTGGAATCTGTTTAACCAGTTGTATGTAAAATCTGTGGATGTTAAAAGTATATCCCCTTTATACTACATTTGTTGTCTAAAAAAACAAAATCTCTCATATCTGTAAAAGACCATGGATGAAGACCATCTTTCAGATGTTTGTATTCAATTCACCTGACACAGTGGCTAAATTTATACTTCAAAGCAAACAGACTATGCTTTGATCTTAATTGTACCTTGACCATAATAGTGCCACTGAAATTATTTTTTGTTGTTCTAGAATACATATATCACAAATAGCAGCTTCGTAAATAGTTATCAATGGAGGAAAAACATTTTAAAAGATAACTGATTAGGCCTACAGTACTGACCAAGAAAGTGATTATGGAAATTAAAGTACAGTACAGACCTTTCTCATTAAGAACAGGTAATATTTCTTCTTTTCCTGATTTGGGTATATGTCTAATATGTCCTGATTCTATATCTTTTAATATAAGTTTTCCGGTATTAAAGCCGTCTGTCATAGTAGAGAGTATGACACCCACAGGACCTAATCCTACCCAGCCACTACAATATAAACCTGTAAAACACAAAACATGTAAAAATAACAAAAATTAATACACATTAATACATATTACCGGTATTAATTATGATCCCACCTCCAATCCAAATTTTAAAATTTTGTGTCAACTAGAGTTTATTTGTATTAGCAAGCTATATTTTCCATCATTATCCCAAGTTTTCTTTCACATAAAAACTATAAAATGGACTGCTGTATTTATTGTATATGAATGCTAATTTTGTGGCATGTAAATTGACTGACAGTGAAATTCTCCATGCATACAGTCATTTTCACTGTCAGTTGGTCCAGATTGGCATATAGATAAAAACAAGGGTCATGCTTTGGTGAAATGAAATGAAATGGGTTTAAAGTCCTACTTTTCTGCTCCGACTTAGCTAATGAAAACAAGCATACGCCATACAGTGTGCTATAAGGGAAATTTTGCCCGGGGAGCGGCACTATGGCCTACTTTTATATCGAATTCTAACTGCCAAGAGATATTTAATGTGCATGCCAATGTATACATGGGACGTCAGTTTTAGTCCCATCCGAACAACTAGACAGCTCTCTTTGTCAGGCCCTCCGTCCTGCACCACTGACAAGGGGAAACCAAGTTGGAAAATCCTGATGAACTTTCTCGGCCAATGCAGGGATCAACCATGTGACCTCCAGACTAGCGAGCCAGCGTCTTACCCACTTAGTCACCATGACTCCTGTCCTGCTTTGGTACCGAATAAAGACACAATTTTTATTTATTGACAGGTTAGATCAAAAAGAAGAAACAGAGAGATAAGCCAACAGTGAGGCTGATGTCCCCCGCTGAAACCCACAAATAAATAGATTACATGTATTGATTAATTGCACACTTTTCCTTTTCAAAAGTATTGAGCAATCAAACTGATTATCTATAATTCGTCTAAGCATAAAATATTCACGATCAAAGTACCTGGTAGTGAACTACATTTCATTACTCTCCATCAGTTAGAATCAAAGTTATTTTATCCTAAAGCATTAACCAATGAAATTGATTAGCTCTGTTTAGCTTTAGCTTGAAATGTTAATCATTAAACTCAGTCAAGACATTCAACTAATAAACATCTACATCAAGTTTAAACATTCTACCTCAGTTAAAAGCAGGGTTGTTATGTTCCAAAGACTTGACCAATCAAATTGCTTATTGCTCATTATCGAAATTAATCAAGGTATTGATGTAATGAAAGTATACTCTGAGTTTCATCACTCTCACTTAATTATAACTACATTTATCAACCAATCAAATTGCTTATCTCTGCTTACCCTGAGGCGTGAGCAGAAGATGCTCATCTTCAAACTCTATCAAGGCATTCACCTAATGAAATCCTACACCAAGTTTGAACATTCTACCTCAATTAGAAGCAGAGTTATTGTGTTCCCAAAGTCTCGACTAATCAAAGTGTTTATCGCTCTGCTTAACATGAGCAGAAAATGCTCATTATCGTGTCCCAAAGTTTAAACCAATCAAATTGCTTATCTCTACTTTCCCTAAGCAGAAAATGCTCCTCTTTAAACACCATTAAGGCATTCACCTAATGAACGCCTACACCAAGTGTGAACATTCTACCTCAATTAGAAGGAGAGTTATTGTGTTCCAAAGTCTCAACCAATCAAATGCTTATCGCTCTGCTTACCCTGAGTCAAGCTATTGATGTAATGAAACTATACACCAAGTTCCATCACTTTCACTTAATTAGAACTAAAGTTATCGTGTCTCAAAGCATCAACCAATCAGATTGCTTATCTCTGCTTACCCTAAGTAGAAAATGCTCATCGTCGAACTCCAGCAAGGCATTCACCTAACAAACACCTACACCAACTTTGAACATTCTAGCTCAATTAGAAGGAAAGTTATTGTGTCCCAAAAAGTGTAATGGACAGACGGACGGACCCATTTTAATAGTCCCCTGCTTTCTTTGAAAGGCGGGGGACAATTATCTATTTTACCTGAAACTCCTGTAACTCGACCATTTTCATTAGGTATAACACCCCGCTTAGCATCAAATGGTATAGTATTATCTATGGAGACACTTTTATAACCTATACTTCTCAACACCTAAATATACACAGAGAATCAACTACATATTTTGATAAATATGAATGCTTAAAGATACATTTTATGAGATTAGATAAAAAGCTGGCAGTTCTTACCATAATAGTTAAAAACTAAATAATGAAAAGGGAATTTGCTGAAAATTTCAGTCAAATTGATCCACTCTGAACCAAGATTTAAGCGATTGAATTTTCGGCCTAGCCTCGATCATCATTAATGTAAAGTCGGTACAATAAAAAACAGTCTCAATTATCCATTTCATGAATACATCATGAATGGAAGTCGAACATCAAATCGGAACCTAATCCAATAAAAATCGCAGGCTAGCGATGACATCGAGAGTTGATTATGGTCTGAATAAGTTAATTAATGTCTAATTAATAATTTAGATAACATTTCAGGCCTAAAGAAAGACCTAAAGAATTTGAAGAATTAAGTGACAGATTGATAGGAAGAAATCACGAAACTAAACAATCATTGGTAAGACAAAATTCATGAAAACATTTCACAAAGAAGTATGATAATACGGTACTATATGAACCAGGAACTGAGCAGGACATTATAGTCGCCATCTTGGAATTGTAACGTCATATGAAAAATTAATGTGAAATTGTCCAAAGAACTTGAATAGGCTTTTTTCAAAGAGCAACAACCTTAAGAAGAAGAATAACAATATAAGTGGCTCTTACGGACAAGTTCCTAGGCCATAAATATTTACTTGGTATATTCTTTTAGTGTCAATTGGCACACCATAAAAATATGTACTACAAATTAATAAGTTTATGATTAATAAATTGTCTTACTAGTCCACATTCTATTTCTTCTGTGTGTTCAGTAGATATAACTTTCTGATTTACAATGTCATCACCCTTGTAGAAAAAAATTACAGAATTATGAGAAAGTGAAAGTAGATAAGAGGACAACCAAAACATAAAGATTTGATTTATATTCTTCATCTAATATAAATAATATTTTTACATACTCTTTTTAAGATATGAGATTAAAAAATAAAATTTACTAGACTCTCCCAAAGTAAAGAAATCTAAGTAAGAAAAACAATCATTTTCTTGTGTGTTATATTTGTGTGATCATACTGAAAATAAAAACTCTAAAATGACCTCAAACTAACCTGCAAAGTATTTTTAGTGAATAAAACTGATTTTATTTTCTTATCTTCAGTTGGCACTATTTTTGTTGGACTTTTTAAGAATTGTAATTCCCATTGTCTTTTTGCATTAGCCCAAAGTTTAAGATCTTTTTCTGAGGGAGTACAACCAGTTTTATACAATAAATCAGTTAATCTTCTTCTAGGACGTGGTAACTCTGAAAAGTAAATATATGTACAATAATGGATTGGTTATTTTATCATGTATGTGTACATCTGATAATAAGACACTTAAATAATTTTTTAATATATCAATTAGAAATTTGTTTACGGCATAAAAAAAATATTCAAAGTTGATGCACGGAAAGATAACATTTTATTTTATAAAATACCCTATAATGGCAGCAGGTAAATGCAAGGCTACATCCAAAATACCCAGTATATAATAGAAAATATACATAATGATACAATTTAATAATAATTGAATACTTATTCATGATTTAAAAATACATTATGGGAGATGCGATAACGATTTGGCAGTTCTCACTATAATAATTAAAAAACTAGATAATGTAAAGGCAATTTGCTGAAAATTTCATTCAAATTGATCCACTGTGAACCGAGAACTGAGCGATTGAAATTTCTGCCTAGCCTCGATCATCATTACTAAAGTCAGTACAATCAACAGCATAGTCTCGATTAACCATTTAATCGTTAAATCGTGAAGGAAGGTTATGCAGTAAATCGGCTCATAATTCACTAAAGATCGCAGGCTAGCGATGCCATCTAGAGTTGATTATGGTCTGGATAGGTTAATTAATGTCTAATTAATAATTTAGATAACATTTCAGGCCTAAAGAAAGACCTGCAATAAGACAGATTTAGCTCTTGCATAATGTATGTTTAATAATTACCATTAAATGACAATGTGCTAACTACTTGGATTGTAAACTGCTACTTTTACCTGGTTGCTGATTCACACAAAGCAAAATTATTACTGATTATAATATTGTGTGGTGGTGATCATGTAATTTGGGATATCAGTCGGCTATTGACGTTTAAGCATGTATATTTACAGGATTATCAAATTACTATTATATGAACTAATTACTTGGATCGGGATCTGAATGAGACTGCATTCCCTAAAAACCTGATTCTCATAAAGGTCTAACTGACAAGAATTAGCTGACAAGTTGACTGACTTCTTTATCAACAAGTAAAATAATCATCTATTTGTAATTGAGCGGAAAGCAGATTGATGAACAGAATAATTATTAATGCTGGACTTATTATTTGAATGGGTTGATGGGTGACATCTTTGACCATTTTTTTATGTACGCTCGACCGGCATCAAGATGACTAAAATGTCCAACAAAGGACAATACATAATTTCTTTTAGAAGTAAAAACACAGAAGTCTATCAAGGTAGGTGTACTGAACATAACTGATAATAGTAACATTTATACTCTCAATGCAGTCCACATATTTAGAATTTTGAATTTTATCCACCATATCTTGATGTCCAATTCGGCATATTGGCTACCAGACTTTTGCCATTCAAGGCAGACGATCATGCAAGAAATGAATTGTGGATGATATCATACTTTCAATTAATGGTTGGAGATGTGCCACGTCATCTTTATGGATAATAGTTTTACATTCTGGTAGATGAATCATTTCTCTCAATTCTTTGATGGTAAAAGCCACTTGTAGAGGTCCTCGACGTCCAACCACATAAACCTTTTTAATGTTGGATTTTGATAAGGCATCTAAAGAATGCTGGGAAATATCTGTTTTCTGAAAGTAAAAGATATAAATACAAGTGTAAGATTTGGGCACATATAAAAACGATTATTTATTTCTTTTTTTTGTACAATTTTGTTCTTTCCTAAAGTCAGCCATTGTACTGTTAGTGTTAAGTATTAAAAAGGGATGACAAAAATGAGTCTAGGTACCTCTTCTCTTGACCTTTTTTTTGTCTTGAGATGAGGTTTGGAGATGCTAAGTTCTCTCTGGTAATAGCTATTGTGAAACACATCAAAATTAACAGAGACAAAACTATCATATATTTCCATAATCCAATCTGACAATGGCTCAAATGATCCCATAGCAATTGCAGCGGACACAGAGTTATCAGAGATTTTCATTTGAAGTCAAAAACAGATGAGTTTACTACAACCAGCCAATCAAAATATGCAATAATGGTAAGATTTGTATACTAACGAAAAATGTAGTTTGACTCAACTTAACAATATGTTTGTGGTTGTTCGCAAATTTTATGTCTATACTAAACTTAAGTGCCACAATCGTAGCTAAAAACACATCAGATGTATCTCAATCAGATGTTCGTGTAGCTAGACGAAAGGTAAACAGTATTAATTTAGTATTGACTCCCAACTTCAGATGTCATTTCAACTAAATATAAGTAAGAGTCTGTAGTACTTACTGCTAATATAGATACTGGAGTAAGTAATATTCTAGTCACATCTAAAGCAACATTACCATGTCCTAATATAACAGCTGTTTCACCAGATAAATCTACATTTAACTGTGAAATATTTAAAAAATATAAATGTTATCAACTACATTTGTTTAGAAAACTAATTTACTTTCTTGGAAGACAAGTTTATTGTGACAGAAATAATATCTTTGGAGCAGGACAGAGAGAGGATCCAGGATTAATCTTGGTGTTGGCCAGCATGGTTTCATCTTGACAACGGTGCATGGCTGAGGGCCTGGTAAAGAAAAGTGACTAGATGCTCAGATGGGATGGAAAAAATCAAGGTCCATTGTATACCATTGGCAGCAAGATAAATCTAAAAAAAAGTAAGATATGGCCCTTTTAACAGGGCAAAATGCTTGGCTTGGTACCCTCACATACCATTTCGACTATGGCTTATAGCAAATGATTATACGGTCTGATGGTTTTATTATTCCTACCTATATACCCTCTCCATAGCTAAAATACATTCTTCAATAAAAACATCCCATTTCGATTAAAGCTAATAACAACAGATTATACAGTCTAGAATCTAGATTCTTCCATAAAAACAGTATCAAAACAAACAAAAAATGAAGAAGTAATTTATATACAAATCGTACAAAATAAGTAAAAAGTAATTCATATGGATAGAAAACAAAAACATAATTAAAAAGTAATTTACATATAGATAGAAACCCAAAATAAAGAACTAATTTATATAGATAGAATACCAAAACATATTAAAAAATAATTTGCTCAGGTATTTGAGCAAGTTCATCAGTGTAGATCAATTGTACAGGTTTCCAGAGGCGTGCTGGGCAGGGTAAAGGCAGTGGGGAGGCTGTGTGCCCTCCCTTCCGAAAAGTGCCCTACCTTTTGAAAAAGTTCCCTACCTTCTGAAACAGTATCCTTTGCATCTGACGTCTTCAAAATATCATACGAAACAACCGTATTATGAAATGGTAATGCATTGAAAGTGACAAAAACTATCAAATTACTTACATGCACGATTAATAGCAAATATAATTTATAGCAGTACTAAATACTTATTGTATATATGAAATGTATATACTGTAATTGTATTTTTGTAGTATGCTTATTAATAGGAGACTTATTAATATAATAGTATACTTATTAATATAACCCTTTGCAGGCCTGGAAATAACGGTTTTAGATGTACCTGACAAAATGTTGGACACTAATGAAATAGTACCTGACATTTTCATCTTAGTGCTAGACATGTATTAATAATATCAATAAAAAAGACAAATCTGTGCCAGACAAAATGACCGTCGCTAGAGGTTTAGTGAATGAAAAAGTCTGAATCTGTGCCTGACAAAGTCTGTGACAGGTGCCTTATTTCCAGGCTTGCCCTTTGGCTTGTTTTTAAATCCTTACCTTTGACAATGTATGTATCTTTAAATATCAATCTTATTTGAATAAATATTGTTTAAATCACATCAAATAGTATCCTACATTCTGAAAAAGTACCCTCAAAATTATAGTTGCCTCATATACCCTGGGAAAATCCACGTCAATGTCACCATTTCCCATTGTCCTAATGACGATATTGTGACCTTTTTTTCTGAAGTGCATAATCTATTGACTAGACTGTTATACTAGTCCTCATCGAATAGAGATTGATCTATTAACTAAATGGAGTTGATTTTAAACTGTTATACTACTACAATCCGAATACAGATTAATCTATTAACTACTGGGATGATTTTAAATTGTTATACCAGTACTCGTCGCATTCAGATTGATATATTAACTAAACTGAGATGTTAAACCCCATTTCATTTCATTTAAACTGAGATGATTTTAAACTGTTAAACTAGTACTCAGTGAATAGAGATTAATCTGTTAACTAGACTGAGTTGATTTTAAACTGTTACACAAGTACCCACTGAATTTAGATTAATATACTAACTAGACGGAGTTGATTTTAAACTGTTAAACTAGTACTCACTGAATAATAGTAATCTAGTAACTTGACTGGGTTGATTTTAGACTGTTAAACTAGTACTCACTGAATACAGATTGATCTACAAACATGATTGAGTTGATTTTAAACTGTTATACTAGTGTTCACTGAATACAGATTGCAATCTACCAACCAATGAGATACTGTTAAACTAGTAGTCACTGAATACATATTTTTGCTAAAAATGTTCATGTTCAGATCTTCAGGACTTAATCCCTCAAACAAGTGTATGTCATGGCTCAATTCTAGCATGTGCCACAGAACCAAAACTTTCCTGGCGCTGCCCCTCCCCTAAATTTGATCTGCCTACCCTCCTTCAGAGCCCCCAGCATGCCTCTGCCTACCCTCTTTCAGAGCCCCCAGAATGCCTCTGCAGGTTTTGTTTCTTCTCATGAACGTTTTCTGGGGCTACTTTTAAATTTGATTTGATCTTCATTTTCTGAGGGGTGGTTGTGGTTTGAAACATTTTGAATATATATATATATATATATATATCAATTGTGGTACATTTTCCAGTGTAAGTTGCTGTTACACACTTCTAATGAATACATTCACCGTGCTCATTATTTTTTTCTATACAACATCCAGTAAGACTCACAAGGTCCCGCCATATACACATAAAACCATATTAATAAATAAATAAACACAATATATCTACTTCCGAAGTCTTGAAATTAAAAAAAAAAACATGATATTTAATATAAAACAATTCTAATAAGATAAAAAAAAATGACTGAATGAAAGTGAACTCAAATAGGGATGTACAAAATTTGAAACAATTCATCTCGTATAGCTAAGCAAGTATTTAAACTCAATATAATCTCCAAAAATTTATCAAAACAAAAATTTACTCAGAGCTGACATTTTTGCTTTGATGTTAAAGAAAACAAGCCAACAGTGAGGCTGATGTCCCCCGCCAAAATCCCCAAATAAATAGATGACACATATTAATTAATCGCACATCTATTTTTTTCAAAAGTATCGAGCCATCAAACTGATTATCAACTATACACTAAGTTTCATCACTCTCTATCAGATAGAATCAAAGTTATCTTGTCCCAAAGCATCGACCAAGGAAATTGCTTATCTCTGCTTAGCTTTAGCTCGTTATGTTAATCATTGAACTCAGTCAAGACGAACATCTACATCAAGTTTAAACATTCTACCTCAATTAGAAGTAGAGTTGTTATGTTCGAAAGTCTTGACCAATCAAAATGCTTATTGCTCCTTAGCCTAAGCAGACAATTCTCATCATCGAACTTAGTCAAAATATTGATGTAATGAAACTATACACCAAGTTTCATCACTCATCTTAATTAGAACTAAAGTTATCGTGTCCCAAAGCATCAACCAATCAAATTGCCTATCTCTACTTACCATAAGCAGAAAATGCTCATCTTCGCACTCCATCAAGGCATTGACCTCATAAACACCTACAAGTTTGAACATTCTAGCTCAATTAGAAGGAGAGTTATTGTGTTCCAAAGTCTCGGCCACTCAAATTGCTTATCGCTCTGCTTACCCTGAGCAGAAAATGCTCATTATCGAACTTAGTTAAGGTATTGATGTAATGAAACTATACACCAAGTTTCATCACTCTCACTTAATTGGAATTAAAGTTATCGTGTCCCAAAGCATCAACCAATCAAATTGCTTATCTCCACTTACCCTAGGCAGAAAATGCTCATCTTCACACTCCATCAAGGCATTGACCTAATAAATACCTACACCAAGTTTGAACATTTTTGCTCAATTAGAAGGAGAGTTATTGTGTTCCAAAGTCTCAGCCAATCAAATTGCTTATCACTCTGCTTACCCTCAGCAGAAAATGCTCATTATCGAACTTAGTCAAGGTATTGATGTAATGAAACTATACACCAAGTTTCATCACTCTCACTTAGTTAGAACTAAAGTTATCGTGTCCCAAAGCATCAACCAATCAAATTGCTTATCTCTGCTTACCCTAAGCAGAAAATGCTCATCTTCGAACTCCATCAAGGCATTGACCTAATAAACACCTACACCAAGTTTGAACATTCTAGGTCAACTAGAAGGAGAGTTATTGTGTCCCAAAAAGTGTGACGGACAGACAGACAGACAGACAGAAAGACGGGGGACAACAAACTATAATATATAATGAATTAGCTATTTTAACAATAATCATTACATTAATTACATCTCTTAATCATTGGATCAGTTCAATGCTGGTTGGTTGGGGAGTCAGAATTTTGGAGGTAATCAAATTTGTAGTTGGAATGGGGTGTAGTCGAAATTGTTGGTACGGCAAAGTGTGCTAATTTGAACAATATATGTTATCATACTTACATTTTTATCATGTGGTAGACCATTATACCATCCAACTAAAGTCCTGGCTGAAATAACATTTGGTAGATCCTGAAATATAATTTATGAAGTAACTTTAAGTAATGTCTACAGTTAGGTAGGCAACCCTAGGCTTATCAAATACATTAAACCTTGACTGACATAATCTATAGCATGCTAGACCACTCTCACACCCACCAATCCCTCCCCAACTTAATACAAGTATATTTAATGTGGAAAATCAGATGCCAAAATGTAAAGAAATGGTCAATTTACCATGTCTGATATCTTATATGACTTTATGTAACTCAGACAAGGATTTCCATGTCATTATTTTACCTGACAAACTGGTATTCGGTGTTTTAAATATTTACCTCTCCAGGTATGCCTAAGGTTCTATCAGCATCAGCTCCATAAGACTAAAAATAAAGAGTATTATATTTTATTTAATCCTTTCATTAATCTCCAGTTAAATAATGCAGGATTTTGCAATCAGAAAAAAAAGGTATTTTAATTTCATGATACAGGTTTGGTCTTTATTTTCATTTTAAAAGATCAAAAACCAGTTTAGTATCGTTTTTATTTTTAATTATGTGAGTACCATTATATTTTCAGTGATTACGGTTTCTAAAGACATGTCATATATTTTTTTATAAAATATGTACAAATTAATTACCAATACAACAGCTGTATATGCCTTCTGTAAATCAGCTACTGTTATATCTTTACCAATAGTAATATTACCCATAAAACTACATCTCTCATTCTCTGCTGTTTGTGTGAAGGTGTTAATAACATTCTATATAAAATATATCTAAAATTATTTTTAGGCCTTGTAGAAAAAAATAATGAAGACCAATTTCCCAAAAATCGTGAAACAAAGTGATCAGGAAGTTGATATCAGAAATATTTCCATACATTGCAACTTCATTCAGATTACTAATCTAAATTGACACTTACTGCCTAGAACTTATGACTTCCCGCAAATTCTCCACAGACCACCATTTCAGGTCGAAATTTCAAAAAAGCTCTCAGGGGAAGACCCCGCCCCCCCCTGCCCCCTACCCCCCTACCCCCATGGGTCGGGTGACCTCATGATCCGTCACTGGATTATGGTTGTGTACCTGCCTTTCATCAATTTTTAATCCCAATTTTGAGAGTGAACTTAGATATGTAAGGACGTGTACTGTGAATGTGATTGTGGTTATATATAACTGATGCTGACATTCCATAAATTGTTCATGATACAAAGAAGTGAAATTGGATTTAACATCCTACTTTTTCTGCACCAACTGGGCTAATGAAAACAGCATAAAGTGTGCTATGGGGGAAATTTTGCCTGGACAATGGTGCCATGGCCTACTCTTATTTCAAATTCCAATTGTCAAGGGTTCTTTTTAGTATATGCCAACAAAATGACACGGGGAAACCACACTGAGAAATCCAGAGGAACTTATCCTGCTAATACCGGCATCAAATACAGAACCTTCTGGTTAGTGAGCCAGCGGCTTGATACTGAGCAACTGTGACCATTGAATTTCTTTATATTAGTCATTGTAAACCCAATAACCAGTCTCAGTCATTAACCAGCGGCTGCCAGGCAGGATACGCTCACATTTTGCAAGAGATGGATAGAGAACAAGCTAAACAAAAATTGATTTTTCGTACAATCAAGGGCCATAAGTCAGGGAGTTACGATCCGATATGCGCGAATATCGACAGGAACCAAGATCTTTGGTGTCATAAAGATATATTTCAAGTTTCATCAAAATCGGATCAAAATTATGACCTCTAGAGGTTCCACAACATTGATATACCATATTTTTACATTATTTGCGTATGAGGGGGCGGACATTTTGGTCCGATTTTCACGAAATTCGAACTCAGCCGTTATTAGGGCGGAACGGTGGTGAAATATTTAAATGTTTTTTTCAATCGGATAAAAAAGGTGACCTCTAGAGGGACCATAAGCTAAAAACATGATTTTTCGTACAATCAAGGACGCAAATATCAAAAGGAACCATGATCTTTGAGTTATAAACATGTATTTCAAGTTTCATCAAAATCGGATCAAAATTGTGGCCTCTAGAGTGTGTCCACAAGTTTGATATACCATAAAATAATATACACTATTTGCGTATGAGGGGTGGCCATTTTGTCCGGCAATTTTGGTCAAAATGAAATGAAATGAACGGTGATATATTCAAACGTTTTTTTTTAAATTGGATAAAAATTGTGACCTCTAGAGGGACCACACTATTTGCGAACGAGGGGCGGCCATTTTGTACGGCAATTTTGGTCAAAATGAAATGAAATGAAATAGGGTTTAACGTCCTACTGTTCTGCTCCTAAACTGGGCTAATGAAGACGGGCATACGCCATACAGTGCTATGAGGGAAATTTTGCCCGGGCAGCGGCACTACCGCCTACTCTTATATCGAATTCCAACTGCCAAGGGATCTTTTACGTGCACGCCAATGTGTACACGGGACCTCGGTTTTTCATCCCATCCGAACGACTAGACAGCTGTCCTTGTCAGGCCCTCCGTCCTGCATCACTGACAAGGGGAAACCACGCTGGAAAATCTGGATGAACTTTCTCGACCAATGCAGGGATCGAACACCCGACCTCCAGGCTAGCGAGCCAGCGTCTTACCCACTTAGCCATGTGATCCCCACGAAATTCAAACTCACCCATCATTTGGGTGTAAGGGTGATATATTCAAACGTTTTTTTTAAATCGGATAAAAATTGTTACCTCAAGAGTGACCACAAGCTAAAAACGTGATTTTTCGTACATATCAAGAGCCATAATTCAGGAAGTTAAAATCCGATATGCGCGATTATAGAAAGGAACCAAGATCTTTGGGTTATAAACATGTATTTCAAGTTTTATTAAAATCGGATCAAAATTGTGACCTCTAGAGTGTCCACAAGCTAAAAACTTGATTTTTCATACTATCAGGGGCCATAATCCATCAAGTTATAGTCCGATATACGCCAATATCGAAAGAAGCCAAGATCTTTTGGAGAAAAGCCAATATTTTAAGTTTTGTCAAAATTGAATAAAAATTGTGACCTGTAGAGTGTCGACAAACAAATTGTGGACGGACGGACGGACGGACAGGGGCGACTATAATATATGTCCACATGAAAATGTAAGCGTATAAAAATGTCATATTTTATAGTTTCACAGTTGTAAAGGATGACGTAATTAACCACAAGTGAATATATAATAGTTTTTTAATTTATGGGGTTTTCTTTCCTCTTCATGAATACTGATTATTTTGCTGTTAGACCTACTAGCTTTAATTACACTTGTAATATAAAAAGTATATGGAATTTTTCACAGACATGTGTATAATCACTTCCTCATATCAAATAATAATTAAATTGGTTTTAAAATGCAAGACTTTAAAATACCTTCACTTCTGGATGGTCAGGTGCTACACCAAATCTTACTAAGCCAAATGGAACAGGAAGTTTTTCATATATATCTACTTTAATTGTTGAATGACCCTAAAATGACAACATATTTGATTATAATAGTATTCATTCTTACAATAATCAAAATGCACATGAAAATATGAGAAAAAAAAATATTAATAATTTTTTTCAAATTTTTCAAATAAAAATGTGTTTTAAATCATTTGCAATAAAATAGCAACATGACAGAACTCCAGTTCAAAATTTCATTATCAAAATTACAAACAGTATTTTTATAAGAACTAAGAAGATTAGGAGAAAATTCAGGGTAAATAATCTCTTGACATCAATGTAATTAGAAAAAAGGATTGAAAATCTAATTGATGAATTTAAATCTAATATGTAATGTATTAAAAGTGTGAACAGTATTTGATAATCAAGATTAAGTTTTCAAATCTTGATCTTCTTTGCATTGATAAATATGAAAACATTTGGATACAATTACATTCCAATATAATCTATTCATGATGTTGGCCTGCTTGGACATATAGTTTTAAGTATATTTTATTGTTGTTAAACTTCACACAATACTATTTACACTATTTGACAGACATATATCATTGATCTGTTAATTCTATATTTTTTAATAAATAAAATTTGTATTTTTCATTTTGTAATTTTAAAGTGGGAATTACCTTTAACAATTGTTGAGCAGTATAAAATCCTGCAGGACCACTTCCAATAATGGCAACATGGGGAACTGCATTATTGTTTGTGTATAAGCGTCTCTGACACTTATGTATTTGACGGGAGAGTCGTAGTAAGAACTGTCTGCTATTATATGAGGCCATTTCAATAACTAACTTATCTTTTGTGTTCTAAATTCCTAAAAATATACATTATTCACCTATGAAACTTGATAAACCACATTTTTTAAAACACACTCTATATTTGCTGGCATTTCATTTTTTCAACCAACATACACAGCACAAAACATGAGATACTTTAGATGGCGCTCTATCTCCATGACAAATTTCTTTCTATCTGTAGGTATATCAGTGTCATTTAATTTTGGAGGACGGATGTTTAGGCGTACTATTACACGACGTAGGCCTATCTGTAAATTACTGTAATACCAAATCAATCATATTATGAAATAAATAAAGAGTAGGCTATGTGATGTGAGTGTACAATCCTTGATCTTTGTTATTATCTTGATTATGTAATTAACCAGACGTTGGAAAAGTGAATAGGATATAATACATATAAGGACGTATGGCAACTGTCAAACAGTGTTTCGGAAAAATCTGAACAAAAAGGTGTATTTATACTTAGAATTGTCCAATTCGTACAGCTTAACGGTGAACCTAGCAAACTCTGGCTAAAGGTCGGAGTTCAAGGACGTTATAGTTCGCGCACCTGTTAAGTAAACAGTTTAGGCCTATTAATAATTTTGATTATCCACAATATGAAGATGATGTTGGATCTTCGTTTGATTATTCTTCATTACCCTATAAGTCAAATAGATATTCTTTTATCACTAGTATTATAAATACTTAAAATATTATGCCGAACTATTTCTTATGGTTTACTTAAAAATGCTAAACGGAAGTTAAATCGGTATCGCCATTGAGGGAGAAAAGCTAATCGCTTTACTTGTACAACTTTGGTTCTTGTTGTGTAAGTTTTCTATTCGTATCATAATGGAATTATTGGAATAATTTTATTTTCTATAAGTATATTGTGAAATAATTCATTTTTTAAAAAGTATGATTTTATCGTATTTATGTATTGCAAACAATTTTGTGAATCGCGCGTCAATTGTCGCCTCCTTCTCAAACATCGTCAACAGTCAGCAAAGAAGAATGAGTAAGAGTCTTCGACTCCACCCATGACCATATCATTGAGATTCATTGTCTTTGGCACATGGTTTAACAAGGAACCAAAATCATAGTATTGCATTCGCACTGATCGTTATTACGATATTAGTCAATACTGCAATAGACCTATAATACACAGGAATGCAGCTAAAAAAACATTGTTCTATTTCTTATTATATTCTATATATATATAATGAGGATGTGTATGATGCGATGTTTTTTTTTTATGCTTACAATAATTAAGCCCAATTAGTTTCAGCATTTAAGAAACCATTACTTAGACTGACAAAGTTTGCAGAATGCTAGTGCATGAACACTTCTGTCAGATTTCAAGTATGTAAATGATCAGTTGAAATAAGATGCGCTTAAGAATTAATTTCACGCTACTAATCTTAACAAAATATATGTCAATTTGTCAGGAATAGGCATGAATCACAGTTGAAAGGTAAAAGATTTTTAGTAGTTTTCTTTCCATTTGTCAGAAATGTCAGGAATAGTCATGAATCACTGTTGAAAGGTAAAATTTTTTAGTAGTTTTCTTTCCATTGATGATTGGGTGATAGAGTCATGGTGGTTCAGTGGTTAAAACGTTGGCTTGCTAACCCGGAAGGTCCTAGTTCAGTTCTGAATGTAGGTGTCATTACACTCTCCCTGTACGTTCAGGAACATTCCTATTGAATCCTTGTCGAAAAAGTTTCAGCCCCCAGTCAATTATACTGGGCAACTATTTACTGGTAAATGATCGTGTGTCAATCTCTGAACGCCTGTACAATGTAAAGGAACATTTTAGTGAGAAAATAAGACCTTGCTTACCTCGCTAGTCAGTATGTGCGACACAACATGCTGTGAAAAATACATGTACGTCCCCTTCTGCTAAACGACTTGGCAGAAGCCACTGCAATGTAAAATTAGACTAAATATTAAGTAACACACAAATTGATGTATAACGGCCATATAAGACGAAACGAAATTTAGGTAAGAAGGTGAAAAAAAATTGGAATTTTTGAAAAAATTTGATTATAATTGGGCTAGGCAAAGCAATAAATGTCCAAAGATTCTCAACTTTTCAAAGAACCAATTTCCCCCCACCTCTTACCTTTCTTACCTAAATTTCGTTTCGTCATATATGGCCAAATTAAGTAAATTTGTGAGTTACCCTATATTTAGATTTCAATGGCTTCTGCCAAACTGTTTAGCAGAAGAGGTCGTATTTTTAACAGCATGTTGTGTCGCATGTACTGACTCTAGCGAGGTAAGCAAGGTCTTATTTTCTCACTAAAATGTTCCTTTACATGGTACAGGTGTTTGAAGGGACACATGACCGTTTAGCAGTAAAAAGTTGCCCAGTAAGATTGACTGGGGTCTGGGGGCCGAAACTTTTTCGACAAGGATTCAATAGGGCGGTTCCTGAACGCACAGGGCGAGTGTAATGAGAGCTATGTTCAGAGCTGAACTACGGAGATCCCTGCGTCGGCCGAGAAAGTTCATCAGAATTTTCCAATGAACTTCCTCCTTGTCAGTGGTGCAGAACCGAGGGCCTGGCAAGGGACAATGTTTAGTTGTTCGGATGACATGCACATAAAAATTCCTTGGCAGTTGGAATTTGATATAAGAGTAGGCAGTAAAGCTGCTGTCCTGGAAAGTTTGCCTTGTGGCATATGATCGTCTTCATTAGCCCAGTCGGAGCAGAACAGTAGGATGTTAACCCCCATTTCATTTGATTTCATTTCCCATTGAGTGAATGACACAGGATGGGAAAAATTGCTTTATGCCAACTATGAATAGTCATAGTCTTTTGTTAAAGGAGCTAAATCGCTAATATTTGGGACCTAGAAATTGACACAAATGGGTCGCAACACATACAATAATGTAATACCAATGTATATAAATTGATTTACATTCAATTGTTTCTGTTTTTGCTATAATTTCTAATCAGTTAGGTTCGGCGAAATACTCCAGTATTTTCAATCGAATTTCAATCTCTAGCGTCTGGTTATTCCAGTTTACGCCAGATAAGAATATAGCGTCACCGTTTGACATGATTTGTGGAATATGCCTAGCCTCCTTTTTCGAGTCCCTTATTACAAATAGGTCTGAAACGCATTATGGTACACGATTCATGTACCAATTGTAATATGTTTATTTTGTCTTAAATATTGGATATCAGAACATCAAAAAAAACGACAAATAAATTGTGTTTTCAATGTTGGAAGATTTTGGATGATATTGAGTTAGAGACTTAGCTACTTTAAATACTGTAATAAAATTATTAGAAAGTACATGTAAAGTGTACTTGATATACTTGACTGAGTTAGTGGAGATTACTGGTCTTTATTATTACATAATAACTTTGAAACATTGTATTAAAAATATGTTGTTTATTTGTGTATTTACTGTGTTTTATTGCACGGTGGCATGTTAATTTATGTACATTAGGTTAAATGTATATCTTAGACATCAACATACTTTATACAATGATGATTCAGAGAATACTACTTACCATTCATAGCATTGTGGGAAATATAGTTGATGTTTATGACTTGTACTGTCCTTTAGCAATGATTTGTTGATGTCTTAAACTAAATAGAAATGGAATGAAAAGGAAAAATGGATTTGATAGATTCTATCAGATAGAATTCTGATGTGTTGAGATAGTGGTTAAATTAAAATGTATTGAAGAGATAAGATACATTTTATATTTCTTTTGCTAGATTAATATCTTTAAACTAAATATACACCACTAACTTGAATGATATAAATGAAATGAAATGTGGTTGACACTCGACACTGTGACCCGGGTATCTTTTAATCTGGTGAGTCTAGCACTAATTTCTTTCATATTCGTTTAATATCAAATCTTTGTTTAAAAAATTTTAAAATTCATTTAAAATCACCCAAAATCATCTAATGTGTTCTTGTGTCCAGTTTCAAGCTGACTGATTAATTTTGATAATGTGTGTCCAATTTACAAGTATTTTATTTCCTGGCTACTGTTTAATTTTAAAAAATTAATCATTATACACCATAACCAATTGGGTTGTTTATTTTGTTAACAGTGATCGAGAAATTAATCACTTGTGATTTGGACATTCATTGTCAAAACTGAATGGTCAGTTTTAAAATAGGCACAAGTACAAATTAGATGATTTTTGGTGATTTTAAATGATTTTTGCAAATTTTAAACAAAGATTTTATATTGAATGAATGTGAAAGAAATGGGGGCTAAATACACCAGATTTAATGATACGCGAGTTACAGTGTGAATGTCCTACTTTTCAGCGCCAACTGCAGGGCTGTCGGTAATTTTTCACGGTTGATTAGCAGCACTGCTAATCAAAAAGTCCAATTTTGCCAAATTTGATTAGCAAATTTAAAAATTGATTAGCAGTTTTTCAGTTTCAACATAAAACACCTAAATAACAAGATATTACTTTAGTTCATAACAAATATGATTAGATTCCATTCTTACTAATCTTAGATTTTTTTAGGAGTGCCACAAGTACTTGTGACAGTTTGTGAATGTGATGTAGACATTTAGTTAGGTCTTATGTCTGAAGCCAATTCTTAACAGTGACTTCCGAAGCCCCAATCATTTTAATTGTTATTTTTTGTAAGTTAGAAATCTTCGTTAGAAAACAATTTCGTCTGCTTTTTATCGTGTATTGCTTTTCTTGTTCAATCGGGCGCACCTCGATTGACTAGACACACGTGATATTTTACGGGAATTTTTACTTTGATTTATCATTTTACAATACGTTAACATTTATTTTTTTATATTTTATTTACAATACGTAGAGGATACACTGGATTTATTTCTTTCAAAATATCATATAATTACTTGATGTCTCGCAACGTGAGTGGTACTACTTGATTCCCTGTTTCCGGTTTAATAGTCCCTATTTATAGAGTTATGTCCCTGTATTATATAGTACCGTATAATGAATTGTGTCTGGGTAGTTCGAGAAGAAAATGTCACACGGAGAATTCAGTTTTGTTTATAAAATTTTATTCAACATTTTATACTCGTTGAAATTGTTGAGAAAGCTTTCTAGTCTTCAAATGTGGATTATCCTTGTGTCAATATCCAAAATGACAGGCATATTAATGATTCGCAGTTACTGCGAATCAAAAACTTTAGATTTTAATTTTTGATTAGCAACGGACAAAATATGTATCGCAAATTGCGCTGCGATACTGGTTGTCGGCAGCCCTGGCCAACTGGGCCATTAAAGACGGTAAAAGGTTTTGTTGGTATTTTAATTTGTCAAAGATTTTCTTTAACCCTTCAACACTTAAAATATACTGGTAGCCTGTTCAGACACATAAGTTTAAAGATCGCCGGAATTTTAAACCGGTTTTTATCGTGACAGTCTTAACGCATTGGTGGCTCAAATATACCAGTTTAAACAACCCAGTTCGGGACCTGTCTTTGAGCAGGCTTTTTATTCTAAACATGTTTATCTTGGATTAAAATAGCTGGCAATAGCTCGATTTGGACATGTGCAGTACGCAGTAACTGATGTTCCAAGGAAAATGGCAGCATCCTGCATTACCAGTGTTAACAGTTGTCTATGCCGTTTAATTCTACTTTTCCTAGATTTTGTATTAATTTCTAGGCTGAAAGTGTTGGTATTTAAAAGTATTCGTGGAAAGGTATAGTTCAAACAATTCTTGCAGAATATTTGACGGGGTGTTTACACATATGCCAGGAAATGGTATTTGCCCATGCGTAGTTAACTCCCTGGCGATTTTAAACCAGTTTAAATATAAGTACCAGAACGGGGTATAGGACTCCTTGCCTGTTCATATTGGGCAAAGCTGTGGTGCACGCAAAATGTTCCTATAATACGGAAAGCCATTTACACATCTCAAGTGGTTGGACTGTTGTGATCTGTTCAGGGATGTACCAGTATTTATATACATGTATCACTTTCTCTAATGATATTAAAGGATAAAAAACATGCTTCTACCGTTATGCACCTGTTTTTATAGGCTACATTCTTGTTTCAGTGAGAATATTTGAGCATGCCTGTATTTATGTGCTAATAATGAATTATACTGGTAGTTAATTATTTTTCTTCTAGGTTAGTAATTGGTTACAGAGATGGCTGAACAAGGTACAGATGATCATGATGAAGAAAATACTTTATATAAACCCCCAGCTGAAAAAAAATTAGACGAAATCTTATCTGCTGATGCTGAAGATGAGAGTTTAAAAAAATATAAAGAAACTCTTTTAGGTTCTGCAGCAGGAGGAGGAGGAACTATTGTTGGTGAGTTTTGCAATCAGGTTCCTCATTCAAGTATACATTCAATGAGAATTTTATGACTAAAATTAGTGAACAAGCTAACATATCCTAATCTACTAATACAAGAATTTAATCATACAGTTAGACTAGTGATGCATAATATTAACACAATTGAGTACTTTATATTGGCCTAAATCAAAGAAATTTAAAGCATTTAATACAAGAATATAGGAAGCCCTGGAAGTATATTTACAATAAGCTAAGTAGGTAGGTGAAAATAGCATTTAACAGTAGCCATTTAGATGTCCAGCCATGTACTTGTTGATGTGTACGTAAAAGAACCCTGACGGTTGCAATTTGATGAAAAGTAGGTGGAAATGCTGCTATTGGGGCAAAAATTCTCTCATAGAACATATTACAGGCTTACCAGTACATGTAGGTCCTGAAAAGTAGGATGTTAATCCCTATTTGATTTTTGATTTTGCTGTCCTGAATATTCAATCGTCTATAATTGTACTGCATTTCATATTGTACCATTCTCGAACATAATAGTTGTGGCAGGTAATCTTCAGCTTTAACTACTAAATCTGTGTGTTAAATATTTGTATCTAATTTCAGATGAGAATAATCCAAGTCGGGTAATTGTTCAAAAGTTAGGATTGCTAGTAGAAGGTAGAGACGAGTTGTATATAGATTTAACAAGTAAGTCAGTTCACAAAAAATATTCGTAGAAGGCCATATCGATTTATTTTTTTGTTTCTAAGGCCTCTGATGTTAAAACTTGTCCAATTGAAATAAAAAAGAAACTGAAAATTGCTCATTTTATGATTATCGTAGTTGTGCATATTTAATATTATTTCAAGGATAGCTCTCACATATTCAGTTGTCTTGCATTCACTTCACTTGATACATGCAGGTGTTATTACGCCAGATTTGTATTCTTCTACTTACCAATGTAGGGCTGGCCGAAAATATCGATATTGCTGATAATCGTCGGTAAAGCGTTTTGAAAATCGATAATTGATACAGGGTTAAAATAGGGTATTGAGGATCGTGCAATTATAGGTAGCCATTTGTAAGAAATCCATAAAAGATAATCTGTATCAGAGTATTCTTTGCAACGCGTGCTTGCAACTAGTCATTAAACACACGTTTTGTTTTTCACACGAGTGGCCATTGCTAAGAACTGTCAGCTGCGTATGATGAGAGCAAACATTCACATAACATTTAGACATATACCCCTTCTTTTACTCTTATTTCTTTCGTCTGCTCTGTTTTTAAATCTCAATTATATACATATCATAGTGACTAAGAATAAAAAATATGAATTAAGCCACTATACAAGATGTTTTGTGGGTATGAGAAATCAGAATAACTACGAGAAATAAACTGTTACTGTTATTATTCTGTCTTCCAATTGAAGTCGATTAGTTTCGACACCTTGGTTTTGGTATGGAATGCTAATATTGTCAAAATTATGGAACAATTTCAGCATGTACACATAATGATATTAAAGCAAAAACTCACTTATAATTCGTAATTCACCACAAATTATGAATGTTTTCAAAACAATTGTAAGTAAAAATAGTTCACCGATATTATCGATTGCCAGATGGTCAGTGATTATCGATACTTAAATCCAGTATCGATTGCCAGCCCTATGCAGCCAAAGTGAGATATTCTCTTCAATCAAAAATGTATATTAAACCTTCTTATATCATGTACAATTTCAATTTATATTTTTGCAGAAGACAAACATGAAATTAAAAAGAAGTCCTTTGTAATAAAAGAAGGTTGCACCTACCGAGTTAGAATTTATTTCTATGTTCAACGAGAAATTGTTACTGGTCTAAAATATAAACAAAAAGCCTCCAGAGGAGGCATTAAAGGTTAGTATTTTTATACGCCCACATTTTCATGCGGACGTATTATGCCGTCGCCCTGTCCGTCCGTCCGGACGTCCGTCCACAATTGTTTGTGGACTCTCTACAGGTCACAATTCTTGTCCGATTTCGACGAAACTTGAAATATAGGTTTATCCCCAAAAGATCTCGGCTGCTTTCGATATTGGCATGTATCGGATCGAAACTTTCATGGATTATGGCCCCTGTTTGTACGAAAAATCACGTTTTTAGCTTGTGGACCCTATAGAGGTCACAATTTTTATCCGATTTTGTTGAAACTTGAAATGTAAGTTTATAACCCAAAGATCTCAGTTCCTTTCGATATTCGCGCATATCGGACAGTAACTTCCTGAATTATGGCCCCTGATTGTACGGAAAATCATGTCTGTCTGTCCGTCACACTTTTTGGGACACAATAACTCTCTTTCTAATTGACCTAGAATGTTCAAACTTGGTGTAGGTGTTTATTAGGTCAGTGCCTTCATGGAGTTCGAAGATGAGCATTTTCTGCTTAGGGTAAGCAGAGATAAGCAATTTGATTGGTTGATGCTTTGGGACATGATAACTTTAGTTCTAATTAGGTGAGAGTGATGAAACTTGGAGTATAGTTTCATTACAATGTATTACATCAATACCTTGACTAAGTTCGATAATGAGCATTTTCTGCTCAGGGTAAGCAGAGCAATAAGCAATTTGATTGGCCGAGACTTTGGAACACAATAACTCTCCTTCTAATTGAGCTAAAATGTTCAAACTTGGTGTAGGTGTTTATTAGGTCAATGCTTTGATGGAGTGTGAAGATGAGCATTTTCTGCTTAGGGTAAGTAGAGATAAGCAATTTGATTGGTTGATGCTTTGGGACACGATAACTTTAGTTCCAATTAAGTGAGAGTGATGAAACTTGGTGTATAGTTTCATTACATCAATACCTTGACTAAGTTCCATATTGAGCATTTTCTGCTAAGGGTAAGCAGAGCGATAAGCAATTTGATTGGCCGAGACTTTGGAGCACAATAACTCTCCTTCTAATTGAGCTAGAATGTTCAAACTTGGTGTAGGTGTTTATGAGGTCAATGCCTCGATAGAGTGCGAAGATGAGCATTTTCGGCTTATGTTAAGTCGAGATAAGCAATTTGATTGGTTGATGCTTTGGGACACGATAACTTTAGTTCTAATTAAGTGAGAGTGATGAAACTTGGTGTATAGTTTCATTACATCAATACCTTGACTAAGTTCGATGATGAAAATTGTCTGCTTAGGCTAAGGAGCAATAAGCATTTTGATTGGTCAAGACCTTGGAACATAACAACTTTGCTTCTAATTGAGGTAGACTGTTTAAACTTGATGTAGATGTTCGTCTTGACTTGAGTTCAATGATTAACCTATCAAGCTAAAGCTAAGCAGAGATAAGCAATTTCTTTGGTCGATGCTTTTGGACAAGATAACTTTGATTCTATCTGATAGAGAGTGATGAAACTTAGAGTATAGTTGATAATCAGTTTGATTGCTCGATACTTTTGAAAAAAAATAGATGTGCGATTAATTAATATGTGTCATCTATTTATTTGGGGATTTCGGTGGGGGACATCAGCCTCACTGTTGGCTTGTTGAAACTTGAAATGTAAGTTTATAACCCAAAGATCTCGGTTCCTTTCGATATTCGCGCATATCGGACCGTAACTTCCTGAATTATGGCCCCTGATTGTACAAAAAATCACGTTTTTAGCTTGTGGACCCTATAGAGGTCATAATTTTTATCCGATTTATAAAAACGTATTATTATATCACCGTTACACCCTAAGGACGACTGAGTTCGAATTTCCTGAAAATCGGCCCAAAATTGACAGACAAAATGGCTGCCGTTTGTTCTCAAATAGTGTAAAAAATATGGTATGTTAAGGTTGAGGACCCTATATAGAGGTCACAATTTTTATCGGATTTTGTTGAAACTTGAAATGTAAGTTTATAACCCAAAGATCTCGGCCCAAAATTGACAGACAAAATGGCTGCCGTTCGTTCTCAAATAGCATAAAAATATGGTATATCAAGGTTGTGGACCCTATAGAGGTCACAATTTTTATCCGATTTTGTTGAAACTTGAAATGTAAGTTTATAACCCAAAGATCTCGGTTCCTTTCGATATTCGCGCATATCGGACCGTAACTTCCTGAATTATGGCCCCTGATTGTACAAAAAATCGCGTTTTTAGCTTGTGGACCCTATAGAGGTCATAATTTTTATCCGATTTAAAAAACCGTATTATTATATCACCGTTACACCCTAAGGGCGACTGAGTTCAAATTTCAAGAAAATCGGCCAAAAATTGACAGACAAAATGGCCAGCGTTCGTTCTCAAATAGCGTAAAAATATGGTATATCAAGGTTGTGGACCCTATAGAGGTCACAATTTTTATCCGATTTTGTTGAAACTTGAAATGTAAGTTTATAACCCAAAGATCTCGGTTCCTTTTGATATTCGCGCATATCGGACCGTAACTTCCTGAATTATGGCCCCTGATTGTACGAAAAATCACGTTTTTAGCTTGTGGATCCTATAGAGGTCATAAATTTTATCCGATTTTAAAAAAAAGTATTATTATATCACCGTTACACCCTAAGGGCGACTGAGTTTGAATTTCGTGAAAATCGGCCCAAAATTGACAGACAAAATGGCCGGCGTTCGTTCTCAAATAGCGTAAAAATATGGTATATCAAGGTTGTGGACCCTATAGAGGTCACAATTTTTATCCGATTTTGTTGAAACTTGAAATGTAAGTTTATAACCCAAAGATCTCGGTTCCTTTCAATATTCGCGCATATCGGATCGTAACTTCCTGAATTATGGCCCCTGATTGTACAAAAAATCGCGTTTTTAGCTTGTGGACCCTATAGAGGTCATAATTTTTATCCGATTTAAAAAACCGTATTATTATATCATTGTTACCCCCTTAGGATAGCTGAGTTCGAATTTCCTGAAAATCGGCCCAAAATTGACAGACAAAATGGCTGCCGTTCGTTCTCAAATAGCGTAAAAATATGGTATATCAAGGTTGTGGACCCTATAGAGGTCACAATTTTTATCAGATTTTGTTGAAACTTGAAATGTAAGTTTATAACCCAAAGATCTCGGTTCCTTTCGATATTCGCGCATATCGGACCGTAACTTCCTGAATTATGGCCCCTGATTGTACAAAAAATCTCGTTTTTAGCTTGTGGACCCTATAGAGGTCATAATTTTTATCCGATTTAAAAAAACGTATTATTATATCACCGTTACACCCTAAAGACGGCTGAGTTCAAATTTCCTGAAAATCGGCCCAAAATTGACAGACAAAATGGCTGCCGTTTGTTCTCAAATAGTGTAAAAATATGGTATATCAAGGTTGTGGACCCTATATAGAGGTCACAATTTTTATCAGATTTTGTTGAAACTTGAAATGTAAGTTTATAACCCGAAGATCTCGATTCCTTTTGATATTCGCGCATATCGGACCGTAACTTCCTGAATTATGGCCCCTGATTGTACAAAAAATCACGTTTTTAGCTTGTGGACCCTATAGAGGTCATAATTTTTATCCGATTTAAAAAAACGTATTCTTATATCACCGTTAAACCCTAAGGATAGCTGAGTTCGAATTTTGTGAAAATCGTATTATTATATCACCGTTACACCCTAAGGGTGACTGAGTTCGAATTCCATGAAAATCGACCCAATATTGACAGACAAAATGGCTGCCGTTCGTTCTCAAATATAGCGGAAAAATATGGTATATCAAGGTTGTGGACCCTATTGAGGTCACAATTTTTATCCGATTTTGTTGAAACTTGAAATGTAAGTTTATAACTCAAAGATCTCGGTTCATTTCGATATTTGTGAATATCGGACTGTAACTTCCTGAATTGTGGCCCCTGATTGTACGAAAAGTCGCGTTTTTGGCTTGTGGACCCTATAGAGGTCATAATTTTTATCCGATTTAAAAAAACATATTATTATATCACCGTTACACCCTAAGGACGACTGAGTTCGAATTTCATGAAAATCGGCCCAAAATTGACAGACAAAATGGCTGCCGTTCGTTCAGGTCCCTTCGATGTTTGCGCATATCAAATTGTAATTTCCTGAATTATGGCCCTTGATTGTAGAAAAAATCACTTTCTTGTTAGCTTGTTCTCTATCCATCTGTCGAAAATGTGGGCGTATCCTGCCTGGCAGCCGCTGGTTTTTTAAATAATGTATTTTTGTGTATTTTTATCCGATTTAAAAAAACATATTATTATATCACCGTTACACCCTAAGGACGACTGAGTTCGAATTTCATGAAAATCGGCCCAAAATTGACAGACAAAATGGCTGCCGTTTGTTCAGCTTCCTTCGATGTTTGCGCATATCAAATTGTAATTTCCTGAATTATGGCCCTTGATTGTAGAAAAAATCACTTTCTTGTTAGCTTGTTCTCTATCCATCTGTCGAAAATGTGGGCGTATCCTGCCTGGCAGCCGCTGGTTTTTTAAATAATGTATTTTTGTGTACATAGCCCTGAAGACGCCGAAAGATCTTGGCAGATATGTAAATGTAATTAAAATATATATATTTTTCCATCCAAATCTTAGTATTTTTTGGTATATAATCCCGAGAGTTGAATTTAGATAACAAGCCTTACCCAGCAAACAAAATTTTCTTAAGTTGCTTTAAATAATCTATATACGTTTTTATACGCCCACATGGAAATGTGGTTGTATATTGCCGTCGCCCCTGTCCGTCGGTCGGTCTGTCCGTCCGTCTGTCTGTCTGTCCACAATTTCTTGTGTACACTCTACAGACTACATTTATCATCTGATTGTTTTGAAATTGATATATGTTGTTTGCATTAGTGAGATGAAGAATCCTATTTAATTTCAATAACTTTCGTTAATTTCTTCTAGAGTTATGGCCCTTGTTTCACTTTGTTGCAAATTTTGAATGCACTAACGACAAAAGTTATCAACTGATCTGTATGAAATTTATATGCATCATTTAAATTAGTAAGACAAAGAATCCTATGAATTTCAGCTATTTCCGTTAATTACATCTAGAGTTATGGCCCTTGTTTTACTTTGTTGAACCTTGTGAACGTTCGAACAACAAAAGTTATCATCCGATCTGTATGAAATTTATATGCATTATTTGAATTAGTAAAACGAAAAAGCCTGTCGAATTTCAACAATTTCTGTAGATTACTTCTAGTAATGAAATTGTCTATTAAATGCACCTAATTACCTACAAAAGAATAAATATGTGACAACCCTTGTCAACTTTAGCTGTTGTGGGCGTAGGTTTTGTTGCCTGGCAACCTATCTTATCATTAGATTGGCTTTATTATTTGATAGATTTGTATAATCTATAAATAATGCACATGCTGCGTCTCAGTTATATAATCATTTGAATTTTGAGATTCCGTCATTTAAGGGTGAACATTCGCAGACGTAAGTTTAACTACTATTAGAGCCAATTTTTGTGGCTATGTGGGGCACCCTAGCCATGACCACCCATCCCTTTGGGTCATCCACACTAAGTCAATCAAAATAATGTTGTTTTGTTGGTATTTAATCTTGCCAAACATCAGTTTATTGTAGATGTAATTCACAACATTCAAATACGTATGTTTTACATTAATTATTGTAGAATGTATTTAGCATGTGCACCTTAATAATGTACAGATGTAATGAAATATATCACAAAAAGGAAATGTGCCATATCTACAAGACAACACCCAGCAAACTACACAATGGATCAAGTTGACTTCATTTGATACATATTGGAAAAATAAAACTTCAAATCTTTTCAGTGCCTTAGTGTACAGGTGTAGTTGTGTAATCCCAAACTCAAATAGTGGCACATAAAGGGGTGTTTTGATGCATACAGATTCTGAAGTTTAAATTTAAAAAAATAACTTAATTATCTATCTTTAGCCTTGGTTAATGAAGTCAGTTACAAGATGCACCTGGTGAGAAAGAAAAAACACCAAAACATTGACAATAAGAATGGTGGAGGGACATATTGCCGAATTAAATCCCACCAGTCTCTTCAAAACTGTTATCATGTAATGTTTGTTCATTTCTAATATTTATTGTTTTTCAGTTGATAAAACTAACTTTATGGTAGGTAGCTATGGACCAAAAATGGACCTCCAATCTTTCACTACACCTCCTGAAGAAGCTCCATCTGGAATGGTGGCAAGAGGTGAATATAAAATGGATAGTCAATTTACTGATGATGATGGTAATGATTATTTAAGTTGGGAATGGAAATTACAGATTAAGAAGGACTGGCAGTGACATTCTTTTATACCCGATTTTATGTATACAACTCAGTACACTCTATCTGTAGGTTAGGATTGATCATATATATATAAAGATTTTTGATTTTTTCCCCAAATTAATCAAATTCCATTCTGTAATCCTCAGTTTTTTTCTTCTGTTAGGTCATTATTCCAATAAAATAGTGTACTTTTATTCATAGATTGAATGAATAATCGTATATTAGTGCCTGTTTAACTTTGTTAGTAATGTGAGCTGCCTATAATAGATCTGGGATTATACTTTGTATTTTTTGTGGGTAGTTACATTTGTTATAAGTTTATTTTTTGTTTGTACTTTTTGACATGCTGATACACAACTAATTAATTATCAAATCTGTTGTAAAATAGTTTAATTGATTTTATTTATATTCTCTAACCTTTTTAGACATTGACTTTTGAACAAAATTAAGTGTTGTTAATCACTTGTATAACTTTATTTTCCCTCTCTGTCAATTTGATAAATTGTAATGTCTTGGTAAAGAATGTTTAGAAAAGGGGGCCAATATTCATTGTAGGTCAATAAATACCAAATACATTTTTATATTAAAACGGAATTTGAAAGTAGGCCACGTATGCCCTAAAATATATACAGAAACTGTGTCAAGCAATCACCTTTCTTCCTGTGAAATAAAATTTTTACATCTGTGTTGTTCTAAATTCTAATGAGTGTCTGTATTTGTCATATGATGGATATTCCTATAAATTCACAAATGTTGCTAAGTGCTTGAACCCAGCTATTTTTTTTAATTAAATAATTATTTATATATTTTGGTGTGTGCACATGAACTACGCAATTTGTTTATAATGCCATGTAGTATATATAGTAGATAGTGAACATTGTTAAACCGTAGTGCCATTAGCTTTTTAGTGCTTCGCTTTATAAATTTATCATATATTTATAACCACAGAAAGGCACTATTAGTTACGGACAGATTTTCAATTTTTTTTTAAAGTAAATTCATAAAATTCTGTACTTTTGATTTTCAAAGCTATGCAAACAAATTAAATAATGTTACATGTAATATATGTACATGTTAATTATCACTGCAGTATTAATTAAAAAGTCTAATGAAATTTTCTATTTTTTTGTCGTAATAGATAATTGAAACTATACAGAATTTTATTTCAACCCAACAGACAATGTCATTTGTTTACAAGCAAATCATTAGCTATAGTTTTGGATGTCTGATTGAACATCAGAATCTATTGTCTTCAGGTGCCTATATTGCAATTGCAGATAACTTTTCTGTTGTCCTTCTGCCTTAATTGCCAATAAACAAGTTAAAAATAGAAATATGTTGTTTATGTTTATATAGTTGAATTATAGTGGGTTCCCATGAAATATGCCAAATTGACTGACTCAAGCTGAAAGTACAGTAAACTTCGCATAAGTTGGATCTAAGTGGACTGACCAATTTTATTCGAGTTAAGTGAAGATCCGAGTTAGCCGAAGACCAAAATTCAATCTTAGCTCGATTAGAAATAAACTGCAAGAGCCGGATAATAATTGATTCAAAGGCAAATTTCAAGCTTTTATTCGTGTGTGCGAGTAGATAACTTCTGTTTTGTTGCCATCTTTTAACAATGTCCTAAATTTTCCTGGAAAGTGTCTCGTACAGCAGACGAGTTTAGAATTTTCCGGGAAAATTCTATTATTGCGTCGCGCCAAATAGGCTGATTCGAGTCAAAATGATAGAGGAAAGTATTTTGGGGCTCTGTGCATGGATTACTTAACCACGATTTAGACCATCGGGACAAAACAAGACAGTCAAATTCTGAACATACTGCCGATTTGACTTGGGTGAAGGAAAATTGCCGAAATTAGATCAAATCGACCAAACATTTTGATCCGACTTGAGCAAAGATCTGACTTAAGAAATCCGACTTATGCACAGAAATATAATAAGTAAACTGTAAACCGTGCAGTATCAAAGGTTCCAAACGATTTTATCCGAGTTGAGCGAAGATCCGACTTATACGAATACGGCTTATGCGATATTTACTGTATAATAGATTGATGATGGAAATTGAAATCAGGGGCCCTGTTTTATAGTACATCACAGCGGCCAACCATAAATAGAGTCAAGGTAGCAATATTAATGTTGATGGGAAAGACATTCTGCAGTTCAGTCCTGGTGTGAAAGGGAAGGGGCTGTCTCACAAACCAGGTATAGGTTGATAAAGGTCCTCAGGATTTTCCACCATCTTTTCCCCGTGCCAATGGTGCAGAACAGATGACCTGGCAAGGAAGATGGTCTAGCCATTTGGATGGTAAAAAAATATGGTTGAAGAGTAGGCCAAAATGCTGCTGTCCTGGCAAAATTTCTCTCATAGCATAGCATAACTAGAAGAAAAAAATGAAACATACTTGACATTAGATCTGAATTAGATTAGTCAAATCATCAAATATACAAGAACGATTCACAACAGCGTTTTCGAGATTGATATACTAGGCAGTTTTCCAGAATAATCTATCTCAAATACTGTCTTACCTTTAAATACCTTAAGATTATTTTGAACCCCAGGCATGGCCAACTACTTGCCCCTGCCCCAAAATTTGTAGACTTTGATTTTCCAAAACGGGTGTTTTGTAGAAAAAAAAAATTAATAAAGCACAAGAATTTAAATTGCTATATTAATATTATATTTCAAGAATTAATACACGAATCGATATTAAAGTTCAAGAATTAAGTAATGCACCAAAGGTAAGTATTTGGGCTCAGTGTGTCAGTCTAGTTGGTCAGATATCACCGTCCCTTTGTAGGCAAATAAATGTTATATTTAGAATATGATAAACACACGAACTGTCAATGCATATTAGTGAACTAAAGTATATCCAATTACTACGATATTCAGGAAGTAAACATCATATGACCGGTTATCTGAAAGGAAGCCAGAGTTTAACGCAGCTGGTCTTCTTGATTCGCTATAACCATAAGAGGACAATTCATTTAATGAATACAACACATCGCCTTTTTATCTGTTAAAAGTCTATTTATTATATTGCAATTACATTCTATAAAATGACGATCCACTTTTGACCAGATCATAGTCCATAGACAATATTTTATTTCTGAACATACATTTATAAACGTTTATATTGCGAAAGAAAGATTTTCATTTATTAATGTCCTGGAAATTTGTCAAAATCGAGACGGGATTAAATAAAACTAACACGTTTTGATATTATTCTCTTTTCTTATTCACGCCTGTTTCTTTTGATAAAAGAACATGTTCGTATGTCGAGCACGATTAATGGCTTATACCAAACTGGCAATAATCCAACTTTAACAGATATTCTATGTTATATTGGGATTGGCTTTTTGAAAAGACAAACCACGTTGGGTACAATAAGAGGCGCGGATACAGGGACAGGGGTGCGCACCCGCCCTGCACCCGCCCCTCACCACTTCTCACTACATTTTGAATATTCCCCCTCACTGCACCTCGGAATTAACATAGTTTACAATGTTAGTCTCATATCAGAGTGTGGGTTTGTGTGAGTGTGTGTGTGTTTGGATTCTACGGGAGGTCATTAGGGTCCATCAAATGGAAAAAAAAAATTCTGAATATCTTGTAATTACAAGATACGAAGAATCTCATGAGTAACTTATTTTAAGGTCGCCATACACCGACTTATCGAATAGCTAGGCCAACGCCGTACTGTATTTTATGTTACAGAATCGGCACATTCATGTCATTCTCCCATAAATATCATTCGTTATTTTCATGCCTCCATTAAAATCATACAAATCATACCCTCAACTTCATACTCCCACCAACTTCATACACGCATTGATATCATTTATTACTATCATGATTCACCAATTTTAATGCTCCTCTTACAGCCACAGAACGCTATTCATATTTTTCGGAAAACTTTTTTGTTTTCGTTTGTTTTGACTTTATACAGTTTTTATTGTCTGCAGAAGTTGCCGAGTTTAGCGATTTGTTTTCCATTTCAACAGAAATGTAAAAACTGTGCAAAGTCAAAAGGAACGAAAACAAAAACCATTTTTACGGTTAATCATCAACGGCCGTTGAACAGCAGATTTGGTTCAAATCTGTTGAAAATCGGAGTTGATTATTGTCTTGACTAATTAACAGTTTATATAACATTTAAGGCCTAAAGAAAGACCTGCAATAGGCAGATTTAGCTCTTGCATATAATGTATCTATACTAATATTTGTGACTGTCGTTTGTCTGTCTGTTTGTCTGTCTGTCTGTTCGGGGTTGGCGGCTACACTAGGTCTGCCCCGAGTCTGAAATTTGGGGTATAGGGGTAGCTCGGGCCGGGGAGTAACATAGGCCAGGTGGCGTTAGTCTACCACTTCCGGTTTCGGGGTTATGACCCCCGAGCGAAGCCGGGCATTCTTCTAGTGTTTAATAAGTACCGACTGACGTATATTTGTGTCCGTTTTGTTGTCGTTCGTTTTGTCTATATCCTTTTTAAACAAGCCGTTGCCATCTTTACGTTTCACTGAACCTCTTCCGTGCGCCTCTATTTAATTTATATTAATGAGAGCATGACCTGGATGTGATTGACCCTATAATGGGCTTCTCCGTATCTTGTAATAACAAGATAGCCTAGTTACAAGAAAACTACCTTGTAATTACAACATAGCTATCTTGTAATTACAACATAGATATCTTGTAATTACAACATAGCTATATTGTAATTACAAGACAGTCTAAAGTATCTTGTAATTACAAGATAGTTATATAAAATAGTTATCTTGTAATTACAAGATTATCAGATATTTTTTTTCATTTGATTGACCCTAATGGTCTTCCATAGGACTGGGAAGGGTTTAAGTCGAACCATTCAAAAAAGGCTCGGGCGGGGTCCGATCATTTGGAAAATTAAAATGTAACTATTATTTAAAGAAAATTGTTTCGCAGCGCTCCGAACGGCTTGTCATGAACGGAGCCCGGTAAGGGACGCAAAAAAAAAAATATAATAATAATAACCGGCGCGCGCCGGATAATTTCCAATAAGAAATAGAATGAAATGGGGTTTAAAGTCCTACTGTTCTGCTCCGACTGCACTAATGAAGACGGGCATACGCCATATACTGCGTGATATGAGGGAAATTTTGCCCGGACAGCGGTACTACGGCCTACTCTTATATCGAATTCCAAATGCCAAGGGATCTTTTACGTGCATGCCAATGTGTACACCGGACCTCGTTATTTCGTCCCACCCCAACGTCTGTACGTTGACCGTGGGCTCGCTATCCAGGAGGCCGCTTGTTCCATCCCTGCCTTGGCCGAGAAAGTTCATCGGGATTTCAGTTCCTCCTGCACCATTGATCGACAAGGAGGAACCACGCCGGAAAATCCTGATGAACTTTCTCGACCAACGCAGGGATGGAACACGGGACCCCCGTCATTTCGGGGCTAACATCTGCTTACATTTTATTTTAATAATTCTCTTGTGTTGTGCGAAGGGGTGATTAGCAGTAGGAGGAAACCAAAAAGTTCCTCGGGATTTTCCGGCGTGATTCCTCCTTGTCAATCAATGGTGCAGGAGGAACCACGCTGGAAAATGCCGATGAACTTCCTCGACCAAAGCAGTGATGGAACAAGGGGTTTCCTGGATAGCGAGCCTACGGTCAACGTACAGTAGTTGGGATGGGACGAAATACCGAGGTCTGGTGTCCACATTGGCATGCACGTAAATGATCCCCTGGCATTTGGAATTCGATATAAGAGTAAGCCGTAGTACCGCAGCCCGGGCATACTTTTCCTGATAGTACGCACTATATATGGTGTATGTCCGTCTTGATTAGTCCAGTAGGAGCAGAACAGTAGGACTTTAAACCCCATTTCATTCTATTTCTTATTGGAAATTATCCGGCGCGCGCCAGTTATTATTATTATATTTTTTTTTTGCGTCCCTTACCGGGCGCCGTAGTCATGTATATACATATGAACATAAAATGCTTCAAAGAAGTTTAATTGTGCTTTTATATACTACCTTTTCTCGACATGTTGGGACACAAGAAATATGCAATTAACTTACTACTGCTTTGCCAATATATATAACGTGTTATACAATCTCAAAATGCACAATCAAACATGTCTTTTATTATATAAACACGTAAAAAGTCTATTTGTTATCAAGCTTCAAAGAGCTAGAATAAATGCATTTCGCTTGGTCCGCTCGGGGTCCATTATTTTCTTGCATCTCGTTGCCACGAATAGGTGTTTTTCACATTGGCAAGATATCAAAACTACGCTACGCACAATCTAGCCCAAACATATGAAACGGAAATAAGAATATCACAACAGTTGCAATGTAACTTATTGTTAGCCCGTTTTTCTTTTTAAAGTGAAGTCTGTATCACTACAGGCAAGGGACTACACAGCGGCAGTGGACGCTTTCGGCTAACCGCCGGATCAATTCACTTGATCGGATGTATGTATACGTTTGTTGTTTGTGATGTCTGTATATTGTGTCTTATCCGTGGATTTATCTTGTGCATTTATTTGTGTGTGGTGTAGTCCGCCTGCACTTACTATTAACAAATTGCACTTGATTTCCACTTTGCCGTGTATTTTTTCTCGCACCAAACCCCTTTTCTTTTTCAAAAATCCTAAATCCGCCGTTTCGAATTTTTTGTAAATTTGATTCCTTAAGAAAATAATATGACAGTACGATCTTTCTTATGATCAGGAAAATCAGCTTATAGCCTCAAATTGCCATTAATCTTAGAAAATTACTACCGTTGTTGTTCTATTTATTGGCACGTTCTACTGTATTTTATAATTGATATACTTGAGGTTCAAGCGTGTGATGATATCGAAAACAGAAAATTCTCTTTAATTTACTCGCTATGTTTAAAATCAAATTGGGCTTCCCGTTTTCCTATCAACAAAAGGGTCTATACTCTAATGCTACTATCGGTTTGGAGTTTTAAATGTTAATTTTATCGATAGGAGGGGGTCCGGGGGGGGGGGGGGAGGGGTTATTTTGTCTTGTATACATTAATCGAAATAACGTCTTAAAAGCGAAGCATTGTCGATGTTTTGGCCTCACTCTACTCTAATCCTCAATCTATTTTACATCGGTAATGCGAAACCTTTTTTCTTTTTTTTTCTTTTTTAAAACTGTACACGATGACTTCACCTTGAATATGACGTCATATTCGAATTGTGCGTTAGGGTAACATGTAGGCTTGGAGCGCTTGCCCTGTTTACATCTCGAAACCTTCACGAAATCTGCTGGTCCGAACCCTTACTCTAACCTACAATCTACATATGACGTCATAAATATGTGCTAGAATGTGCTAGATCGCCGATCTAGCGTTCTCCGACTTTTAAGGTCACGCGCAGTATACATTAGTTATATGGTTGACGTCCCATCATATTGCGTTAATAACACGCGCGTTATTACTAAACATGCTAGATGTACATGTATATTGGAGTGTGTGGATTCGTGCAATGGACTTGGTACTGATATACACCTCCATGACCCGCGCTTGAATACCTTCTCACTATTCGAAAAAATACGGAAATTACCGAGGTTGTCCCGATCGGTTTGTACCACAGAGGGCGTTAATGTACAGGGAGACAAAATGGCTGCGCGCTTAGGATACTGAATTCTACAGATATTTAGTAAATGACTCCGCTATAAAATGTCAAAACCAGAGGATGTAAACGCATCTCTGTTGGGGATACAAACATATTTACAAACACAGACGTATGAAAAGGGTACAGCACACAACGACAAGCGTAATATTAGAAAAAGGTCGAAAGATTTCAAAGTAGAAAATGGCGAACTGTATTTTGTTCAGAAAGTGCTTTGTGACAGCAATGACAACAATCAGAAAGAATACCAGCGTCTACGAAAAGCCATCCTTACAGATAAAGAGAAAATTGATATAATTTCTCGTCTCCATGTTCACGAAAATGGTAGGCCTATATGTTTAATTTACACTCGAGACCTACAGATTGAACAATAGGCCTATACCTATGGGATGTTAAATTATTGGTTGGCCGTGGTTCATGCCGCAGCCGTATCTTGGGATTTTAATCCGGGATATACATGTAACATTTACCAGCAGCCAGCTACTGGCAGCACTGCACTTTATTATAGACGCCTACTAATATTTCATAAATATTTATGTTAACCACCAGAAAAGAATCACATCTATTAGGCCCTTATTTGGTCAGTTTTGGAATCTTTATAAATTTGTCGGTAGCACGCACACTGATCCGCAGTGAATATTTGCTGAGACTCGTAATTCTCTGTGAAACAGATTGGGTAGCACGTTTTACCAAATCCACTCAATCCACCCAAATCTACCCAAAGCCACCCTTATTTCTTTTTCATCTATTTTAAAATATTTTCTATATTTGATAATATACTGTTCTTTATGCCAAATTGTCATTTTTAATTTAAAATCGTAATGTTTTTGTTTAAAAAATGCCCTTCAAAATGAAATTTCCAAGCAAGTGATTCAGAGCAGTAATGAGTTATGTCCCATGGCCATGGTTACAACTTCCTAACTTGCTTGGAAATTGCATTTTGAGGGGGAATTTTGACACAAAAACACTACGATTTTAAATTAAAAATGAAAATTTAGTGTCAAGATCAGTATATTATCACATATCGTTAATAATGATAATAATAATAAACAACATTTGCTTTATTACACAACTACATGGTCTATGCACGAGTAGCTATAAATTATTATGATGTGAAAAGTGCATTTTAAAGGAGCTAAATCGCTAATATTTGGGACCTACAAATTGACACAAATGGGTCACAACGTATATAATGATGTAATATGAATGTATATAAACTGATTTACATTCAGTCGTTTCCGTTTTTACTCTAATTTCAAATCAGTTATGTTCGGCAAAATACGCCAGAAGTGTCAATCCAACATCAATCTCTAGTGTCTGGTTATTCCAGTCTACACCGATAGTATTTATTGCGCATGCTCTCCAGATAAGAATATGGGGTCACCGTTTGACATGACTTGTGGAATACGTCTAACCTCATTCTTCGTGTCGCTTGTTACAAATTGCACTGAAACGCATTATGGTACACGATTCGTGTACCAATCGTAAAAATGTTTATTTTGTCTTAAATATTGGATATAAAAAGCCCATCTTTTTCCGCAAAGATCACAACACCAATGTTGATTAAAATTGACAAATAATTCATGTTTTCATTGTCAAAGGTTTTATATGATATTGAGTTAGAGACTTAGCTACTTTAAGGGGCATTTTTAACACAGAAACGTTACGATTGTAAATTAAAAATGACAATTTGGCATAAAGAACGGTGCATTGTCAAATATCGATGTAAATTATTGTCTTATAAGTTGAAATAATGGTGGATTTGGGTAGATTTGGGTGGATTTTTGGTAAATCGTTCTACCCTAAATTTTTATGTTTTTGAAAATTACAAGTAAGAAATACGATATGATTATTGATACAAAGATATATCTCAAGTTGTATGTTGGAAGTGGTGCAGTTTACAATAGCTTGTATTAATATCACACTTTATTATATAATTTTCGGAACAATTTCAAAATATGTCTATGATTGTAGGCTACTGTAGCCAGCCTATAATTTAAAGGGGTCCATAAATTTACCCAAAACAACTTTAATTACCCAAAACAACCAGTATTTTGAATAAAACAACACATTTTTATTGTTTTTTCTTTCTTTTTAATATGTATAGATGATTAATATTCCCTCAACTTTACTCTTTTTTACATAGTTCTGAAAAAAAATGGAAATAAATGGAAGATCGAAGCAAGAAAGACAACTCTAATTGTCATCATAGATGTTACATTCCGAAAACCGTTTTTTTTGATAGGGTTGATTCACTTTATCAAGGGTTGATTCACTTTATCAAGGGTTGATTCACTTTATCATACATATCGTAATTACAGTTCAAACAACTAAAACAACTAATGTCTGATATTTTTAACTTTTCACAGTCATAGTGATACCACAAATCAAAACTATCACCCAAAATGGAATCTGTTATACAGTTCTGGCGACAAGAACCACATGGATAAAATAACATAGGGGTTGAAAAAGCCCTATTAAAAAATTGGTTGGGATAAAATAGCCCCAGAAGAAATGGTTTTGTGACTTAACGACCCAGAATGACTACGATAACAATAAGAGTTGTTTTTCTTGATTTGAATTTGATCTTCCATTTATTTCCGATTTTTTTCCAGAACTATAAAAGAGTAAAGTTTAGGGAATACTTATCATCTATACATATAAAAAAGAAAGAAAAAAATCATAAAAATGTGTTGTTTTATTCAAAATACAGGTTGCACCGTTTCAGGTAATTAAAGTTGTTTAGGTAAGTTTATGGACCGTAATGTAAGGGTCTGGGAGTAAGTACTAGGCGCCGATCTGCTAACCTGAAGGTCCCTGATTTGCTATCGGAGTTGGCAGCTAAAGCTCCTCATGATTTTCCGGCGTGGTTTTTCCTTGTCAGTGAGGAAGGACATAGGGCCTGACAACGACAGTGCCTAGTCGTTCTGATGGGATGTAAACCAACAACTAGGTCTCGAGAATAGGCTACTTTAATAACAGAGCTGTTTGTGGTTTTTACTTTATAATATTAATGGGTTTTTTTCTTACTTTACAAGGTACTCATTTTGGTATTGACAAAACATCGAAAGCTGTTCAAGTTTTGTATTACTGGGTTGGAATCACAGAGTATGTCAAACGATATATCCGTGAATGTCCTGAATGTATACTAACAAGAATTGAACAGAATAATTTACAGACTCCTGGAAAGAAACGAGACAAACGTTCATCTAAAATATTAGATAATTCTCAAATAGAAATAGAAAATTACACAGCACAAAATAACACAGATGATACTGAAGAAGAAACTGTTCCTGAAGACATTGATTATCTAGAACACGGTCCTGATATTGATGCCAATAATATTATTACAGTACCAGTGACTACAGTAAGCACGCATGCAAAGGGTAGTGAAAAAGTCCACTTTATTATAAAAGAAGAAATTGTAGATTACCCTCCAGAACTACCAATATCTTACTTCTGGGAATTGGTATGTTTCTTTTTGAATTGTAGTATGATTTATCATTAGTTTGATATGTGCATGTGGAGTTCATGGCTTTAAGAGTTGCATGGTTCCTGAGCAGCTTTTATACAATGATGCTTGTTTTTATATAAATTCAGTGCATTGCTGTTGCCCCTGACATACACTATTTCTTATATTATTCTGAAAGTTTTACGGTATGCAATGTCTATTGATGTCTAGTCATAACTTCCAGAGCTAATAGCGTAGCATAACTGGCTCACTAACCATGAGGTCCCAGGTTCTTTAGGATTTTCTGGTGTGGTTTCCTCATGTCAGTGGTGCAAGGTAGTGGGTCTGGCAAGAAACAGCATCTAGTCATTCGGATGGGACAAAAAACAACAACTGAGATCTTGTGTACACGTTGGTAGTTGGCATGCAAATAAAAGAATCCTTGACAGTTCAAATTTGGAATATGAGTAGACCAGGATATGAAAATTTTTATGATATGATTTTAAAGAATATTTTTCTTTTTAGGTGGAGTTTAAGATGTTTGGTCCATTTGAACATGGTGATTCTAAATTATATGTCTGTGTTGGAATAGATGTATTTTCTAGATGGACTGAAGTAAAGGTTTTTGAGAGACCATCTGTTAATTTATTGGCAAGTTTTATCTTACAGCTAATCTGCAGGTAGTATGTTTAATATTTTAATTTAATCAAAAATTACTTGTTTGTTATTAGGGCCGTTGCAACTGTGTAATGTTTTGTTCCTTGATATCTCACAAGCTACACTATACTTATAATTACTTTAAAAGTAAAGGCACTGGTTATCAAAGATAACCCTATCAAATTTGATATTTCCATGTCTATTCCAAGAAAAATGTCACTGCTTTCCATACATGATATTCTTCTCTGAAGCCCTCATAAGAAATGAAAACCTAATAATAACAGGATGAGTTTTATTTTAATAAAGAAGAATTGATATATTTTATCATGTTGTTCAGAGTTGTTTGGGCCTCTCTGCATCTTATATTAAGCTCTGTGTTATTGATTCAGAAATAATATAAAAATGTGGTACAGCAAAAAAAAAACCCAAAACACAAATTGACAAAAAATCCAAATGTTTTAACATTTGAAAGCTGTTAGCTACAAAAATGGTTGAAATAAATAATTATGATTATTTGTTGTTTAAAAGGTATGGTAAAATGAAGAATTTGCATCTAAGAAAAAATGGAAATGGAGAAATGAAGTCAGAAGATGTGATTCAAATTATAAATAATTCACTGGGAACAGATATTATTTATAAAACAAATAGAAATGAACACATGGGTGGGTAAATCTTTAATAATAATATGTGGAGGAGAACTGCACAAAACACCACAACAAAATAGAAACACAGAAGACAAACCCAAGGACAGACACACAGATATTGTGATTAATATACAACAGCACTATCAAATCAAGTGAATGGATCTTGTTGTAGCTGTCTGTAAGCATCCACTGTGATAAACAATCCCTGTCCTGTAGTTATACAGACTTCACTGAACATTTTATTATTCTAGTACTATCTCGATACCCGGGACCCAAGATCTGCTTATTCGCCATCTTCCTTTTTTTCACGCTTTTTCGTGCGCTCACACCATCCGTTACTTAATTACCATAATGAACAGAGTTCCCTCCAGTTAACTGTTAATTGCAGTAAAACAGCCCAACATTGATTTTTGGTTGTGTTAAACGAATAAATGATCTTGACTTTTATAAATTATGGCCTAAAACATTCACAGGGTAATGCAGATTAATTGTCCCCCGCCTTTCGAAGAAAGCAGGGGACTATTAAAATGGGTTCGTCTGTCTGTCTGTCTGTCTGTCTGTCTGTCTGTCTGTCTGTCTGTCCGTCTGTCTGTCCGTCACACTTTTTGGGACACAATAACTCTCTTCCTAATTGAGCTAGAATGTTCAAACTTGGTGTATGTGTTTATTAGGTCAATGCCTTGATGGAGTTCGAAGATGAGCATTTTCCGCTTAGGGTAAGCAGAGATAAGCAATTTGATTGGTTGATGCTTTGGGACACGATAACTCTCTTCCTAATTGGGCTAGAATGTTCAAACTTGGTGTATGTTTTGATTAGGTCAATGCCTTTATGGAGTTCGAAGATGAGCATTTTCCGCTTAGGGTAAGCAGAGATAAGCAATTTGATTGGTTGATGCTTTGGGACACGATAACTTTTAATTGAGCTAGAATGTTCAAACTTGGTGTATGTGTTTATTAGGTCAATGCCTTGATGGAGTTCGAAGATGAGCATTTTCCGCTTAGGGTAAGCAGAGATAAGCAATTTGATTGGTTGATACTTTGGGGCACGATAACTCTCTTCCTAATTGAGCTAGAATGTTCAAACTTGGTGTATGTGTTGATTAGGTCAATGCCTTGATGGAGTTCGAAGATGAGCATTTTCCGCTTAGGGTAAGCAGAGATAAGCAATTTGATTGGTTGATGCTTTGGGACACGATAACTTTAGTTCTAATTAAGTGAGATTGATGAAACTTGGTGTATAGTTTCATTACAGTAATACCTTGACTAAGTTTGATAATGAGCATTTTCTGCTCAGGGTAAGCAGAGCGATACGCAATTTGATTGGTCGAGACTTTGGAAAACAATAACTCTCCTACTTTGATTGTTAGACTATAAGTAAAGATATACTGTTTGATTGTTCAATACTTTGTAAAAGATAATTTGTGATAAATTTATATGTGTCCTCTAATTATTTTCCTATTTCGGCGGGGGACATCAGCCTCACTGTTGGCTTGTTTTATAACACATATGTGGTGGTGGATCGCGGCGACGAAGCGTGATGGATGAACATACATACACACATCTTTGGTTTTATTTATATCAGGGAAATGCACAAACTAGGTGACAGTGGGGATAGAGTATACTAATAAATATATTTTGGGGTTGTTTTTTTACAGATTCATTTTGGAAGTGTGTTTCAGAAGAATTGAAACAGAACATTGATAAAAATCCTAACGATTGGATGAATTGCTTAGAGATATTTCTATATCCGCTTCGTTTTGGTTGTTCAGAAGGTGCAGAATATTCACCAGCTTATTTAGCCCATTCAAGGTAATATGTACAATCACACCATAACTCTCACAATATTTTATATAATCATTTAAAAATTATTTTGTAATTTTGATAATCCCTTAAAAAAAACAAACAAGATTGCTGATTGTGAAAATAGGACATGTGACGAATGAAGACGGTCCAAGTAATTAGAAATATCTGTTCACGTGGCCAATTTACTTAAAGTATTCATTGGTTGAGATGTTATGTTTTTCAGAGAACCAGTGTTGATAGATTCTTCTTCTGATAGAAAAGATGCCTCATTAGAATTAAGATTCACAACAGCGCAACAAAATAAATCAGTAGAAAAATTATATAACTTATTTAAAGATATCAATAACTATAGTGCTACTCGACTGAAGAACCAAGATTTGAATATTAATTCTCAACGTTTGTCTAAACATACAACTAATTTAGTATCTGATACTGTAGTTGTACCGATACATGTTGAACCACAAATTGCACCTAATATGACTGAACCTGAAATCCAACCTGCAATAACTGAACCAGAAAATCAGCCAGTAATTACTGAACCAGAAGATAAGGCTGTAATGACTGAACCAGAAATAAAACTTGAAATTGAACCTTTAATTAGGACTAAAACGCAGCCAGAAATGGGAATGTCATCTGATGATCTTACTTTAGAATCTCAGCCACCAGATGAAATCACACCATCAGACGACACCACACGAATGAGAAGATTACGCTCGAGAAAGTGTGACAGAATTTTGCCAGAATCTTCTACAAAAAAGGTGGAAAAGATTCCAACAAAGAACAGAGGACAAACAAACAAAGAAACTATAGAAGGTTGTTCATCTGATGTACCAACACCTGATGAAAATCGTAGACGTAGTCTAAGAGGTGTTAAGCAAGATTGGAGTTCACTATGTGGTAAAAGAAAACGTTCAGGTGCTGATGATGAGAAGAAAACAGAGGTAGAGGTATCTGTATTCAACAAATTATTATAAAGACTTTATTTGCTTCAATGGCCTGTTAATAAATACATTTTTAGTAGATATTGACCATTTGTTGCCTCCTAGCCAGCAGATGCTAAATACATATGCTCCTTTTTGAAAAGACTAAAATTCCTTTTTGAAAAAATCTAGATCTGCTCCTGTCAATCACAAATAATTTGAAAATAAATAAATACTAATTTTATTCCCCTTAGAATTCTAATATTTTATTTTAAAGGAAACTCCAAATAAAAAGAAGAAGAAACAAGCACCAGCTAAGGTTGTGGAGAAAAAGAAAGAAGAGGTGAATTGTTAAAGATACATTATGGGAGATAAGATAAAGAGATGGCAGTTCTCGCTATAATAGTTAAAAACTAGATAGTGTAAATGAAATTTACTGAAAATTTCAGTCAAATTGATCCACTATGAGCCGAGAACGAAGCGGGTGAAATTTTCGCATAGTCTCGGTCATCATTACTAAAATCATTAATATAAACAGCATAGTCTCGATTATCCACTGTTTTGATTTAATTATCAATGGCGACATATAGGAATCTAATCCAGCCAACATCGAAGGCTAGCCTTGACATCGAGAGTCTATTATGGTCTGGATAATGTCTAATTGATAATTTAGATAACATTTCAGGCCTAAAGAAAGACGTGTAATAAGCAGATTTTGCTCTTGCATAATGCATGTTTAATCTAAATTAATATTTGTATTTGTATCATTTTTAAAATTAAAATATGTGTCTCTTTATGATCAAGTTCAGTTTAAAGAAAGTTGGTACAGATGCTTTGCTTGATATCAGTATAGCACTGCCACCATTCAAAACTATCTGCTATTTGTATGCCTCAATCCAAGAAGCAACTAAAACATCTTGATTTGGTGTAAAATGTCATTTATTAATAATAAAGCAAATAAATGACTAACAAAATTACCACAAAAACATTAATCAAAATGAGCATTATTAATCAGCAATAATTAAAATACATACCCCCCTACCTATTAATCATGTTGGGCTAAATTAGAGCCCTTATTTATGCCAGCACAGGATGGAACCCAGCACAGGATGACTAGCCCAACATTAAAGTGAACCTGAAACTGTTGGTCTTATATTTGTGTGGGGATACTCCTATCAGGAATCAAACCCACAACTCCAGGCATATAATCCATAGCCCTCTACACAAGAGAGCGCATGTCAGACAGAACTGAACAATCCCAAGATAGATTAACACAATCAAACAGAACACCACCTAATTACATTTTTGTTTATTTTTCATAAACTAAGGTATACGAATCGGATGATAATGAGGAGGATGATGCTGTATATGATGAAGATAAAGATGAAGGTGCTGAAGATGATAATAGTGATAATAACACGAGTGATGATGATGATCAGTCTATACTGACAATTAATTCAGTGAGTTTATTCATTTCTTAGCAAATTATTTCAAATGTGTATAGTCCCTTTTAAACCTACCTACACCTAGTTCTTTACCTATATTATCTTAAGATCATAATTTAAAAGCTCTTATCCACGTAAGTATATCTGATTTACTAGAAAAGCAGGATTAAATCTGATATCATCGTAAAGCAATGCCTAAACACAGCCGGTCGGGTTTTTATCTGTAAACTACATCTATCACTGTAAACATTAAAATTATTAGCTCTCATTGACCGTTTTAAAGTCTGTCATAATAATTTGTGAATAGTTAAGATATCAAAACAATTGTTGAAAAAAGTGGATAATTTATAATCAAAACTTAACCAGCAGTTGCCAGGCAAGATACGTTCACATTTTGCAAGAGATGGAAAGAGAACAAACTATGATCAGGGACCAGAATCCAGAAAGTTATGGTCTGAGATTCCTAAATATCGAAAGGGAGTTAGAATCGGATAAAAATTTTGCCCTATAGATGGTCCACAACCTATGTATTATATACTTTTACACAATTTGCGTACAAAGCGCTGCCATTTTGTTGCGCAGTTTCGTTTTGATTTTCCCAAAATTCGAATACAACCTTCATTACGGTTGAATGGTTTTTAAAATCAGGAGCCATAATCCAGGATGTTACAGTCTTATATGCGCGAATATTGAAAGGAACCAAGATCTTTGGGTTATAAACATGAATATCGATTTTCATCAAAATCAGATGAAAATTGTGACCTCTAGAGTGTCCACAAGCTAAAAACATGATTTTTTGTACAATCAGCGTCCATAATCCCTGAAGTTATGGTCCGATATATGCCAATATTGAAAGATACCAAGATCTTTAGGAGATAGACCTGTATGCCAAGTTTCTTCAAAATCGGATAAAAATTGTGACCTGAAGCGTGTCCACAAACAAATTGTGACAGCATAATATGACCACATGAAAGTGTGGGCGTATAAAAACAGCATATTTCTTGAACAAAAACCAACATCTTGTTAATTTGAAAGGTTAAATATCAGTGTAATAAATCAGACCTGTAAGAAATTTGATGTCATTGTATGGTTACTTTGCTTTCTATCCTAATCAGTTGAGAAGTTGAGAAGTTAAGGTTGTTAAGTATGTTAAGTCTGTTAAATTTGAAATGTACAATTAGAATTTTATTTCAGTTTGATGCGGATGAGTTCTACACAGCCATTAAACATTATCTACAGACGAAAAAACATAAATCACACTCTTCTTCTTCATTAAAATCATCTGTCTGTAAAAGTCTGGTTAACTTTACTGTGGAGAATAGTAGCCTCTATTATCAAGCCAGTAAAAAGAATTTAAGAAAGAGAATTGTTATGGATGAAAAAGAACGTATAAAGTTGATGACTGACGCCCATATAGATGATGAAGGTATAAGGAGATGGTTTCTATTTAGTAACAATTATGATTACACAGTTTTTTTTATGATTAACCTGTATTTAAAAAACAGATGTGAAGTCATTCTTTGATGTTGGCGGACCATTATTTAAACATACATTATGCAAGAGCTAAATCTGATTATTGCAAGTCTTTATATAGGCTTCAGATTTCATAGAAATTATAAATTAGATCTTTATTTACACAACAAGCACAAAATCAACTCTGTAGACCCATGGATGGCTTGGATTCAGTTTGGATTTAAACGGGATTTTGTTGACTGATTTAATTTTAAATGGTGTTGTGAGCGGAGATTAAGCGTTACATTGACGTCATACTCCTGGATTGAGGCTAAATGATAGAGTGTACGAAGCGAGGCCGCTGTTGAGCGATGCCTTAACAAATGACATCTAAACTATTTAAAGTGCAATAAACTAAACACAGATAATGACAAATTATACATTTCCTGGAGACCGTGTGATGACTAATACAGACGGACAGGTCTTCTGTCTTAATAATATCAATAAAAATATTTTTATTTCCCCAATAGGCACGACGCCACTGGTGTATACCTATAGATTTATCATAATTGTATTATAATATTATGTCCTATATTCAATTGATTTAATGCATGCCCAAAATACAAGTAAGAATGAAAATTTACCCGCTTACTCATTTTGTCCAATTCGGATACGATGACAGCAGACAAAAGACAGCAGAGATTATGTAGGTGGAGTTAACGCCTGTCAATCAAACGATCGGCCATACTAAGAATCAGTGAAGATGGAATTCAATCCCATTTCTAGTCAAAAATTACACTGGGGATAACTATTTTCAGAATAAAGTAATTTGACTGAAATTTTCAATATATTCTTCTTTCATCATCTATTTTTGAACTGTTATAGCAAGAATGGCTAACTCCTTATAAAAATCTCCCATAATGTATCTTTAAAATAATGGTACGGGTAACATGCCAACCGTACATTATTTAAATTAGATAAAATATTGGAATCGTATGCATTTGTGGGATAGTGTCTGTATTTTAAGTTGTTTAATGGTCTTGAGTATTTGCATACTTTATTGAAACTATACTTGGGCTAACATCAGTGATGGGATTTCAAAATTTTTCTTGTTAGACATTTTTACCGAAAATAAAGGGACATAACTCTTATCGTTATTTAAGCTGGCAATTTTTAGACCACACACAAAAATCATGTGTCAACAAAATATTCAAATTCGTACGTAATAAATAATTTTTCATATTTAATTCCTGTACGGTATTCAGATTATGTCAGTAATATTCGTACAAAATTACGCGATGTCGTAATACGATAGAATGAAAGCGTGCGGACTACTGCCGATCCGTACCTGTTTCAAATTCCTCCAAAATTATTGTATTTTTCAGGTCATAAGTCGATTCATATTTCAGCAGAAGTCCAGCATTCATCTTATACTCCGTTTCGACTTATATATGGAGGGTAAAAAAAATGACATCCCAAAATTTATTTGGCAGTAAACGTCGCTCTACCACAACAAGCGAGTGACACCATCTGCTATATAATCGCATTCGACTCTAGTACGTGCTATCGTCTAAGACAATTAACTACTATTCCAATTGACATATTCGTCAACATTTCCTTGCGTACATATTTCTTTATTGAAAAACATTAACCCCATTCAAAATATGATCATAAATCCGAGAATATGCCATCAAAATAGAATCTTTTCTTCGACATTAGACGCGTGAAATTTTTCACATATTCATTTCATAGTTTTACACGTCTCGCGAGATTTCTACTTCCGTTTCATTTATCGTACTATAACCGCGTGTGATCAGAAACAGAGTTAGCATTGTCTAGTATTTTTCGGATATGTGTGTGTGTGTGAAATAGCTTTATTTAACGCTCGCTTCCACCGAAGTGATATCACAGACGAGTTATCGGATACATATTGATTTGGGGTGTTATGTACTATTGGATATGTGACATATATGACTAATTTCTACGTGTTGTCGGCCGACATTAAGGAGATTAAAACATCCGACGATGGGGAAATCATGGGTCAATCACGTAGATTAAAAGTATATAATATCTCTTATTGGATTGATACATATCCCGACAAAGAAGAAGCAATGACTTCTGTTCAGGATTGGATTGATGAATTGTCCGAGAAAGGATTAAGGCAGATTAATTAGCTAATCAAGGTTGCTGTATAGGCCGTATAACATGATAAATACGTTGATCACTTAATTACCTAATCAATCCATCCTATTATCAACGATAATCGGGTTGAGTGGTAGATATACACTCAGTACACTATATTAATTTTAGAATTTTGAATATTATTCACCATACTTTGATGTCCGATTGGGCATATTCCTGGTCGGACAATTAATAGTACATTTGGAAAATAGCGTCGGACAAGTCTGGAATATACGGGCGAAATCCCATCACTGGCTAACACCTTTGTACAGTATCAATATATTACTTAATGTCTCACTTTTGACCATTAAACCACACGATGACCGACAGACTCCACCCCACATAATGACAATTTGTTGTTTGTCATTTTAGTCTACTGTTTACTGTGCTCATTTCTTCTAGGCCAGGAATGGAACAGGTCACCGGGCCCCATGGAAATAAATGTTGTGTGTGATGCCCCAGTTCTAAATGAACCACAGATGTGCTATTACAGATTGCTTTATAATTGCAGTTTCAATTTCATTTTTGATTATTTACTATTACAGGTACACATCTCTGTAAGAGAAAGGTCATAGATTGTATCTCAGCTATGAATAATTATTGGCGTGGATTAACTTTGGATTGTGAAGCTTTTGTTCGTGCTTGCCCTCAATGTTCTAAAGGGAGGGAAAGAAAAACACCTAAGCCTGTGGTAATGATGGAGTCTAAAGACATTACAGAGGTATTTCATATAGTGTAATAAATTAAATGTCAGTGAGGGAAATTCCCCTTCAGTTCTGTTTTGACCTCAGTGATCAATCATGGGCTACATAATAAATTACATATTAAATGATCCCAATCTACAAATTAATCTTGGTTTTTGTAGACTTTGCACTGTGTTTTTATCTTTTTATTTTTTTACGTTTTTATCTGAAAGGGAATGAGGTTTAATATCCTACTTTTCTACTCTGCCTGGGCTAATACCACTCACAAGGTGAAATCACGCCGGAAAGGGAAAATCCCAAGTAACTTTCTTGCATAACACCGGTATTGAACCCAGGACATCCTGATTAGCCAGCCAGTGACTTATTAGCTGACCTGCCGCAGTTCTTTGGTTTTATCTACCAAAAACATAAAAGTACTGAGCACTTTTCTCACAGCTTTATATGAGACATTTTCTAAGATATAAGAAGTTACTGTTTAATAATCAATGAAGAATATAATTGTATGTAAATGTTATAATTGTATGTTATAGGAAAAGGATAATTGGTATCCAATAACTTACTACCTGAAAAATAAAGCTTACCCACCTGGATATTCTAAGGTGCAGAAAACAAGTCTACGGAGAAAATCTCAAAATTACTTTTTTAAAGACAATGTTCTGTTCTACCGGTTTTGCAATAAACCCGATTCTGAACCACGAGAATGTTTATTTTCAAAAGATGAGAAGATAAAGGTTATTAAAGAAGCACATATTGAGGATTCTGGTAAGTTATTTATACTTAGAAGGTACGCATATAACTATTTTGATTGAAGGCATAAATGTATATTGTATATTGTAGAATTATTTCACATGTAATATGACAATGCTATGATGTCATTGTCTTCCTTGAATTTCCTGGTTATTAATTGACAGAAGACTAATATAAATTTTATTACTTTAGTAAGATGCACCTAAGGTCTTAGTTGTATAAGTAGGCTGTGGAAATTTAAAACTAAAACCAAAATTAAAATGAAATTGTATTATGCTCCACACTTGTTTCATTAATATCTATTGCATGTGACTGAAAAGCTAATCAAAAAGCCAAAACTTGAAATGATATTATATAATAGATACACTATTACCAGGATCTGTGATTAATTGTAGGAAATCATTGTGGATTGAACAGAACACAAGAGAAGATTAAAACCAAATATTACTGGGTTGGTCAGACAAATGATATTTATAAATATATCAGTAAATGCTGTTTAGAGCCAGAAAAATTACCAAGTCAATACATGGATAAGAAAGCAGCTCTTGACGAACGAGAAAAAAGATTTAAACAATATTTTAACGATGAGGTAAGTAATGAAGTATTAAGTACATGTGGGTAAATCAACCAGAGGATTTTGTCCTCCATTAATCTCAAGATGTAGACTGCAAATTAATTAATCATAACTATCATTAACCTGAATGTGAACATGCTTATACCAGGATTTACTTTCATTTCTTCAAGTTAGATATGACATATACCGTCGGCTGTCTTACACCTGAAGTAGGGTAGGCATCCAAGGTATGAGGAAGGTGTGGATCCTGCAATTATGATTTTGCCCCCAACTATCCCTTTAAAAATATTATTATTTGATAATACAGTTTTCTTTTATTGTTGATATTATGTTATATTTCTTTTATTGTTGATATTATGTTATATTTCTTTTATTGTTGATATTATGTTATATATTATTTATTGTTGATATTATGTTATATTTCATTTATTGTTGACATTATGTTATATTTCATTTTCATAGAGAAAAAATAAACCTGTGGCAGATGGAACCATGGTTACCGACGTCAATAACAAAACACCAGAAAGAAATGAAATCGATTCCTCAGTTGATTGTAATACCAGCGATCCCCTAGATACTGAAGTGTTCACAAATCCATCTTCAACCTCTGAATCTGCTAATACTGATCTACCTGAAATTACTGCTACATCATCTACAAACCCATTCCAAGAAGAAACAATGAATGCAATAGCTTCATTAAATTCCATACAAAATGAAGCCTCTTCCCCTGAAAAAAACCCATCAATATCAACACAAACTAATAGTTTGGAGTCATCAGGAAATAGTACAGAAGTTAGTTTAAAGAAGCCTACTAGACAGAAGACCGGTAATGTCAAGAGACAAAAACAGGGATGGTTACAGTGTGCAGTTTGTAAAACTATATTTAGTGGTAAAGTTTCTTACAAAAGTAAGTTGTTGATTAGAATAGATATTTCAAAGAGACTGCCCTAAAGGAATGGCCCTAATACCCCTTTTCTAGCCCTCACCAAGGCAAAAACGGTTTGTTACTTAGATACACTGTTTAGTTTTTGTAACTTTCTCTCTTTCATTCAAATGTAAATGATACACACCTGCGCAGACTGTGATTTATCTACAAATTACTAGATACAAATTCTACCTATATAGCTGTGAATATAATACTAAACGAACCGCTGTACCCATTGTATTTATATTTTATATTAATACTGCCAATATTTCGAATTGTATTTCCAAAGTAAAGTTTGCATGTTATGTTTTTTGTGAAAAAAGCTACAAAAACAAAACAGGCTACCTTTACTATGGAAATATGATTTGAAATAGCAGTTACTATAAAATACTCTCAGTATAATACAAAAACAATTTTTATATGCTCACATTTTCATGTGGACGTATATTGAATGAAATTTTCAATGTATTCATTTTTCATTATCTATTTTTGAACTATTATAGCAAGTACGGCCAGGTCTTTATCTAAATCTTACATAATGCATCTTTAATAAATATTGTCTGATTTGTAGTTAAAATAAATAGACTGCTTTTTTTAAGCAAGAAAGTAGCATAGTTTTGTCTAATAATAAAAGTGATTTATTTTATAGTACATATGATGAAACATTATGGAGTAAAGCCATATGAATGTGATTTTTGTCAGAAAGGTTTTACAACCATGAAAGCTAAAGTTTTACACAGGAGAAAACACACGGGAGAAAAACCATATTTGTAAGTAACATACAAGTATATATGTACCAGTATTTGAAACTTGAAATGTGGTCGTATATTGGCATCACCCCCGTCCATCTAGAGAATAAAGTTATTATCTGATTGTCTTGAAATTTATACACAATGTTTAGTTTAATGAGACAAATAAACTTTTTGATTTTGATAAATCTTGTTAATGCAGAAGCTATTATCTGATTGACTTGATATTTAACGACCGCTGGAACGTCTTATTTGATGTGGGCATATGTAGTGTTAACTGACAACTTATTGTAATTTATCAAAAATATGATAGAAACCAGTCATACTTCAGTAGGCTACCTGAATGATATTTTAAATCAGAAAAAGATCCAATATTACTAGAAAAATACAGGATTCACTGAAAAACACCCATGGGCGAGCACAAGACAAAATGTAAGGGTGCCCTTAACCGGCAGCCTATCTCCTTTAGTGACGTAAGGAGTGCTTCTTATGTGTTGATCTAAAGGCTAACGGTGTTAGAACATTGGGAGAAGTAATCGTCCAGAAGACCCTGCAGTTAATTAAACGGCAGTAAACAAAGTTTAGAGGATAATATAATAATTTACTTGGGATTTGATATTTACAACAACTAATACAAGCCAAAATGCATCTTCAATGAGTACTTTCTTTCTGATTAAAATGTTTTGAGAGGGATTTGAAACAAACTTTTGATAGATAAATCAGTTTGATTATGGTTTAAATAGAGAATCTCCTACGAGTCTTTTTTGATATCAAAAGATACAAGTAGGAGATTTTATTTATCACCCAAACCTTTCTTGCATGCACAAATAAATAAATATAATTCTTTGCAAAAGATTTAACTTTTTACTGAATCTGATTACATTACGGCGTAGTGATACATATTTTTTTTGACAGCAATTCAACCATTGACCCAGTGTTTCCATCAAGGTCAATTAAATAAAGATAGTTCATTTTTAATAAAAAAAAGAAGTTACTTTTAATAAAAAAAATGAACTGTTCTTTGAAAATAAAAAATGAACTGTTCTTTGAAAATAAAAAAAATAGTTCCTTTTCAACTGACCAATCAAATTCATGTAGATTATGAAATTTATCTCACACGCGATATCTACTGTAGAATGTATTATTGGGTGATAAATCCAAATATACAATGTGGGAAGACATCCTTAACTGATCCAAAAATGGTAATTGTTGAAACTATAAATTATTCAGTAGGTTGAATATATATTCATGTTATTTTTTTCAAGGTGTAATATATGTGGACGAGGATTTGAAAGAAAGAGTGGGTTACGATATCATCTTAAAGCTCATGAACGAGGTGGAGGAGTACCAGTTCATTGTGATTTGTGTAGTAGATCATTTCAAACTGCATCACGACTAACAATTCATAAAAGCTGTAAACATCCACCAGAACAACCAGTATTCAAATGTATTCAATGTCAAAAAGTATTTTCTTTTAAAAGTAAGCTCATTTTAGTATTAAACAACAATATTTATTGTTCGAAACTTGTCATGAAAACATCTGAGTTAGGTTAAGAGAATTTTGCAGTAATTTTTGCAGATGGGAGGATGTGTTTTTAGTCGATCATCAACTTAGTATTTTGATAAGATTTTTTTATTTCATTGATTCATCATGTGGTTACACATCTAGCTTTGCAACCAGGCTTTAGTATATAAAAGACAAAATACAAAAATAATACTTTTATGGGACGTTTGCCCCCCCCCCCCCCATTATTAATCACAGTTGAGATATTTGATTGTTAAACTAAAGGAGTGTTAAGTTTGGTGATATAACTGATTTACTGGCTGATGATCATACTCCCCTATGTTGTTTGCAGAAAAGATAATTTATTGTTTTACTGTATTCAGTATTCCATGTATAGGTCTATAGCTAAACTAATTTTAATTAAAATAGCTTTAGATTTTTTAGTTCATTTTGATTTATTATTTTACTTTAATTTTTTGCAGGAAGTCTCAAGAGACATATAGCCTCAGCACATATGAAAGAAAGAAAATTCCAATGTGAACTGTGTGAAAAAACATTTGCTCGAAATGAGTATCTTGTTAAACATGTCGCTAATCAACATAATAGTGAAACAGTTGATTCTAGTCATGTTAAAGAAGAACCAGTCAATGAGACAATATTAGAATATATCGATGCTAACACTTTAGCTCAATTAACAGCTCAGGGTCATGTAACTCTTGAAGGCAACATACAGTTGATTAATCAAGGGGACATACAGGAATTACAAATTAACGGGAATAGTCATCCAACCCACGTAGTAATATCACAAGATTCTGTACAGTATGAGGTAGAATGTTTGACGTCTGATCAGAATTTATCTATTGAAGATCAACAGGCTATACAACTACTGGTTCAAGCCAGTTTACAAAGTCAACAACCATATACAACAACGCAACAACAATAACTCAACACCTATTTATTTATGTGACAGAAGTTTACGCAGAAAGACCTCTTTGAATATATAAAAACAAAGTATTGATTTTATTACAATGGAATGGACAAATCTTCCTATACGTTGACACGTTTTCAAGTTTGTTGACATATATCAGTCTTTTTCCTCTTGTTTTACACTGTGGACCTACTTGATTTAGTTACAGTTCATTACTATGAATATTACTGCAGAAGAATAGCAAATCAAATACAGGCCAATTTTCTACATTGGAAGTGATATTTTCAAAATGGCTGATCTGCTCTGCAATAACTTTTCGTCCATCAAAAGATTTATTGAACTATGCGTTATATAAAAGATGAATTATTTTAGTTTGGGCTATTACTAAAGACGTTTTGTACCATCAAACAAAATTCACATAATGCAAGAGTGAAATAATTAAATTAAATTATTATCTCCCTTTGATGTTTCTTTACTTAATAAACTGTCAAATTATGTAAAATAATGATATAACTTGAACTATGACTAATATTATAATCAATTACTAACAATTATGATATATTTATAACAATAAACAACAAAGTATCAATTTTCACTATAATCAACTTTATTCCTTTCAAAAATATAAACAAAACAAATTCCACAGTCCACATTGAAACTGAGAAGTTCTTGATGTCAACCATCTTGGAAACAAGTCATGCTCCCTCTGCACAACCTAAAGCTGATCAATGTTCATAGAATTACTCTAGTCACTTGATTTAAGTTCTGTGTACATTGATCATTAAAACTCTCTTCAACTGATTACTTTATAATTATCTGTGGCCATAAAATCCATAAACATAAAAGCTTTAATTAAATTTGACATTTCACACAAATCATAAAGGTTTCATCCTTTTAATATTCGATAATAGTAACAGTAAACACAGGAGGACTTCACCACACATTGTTAACTAGAAACTGTGAAGACAAACTTGTGGACAAGTAAGCCATTAACTAAAGATCTTTGTAATTTTTGGAGAAAAAGAAGTGTATCTGCTGGCAAAAACTTTAACCTCTACCTCAACAAAACATTAGTCACTTTTTAAAATTCTGGTTAAAACACAGGAAACTGTAAAATAACTTTTTCTAAGTCATTACCGGTATATATTTTTGTCCAGTATGTTGAATGATAAATTGAGAAGGCAGCTGAAATATTATTGATTTGTTTTGAATTAAAGATGTTTTAAGTATAAATTGATATATAAAGTACTTTTAAATACTAAATTTAACAATGCAATATAGGATATAAGTCTAAATATATCTTACAAATGAATTTATAGATTAACTTATCAGTTTGTAGATTTGTTGATAACAGTTTGTAAAAACACTAGAATTCTGATCATTTTTATTAACCCACATTGAAATATGGTCATATATTGTTGTCCACCTCGTCAGTCTAAAGCCTAAATAGGCTAAAGTTATTATCCGATTGACTTTAAATTTATATACAGTGGTTATATTCATGAGATGAAGAAGTGTATTACTTGGCCCGTGATCATTTTGAAAAATCTGGTCGATTCTCTAGAGGCTAGAATTATCATCTGATTGAATTGTTTTATACCCCATATTCAAGTTCATGAGTTGAAAAATCCTATTGAATATCAATAAATTCAACCATTTCTGATGATTACTATTGGAGTTTTTGCCCTTGATCACGTAGATAAATCTTTGGACATTCTAGAGGCTAAGGCTATCATCTTATTGACTTGAAATTTATATTCATGAGATGAAATAGTCTTTATTTTCATCAATTTCAGAGTTCTGGCCCTTGTTTGATTTAGAAAATGTTGTGGAGTAGCTTATGGCCACCCGAGCTAATGAGCTAATGTTATTGTCCGATTGGTTTGAAAATTATATGATTACCTGATTACTGTTACATGTTTTGTATAATAAATGTTAGCACTGCAAAGAACTAGACCAACCGGAAGACATAGCTGCTGTAAACATATGTTTCGTTATGTGGCAACCTATCTTTATTATTGGCATTAGTATTTTGTTATAAGCGTTAGTTATAAGATTCAAGGCTATAGTAATTTTGATACACATTTAGTATGGCTACTTTAAAGTCCAGTGACATAAACTAGAATATTACAACCCTGATTTTCACAGGTTGTTTCATTTTTTGTTGATTTGAAAAAAAATATAATTAAAATTGTTTATTGAATAAAAATTGCATTGAGTCATTGTTCACATATCTTATTATGCAGTATAGGCAGTAAAAATTGTTGGACCTATAGAAATGTTCAGCCAAGAGAGCACTTAATTAAATTGTGCAGAACTCTGTGAAATAAATCTACCAAGACTCCCATGGGAATTGTTTCCCCCTTATTCTGTACCCCTATGCGCACTGTATCATAAGGTCTGTCATTGAGTCAACTGGCGTGGTTTCGATTCTTCGGTTGTATGTGACAAGGAGTAGCTAGGGTCGCCTGTCTCTCCCCTAATTTTGTCTATACATCAATTCTTTCTTTTTCTTCCATCAGGATGGTAAACTCCCTTAAATATTTTTTCAGATGCTTGTGACATGTTGCACTTTTTGTCGTTTTAAAAATGTTCAACAAAATAATTGTTATAGCCCAAGAAATATGACATGGATTTAAATCATTGAAGTATATAGAAGAGAGAATTACCGGGCTGTTTCCAAATGGACACAGATCACCAAATATTCCTACGAAGGGCCAAAGCTATTTTTAGTCTTCCTCTCCCTTTTCCTTTTTCCCCCTTTTGCATGGCGATTTTTGTTGACTTTTTGGTGTAGAATTGAGGAAAAGGGTTTGAAAATACATTTTCTGCCAGGTTTTGGTGAATATTCATAATTTTGATGCGGAAGGATACAAGAGTTGAGAGGTTGGTTACGTTGAAATGTAGGGCCTGAAATTGCATGTTTACTTGTCTCTACTTCCAGCTTGTGTATCTCAAGTTTTTCATGAAGAACCTCATACGTGCTTTTGGGCAAGTGGTTGCCACATGTTGCTCCATCTGTGGTAGAAAGCGTTCTACCCAACGAAAATTTGGGAAAAGTTAGAGCCGGTCTAAGATACGAGAATTAACATTGGAGTCAATGGGGAAATCTTTAGTGATCTGTGTCCAAATTTATTGTCGATTAATTGGAATTATCTCCCTTGACCCAATAATTGGAGACAACTTGTGAATTGGGGGGCCTACCTGGTAACCTTTGCCACTTTCCCTCATTTACAGTGATCAAAACAGGTACTTATTAATGCATTTTCCTTTGGTTCTAAGTTATAATAGATTGAACAAGTCCAAGGCAATGAAAATAATGTGTAAAGTTACAAAGAAATGTTGATGTCCTTGACCTTTGAATATTCCACAAACTTTGACCCTAACTGTTATCGTCAGATAGGGACAAAGTGCGAAATTATCTGTCAAAAATACGTGCATTTCTGTCCTATTGCTGATATTTTTTGTTTCAGATCTGTTGGTAGGACATTTGAAGGTATGTAGACGTTATTTACAGATTAAAATCGGTTTAATTTTTCTTGGCAAACGAAATCTAAATGTCTAATGCTGCTTGTGCCTTTTCATTCAGTTCCCACCACAGGCTGAACTCTTGTAGTATCTGGATATAACGGGCTTATATTTCTCTAAGCTTTAAATGTGGTATTAGAAATAAAGCATTCATATTTACATTAAATTATTTAATCACTAACAATGATCCAATTACCGCAAATTGTTCAACACTAATTATAATAATCATCATTGCAGTCAAAATGGGTTACCGCCCCGGTCTAGGGTTTAATGTAGCTGTTTGAAAAATTGCTCCCAAAATAGTTTATTTTACAATAATTTATATTTCAGATAGTGGAGATTATAAAAAAAATGGAAACCAAGCAATTCATTGCCCTGCAAGGGTTTGAACTACTATACTTATTAGTTCTAGTATTTTTACCGTATGTTATTGCCCAGAAGATTGTAGGACTGACAATAGTATTTATAGCCAGTGTCATGATTGTAACTTTTATTATTAAAAACTACCTCACTAAGATGATTGATATTGATGGTAAAACCGTTCTGGTTACTGGATGTGATTCAGGTAAATAAACAATATAGCCTACATTTGTACCAAACTAGAGTTTTGGGAGACTTGACCCTTGATGTCCCAGGTTTAAAAACCTAGCATGTACAAAGAAAAACCTTTGCAATTTTCTAGTTTTTGTGCAAGTCCCCACATGATAGGAAAAGCCTGCCTAAGGCTGACATGTAACCATAGTAAATAAAATATATAGTCTCAAAATGATCAAAGTATTGTTAAACCCCATTATTTTTTTCCGTAATGCCCTTGATAGAGACACACATTCACATACTGCCATGAATGCAATTTTGGCCATAACTTTGTGTTGTCTGGAGATGACTCGTGAAGGTTGGAGACAACCGATCGGCAAGATTTTATTTAGCATTGATTAACTACGTGTAACTACTGTTGTAAGGGTTGAGGGATTCTCTTTGTGTGGTGATTAGATGATGATATGTACTGATTTATCTTAATAATGTCTCCTGTTATTCATAGTAGATAAATAAACAGATAAAGATATTCATGACAAAACGTTTCGTATTACATACAGGTCATGTTTTCAAGTTAATGATAAATATCCATCTAGTTGTGTTGTGTTTTGTCATGAATAGTAAACCGTGCTTCTAGATGTCATTTAAAGATTAGATAAAGATGTATTATTAATATCTTCATTTAATGAGGCTTTGGTTGGAGATCTTCACCTGTCGGTAAATAAATGAATTTGATTGGATATGATTTGACTCTACAACAGGGCATTTCAACTTGAATGGTGTGAAAAATTTGAGTATAATCTGTTAATCCTGATCAAAAAGAGAGAGAAATGGGGTTTAACATCCACTTGACACAAACAAGGTCATTTCGGGACTAACGTATGGTTCAGTTTTATTTCAACAATTCGCTTGTGCGTACGAGTCTGTAGCAGTGGGAAGAAACCGTAGAACGCGGAGAAAACCCACGAGGTTTGACAAGCGATCCTACTCCTTGTCACTTACAAGTGGGTAATCGAATCCATGCCACTGGACTCAGTGACAGACCTTATTTTGCAACGCACACACGTTAACCATTTGGCCATCCAACACCCTCGCCCCTTTTACAGGTTATATGCTTGAATATTTTGAATATTAGTATATTAGTATATTAGTATTATAACTTTTTTTTTCTACAGGATTTGGCAATGCAATTGCTCAGAGATTGGATTTTATGGGATTTACGGTGTATGCTGGTTGTCAAGATCTAAAGAGTGATGGTGTAGAAAGATTAACCAGTAGTACAACTGGTCGTATGCATGTTATACAATTAGATGTAACTGATGATAAAAGTATTGATGAATGTTATGATGAAGTATATAAAGCTTGTTCTACTACAGGTAGCTAGGGGAACATCATTTATACATGTGTTTCATTATAGACTTTTCTGTTTTTTTAATAGTGCTACATGTCAAGTTAAAGGAGTAGTACCAGATTTCACAGAATATCTATTAAATATTGGTTTAAGTATGCAATTTAAATGTCAAATAGTGAAGAAATAGTCCAATCACCTTGTCTGAAAGTTTGAAATAAAAATATTAAGTTATTTGCAAATGAGCTTGTAAAACCATGGACCTTATAATACATGTATTGTAAGGTCCATGGTAAAACAGAATTAATTATTTATTTAAGAAATTTCATTTTTCATTTGTATGAGTTAATTGATAACCCCAATGTTTCACTTACCACTATAATCTTTGCAAGTAATTAGACATTGTCTTCCAAACATTATGTATAGACTCTTAGGAACTTAACACCAACACAACATGGAAAAAAATTGTATTGATCACAGGTTTTCTGATAGTTGTGGCAGGACTAGGATAAAGATTTCCCAGAGCCTTTCATACATAATTAAGAGATTTTTTCCACCAAAATAATAACCTTTATCCCACATCATTCCGATTGTCCATCAAGATCGAAAGCTTTTAAAGTCCAAGGAATGGATAAAAGCTCTTAATTAAATGATTTCTGTTTGAATTGATAATTTATTTACTATCTGTATTTTATTTGAACAGGATTATGGGCTCTAATAAACAATGCTGGTATTAATTTTGTTGGGGACGTGGAATTAACACCTTTGAATATGTACAGACAAGTTGCTGAAGTGAATTTATTTGGTGTTATTAACATGTCTAAAACATTCCTACCATTAATCCGTAAAGCCAAAGGTCAGTCATTTACCAATCTTTATTGATTCCAGAGCTATGACTCATGTTTATTGATTCCATAACTATACTTAAAACGAAATACAAATTTGGATTGAAACCACAAGTTCTTCAAGGGTTGTCTCCCTCTACAACATTTTGGATAGTGAAACATTGATTTTTTTAGAGAAATAATAATCTGCTAAAACAGGTTGAACTTTATTCAGCATCATATACATAAACTAAGCCTTACACTGTGAATTATGAATTGTTCAACATGTATCCCATCCCGATGAATATAATAAGATGAGTCACATTTAACTCACCTGTGTCTTGTCAAGTTAACATAAATATACCATTGAAATGACTTCAAATTTTTCATATAACTAATCTATTTTTATCATCAATTCATCAAGTAAAATAAAAAACATTTGATCACCAAAGTAAGATTGCCTCTTGCACTATTTCAGGACGAATTATCAACACAACAACTGCTCCTATATTTCCACCATCTCAATCAGCTTGTGCTTTCACTAAGAATGCTGTAGAAGCATTTTCTGATTGTCTACGTCTAGAAATGAGACAGTTTGGTGTTAAAGTTTCTATAATAGAACCTGGTAACTTTTATGGTAGCACTGGAATGCTGGGAGAAAAATCTGTGAGTAATAGCTGGTGTTATCCTTGTAAACAAATAAATATTGCAACCTACAAGATTTGTTCCTTTTTTAATTAGTCATATTCTACTGTATCCTTTAAAGGAGCTAAACCTCTTTGATTCAGGTCAAAATAAAGTGTCAACAGTGGCATGTCAAAATCCATTATATCTACAAATCTATATACACTAGCTTTATCTATAGAGGTCTGTCTGGCTGTCGTCTCAAAATTCAAATCGATAGACAAAGTCCAACAATGAAATCAACAATTTTATTTTTGGACATTTTTATTGAAATTTTATATAATTTAAATGCATTAAATGACTATTTTCTAGGTGAGCCGTATGAGACAAGAATGTGATGAAATGTGGGATAAGGCTAGTCATGAAGTAAAAACATCGTATGGTAGAGATTATGTTGAAGCCCAGTATAGTAAAAACGTAGATTTAGTAAAACAGACAACCTGTACTACATTAGCTCCTGTAGTTGATGCTATGGAGAATGCTGTGATGAATACAAATCCATCTATAAGATATTTAGTTGATGGCAGTAATCAGTGGTATGATTATAATAATGTAAGTAAAACTATTATAAAATATGTTTTACTTATGGTATCAGCCTCAAATTGTTATTAACAGTTGAGTGTACTTCTTCTCATCATCATTACACTATGGCCTTGCTAGCCATTATCATCACTGTTTAACATAATTATTATCAAATTATCGTAGAAAGTAACCTTACTTTGGTTCTTTCAGCATATGGTCTAATTTATTATTTTATTTTATATTCAGTATTTGAACTATATAAGTACTGTAGGCAAATAGGTTGTAAAGTTGTATTCAACTGCAACTTTCCTCTTAAGATGTAGAAGATATAATAGAAGTGGGAGCGTGGCTCTGACTATGGGCCTGGCTCACTAACCAGACGATCCCATATTTGATCCTTGGTTTTCCAGAAAGGTGGATCAGCAGAGTTAAAGTGTGTAGTCATTCTGATAGAATGAAAAAAAAACCAATTTCATTGTATTCCATTGACAACACATTAAATCACGGAAATCGAAATAAGAGTAGACATTAGAAAACTTTACTTTATTAGACAAGTAAGACGTAAATTTCATTTCAATACTTTCTACTTCTAAACTGTTTTAATGTCATTAATATTTGTTTCCCTTTTTTCTAGGTTTTGGTCCGATTAAAACCATATTTACCAGCGTACTGGATTGATAATTTAATAGACAGATCTTATATCTTAAAACATACATTAACAAATAAACCAACTCGCAATTAAAATATTACTTTTATATTTTACATCATCTCATAATAATTAAATTATTCTTCATTATTGGATAATTAGTCTATAAATATTATCTAGTCAAGCTTCTCATAAAGACTTCTCTTTATTTTCACCATAAAATGTAATTTAGAAGGTTTTTTTTATCTTTAACTTTAATGAAACACACATCAAATAAAGCCTTTCTCTCTTGATGTTCATAAAATTGAAAATTCATGGATTTGTTTTTTTGTTATAATGCTAGCTAATTGCCTGTGTGTACCAACCTGCAAGATCTAAATTTTCTGTGATGACGTGAAGAGGCAATTAAATAATCAATCCTGAATGTGTCTAGTTATTTTTCCAAGTTCTTATAAACAAACAGGAGTAAGGTACTTGGTGTATATCTGTTGAGTTGACATTTTGGCTGAAAATTTTGTTGATCTTAACTCATCTGGAAGATACAAAGTATCAAGTTTTTATTTTTGATCATAAAGCAGATGCTTTGGAAAGACGTTAGTGTTTGACTCTCACCAATCCTCTGACTAATTGATGAGTGGTGTTCTGAACACCAAAATATATCTAACTTAATAAATACCGGATTGCGACTAGCATGATTAGTATCATACCAGCTCTTGTTTCACTCATATCTGGAGATCTGTGTGTCAATTTCCATGCCATAAGATTTAAATTTCAGAGAATTTAACCCTAAAACAAAATAAATGCAGTTAAAGATGCATTTCCACGAAAGTATTTATAGGAACGGTATGTCCAATGAAAGTATGGCAAATTTGGAATAGAAAATACTGGATTCCCTGAAAAACACCCATGGGGCACACCAAGGACAGAAATATAAGGGTATCGCAAACTGTTGGCTTGTCTGCTCTGAGTGATGTAGAGAGCTCTTGGTATGTATTGACTGAATGGCTAACGATTATCAGAACAGTGAAAACCTTACAAATCTACAACAAACTCTGCGATTAATGGCGAAAAAAAAAGTTGGCAGAGCCTAATACAAGACCTGTCTTTGTTAGGATTTTAATCTTTGAAAGAAATGGAGCTCATTTCATGTTTGATGATGAAATTATACAGTTTTTCTGTTGTGTACATGAACCTCATTTACCCTCGAATTTTTAGTCTTCAAAATTACACCGTCTGGACAAAAACTAGCATCCCAACTGATCTCAATCTGGTCTGGATAAAATATGGTAGTGTGTCTTGGCTCCCGTATTTTAGAATATAGATCCATGTATTTAGAAGTGCTATTATATTTTACACATGACAATTTAAGAATGCATGAGCACTAGATTGGATTGAGGCAATGTAATAATTTCTCTGTTTAATTTATTGTACTTTTTTGTAGGCTCATTAGGCAATTTGTCAACATTTTCCCCCGCAAGAGAGAACATGAGAGAATTAAATACCCACTGAACACAATTGAGGTCATTTTGGGACAAACAAATTTTTATATTTCTATAATTTGCCAAATGTGTAGGGTCTATAAAGGGGGGGGGGGTGGTTATTAACCCTGAGAAAATCTGCAACCCTACACATACCTAGGATCAAAACCACGCCACTTGACTCGGTGACAGACTTTACCCAGTTAAGCTTGAGGGAATACATCTTTAAATTATAATGTATATACTAAGAGAGAGAAATGGGGTTTAATGTTAACTCCTCACAAACTAAGTCATTTTGGGACTAACATACTGTTCATTGGGGTTTTTTTTCAATAATTCAATTCCACATAGGACCTAGAGAAAACCCTACTCCTGGTCACATACAAGAAGGGTATCAAAACCACACCAGTTGACTCAATGAAATAGGGGTTTATTGTCCTACTGTTCTGCTCCAACTGGGCTAATGAAGATGAGCATACACCATACAGTGTGCTATGAAGAAAATTTTGCCCGGTCAGTGGCACTACAGCCTACTCTTATATCGAATTCCAACTGCCGGCCCTCGGTTTTTGGTTTTTCGTTCCATCGAATGACTAGACAGCTGTACTTGTCAGGCCCTCCTTTCAAAACTGACAAGGGGAAACCATGATGAACTTTTTTGGCCAACACCGGGTACTCCCGCGATCTCCATGCTAGAGAACCAGCGTCTCACTCACTGAGCCACTGTGGCTACCGACTCAATAACAGACCTCCTGCTCCAACGTGCTGGTGTTACACCGTTTGGCCACCCAACCCCCCCTTGAATATAATAAGAAAAATGTAATATATTAAAGCCACTTTATTCAGACCTATAGATTTGGAGCAATATACTAGGTAGAGGGGAGAACAAAAAAATATCCCATATACTGTTATACAACAGATTATAGGTAATTAAAAACAAACACTTGTAAAACACAGTCACTCTAATTTATGCATATTTTATCCCTGAAATAACTTGTGTATCACTCAAGATCACATCAGTTCATCAGTATTAGTAATAATTACATTAACTACTTCCCATTAATAACAAAGAAAAATGTAATTTTCATCAATAACAGACAGAAGAAATGTGTAATTCTTGTCAATAACAGACAGATAAAGTTTTCAGAACTCAAAATGTTGTTTCGTTAAAATAGGGAGTTTTTACCAATAACAATAATAAACTATAAATTTTCCTTAATCTATATAGAGTTTTCTTCATCGACTTTATATAACTTTTCAAGTATCAACCAAGTAAAATTTCTTAAACTATGAAGTTTTTACTACCAACTGTATAATTGTCATATGAAACTAAGTAATTTTCATTTTTTATGGTATGCACAATAAACTAAGTTATAATTTTCATTTATAAACTATGGAGTATATTATATATGTACATGTGAATCTGTTAAGTAGTTGTGTGCAGAGTATATGAAAAGTATATTGTATATAAAAGCGCTAAAAATAATATAATACATCTAGATAGATATAGATAAAGTATGTGGCTAAATATCTATAATTCATATATAAATCCTAACATAATAATATATTTGTAGTTAACTCCTATTATTAACATTTATAAAGATAATAAATAGGGAAATAAATTCTGGAGATATTAAATATACTTAATATTTCCACTAAATTAGGCAGTTATTTCATGGCACTATTCTTGTAAAATATTCATATTTTGACACTATTCTTGATATGTTTTATGAAAATTCTTGACACATAGCTTTTTACTTTTTTGTACAACCAGAGACTAATAATTTTTAACCTATTAATAATGATCATGTAAAATGTGGCTATAAAGAGTTTGTCATTTAAGAAGAGACTGTGTCGATAAACTCATGCTGTTATTCTATATAAATAAACCAATCTGTCTTCCTAAAATAAAGTCATAACAACTACATATAACAAAAAAACTTAGGAGCAGACGAGGGCATCCTAATGGTATATAGAATTATATATATACATACAATAATTATGCCCAAGCAACACACAGTAATAAACACTATTTACAGTTATAACATTCTCTTGTTCTAAAATATATTATCTTTTTCCCCCAAACTTTATGCACAGATATTTATTAAAATAGATCGAAATTTATTGCTTATATAACCTTATATACAATATCGTATAACGAGTTAATATTATGACACCAACACCGAATATCATCATTTCATATATAAATATATATAGAAAATTACTCAAATATTTGGTTTCACGAAAAATAGATAGAAATTGTATTGATAAAAATATAAAATAACGAAATATTGCATATTTGATACACAGAAACCACAAGATAACACAGATATTGTTAACTCTATAGCATTAAGCCAGATATTTTGTTTACTACAAGTCCAATATTTATTTTATATATATATTTCAGATATTTATATACAAATCAGATATTTTTTTTTATATAAGTTGCATAAAATCCACTCCAGCATTCAGTCTCTATGTTTGTATCACACCTTCAGAACAATTGTTAAGTTAAATCTAGCTAGCTAGTCAATTATCGAGCATGTTTCTTACAAAATGGTTTACCAGATTTACAATAGAAGGGTTGACCTTCCAAACTCACTTGACAAGTCTGAAATAGAAAATATTCAAATTTTACCCACAGTTTGAACATGAAATGTTTAAAACAAAAATGCCAAAATTGTGAATGCTAGAACTCCCTTTTCATTTCCTTACTCAATGGTTTAACTTCGAACAAGGTCATATGAAATCTTTTTTTTTCTTTCTTTTTTTGGTGTTATGCTATGAATTATCATTCTACATAAATTACAAGCCATCATCCTAAGATGGTGTCCTACAACATCTTAAATAAAATGTTTAGTTTCCATTTGATGTTTGGTTTCTAGTTCCGGCATTAGGGAGGGAGGCACAGGGGGCAAAGGCTCTGGGCATTCATTTCAGGGGGAGATTCATTCCAAGAGTTGAGCCCTATACTTGTGTCTTGGTGTATACAATCAAGGAATTGACCATGGGCATCATCAAACCACAGCAGGCCACAATCTAGTATTAATATCTACAGTTATTTTTCTCTAAAAAGTAAAATATTATCAAATAAAATAAGCAGAGATAGGAGAACAAACTTACTGCACAATAGAAACATTCCGAATGGAAGTTTTTATTCATAGCTTCAACCCATCTGTCACCAGGTTCAATAGGAAATTCACATCCAGTGCACATAGTCTGGAACATGGCACCCCAATCTAAAATAACATAAAAATAGAATTAATATTATCATCAATTAAACTATAATTTGAATTCATTTTTAGCCCACCACTTTATAATCGGAATAAAACTGGCACTGCATAAAAGTTGTTATTCCCGTCAGAGTGGCTCGAATGGAGGGAGCGATTTTCCCGGTATCGCCTTGCAACAAAGCTTCACGAAGAAGATGGAAATGTGCAGGTTAGCGCAATGATTTATGCTATGGGTCCCGAGGCGGAGCACGTGGTAAAAAGTTTTACGTTTAGAAACGATGCTGAAAAGAAAGATTATGACGTTGTGCTACAGAAATTTAATGATCATTTTATTCCAAAAAGAAATGTAATCTTTGAAAGGTCACGATTCCACCAATGTGTCCAAAATTCGGAAGAATCGGTTGAAGCGTTTGTTCGTAAACTTTATGATTTGGCTGAACATTGTGATTTTGGTGTCGGAAAAGACGAATGCATACGTGACAGAATTGTAATAGGCGTATTAGATAAGACTGTTTCACAGAAATTGCAAATGACCCACAATTTAACGTTAGAATCAGCTATTTGTTTAGCAAGGCACAGTGAACTAATTAAAAGCCAAAATAATTCCAAAAGTGAAGAGAGTACCGGTAGTGGCAGTAGTATGAATAACTTTGGTAGCATGAAACGAGAAATAGATGCAATAGCACGAAGATCCGAGAGACATGGAGCATATCATCGACGTTCAAATGAAAATTTTAGAGGTATAGTAACAATAATTCAAGGCAATTTCAGAATTCAAGACAGCGATATTATTATCATAATTATAATCCAAACAGAGAATACCGTGAAAACAAAAGAAATTGTACACGATGTAGCCGTAAACACCGATTCGATGAATATTGCCCAGCTAGTTATTCCGAGTGTAGGAAATGTCATCAAGTAGGACATTTTGCAGTGTGTTGTAAGATAAAGTCTATAAGGGAGATAACTCGGACAGTAAAAGACGAACAAAATTGTAGTACCCTCCCTTTAATCAGTAATATTGAATATTTTCACGACGATGAAGCAACCCACAGTTGTTCCCCTTTAGTGATTCCTGATAAAAATCAACCTGATTTTTTTCTTGGTTCACTGACATCCACAGATTGTTTACAAGATACAGAACCTGTGTGGAATATTTCATTGAGAGTTGAAGACACCTTACTTCAGTTTAAAATTGATTCTGGAGCCGATGCGACTGTAATATCTGAATTAACATTTAATATGTTGCATTCGCGTCCTATTTTATACAAGTCGGATGTTAATTTTGGAAGTCCAGGTGGAAGGTTAGATTGCCTAGGATATTTTATAACACCCATAGTTCACAACCTCAAAACTGTTAAAATTATGATTTACGTTGTTAGAGGTAATTTTGTTCATAATCTGCTTAGCCGCACAGCAGCAGTTTATATGGGACTTATAAGTAGAAACGATAGCTGTCGTAAGGTTGACAGTGTTGAAATTGATACAGAACTTTTTGCAGATATAGGTCTCTTAAAGGGTGATCCAGTAAAAATATTACTAAAAGATGATGTCATTCCATATTCTGTCCATGCAGCTAGACGAATACCAATTCCGTTATTACCTAAAGTTGAATTAGAATTAAAAAAGAATGATTGATCAAGATATCATGGAAAAAGTCACAGAGCCTTCCGACTGGTGTGCTCCAGTGGTTCCGGAATTAAAACAAAATGGTCGTGTTCGTTTATGTGTCGATTTACGTCAATTGAATAAAGGTGTTAAAGCGAAAGATATGTCTTACCCGCGTTAGAAGATATTTTGCATAAAATGTCAGGAAGTCAATACTTTTCACGCCTAGATGCATCCAGCGGATTTTATCAGATACCACTTGATACAGAGAGCTCTAAATTAACCACATTTATTACACCTAATGGATGATACAGATTTAAACGGTTACCATTTGGGATTACCAGTGCACCGGAAATATTTATGAGAAAAATGTCTGAATTACTAACAGGTTTGGACGGAGTAGCAGTGTACATGGACGATATATTTATATTCGGAGTAACGCTTGAAGAACATGATCGCTACCTTTCAGCAGTCATAGAACGCATTAAAGAGTCAGGACTTAAACTAAACAGAAATAAGTGTACCCTACGTCAAACCTCAATTGATTTGTTAGGCCACGTTGTCAGCTCAGGTGGTATTAGCCCACATCCTGATAAGGTACAAGCTATCCAGGAATTACGGGTACCTACAACAGTAACAGAATTGAAACGTGTCTTGGGCATGATTAATTATTTAGGCCGATATTTACCGAACTTGTCTCATGTATTACAACCACTTAACAAATTTCTAAAGAAAGATATTGTTTAGACTTGGGGTTCATCTCAAGAAAACTCTTTTAGAACAGTCAAAGAACTGATAAGTAGCGCTCCTGTATTGTCATTATTTGATGTTAGTAAACCTACAATGATTAGTGCAGATGCTAGTCAATATGGGATTGGAGGTGTCTTAATGCAGCAATATAATTCTGATTGGAAGCCAGTCGCTTACTGTTCTCGTACTTTAACAGATACTGAAAAACGATACGCTCAAATTGAAAAGGAGTGCCTAGCTTCAATATGGTCGAGCGAGAAATTTTCTAGATATATTTGCGGACTTGATTCGTATAAATTATTAACTGATCATAAGCCTTTGGTGCTTCTAATTAACCGTAAAGACATTGATCAGGTTCCTATTAGTTGTCAACGTTTATTGATGAGATTAATGCGTTTTAATCCAACAGCTGAATTCGTTCCAGGGAAGACCTTGTTGGTAGCGGATACTTTAAGTCGTAGTCCCTTAAATAATGCAGAGGACAACAGTACAGAACAGGAAATTCACATGTTTGTTGATTCGATAACTTCTTTGTGGCCGACATCAGATAAATTACTTACTAAGATTTGCAGAATTACCGAAGAAGATCCTACGTTAAAGACTGTTCTTTACTACGTTCAACAGGGATGGCCTGAATACAGTAGAGATGTTTCAGAAAATGTTAAACCCTATTTTGCTGTTCTAGAACGTTTGAGCAGTGTTAATCGTGTACTTACTTATGGTTACAGGGTTATTATTCCGTCACACCTAAGAGATGATATTTTAAACCGCATCCATGAAGGACATTTAGGTGTCACAAAATGCAGAGAACGCGCACGTTTGTCCGTGTGGTGGCCGAAGATTTCGACAGAAATCAGTAATAAAGTGTCTTCATGTTTATATTGTTTGAAACAACGACCTACACAAAACAAAGAACCTTTGATTTCTAGTACATTACCCGATCGACCTTGGCAAAGAATAGCTTCAGATCTTTGTACTTTTAAGAATAAACAATATTTAATAATAAGATGTGATCGCTAGATTTGGAATCCCAGAGCAGTTAATTTCGGACAATGGTCCACAATATGTGTCGCATGAATTCAACAGCTTTTGTAATCGTTATGGTATAAAACATATTACGACCAGTCCACACTATCCACAAGCAAATGGGGAAGCCGAGAGAGCTGTCCAAACAGCTAAGACCATTCTTAACCAGCCCGATCCACACATCGCTCTTCTGAATTATCGAGCAACCCCAATAGAAGCTACTAAATGCAGTCCAGCTCAACTAGTAATGGGACGTCAATTACGTACAACGTTACCTACTTTACCCATAAACTTAGAACCACAATGGCCTGATTTAGAAAAGGTGAGGGGGAAAGATGAATTATATAAAAATCATTCAGAATCTAACTTTAATCGGTTTCATGGAGTTAAAGAGTTATCTGAATTAAAACCAGGTGATAAAGTCTTTATTAAACTTGACAATGATAAAAAATGGCTAATTCCAGGAATAATTGTAGATAAAGCTACAGAACCCAGATCTTACATTGTAAAAACAAAGCGTGGAATTTATCGTCGTAATAGGCGTCACCTTAATATACCCATGGATGATGACGACGATGATTATCTAGATATGGATATGCCAGTTGAGAACATAATGCGTCCAAATCTGCCAGTTGATAACAACCATATACCCGAACTACTACAACCACTTAGAACTCGATATGGTCGTATTATACGGAAACCGTCCAGATACAGATAAACTGTACACGTATTAAACAGTTAAATTGGGCTTAAAAGTATTGAGCTGTATTTTCATTTTATTTAAGAAACATACTATGACAGTATGCATTGACTTACTTTTATTTTAAAAAGAGGGAGATGTTCTGATGTGTAATAATATCAATCGTTATATATTCATATTTGCCGCGTTTGTTAATGTGCATGTTTAATTAGTAATAAAAGAAATTAAATGGCCGCCATTGTTTAGTCATACCACGACACTCACCTTTCTCACAATAGGGTTTACCCTCCTCAATATGGAACTGAGTACCTCCGATTGATTGATGACATTTAGTACATAAGAAACATTGTGGATGCCATTGTTGTTGGATTGCATTTACACATTCCTGTAAAATAAAATGGTTGTCAATGATTTATTTTAAAAGCAAATTCATTTTAAAGGGATGCTACCATGAAACAAATTGATACAATTCTTTAAAAAAAAAAGGTAGCCCTGGTTCATGTTTTACATATACATGTATAGTAATTACTTATTGATATAGATAAGATGGAGATGAGAGTACTGAAATCCCACATATTTGAATTGCCACCCTGATCAGTGGTCAGTTCTTTGTAGGTAAATACATCAACCTGTTGCTATTGATATTTTCCAACCAGTTCAGAAAACCAACAAATTTATCTCATACTTAAAGATAGGTTGCCAGGCAACAAAACATACGCCCACAGCAGCTAAATCGCCCGAGCGCTCGTCAAGGGTTGTCGCATATTTATTCCTTTGTAGGTAATTGGGGGGCCTTTACAAGACAAATTCCATACAGATCAGATTATAAATTTTGTCGTTTGAGGGTTTACAAGGTTCTACAAACTAAAACAAGGGTCTCAACTCTGGAAGTAATCTACAGAAATTTGACAGGCTTTTTCGTTTTACTAATTTAATTAATGCATATAAATTTCATACAGATCACATGATCACTTTTGTCATTCAAACGTTCACAATCGCCATAACTCTAGAAATTATTGACGGAAATTGCTGAAATTCAATAGACCTGTTTCACAAATTTAAATGATGCATATAAATTTCATACATATCGGATGATAACTATCATCAATCGAGCATTAATAAGGTTTAACAAAGTGAAACAAGGGCAATAATTCTAGAAGTAATTATTGTAAATTGCTGAAATTCAATAGGCTTTTTCGTTTCACTAATTTAAATCATGCATATAAATTTCACAACGATCGAGTGGGTGATAACTTTTTGCGTTATAGTGTTTACAAGGATCAGTAAAGTGAAACAAGGGCCATAACTCTAGATGTAATAAATGGAAATTGCTGAAATTCAATAGGATTCTCCGTTTCACTAATCTAAATAATGCATGTAAATTTCAGAACGATCGGTTGAAAACTTTTGGAGTTAGAGCGTTCACAAGGTTCAATAAAGTGAAACAAGGGCCATAACTCTAGACGTAATAAACGGAAATTGCTGAAATTCAATAGGATTCTCCATTTCACTAATCTAAATAATGCATGTAAATTTCAGAACGATCGGATGAAAACTGTTGGAGTAAGAGCGTTCACAAGGTTCAAAAAAGTGAAACAAGGGCCATAACTCTAGACGTAATAAATGGAAATTGCTGAAATTCAATATGATTCTTCGTCTCACTAATTTAAATAATGCATACAATTTTCAGAAACATCGAAAGATAACTTTTGACGTTGGAGCGTTCACAAGGATCAATAAAGTAAAACAAGGGCCATAACTCTAGACGTAATAAACGGAAATTGCTGAAATTCAATAGGCTTCTTCGTTTCAGTAATCTACATAATGCATATAAATTTCAGAAAGATCGGATGATAACTTTTGACGTTAGAGCGTTCACAAGGATCAATAAAGTGAAACAAGGGCCATAACTCTAGACGTAATAAACGGGAATTGCTGAAATTCAATAGGCTTCTTCGTTTCAGCAATCTAAATAATGCATATAAATTTCAGAAAGATCGGATGATAACTTTTGACTTGAGAGCGTTCACAAGGATCAATAAAGTGAAACAAGGGCCATAACTCTAGACGTAATAAACGGAAATTGCCAAAATTCAATAGGCTTCTTCGTTTCAGTAATCTAAATAATGCATATCAATTTCAGAAAGATCGGATGATAACTTTTGGAGTTAGAGCGTTCACAAGGTTCAATTAAGTGAAACAAGGACCATAACTCTAGACGTAAGAAACAGAAATTGTTGAAATTCAATAGGCTTCTTCGTTTCACTAACTTAAATATTACATATACATTTCACAAAGATCGTATGTTAACTTTTGGCATTAGAGCGTTCACAAGGTTCAACAAAGTGAAACAAGGGCCATAACTCTAGACGTAATAAACGGAAATTATTGAAATTCAATAGGCTTCTTCATCTCACTAATGTAAACAACATATATCAATTTTAAAACAATTGGATGATAACTTTTGGCGTTAGAGCGTTCACAAGAAATTGTGGACGACGGACCGACGGACAGACGGGGGCGACGGCAATTTACGTCCACATTTCAATGTGGGCGTATAAAAATTAAAACAAAATCTCAAAACACTAGACAGTTGCCCATAATATCCTGTTGAACCAATGTATATCTGATTTCAAAGCCAAAAAAGTGATAAAAAGTGATTCATACCCCAACAATAGCTTGAGTACATTTATGGCACTTGGGAGCAAAATGTTGGGCATAGTCTTGTTCACAGTACAAAAATCCACCTTCCTCTACAAAACCAATATCAATTAATTTTCTACCACATCTAGGATTGGCACAATTAAAATGTTCTGGACACCAACTTTTACCCATGGCCAATACAAATGGACCTCTGAAAATGAAATAAATTAGATTGATGAATTTAGGTATTTAAATGGTTTTACAATACCAGGAAATGCATAATCAAGGACTTATTGGGACAAAAATATGGTTCCAGGCATCTCTTTTATTTTAATAACTCGCTCCTATTAATATCAGTGGGAGAAAACAGTAGATCCAAAATGTTAGATTGATGACCTACAACATTTTTAATGGTGGGGATAAACTCATAATGGCAGACCTATGACCTGGAGCACAACACTTTACAACAATTTGCCAAGGCATTCGCTCACAAACCTGGAGGTAGTTTCGATATCAGTTTTGTCCGAGACACACCCGCCCATTTCATTCATTCCAATTAGCCATAATATCTTCAAATTTACAGGGTAATGTTTGCGTAACTGGCAATGAAATTTAGACTTAATATTATACGGATAATTTGAAAATGGAATTGGTAATTCTAGATGCCAAATATTAACTTTACCTGATGGTATTACCACAAGAGGCACAAAGAGCCGTTTTAGGGATCATTCCACTCCCTTGATTCTGCATGGAGGCATCACCTATTCTTCCTCGTATAGCACCAACTCCTGATGGCTTAGGGGGTGGTACTCTAGGTGCTAGAGCACGAGGTGCTGATGGAGCCATGGGTGGGGCTGCACTAGGAGTCCAGGTTTTAGCTACAGGAGCAGATGGTACTGGTGCAGGTTTTGGTGTCCATGTTGGTGCTGCAGGAGCTAAAAAAAACAATAAAACAATTTTCCTCAATTAAAACAAAGTGGACAAAATTAAGATATTTTCACCTAAAATATTCAGATTGTTTGGTTTAGTTGTGATTAGTGGTTTCAGGTTCACCATAAGCAAAAATAAGGGAAATTGCCTAAAACTTTGTCTTAACGTTATGTATGTTTTGTATTATTTTCAATTTCATTTTTTTTATCCATTTGCATGTATTATTTTCACCTTCATATTTGTGTTCTATCTTAACCAATAAAGAATTGTTGCCAGGCAATTAAACATGCGCCCATAGGAGCTAAGTAATCTAAGCCGTCCATAAAAGTTGTCACATTTATATTCTTAAAAGACACTATACCCAAAGAATGAAGTACGGTAATTAAACTTTTTTTAGTATTACTGCTAGTCATTATAATGTAAATTGTAAACAATATGTTTGGTAAAGATTTTGTATACTAACCTGGTGGGGTATAGGGTACTGGAGCCGCAGGACTGAAATATCAAAATTAAACAAATAAATATAACACAATATATAAAACACATTCCTCTGGTCAGATAAACATGTTATATACAATGAATGATCTGCTTTCCAAAAAAAAAGGCGAAAGACCAATATAGTTTTTGAATGTTGATAATAACTAGCACCAATTCTCAAAAATAGTGTTAACTACATGTCACAGCTATATATTCATATATAGGCCATTATAATATATTATAAGCATAATATATATCTGCTTCTCTGACATCCACATGTAAATAAATACACAATAAATAATTTCAAACATCTTTCTATTGTATTAGTACACTTTCTTACTTCATGTCCAGTCTATAGTGATATCATATAAACACATTACAGACTGTAGTTACTACTGGAACATCACCATGACATTTATCTCAATGATGTCATGTCATTGTTATAATGCCCTGCATGAAATCAACAACTGATAGTTTAATTTCATTATTTTCACTAATTTGATAATCATTGTCTAAATATGATTATAAATCCTATTTTTATTTGCATGTCATGCATGATTGTCTGTGTATTTAGATGATAGCTGAACAATGAAATAAGAAACATGTACTAAAAACATTTCGGAAAAGAAGCTTGAAAATAACTTATTGTGCAAATATTTTTGTTGTTCTTCATTCAATATAAAAAAAAACTTATTATCTGATAAAATAATAATCATAATTTATTTATTATGCATGCTGTGAACATGTGCTGTGGTAGAACACTCCAAAAGTATGTCATGCTGGTTCTAATAAATTCTATATCAGGGAGTCTTTAGAAAATGCAACAATAAAAAGTTGAGGGGGGAAACCCAAAAGAACCATAAACTTTGAAACATCAAAGAAAAAAACATCCCAAAATTTACCGTAAGAAAAAATTAGTGCCCAGGGTCAAGTTGTAATTTCTGGACGCACCACAGTTAAATCACAGAAACCCAATATTTTAAATGTTCATTCTTCACTTAAATGGAAAACTTTGACAACATGGAATAGAGTAACTGGAACTTATAATAATAGTGTGGTGTACACTCTATAATTACCCATTTTTCGTTTCTCCTAATTGCTGTTGTAAAAATTTAAAAGATCGAGAATGTGTGGGTTGCGTTTCTTTCGGGGCATCTTGTTCATGTATCAGTTTATATGTTTCCGATGGCTGATATGTTTTTACCTCACTTTTACCGTTTTCTTTTGGTGCTGGATTTGGGAGATCTTCACTGCAAGACAAAACATGCCAACATGCTATTTTAAACAAAACAAGCTACACACACAATAAACCTACATGCTAGTTTTAATTTTGCCCGAGTCTGTTTCCTAGAAATAACAGGGATATACATGTATAATTTATGATGTAATCTGGAGGAAATGTTTTAAAACTGGCTTAAATTTCCACTTATTATCTAGATATCTTGGTAATAACTAAGTTTAAATAGATAAATAATGCAGGAGAACGACACTACACACAAACAAAACCGATAAGATAAACCTGTGGACAAGACACACTACATAACCTACAATATTTTTTTTTTATGAATGGATATTTGAGGAGTTTGTGCATTTTCAATGTCAACATAAGACTTTCATTTCAAGTTTCTTTCTTTTCTAGGGAACAAGACTCTTCTAAACTATTATTATCATGTCAACTACACCTGTTTAATATTTTAAATGGAAAATATGAACCAAACTATTCATAAAATAATAATTGATGTCTGCTGTAAGTCTGAATATAATTTGTCTCAACAGGAATTTTCGATGTCAAAATTATGATGGATGATTTTTAATCTATAGAAATGTACAAGTCCTGTTGTGCTGTTAATTGTCAGTAGATAAAGAAATTTGAAACTTGAGGCTTAACATAATATAGGCAGTTTATATATAATATATAATAAGCTTACATTTTCTTAAATCATAGCAAAATATAACAGATTATACTGCTTGATTATCATATAACTTTTTTTTTGCTAAAATTAATTACATTTTTTATCGGACCTATTATTACATATTTATAAGGTCATGCAAGTTAAAATTATCTAAACATGCAAAATGTTTAATTTACAAATACCATTATTAATTGAAATCATCCTCAATGAAAGGCTAGCAAATAAGGAAATTGGATCTTTTTATTAGAATGTAGAATGATATCATTGACTGATTGTTAAGTTAGTTTGGATAATGGAGAGAGGTAGGGAAACAATAAGGGGTATAACAACTATTCAAATACTGTAAGATTTTTTTTAATATTAAAGAAAATTTTAGTATAAATGGGGATCAAATAATAATTGTAAAATCTGAACCATCTTTTTAAATACATTTTTCTTAAACATATAAATAAAATAAAAGAGACAGTTTTGACGATGGGATATAAATGTGATAGGATGGGGTGAAGGTGTGGGGGAAGGGGAGTAAGGTATTGATCCAACCATTACTCTGTAACCATTATTTAAGAGTTGAAATTAAAACCCTAAGTTCCTGCTAAGATTTTAAAAGTGATATCTGCATTCTAGTGCTTTCATAAAATATATAATAGACAAATTTATCTATGAAATAGCACACCACTGCACCAAATTTCAAAAACAAAAAAATGGAAAGAAAATTTGGAAACAAAACGAAGGAAAAAAAACTGTGTTCACACTGAAGATATTTCTAGCATGAAATATAGAGTAGAGTGGAGTACCTCTGCCAAGGTGGAATAGGTTCAGAATCTACTGAAAATAAATAAGTTATATATACAATACTGTTAAATATCATTACCTATATCTAATATATAAACAATATATCATAACAACTATATACATATATGTAAACATAATGGTTTATTGTTAAGCAAGCCAACCAAAATATGTTTCCACCATCCTGTTATAATATCTTGTTTATAATATACATGATTATAACATGTTATACTCTATTGTTAAAATTTATTTAATCAAACATCTAGCACAAACTATTAGCTCACAAAATGTAAGATAACATTTTTACTAAATAAAAATAGCTTATTTTTTCAAAACATTATCACTATAAGCAAACTATTTCTCTTTGTCTAAAGTTCTGAATGTATTTTCACTATGATTATCTTACACATGAGCTAAAGTTAATAGCGGAACTCAAATCTGTGCTAAAACGATGATCGAATAATACTTAAACAATAAAATTTAACAATTTCATTAATAAATTGAACAAGTATACTGTACCCTTCATCAGGACTAACTAAAAATTTTGATTGTCCTTTAAATGTTGTCGCAACATTTTTATCAGAATATAGTCCTATTGGTGTGTTATATTTCTGTGAAACTATGGCTTTCACTGTGCCTGGTTTTTCACCAGGTCCGACAGGCTGAGCGATATAAGTTTGGGGTTTTGGAGCTGGAGGGGCTGCAGGTGGTGCAGGACTGGATTTAAAGGCTGATGGTGGTTCTGAAATGGTCGCATGCAATAAAATGATGATCAATGACTGAAAACATGTGAAAAGGAAAATTTACTATACTATATTCTATATTCTCTAGTAGTAAATTAATCATAATTTATTTTTTAACAATATCATATTCAAATTAACATGGACTCCTGCCTTTAGGAAATCCAATTATTGATATATCTGGGTAGGGCATTTTATGATGGATTTCATAAACTTCTTTACCAAGAATTTGAAACTTTATGTGAAAATTTGCGACAAAGTTAACAGTGTTTGCTAAACTCCTTAAAATTTTTAAACAATTTTTGCTAAACTCGTTAAAATTTTTAAACATCTTATAAATCTCAGCAGTGTGTAGTAAAATCACATCAATTAGAAACTTAAATTTGAAAGCCTCTGAATCCTACACTTGGTCATATACAGATTCGTTTTATAACAGAACTGACACACATTCTAGGACCAACTAAATGAGAAGCAATTTTTCTTTTTCAGTGCATTTGTCTCACAGTGATGATTTTTCATAATGATATTATATAAACAATTTGCAAGTGAAATTAAAGTATTATTCACTATACTTAAAAGGCAGAGGGTACAGGAAGGAAAAAGGTTGGAAAATTATCAAGTGTTATTCATATAATAAATTTCAATGGCCGGGAAACATTATGGTTCAGTTGAAAGACTTCCATATTGAAACTATGTGATTAGTAATGACCGTAAAAGCTATTACTATTTGATAATGGTCTAGCAATCCATAGTACATTATAATTAGTATTGATAATGTGCATAATAAAACTTATAAATCTACATAAATTCTGTATATATGTATCCATAAATTGTATCTATTGTTCTTCTACCAAACAGCACAATAATAGTATGGCTTAAATATCAATATGGATATAAATATATATTCCTCATTAGAGATTGTAAACTTTGAACCTGTCTTAAACCATCAAGACACCTATTCCAGGTATTTTATCTTGGGCTCAGTTTTTTTTCCTCCATATTTGCAGTATATTTTCTGATTAGAGACTGCATTATATGGCATACTGTCAAGGGTGTTCTATCCGAAAATGAAGATTTTGGGTTTAAGACGCATCCTTCTTCAAATCAAAGAAAGATAGGTTGCCAGTCAGATAATAATTTGGGAGTAAGGACAATATATGACCACATGTCAATGTAGGCATATAGATATCATATAGTATTTAAACATTTAAAATATAGTACATTACCTTGACCTGAATCCATCATATTTTGAAGATAACGGAAAGATGATGATTGATGTGACGATGGCTGGGGTGGCTCGTTCATAGCTGAATATTTTTGAGCAGCACCTGAATAATCTGGTTCCCTGAAAACAATAACTTACCATTTAAACTAATTCGCTTTAACTTTTATTTTGTGTTAGCCGTATAACGTTTATTTTGTGCATGTTCAGTCAATATGGTATTAATGCTAATGATAACACCCAATAAACCCGGACATTAAACCCCATTTCTCTCTCTCTCACATTAGACAATGTCCACAAGACAATATCTAGTATATAGTAGACATGTAAATGTACAAAAAAACAACATATTATACACCGTATCACCATACAATAAATGCCAAACAGAAATAGGTGTATTAATCCCAAACTATTAGATAAGCACAACCTGTCTTGTGAATGAGTTTGATACCTACAAAATATTATTCATATATTGAAGAAGATGTTCTATTTAAAAAAAAATCCAAAAGGCTTATGTCCCCTTCTCAATCCCAACACAAATAGATGACGCTCATTAATTATTTGCACATTAAATTTATATAAATCATCAAAATGCTTCTTATTATTGAACTTAGTCAAGGTACTGATGCAATGTAACTATACACCACATTTAACCACTCTCATTAAATTAAAACTGTTGTTATTGTCTTCCAAAGCATCTACAAATAAAATTCTCAGCACTGAACTCACTTAAGCAGTGCTGGATTTACATATATTTTTGACACATTTATAAGCCTTTCTTACAAGCACTGTATTCTTAAACATCAGACCTCTTCTTTGACTTTGCTCAATTGTTTTTAAAACACTTTCATCTTCATCTAGTCTCAACTCGTGAAGGTGGGAGAATTTGGAGGAGCTTCTCTTCATCCAAATCAGGCACTGCACTCAAGCCATTTACCTAATGAACATTCCACCTCAATTATAGAAACAGAGACACTTTGTTCCAAAAGGCTTGACTGAAAGACAGATGAATGGACAAACCTATTTCATTAGCCCTCTGTATATCATTGGGGTGGGTGGGGGGAGGGGAGTTAGAACAAACATTATATGTAAACTTACATGGACATATTTTTAGTTCTATTTGCGAGGTTATCCACATTTGATCCACCATAAGCTGGAGCACTGGGTGCCCCAAAAGGCTTTGCAGATGCATTAAAATTCTGGAAAGAAAAATTAAATAAATCAATAGTGTAAATCACATAAAAGAAATAAAATGATAAACTACATGAAAGAAAAATTATTAATTTATTTGAAATGATAATGTTAAAAAGGTTGCCCAAATTTAGATTTGTCATTAATTCCATAATGTACAGTAGTATAAAGGAAAGGTTGATACATTTAGGTAGGGTTAGTACAAAATTGGTTAATTTATGAAAGTCGAGATTTGGACTAAAGTGTGTCAGTATTTGTAAGTGGGAGACGACCGCTACATGTGTATGTATCTCTCTTTTGTGGATCGGGGTGAGAGAATTGTCTGTTATCCGTTGGCTATGTGTCTTTGTTGAGTAAGTAGCTCTTATCAATAAGATCGACCCTGGACCAGTCCTAACAGCCTTTCTTATCGCTTATGTTATATGAAATGATCTTACTCAGCCGAACATAAGACACACATTTTTATTTCAGTTTTAAAACATAATGCTTTCTGATTAGTGTTGATTTGTTTCACTGACAAAGCCTGGATTCACATTAGTGTAAAGTGTTTCTGAAAAGTGATGGATTATGTTTCTAAAGGGAGTATTTGATCAAATTCCACCAATTTCAAATTAACTTTATAAAAAATCCAAGCTGAGATATAATTAAGGGTGAATTGACAAATGAGGTATTATTTATATTCAATTATTGAAAGATGTTAGAGAGTTTAATCAGTGAGGTGATTTGATAATGAAATGAAAGAAAAACTTGGAAATGAATCATTGATTATCAATCCATGCTAATTTGTTTGATGTCAGTGATTTTTTAAAATTCAAATTTGTATCACCTCTATTTGAATTTCATTATCCTTCAAAGAGCACATGAAATGGCCAAACAAAATTTCATGTACTTATAGCCAGTGGTTACTGGCAAGTTCAAACTAATTTGATTAAAATTATTTGAGCCATCTTCACACAAAGTCCCAAATACATGTAGAGACCTCCCGTAATCTATGTTTTGTATATCATAAACTTTAATGGGAATAACTTCTGTTAATCTCACAAATTTGTTTAGCACCTTAGTGGTGAGGAGATTAAGATTGTTGATTGGGTAATCAAGCTTTGTTTCTTGATCATCAAAGTCGCTGCCTCAGCTGTCATCACAAGACCGATTTAAAATAAGGTTTAACGTTGAAAAAGATCACAAGGGTTTTAAAACAAGCTTTATGAATTGAATTCTCAAGCCATATTTAATTCACTCTATATTAACTTTTCATTAACATGTTAAAAAGGCCAGATAATGGACTTTATCGAATAATTTCGATTGAATTTAAATAAGCAAAGGTTTAAAAATCAAAAAGATGTTGGTGTAAGTAGATGACAAGAAAGTCAAAGGTATCTGCCGCTTTAGGATTATTTTCTTTGAAAGATTTTCACAATGAAAAAAGGAATGAATGTTTGTGTTATTTTAAACAGTAACTGATATGATGTCGATAATAGACGATAACGATTGAATAACACTGAATTCTTATGAATTGCAATAGGATTCCTTCTGATGTTCCTATGAACAACCCATCTTCATTAGCCCACTCTGAGCAGAACAGTTCCTATGAACAATCTGAGAAAGTTTTAAAGAATTCCTCTATGAACTATTTTCTGTATCCAATTCACAAGCTTTAATTAAGATGTCAGTGATGATGATACCTGTCATCAATATATGTGGGCTTATAAGGGAAACTTATGAAGAATGAACTAATATAAACAGCATGAAAAGATAGCAAAATCATTATTACTATATTCATCTAGGACACACAAAGATGACAGTGTCAAATCAATAGAAGACAATGTAAACTTTCAATCGTCTTTGCATCAAAAGCCTTATTAATATGAAAACCAGTACATGTATACATACATCGTATGTATACCCAGGTGTACTGACCAATGACTACAATAGACTGAGATGAAGGTAAAAAAAAACCACCTTGTATACTGGCAAAAATACAATGGTGGCTCATGTTCTCTAGAAGCATGTGCCTTTCATCACTCACGCCTTATTTTATATTCTAGTTGAAGCTGACAGAACGTAGTAGGTAAATCAAATATATCTAATCTAGTGGAGAGATAGATAGTTTGACATAGTTAGTTGTATACCTAGTACAGGTGCTAGCTACATCATTATCATTCTTTTGGTTAAAGTTTATCTTGGATACATGTTTGTCGAATGTTTAGTTTTTATTGTTAATTTTAGCTCAAGTTACACGACTTCTTGTTAATTTGGTACAAATTGCTTGTAAGCGATTAGCTTTGTAACCACGGTAAGATTATATTGTAACCCTGGTAGGCCTATATCATAACCAAGTTTCTGATCCATTACCCAAGATGGTGATACATCATTACAGTATGTTCAAGTATAAATTTAATGCATATTCGTATTAAATATAATGTGAATAATTCCCCCACCTTTTGTGCCAAAATTGAAACAAAAAATGAGTAAAAAAACCCCACAAATTTAATAACATTTCAAAAACTAGTACTGACATGACAATGTGACTTGGTGACCTTGAATAAAGAGTTTAAATCTTTGAACTTATTGAAGTTAATTTACGACTTTCTTTTTCCAGAAATTTATATTACAATGTTCAACAAATATCCATTCACTTAATTTGATATTTGTTTATTTGGTGCAATGTCTATTTTCTGTCTTGCCCGCAGGTTTATCTTGTAGATTTTTGTTTTACGTGTAGTGTGGTCCTCCTGCACTTACTATTAAGTATTAATGATATAAATTGAAATTATTATAAACTGCATGAAGAAACCAGAATAACCAATGTAAGTATCTTTGATACTGGAATAGAGTACCATAAAGTTTTGCTACCATTATTTATTTCATTGCTGGAATACATCCAAATTCCTTTCTGCTGATTTAACAACATCTATTTCTGTCTTTTAAAATTTATTTTAAAACATTTACAATTTTATCAAATTGCATAAGGATGGTAACCAAACATTAGCTCGAGATTTGGCAAATTAATTGTGGGTTGGATTGTTGCAAGATTATAATCATGTAAGCATAATTATGTTTTTTGGCACCAGTACAAGTCAAATAATGACTAATTAAATAATGCAAAACAAAATACTTCAAAACATACATAAATAATAGTTTCGTCAAAGGTATACATACTCTTGACAATTTTAGAAAACAAAAAAAGTAAACAGAAAAGTTTTTGATGATGTGTCTTTCATAATAATGGTGATATCAGTATAGTAAATGAATAAACAGATGTGAAATAATTACCGTAAATTGGTACATCCCGTTTGATTAGTTATCCATTTATCAAAATATTAGAACAAGAAAAATGAGATGAGTGGAAGTTACAAGGCGACTCTCTAACCTTGAGAGTCTTACGGCAGTACTGACAGAATGTATGACTAAATCTTCAACTACCATCTAGGCGTCTGCTACTGTAAACCATATTATATCATGGTATTTGTTGTCGATGGCAACATTACATGGTACAGAGTTGTTTAAACTTATTAACATCTGGCTGATAGCTTATTTAGAAATGTTCATAATACCAGAACTATCTTATGTCATTTTTCCGTATGTACGTCAAATTGAAATTCAATATTTATTAATTCTTACAGTTTATACTTATATATTTTACAGTAAGTATATATAATGGTTGTCAGGTGTAATATTTCTATCAGTGAAAGGGCATATCCTTTTATAGTTTGGTCAGAATGGTGGTGGAGCATACACGAGATGATGTATCTTATAAACTTATTAGAATAAGTAATTTGTATCTAACTATTATCATACATATGAATTTCATCATCTAATTATCTACACTAATTAACTAAGTGTGTCTTAATTACTTTTATCATAAGTTTATATACTGTCCATGTTGCTTACACCTGTCATGACGTCAATCAGGCAGAGAATCCCAAGAAAATATAAATTACCGGTACTCAACATTTTGGGAGACAGTTTGTAAATTAATGTATCTATTTGATTGGTATGTAAAACAGCTGGATTAAGGCATGGATGAATGCTTAATCAAACTCAATCTGATTAAAATACAGATCCTATTTCGTTTCGTTTTTTTTATAGTACAAATATTTGTTTTACTTGTCTTCACTACACTAGGATCTGGAAGAGTTGTTATATTACTGGCGTTCTGGTTGAAGTGAGGGATCAGCCAATGAAACTGTCTGTTACGGCGTGCGATGAACGGAACTGTGGATAAACCACTAGAAACGTCAACGCTGATTGAATAATCAATGTCTGACGTCATAGGGTCAAAAGCCGCTTGTATGACCCCTGAAAAGACCTTCCAGTACCACCAGTCAGATCTTCATGTAATGTAGGCCATCGAAAAATATTAAATATAGATCTGTATTTTAATCAGTTCGAATCCAAGTAGAAGTACATATTCGACGGCAAAAAGAAAGACTGTAGTGTATACCAGAAATGCCAAGTGGGATGTGGATACAAACTTCCTAAAATCATAACTGTCCCTCTGGAGGCCTCACAGTGGCTGTAGCCCTGGGGCTTACAAAATAGCAATACAAACCCTGCCAATTAGATTTTGACAATCATCTTACATGAATTAATATTACATCCTAGTTTTAGACACATTTTTTTCTTAGGCCAAGCACTTGTTAACAAAACTCTTCCACAGAGTGCTATATTGTAAATTTTCATAACTTAGCTAAATTTAGGAGTGTTGTACTCATTCAACCAATTTTCTATTCTAAAGAAACCAGAAGAATTTGGCTTTTGGCACCATCTCCTAATGAACTCTTCAGAAATTGCTATGACATATCTCTATCACTTGCTTCTAATAAACTTTGGCAATAGAAATATTGCTACAAAATTTAAGAATATCACTTACTGAATTAGAAGATGGTTGACTAACACCACCACCTACTGGAGGAGCTTTTGGTACGGAATTAAAACTACTTGTCTGAGGAGTGGAAAATTTATCATAAGCTGGAGTACTGCCACCTCTGAAAAAGATAAAAGAAATTGTTGCAATATTGACTGATGCATTAAAATTGTTTGGGCAGTAACCCATTGCAGTTTATCATTTGTTTGATCAAAGATCGAGGACCAATTCCTGTAGATAATTTCTAAAAAGACATCAAATGCACTCAGAAATACCATATTCTCATCAGATAATTATATGCTCACAAAGCTGACGAGTGAATGTAAATTTTTTACTTCACTGTGTTCATTTATTTGTCAATCTGATTAAAATACAGATCTATATTTCGTTTCGTTTTTTTATACTTTCGATGGCCTACACTACATGAAGATCTGACAAGTTATAGCGATAGGTCACGTCAGGGGTCAAAAGACAGACTTATGACCCTATTACGTCAGACATTTGATTAACCAATCAGCATTGATGTTACTAGTGGATTACCCACAGTTCCGTGAAAAACACGCCTAAAGCTCGCCGTAACAGACTGATTCATTGGCTTATCCCTGACACCATTCAGAACACGAGTTAAATAACAAGTCTTCCAGATCCAAGTGTAGTAAAGACAAGTAAAACGAAATTTTGAACTATAAAAACGAAAAAAAAAAAGGATCTGTGTTTTAATCAGATTGTTTATTTGTCTGATTTACAAATCACTCAGAGTCCAATATGAGTACCAATAAAGAAATTGAGCATTGTAAAACAGACATTTATATTTCAAGTATATTTGGGCCTATTATTATTATTATTATTATTATTATTATATCATTTCCTCTCAATTTCAAGTACCTAACACTCCAGTCGGAAACACTTCTGTTTTTGATCAAATAAAATATGAGAGGCCATCAACCTACAAATCTGACATATGAGAAGACATGTTTCTTTTTACAACATAATATAAGGGTTGTTTTTATAGATATTAATAATAGCCAGTATATGAGATAAAGCTTTAAAGTCAACGATTCTGATTGTATGTTTTTTTGGATAATATCTAATTTATCTAATAAATATCTTAATCAATGCTAATATGTACTTAAATTGATTATTTGACATAAATATCAATGGTAGATAATCTCCTGCATGGATTCAATTGGATGAAAAAGAGGCAACTCGGGCTACTTTTAAGAAAAATAATCTTCTTCAGGCACATTTAAGTAAGATTTCCTGCATCACGTCTGCATTCAGTTAAAAATTTATAAGGTGGCCTACAGTTGATTTTAACACAGCATATTGCACATTAATTCTAACACAACTATGTATCCCTGGACACAGTTTTCAGTGTATAAGTCTCATGTTGTGACACATAGTGTCTTACACATTTTAAAGATCGTCTAACAAACTGGTAAAAGCAATACACAATATAACATAAAACCTTTCTTAAAGATACATTATGGGAGATAAGATAAAGAGATGGCAGTTCTCGCTATAATAGTTAAAAACTAGATAGTGTAAAGGTAATTTGCTGAAAATTTCAGTCAAATTGATCCACTATGAGCCGAGAAAGAAGCGGGGGAAATTCTTGCATAGTCTCGGTCATCATTACTAAAATCATTAAATATAAACAGCATAGTCTTGATTATCCACTTTTTCTGATTTAATTATCAACAGCCGTTAGCGGCATATAGGAATCTAATCCAGCCAACATCGAAGGCTAGCCTTGACATCGAGAGCTTATTATGGTCTGGATAAGTTAATTAATGTCTAATTGATAATTTAGATAACATTTCAGGCCCAAAGAAAGACTTGTAATAAGCAGATTTTGCTCTTGCATAATGCATGTTTAATAATTACATATTAAATAAGGATTAGTGAAAAAAAAAATAAACATACTGTCATACAATTCATTGGTCAATTATTATTTTTTAAAATTTGTTTTAAGTGATTTCATAGAATTTATTTTTAACATTTCTATATCAATCTTGTTTTAACCCAATTAATATAATTACAACATTTACAAACATTTTTTATATCTGTAATTCTAAAACAATCAAGTTATTTATTAATACTATTGTTTATTCAAAAATATGAATCTAAATTTACTACGATTCAATCTTATTATTCTCAACATGTTAATAATATTCTATAAGTTCTAATACAATTATTAATAATCATGCAGCCTAATTTCTTTAATGCATTTTATAATTAATATCCCCATTTTTTATTAATATCTCAATTACAATATCTATATCAGACAATTTTATCTATCAACATGCTCAAGGCTGCCTAACATACTCACCCAAAACTGGAATTCAATTGCTTTGCACGAATTCTTGAAGAAAATCACCAAATATAATTAGAATACTATTTCTAAATTTGATATAATGGGGATATGATTTGCATATCAACTTCCAATAAGACATTTCAAATGTAATGTGTTTGTGTATTTCTGCAAATCTATTATTGATAAAGAAATTTCACACAACTTGGAAAAGATCAGGTTTTTGTCAGCTACAGCCTGTTTTGGTGAATATAGCTGCTTGATTTGATATAGCAGGTTTATATTTATCAACCTCTATAATTACAAGAGAACTTGGAATAGTAGCAGACATGAAGTGCCTGTAGACATGTATATGTTGAGGTTAATGTCAATATGATTTTATTTAACACTTTATATATTATTTACATGATATATGTACTGTAGGGTAAATGGTGGTCAGAAATAGCCACACAATTCATTTAATCAAATCCATGTTACTTCTCTTCAGGTGGACAAAAATACCTTGATATATTTAACTGTATTTATTGTGAAGAGTAAATTATCTGTTGGGAATGTAAAGCACAATGTTTCTTTAATCCATATATGTTTCGATGTAACTGTTGGCCTTTCTATTCAATAATAAAGCAAATGGTCTGCATTTGTATATTTCGGACAATATCTAATTTTTCATGACTTAATGCACCCTAAAATGTACCCAAATGAATTGTTTAAAGAGGCCCATCAAAAGATTTTACCTAACAATTTTAGCTGGCACTGGCTTGTTCATATCATCTACAAACAATGCTTAATGTTGTGAAATTTAAAATTTATCATATCTTTGTAAATAGTGCATGGAGTTGAACTAATATTCCTTTTTGAGTTTTAACTTTCATAATATTCCACTTTGCAAGGGATTTAAATTCACCCAAATGACGATTATGGGCGTTAAAATGTATAATAAAATATTAATTGTATCACATGGGTGGGAGACCTGGGGCCTGTTTCACAAAATTTTAACTAAGACAAAATCCAAATTTTAGTAATTTGATTGGATAATATTAGATTGATTTTAGTGCTTAGACAATCAAAATTGAAGTATCTACTAAAATTTGGATTTTATCTTTAGTTAAGATTTCGACAAACAGGGCCCTGTTGTAGTACAAGTTTTAAACTAGATTTTGTATAAAAATGTGTTGTTTTATGATGATATACAAGAATATTTGTAGAAACAGATTTACTAAATGATTATTTTCACCAGTCTTTGGTTATATGCTTATATTGTAAATATATTTCACTGATGATGTAATCAAAACTTGCAGTACAGATAACCTTTTTCCTACTTTCCTACAGAGCGATTTTAATTATGCTCGCAGTGTAAGTTTTGCATTAGCTTATCATCAGTCCTACACGCTAACATTTCACTAACTAGATAGAGGCACACCCAACTGTAGATAAAATATATTACTGCACAACTTCAAATTAAAAGAAATGAACTCTTTCAATGAAACTTTAGACCGAATTCTCACTTGATAGTGCAAAATTTGGGTTTTGGACAACTTCCATAAAAGTAATAAAATAAAGAGTTTACGGTCTTTGAACCAAACTCAATTACTATGTTCAAAACCCCCATATACTGGCCAAATGATAACTGGTGCAATGAATATGGCAGGACAATTTCACATGGACATTGGTGTTTCTGCTTATTATTGTTAGAAATCCACCTCTTATGCAAAAATCAGTTTTACATGGATACCCCTCTGTTTAATATCTATACCACACGAGGACAAGACAAATTTTCCTTTACATCCCTGCACTGGAAACCTTGTTTAAAAATATCCCTGAGATTATTCTCGATTAACTTCATGATTCCAATTCGATATTTCTAGTGCACTCTTCTTCCACCCCCATAATGGTCTTAAACTTGCATAGCCACAATAAAGCCATTGTGTATAAAATACAAATATATATTTTTCTGAGTTACATATTTTGGAGCAGACGGCATACATGTGTATAGGATAACTTTGTCTATATAAGGAGATGAGGAGCAATGATGCATTATATTGTATTTAAAAGATAAACTAGGTCTTCATTGTGTATAAACAAGTTTAGTTTATAAATGACAGAGATAGATAAGCTATGACATTCAGTGTGTCATGACAACAAACAATAATTTTAACATGACTCACAGCAATACCAAAACAATTCACAGGTATGGAAAAACAGTAACACAACCTAAATACTCAGTCAAACAGAAAACATTTTATTATAAAGTTTTCACAGGAAACTTATTACCGGTACATATAAAAAACCCTAGATAACCATCTATAGAAATTTGTATGAAAAGTCTGTACCCACAGCAAGTCATTTTATTTGAATTGAAGAGTCTATGCCATTATGTTTCGTTTTCGTATTATGTTTATTCGACACAGACTAGTTTTTTTCGGGACTAACATATTATATGGTACAATTTTATTTCAATAATTTGCAGTGGAAGAAAACTGGATGACCAGGAGAAAACCCATGAGGTTAGGCAGGCGACCTTTCACCTTGTCACATATAAGTGTGGCATCAAAACCATGCCACCATGACAGGGCTTTGAGATCTAAAGTGCACACATAGACCATTCGACCACCCAACCCCTCTTTATATTATCAAATACAAAAGTAAGCCTAATTTGCAGCTTTGGTATTCTGGATATAATTCATTTAATGCAGAATTTAAGATAAATAATATTTTAATGACCATAAAATCAAAATCATACATATCTGAAAAATGGCCTACTAGTAATAAAAATTATTGGGTATATTGTACAATGTGTGTAAATTATAGGCATTCATTCAATCTGTCAAAAAATGTATGTAGGGAAATTACTACGGATATAGTCTCTCAGTTCTCATAAATACTGATACATACCGTAATTTATCTGTCATGAAAAAATATCATTAACTTGTCAATAGCGAAACCAATTCTGCGACAATGACTCATGACCCAGACAACAGACAGAAAGATTCAAGAAAAGAAATGATTCACATCATTATTGAATGAATTTCTCACCTAATTCTTTTATCCTTTCTGCACTTGTCGTAAACATGGTAGTATCAAATATTAAACACATGTTATATATCTTTCAAGGATTATAAAAGATGCTTTGCTTCGAATAACAAAAATTTCTAAAGCATGAATGTTATGGATATTGGTGGGGGAGTGTTACAAATTGTATTTAAATGACATTTTAACCCCCCCGTCTCTTAAATTTGCACAGAACTATTTCAAATATTTTCAAGCTCAGGTGACTTAAGTTACTTAAATACGCTAGATATTTGTTAGATTTCAGAATAAAAACATCTACAAAGAAACCAAAATCTTAGAAAAACTAACTGCAGTGTAAAGGATCATTGTCCTCATCTTGGTATATCCAAACAAACATGAAAACTTTTACTAAAGTAAAGTTTTTTGTCATTTTTTTCTCTCTCAGCTATTTCAAAATGCTGACCTAGCAAAACTCTAATTCAGCATTTTTAACAACAAAGAGGTTGCAAGCACTTCAAAATTATTCAAACGCAACTTCTTTTTTTTTCAAAATGTTTTCGGAAGTCAATTTTTGGAAACAAAATGTGCTTTAATGTACAGGAAATAACACCACCATGTTGTTCTGATAGCTAAGTTATACTGGTCAATTCTTAAAACAGTTTTCGTCTCGATGCAGAAAAGTGCACAAATAAACCAAATTTACTTATTTCAACTGAAATGTAAATGGTATATAATTCCTAAATTTACTATAAACAATTTCAAATCTATTTGATAAAAGCAGACGACATGTGAAGGCTGCAAATCTAAGTTGTCTGCTGCCAATTACACTCCACCATCCAAAGATATAGACCCGTCAAAGTTACGCAAAAAGTAATAAATTGTGCATGCCCTGTGCAAGCTGAAGTTGCCAAATTGAAACCAACTTATTCAGATGGCTAAGATAAACTAGCTTAGAAAAAAGCCTTCTAAAACGCAGGTCATGGTGCACAGGTTATTTAGTTAAGCTAGCTTAATGATCAAGGGATTCTTTCAAACCAGTTTAACTCAAGGATGTGAATGGTATACAACCAAGAATCTCTCTTATTTTGATGTCTGTGTGAATTTTAAGCAATGAAAAGTAGATTAGCATATATCAGTTACTTATAGATGTATATGTATCCCAAATAAAAAAAAAACTCCATTGATAACATCTTGATAAATGTAAGTATAATGAGGAAAAATGACAGTTTCAATGAAAGGTTAGCTATTATACTTAACAGACAACGCCCTTTTTTGTCATTATGTTCTCAACTAATGTCATTTTTCTTCTTGACTGTCTGTCACATGTCATACTGAGAGACATGGAGAATAAAACCACTGGGAACTAAAACCAACACACATAGATCATATAACTCAAAAATTGATTCATTAAAATAACTGACTGTCATTTGCATTTTTGGGATAATATGTAAAATATACTCGAATTGATTGTTTTACATTTAATTAAGAAAACTAATAGCAGATAATCTTGATGCTGGGATTCAATCAACCAATTAAATGATGTTACCTAATAGGTAGCACTGAATTGTATATCGTCTGCATATGATGCTGAAATGTTCAATTCATAATGTCTTTGTTAAAACTGAACGGAATTGAACCATTTTTTTAAACAATATTCATTTCAGATATTCCTCTTTCACAATGTTGTTGTTGGCAATGAATTCAAAATCAATCAGATAATGATTAATGAACTTGAACTTCTTGTTTTTCTGAGTTTTATTTTCATATTTGAATGACATATTTTCAAATGATGACTCAATTACCTGTCAACTTCTACCCTACAGTTATTTCTTTCTATGGCCATGTGCAATGAAGTGGAGTTCGATTATTCTATGTCTCCGATTTTCCATTCCGTCCAAATGACTATGCAACACTTTCCTGGGAATTGGGCAAAAATAACATATATGAAGATGCACCTGGGTACTGATCCTTGTGGACAGCCACATTTATCCCATGACTGAACCATAACATTGTAATTTTCCACAGTACCATTCTGTCAAAAT